TGGGAGTTAGGGCGGCCTAGAAAGTAGCATAGAATGCAAGAAAGAAGTCCTCCTTAGTGATATAAGTTATGTTTGCCTATATTATACTCTCGATCTACTTGCTATATACCGTTTTAAGCGGGCTAAAATACCTAATATTAAGCGGCTAAAGGATATAAGACAAGTAGGGAGGTATATAGAGTATAATAATATTATTCTCTTTATATTAGAGCTCGAAGTTAGTCGAGTGGTGGCTATCATAGCCATCAAGGATAAGAAGGCGATAAACTCCAACTATTTAAGCTTTGGTATGCTTGTTAAAGTGCTGAATCTATTCTAAGCCTCTCTCGTTGGTTGTCCAACCGTTTTTAGATATTGCAATGACCTAGTCTTTCGGTAATAGGCTATTCTTGTACTAGGAGGAGAGGTGATAGTTACCCTTGATGATAACAAATGGCGGGATCGCCTAGCCAGCTACATTAACACTATGGATTGCCGTTGCCTACTCCCGATTACTAGGCTGCTTTAAATTTGCCCTGCTATGCCGTTCAGAGCTTATAGCAACTATTACGGTTAAGATAATACCTATTAGAAACCTAGTCTCGTCAAAGTTATAGATATCTACCTCCTAGATGCTATACTTCATGATCGTGTTCTATACAAGTGTAAACCAGCCGCGAATGATTTCTAGATCTTTATACTAGGCCTTCTAATAGTCGTATTTCTAATTAAAATATATAGTAAGCTCTAGGTGCCATTTGATAAAGTTATATACCTAATACGTTCCAATATATCTCGTGTTATATTCGGCAAGTAGTCGATTGGCTATATCTTTTATATTAGATAAGCAGGGAGGAAATCCTTTGGAATCTAGGTCGAGGATATATTAAACAATAACCGATTCTTCCAAATTGGTTAACTTCCGCGAATTAGCTAGAATATCGCATCGTGATTATATACCGCGTCGCTAGCAGCTTAGCTTCTTATAATCTATATTGTAGATCTTATCAGCCGCTCGAGCGCTTAACTTCAAATTATTTTGCATTGCCAGAAGAGCTAGTTGCATCTGAGCCTCGTCGCTTTTGTGACCTATGTTGCATTGTAAATATCACGAGGGCTGTCGTTCAAGGCTAGGGTCAAGCCTCTAGTGGTAAACTGACTGCATTGCAAGAATATTGAACTTGCAGGAGGAAAGAAATCCTCGAGACTGCAAGGTAGGCTTTAAATATAGGATGTGAGTAGGTCTAAGCTTGCATGTATGATGTAATGGAATATGTATAATGAATCATCACTTGGTATGATGAATCATTATATATACAAATGATATCATCATCATGGTCGGTGCGTTCCACCGTCACAGTAAAGGAAGATGGGAAGAAAGATATAAGACATGTTAGGGTGAATTCATGTGACATTCGCTTATCTATAACATTCGCTTATCAACCACGTTACCGGACTTATTAAACTTAAGGTTTTCGAGTATATAGACTACCTCTTTGCTAGTATTATAATCTGCTTTTCTACTATGGATGACTAGGTTTATTTATTACTATATAAGCTTGGTTTCAATTATAATAAGCTCTATATTATATACTAAAAGAACATCTAAATAAAACAATAGCTCTTCCATATAACTCAAGAAAAACGCTACGTAGAATTCTAAACGAAAGTTAATAACTTAGTAATATATACTTTACTATTAGCGGATTATCTATTAACTAATGAATTACTAGGAACCTATTAGTCGCAATATCCCTTGTCCGAAATAGCCTCCTTATAAGGTACGATGGCCTATAATTATAGAGCTCAAAGTTTCTCCTAGCTCCAATAACAAGGAGATATCGGCAGACTTAGAGGAGAGCCTAGCTAGTGCTGACGAAGCCTTCGTCGTATATAATAGTACCGCCGAGGAAGGGTCAGAGGAGTTTGTTCCTGATGATGACGATAAGGGCAGTGACGGTGGGGAGAGTGATGATTCTAGGGGTGGGGATAGAGACGAGACCTCTGATAGTAAGGAGAGTTATATCGATGACGAGGAGGACCCGGAGATGATGGATCCCGACTAATTAACCTGATGATGGACCACTTTACCACAGCTGCGGCTTAATTTCACGATGAGAGTTGCGTGGACAATCTGGGGGGGCGATGGGCATACGCGCAAGCTTCGCTCGCTCCCCTGGACAGCTGAAGCAGGGCGCCCTAAGGCTGGCGCACTTCAGCCACCCATAACGAGCGTGCGAGAGCGGGCCGCCGAGTTGCTTCTTTCCCGGGCCATCCGCATTAGATGGACTGGCATAGTGGCAACTGTTAGAATGCCGGACGCCAGAAACAACCCGAGACCACGCGCCACGGCCCGTGTCGACAACCCGTCAAGCTACTCATAGCATAGTACCTAGAGTCACAGTTTTGACTGGTTGGGTCTCCCAGACATAGACTCGACATTCGCCGTATATCGGACGGCGGTGGCGAGTACGCCGTCGAGGCCGGAAGTGCGTGGTGACGGTGCAAAGCGAAAGCGGGCTGGGGACCGCACTAGCACGACCGCGCCGGAAAGGTAATGCCAACGGCGGTATACTTCGGGCTACGTCCTTCCTCGTCGCCTACCGATTCGCTACCTGTCGACGCAATGAAGTTGCAGGACCCTGCGTTTTTGACACAGGCCGCCGCCGCTGCGCTTTTGCTGGCGACAGACTACGCTTCACACCTACAGGCGGCGCGCAACCGGATGAAGGGAAATTAGGGAATAGAATGACCTCAGTCTTCAGCGGGGAGGGCGCGGTTACAAGCGCAAGCGCCCGTCCTCGCCACGGCTGCCGCCGGAAGGACGAGGCGGGCGCTTAACGTCGCATCAGACTTCGGCCCCTGAAATTTCCCCAGATCGTTCCCTCGAGATACTATTGGCCGGCTAGCCGCATGAATGCGCTATGCTATTATGGGTAAAGTCCGTTACTCGTTATTGGCGCGCCTTCTCGGAGGAAACCGTTTTTAGCGCGACAGGCGAGATCTCGATCTGGACCCTGGAGATCTCGGACCCTTGTTGCAGCGGCTTCCTGAAGATCCGATTGCAAGCTCCCGCGCCCGTGAGCGACACCCTCCAGACAAGAGACGCCGCGACTACAGTCCCTGGCGGGATCCCGTATGCTTTTCCCAATATGAGGCCGAAGATGGATTGGGGGCCGGCAAATTCCGGAACGATCTAGCCCTCTTCAGGGACCGCATCGCATGGTTTTCCACCCCTCGTCCCAAAGGAAATGACATGCAGAACGGTTAGGTGGAAAAGATACAAATAGGACAGAATTGTCAACGTCAATACCACACGACGAAAGATCTTGGTCCGCCCGGAAGCTCTCAATCTTTTGTTTGTCGCCTTCTCCGACCCGTCGGAGATCCGACATGATTGACTGCCAGTGACGTCGATTCAACGGTCGGCCGCCATTGCCAAGCTTTGGGGGCCGACTCGCGGCACTGAGGCGGCGGGATGGCGATGCCGCGAAGCGAGAGGCACGACAAGCAAACATGGGCTCTGCTTCCAATGGAGAATCGCGTCGATGCGCTCCAGTTTCCAACAGCCCTCTGAATAGACTGAAAATCGGAGGCCTGCAAGGGGCGTCCGAGTCTCAGGATCTAAGGATACTGAGTCCGAAGTTGTGGTTGCGTTACCCAGAATGGCCGACTTCTTGCGATCCATCAGCCACGCTCCGACAGCTCTAGCTCGACGCCGGATGATAATGTCACCATCATCCGAAGTCTTGGGGTGGCGTGCGTCATCTTGGGCGGCCGCCGCCGTACGCCGCGCTGCTGCTTCATGGTAACCCAATTTCATGCTCAAAACAACCTCCCTAGGAACACACTTGGGAGGGAATGGGACAAAGACAACATGGGATTGACTTTGCCGCCGGAAATATTCGTCACCACCCCAGGGCATGTGCGGATTGTAACCAACGCCTCAGCGGTCGCCGGCTTAGCCACACGAATCCGGTGGCAAACATTGACTTCTTCGATGCCGCAGTTTCCGTTCCGCATGTGCCGGACCGCAGCCGTACGTAGGAAAACGCAATACCTCGTCATGTCGTCGACGTATGTTGGCTGAGCATGGCGAGATAAGGCACGCCTCTGAGATGCATCCATGCACACCTCGTATGTTGCATACTACTAGCCTAGGTGACTCAGTTGAAGCAGTCGAATGTGTGTTCTGGCAGCAAAGTAGGAGTGGATTGGAGGTACGACGTCAGACATGTTGACGGATGAGAGGGGACGAGCTGGATAATGCCTACCTAAGTGGTTAACCGTTATTATGTATAGCATGCAATGATGGAGGCACTGTAGGTCTTCACCTCGTTTGATGCCATCACGGCATCTTTAAAATAAAATAGGCTACGTAAAGACTATTGCGGCCCTCAGGAGTCCTTCCCCCATTGTAAAGGGGACAGAGAGCAAGTCACTCACGGACCATCGTTTTCCATTGCATTCCCTCGTCTGTGCGAGACTCTCCTCTCCACTACTCCATACATTGGTGAAGCTTGCCAGTGAATGAGGTGACAAGCTTGGCCCACTCTGTATCGCATACCGCGTGGGATGCCAGTAACGCCCAAAGACGCGACAGTTAAACAACTTCATGAACATCCCCCTATGAACCCGCCATGCAACCCCACAAGCTCAGCTGGGCTTCCTTTGCCAGTGCACACCATTCTCCTTCCCCTTTGTGCCCCTTCCAAAGCCTTCACGCTCTGCACATCATGGCCACCAATAACAAATTATGCTGGATCCCCCTCCCACTGCTAAACATCGCCGGTAAATGCCAGCCACATGCAGCTAGTAAACCCCCAATGGGCGACAAGTATCCTGAATGCGAACACTAGTGGATGCTTCAGGTTGAGTAGTAGTTGAAGTGACGCCGCGACACTCGCTCGTCCGGCTGATTCCCTCTAAAGTCTGTTCTCCAAGGGTGGCAGCATGCGCTGTCGGCCCTTTGGATGGACCGTCTTCATCGTCTTCATAGGGACCATGGGGAGCTCCCTTCCCTAGTGGTAGCTACCGCCATACGGGCCCCCCCGTAAGCGTTCACGGCCCTCATAGCTCTCGAAGTAAGGGTGGTTGCAGGCCTGCTTAGCAGAGATACGGCCGGCGGGGTCGTAGACGAGCATCATTTCGAGAAGATCCAAGCCCGCCTCATCCAGGTTCGGGATCAGAGGCACCGAGGGGTCACGCACCCACTTAGGAAAGGAAGCCTTGAAGTCGGGGTAGCTGGTCACACCGGGCCAGATGTCCTCGGTCGGGGTCCCGAGCAAGCTGTAGAGTTGAGCGTTAACCTAATGCCTGACATGTGTCTTCTGGCAGGGAAGAAAACGTACCGGAAGATCTTGAATATCTCGTCAATCTCGGAGTCACCTGGGAAGAGCGGTTTGCGGGTGCACATTTCGGCAAAGATGCAGCCGACGGACCACATGTCCACTCCGGTGGAGTATTGACGACCACCAAGTAGAATCTCGGGTGCGCGGTACCAGAGCGTAACCACTTCATGGGTGTAGGTGCGGAGAGGGACGCCGAAGGCGCGAGCCAAGCCGAAATCGGCCAGCTTCAGGTTTCCTTCGCGGTCGATGAGCAGGTTCTGCGGCTTGAGATCGCGGTGCAGCACCCGGTGGCTGTGGCAGTACCGAACGCCCTCGCACAACTGACTCATGAACTTTCGGATAATAGCATCGCCAAGTCCCAGGGTCTGTACGCGAGGACCGGTGCCTTCAGGAAGCGCCTTGCCCCTTCCGCCGTCGCTGACAGGCAGCGCCTCCATGTACTTCTTGAGGTCGCAATCGAGGAACTCGAAGACAAGGTAAAGTTTGTGGCCGTCGGCGTGGACGATGTTGTAGAGTTTCACGATATTCGGATCGCGCATTTCCTTGAGCAGCGATATCTCGCGGATGGCGGTCGAAGGAACACCTTCGTCCTCAGCCTCGAGCCGAATCTTCTTGAGCGCCACGATCCGACCGCCATTGTTCAGGTCGCGAGCCTTGTAGACGACGCCATATGTGCCTAACAAACCGTCTGTGTCAGCTTCCTTGACGCCGACAGCAACAGTGCCGACGGAACGCTGACAACACACCCTCCCCGATCTTTTCGAGTTTCTGGTAATTCTCCATGGCCATGATTCGAGCGCCGGCAGATCAATTCGGCTCGGTCTGTCAATGCAGCCTCGAAACGGGGCTTCTTGGGTAGGTTTTGGCGGAGGCGCTACACGCGTGACGTGGTTGTGGTTGGATGCGGAAACGAGGGGCAACGCTACGCCGGGAACCAAACAAAACGAGTCAAGGAGACGCCGATGGAGAATGGGGTCGAAGAACCGAAAATCGACAGGAGAGCAGGAAAAGACTGGTCAGTTGCGCCTGGCCATGGAAAGGATTTTGCTGTCTGTAATGTCAAAGGTTGTTGTAAAAGGTAAAGTCGCCACAAGTCACCTGCAGGTGAGCGGCTAGTTGCACTTTGAGATTCGATGCAGGTGCCGGATTTTGAGGTCGTCAACAAACTTTGAGGGGGTAATTGGAGGTTAATGGGTGACGCGCCGAACGCGTCGCTGCGGGTCTAGGCTGCCCCGCCAACCCGCGCCCACCATCAGCGCCACTTTTTCCGAATCAGGCTCTTTCAGTTTCACCCGCCAGGGACGCTTCAGCCCCGCAGTCTCAACCCTCAGGAGAGTGAATGACAAGCAAGCACACATCCGAACTCATACCATACTGTACTGCACGTCTTATTTCAGCCAAAACATAGGGTATATAAAGTGAGTGATTGCTTCCAGCTGTTCTTTTCATGTGAATATCGGGGTTGACGAAGGGTTAGGGTAAAGATGACAGTGGACATCAAGCACCTCGATGCACATGAGCAGCCTTCAGACGAGCTCAGGGCCAAGTGGAAAACATTCTCAAAGGCGGAACCAAAGGATTTGCTGAACAGCTCCGACATCGATGATCTAGAAGATCCAGAAAGCGCAACCGAGTTCTCCCTTGCAGGCAGCATTCCCATCGACACCCTAAACACTTCGTTCAGGCATATCTGCCCCAATAATGGCGCTGAGTTCAAGGCAACGAAGGATGCCCCAATATACTACCACCCTCTCCTCCCAGGTAAGTCCCGTACTATAAACACCACCGCCACCACACAGCTAACGATGGGCCCAGGCCTCCTTGTCGTCCCTTCCCTCGTCCCTCCCTCGGTTCAAAAGGCCCTCCTCAGACATCTGATCCACCGTGACCTGAGCCAACCGCACCACCAAACCAACCTACATCTGCACTTCAACCTCCCCTACCCCACCAGCGAAGACCCCTCCTTCTTCTCTTACCCGCCCTCATCCGCAGTGACCTTCGCCCCAAAGGACCCGTCTGTGCACAAGCCGCTGAGCATCAAGCAGGTCCTGGAGCGCAAGCTGCACTGGGTGACGCTGGGCGGGCAGTACGACTGGACGAACCGGGTGTACCCGGAGGACGGCGGCCCCGCCATGCCCGCCTTCCCGGCCGACGTCGCCAGGTTCTTGGAGACTCTGTTTCCCGAGACCAAGGCGCAGGCGGCGATTGTCAACTTTTACACGCCGGGGGACACCATGATGATGCACCGCGATGTGTCGGAGGAGACGGATAAGGGCCTGGTCAGCCTGAGTCTCGGGTGTGAGGCGTTTTTCATGATTGCGCCGAATGAGGGCGATGTGGATGCGGATGCCGCTGGTCTAGAGGAGCGAAGGGAGCACAGACCAGATGCTGAGAGTGGCGAGAAGGAGAAGGAGGAGAAGAAGAAGGAGGGGGAGAAGAAGGAGGGGGAGAAGAAGGAGGAGAAGGATGAGGAGAAGAAGGAGAAGAAGGAGAAGAAGGAGGAGAAGAAGAAGGAGTTCCTGCTGCTGAGGCTGAGGTCAGGAGATGCGATTTACATGACGAAGGAGTCCAGGGTCGCGTGGCATGGGGTGCCGAAGGTGCTGAAAGGGACGTGCCCTGAGTATCTGGAGGATTGGCCGGCTGAAGATGGGAAGTACGAGGATTGGAGAGGGTGGATGCGGAGTAAGCGTATCAACCTCAATGTGAGGCAAATGAGAGACTGAGCTGGGTACGATCAACCCAGAGGTTGCGTGGCACCTCAGTTTTGGAAAGCATGGCGGCCGCCCACTCACACATACAGGGTTTAGAGGCTGCGAACGGCGGGCAAGCTACGCCAGGAGTTCTTCCGCAGAGCCTTACAGAATAGAGCAGCTCAGCATCTGGTCCATATACCGAGGCACCGGCAGCCCACCCTTTCACTCCTTCACTGGCCGGGTCTTGGTACGTCTGGCACGCATTCCGCTCAGCCTGGAAGGATAGATACGGAGGAAACAGGTTGTTCATGCTTGATCGCAGTTCTTGCGGGGATTGCGCCATTTGCAGGGTTAAGGGTCGGTCTTCGCCCGGTCAAACAGTTAAGGGCTTAGGGTACCTCTTGGAAGGAAGGGACAGGATGAATCCAACCAGCCATCAGTTCAGGTTTCCTTTACCCATGATCAGCAGGAAGAGAAATAGCAAACTGCCAACAACGCGGGTCGCCCATCTTGCTCAACGCTCGCCCTAGCCGGGGACATCCTGGCAGCATGAGCAAGACAACAGAATGAGCCGAGGAGGGAACTGGGTACAAACATACCAATCTCGCTCGCTCCAGTGCCCGCCTACGGACAACAACGGAGCCAGAGTCGGCGGCCTGGAGAGCCGCATTTGTCGTGGGTTCCGACGCCATCCGGCCTGTATAGATCTTTTGGCCCATCTACTGGTATATAACACTCAGGAGTGTCCGTCTTTCTAACCTCGTCGTCGCTCTCATTACCTTACCCTTATCCCGCGTTGTCCTCTTTATTCTTACTCGCTGCGCCTTTACTATTTACTAGTATGGGATGACGAGCCAGATGGGAGTGGTGAGTGGGACGCCTGCTGTCCAGGAGACTGAACCTTGGAAGAAAGAAAAGCGATGCCGACCGTTGGGTTGCCGAGAGGTAGGGAACCCTCTGACAACACAACACCAACCACCAGCAGAAGAGCCTAGGCTCCTCCACTCCCTCATACTCAATCAACATATGACCTTGCTTGTTCCAAAAAAACCAGATGTAGCAGATCTTCTCGCTAGGAAGGCTAAATCTATCCAAGACCACTCCGAGACGAGGCATCGCCCCTACGGCTACTGCCCCAAGCCATAGGAAGGCACCGATGCACCGGGTGCGGCATCCCTTACCGGCAAAATCTTTGGCCCTATTCGCCATACTGTCCAAGGCGTCGCGGACGCCGATCCGGAGACGACGCGGCGTGACACCATAACCAAAAACTAGGGAGTCGATTGCTCAGCTCTCTGACTTCCCGTCCAACCCTCTCCCCGCCGGCCCCGACGGGCAACGATTCCCCAAACTTCGGGGGTGACCGCGAAGGGCAAACCCCCCAGACTCCTTCGGCTGCCCACGCCAACGGTATACCTTCCAAGCATCTGTCAACATGTCTACTGCGTCGCCGAGCGCTACGGGCTGGAGGAGCTCAAGAAGCTGGCGCTGCAGAAGCAAGGATTGCACTCCGGCATCGACATCGGCGCGATCCTCCGCAGCGCGCAATACTGTTACGCCAACGCTGCCCCGAATCGGACAGCCGCCTGCGCGCCCATTACCCGACCTGGGATGAAGACAGGACTTCCCCGGTGTCTCCGCCAAAGAATTCCGTACGACTTGTGTGTGGGGACGGTTCTCACTGGTCGATACAGCCGGTTTGCGGTTGATCGAGGTGAACTTCAGAATGGTTGGGAAGGAGGACTCCTCCTCCCTGTCGGGCTGGGCGGCGTGCTGAGCGGGCTCCTTGACGTTGCCTGTCAGCGCTTCTTTCTCAGCGCGTGCATGAACAACTTGGGGAGCCGGCTGAGGCTCTTTCTCCTTCCCCTTTCCCTTGCCAGCATTGGGAGCCACTGCAGACTGGTTCGCGGCCGTGAACTACGGCGCAACTACGGCAGGCTCCTCCGACGGGAAGGTTGAAGAATGGACAGTAATATATAATAGTCAACCCAATTGGCCGCCACGAGGGGCTCGGGTTGACTGCCTCCGCATGAGAACCACCATCCCCTCCACGTTTCTTCTTCACGAATCAAGCTGGAGACGCCGCCTGCCAAAATCCTGCTGACGACCTCTCGGCGCCGTGGACGAACCATAACCGCCTTCGCGGCCTGGTTGCTTCGCCGTCGAGGACGAACAGAACCGCCACGAGAACTCAGCCTGCGACTCTACGTCTAGACCACCGGGCATGCCGCCCATGTCAATGCCAAACATTTGTGAGAGAATATCATGGTGCGTCGCGTCGCGGGCTCGAGACGGAGCAGCGGCGGGTAAGACCTTGAGATTAGATGGCATTTTCGCTTCGCTACCTAGGTGAGCTTGCCTTCCCGACTCGAACACATTCATCTGGCATGAGAGGTCAGAGCCCACAGACAAGCCTGAGCCATTAGAAAATCACGGCCTAGTCTTCTTATGAACTTATGAAGAATGTGTAAACTGAGATAGTTTGCCGATTACGAATTTACGAGAGTGATGATCAGGAATTGTCCAAGTAATAGTGTCGACGCGCGACTATGGTCTACTTGTGGTATGTTGATCCTTATTCCTCCGCGCCTTCAGCGAACCAGTGGCTTCTTTTTGATGTGTGATAAAGTGTGGATCAAGCCCCTTTTAACTGGGAACCTCTTGCTATTCGAACTTTAGCACGAATTGTGCTGAATCAAGGCGCAAATGTGGCTGTGCTTGTTGCGGTGGGATATTTGATGGGACGACTCGGAACGTCGTCTGTCTTGACAATAATAAATAACCGTCTTAGTTGCTAGAGACATAACAGAAGCTTCCTGTGGTTGGTTGGCTCAACACCGCCGCCTACTCCAAGATGGCGTCACTTATACGTGAGTGCTGCGCTGTGCTATTAGGGTTTCTGCTGAGGGGCTGCCTTGCAGGTCCTAAAGCTTTTCTCGGCAGAAGAGGGAAAGGAAGCCGAAATGGGAATCGGTGATTAGAGAGAAGCGAGCCCGCAACCCTAATGAAAGGTGCCATCATATATACTCCGCATTTTCCACATCGAAGGCGTTGATTCGGTAGTAGTCATTTCCGTCACAATTGCCATGGTATCATTGCATTACTCAATCTCCAGTCCTTGCCCAACTCATTACATGAAAGGCGCAGCTCCTTACACCATCATTATCGCCATCAGGGCAGCAACACCAACCACCAAGCACCCTGACACAGACAATCCGGCGGCAGCCTGGGTGAACGGGCCACCAGCTAGCGTAGTTGACGGACTCGACTCCGCCCCTGTAGAGCTCGACGAAGTCGAGGTAGTCTCGGCTGTTTCCGTCGGCGTGCTGGAGGTTGAGTCGGTAGAGGTAGGGAACAGCGCATTACCACCATCGTCATCCTCTGTCGTCGTCGTCCTCGTCGTGCTCTGTCGAGTGGCGGCGAAGGGAGGAGAGGACGTGCTACGCGTCGTCGTGGTGTCGTCGTCTGTTACTGTGGTACCTCCGGAACCACCACCCCCTGAACCGCCACCCGAGCCACCACTGCCTGAGCAGGTCCGCCCGTTACGGCAGCAGGCGTTCGCTGTGCAGTAGTATCCGTCCTGAGGTAGGGGTAAAGCTTGTCAGATACTGTCGATTATCCAGGGAGCGAAGCGGAAAGGGGTGTCCTTCAAACTTACTCTGCACCACCCGCCATCTCCATCACCACAGCACACGCCGTCAGACGGGATGCAGTAGTTGGAGTCGCAGGTTACGTTCCCAGCGCCACATCCACTGCTGCCTCCTCCCCCTCCTCCTCCACCGCTGCCACCACCCCCTGAACCGCCACCGCTGCCGGTTCGGGCGCACGTGTCACGATCTGTGCAGTAGTCTAACCAGAAATGTCAGTCATATGGCCGGGTTCCTTAGGTATGTCGCGCAGAGCGATGGAGCCCTGATCACGGTTAAAGGGGTATAAACAACAGGGGCGGAACATACAGCCTGCCTCACAGTATCCGCCATCCGGGCAGCATACGGAGCCTCGGGGCATGCAGCTGGAGAGATCGTGTCAGCAGGTCACGTTTCCGGTAGTTCGGTACCGTTGGTCCGCTTACCCGGTGTTGCAGAGCTCCTTGCCGGCAGGACAATCGTCAGCGATGCCCGAGCATGTTTCGCCTTCCTTTTTGAGGGGTCAGATTCCTATTACAGATTCTTCTGCGACAATGCGGTCGGGAAATAATGCGCACCGGACAGCACCCGCTCCCGACCATGCAGTAGTAGCCTGAGTCGCAATAAGACTCCCGTCCGAGGCTGGCGCAGCACACGCCCCCGCTAGGCATGCACCCATCGCCACAGATCGCCTTACCCGGGCCGCAGGACGACTGGCGCATGAGCAGCCGGTTGGGGTTGGCTGACACCTCGTGGACTGGGATCTCGTCGAAGGGCAGCTGCGGCAGCGCGACACCTGCGAGCAGGCTCCGGGCTGCGATTTCCGCGAAGCGCATTTTAGCTGCTTTAGACCCAATAGGGCTCCAGCTTGGTCGACTCGATTTGCTGCCTTTGGTTTTAGGGGGTAGGGTCTCGTCTCAACGGTCTGTAGTCGTTTGAGCGCCCAGCAACAGGATCGGGATCAAACCAAAATCAAGAAGGAACCGAAGCAACGAAGGGTTCACCGCCAGCGCCTCATTCTTATCCCTCGCGCAAAGGATCATCCTGAGCTACCGCTGTTCTCCGTAGCTTCTTCAGCTTACTACCACACCACGCGCTATCGCGCTTGGCACATGCAGCCCGACCTCCCCCAGTGACAGCCTAATGCCTTGGGTGACATGGGTTGATCAGCTGGGACGGCGATCTACCAATAGCTGGTTAGACACGCCCGAAGCCAGCACGGATACTTATTGAGCCGGGTTGGACAACTCATGGACGGCTATTAACAACAGCCTTGGGCGCTCCGCTCTAAGAGAACCGATGTGGCACTTTGTACTCCTCCGTATTACGCATGCACCTAGCAGTGAAAAGCTGAGTGTGTTGAACGGTGATACATGATTAAGCGTTCGCTGCAAGATGTGGCGGAAACAGATCCTTCTCCCTTGTCGGGTGGGAGAAGTGGTGAGAGACGTGGGCTGTGTTGACGGGATGAAATTGAGCCGCGCTCCTCTGTGAAACCCCTGGGCTGATTTTGAGTTTTTGGGGGGACCCTTGCTGGTCTGAGCTTGGCATGCCAGCTCGCTGGGATTGCTGTATTTTCGCTGCGGGGATGTGGGTCAGCCTGGTCTTGGCATCGGCCCGGGGCCCCTTCGGCTTGTCGGTGACGAGTTGCAGGCACAGCTGTTGGACCACTGCTACTCGTCCGATACTATAGTCACATTAACGTTTTTTGGACGATGATTGGAGCTGTAGGGGCACCTAAACTAAGATCTGCTCGTGGATGCCGGGATATAGACTACACTATATAAGTTACAGTGTATTATTACGTCTACTGTGTAACCACTTCGATATGCGCCTTCTGACTAAAGGACTTACTGTATAAGTGCATTAAGTAAGCCGAGATGCCACGGGCCATTACAGAACGTAGTAAATTCAATCGTTTGGGATTAGCTGTTCACTCGCTACGTATCAAACTTTCTATCCTTTTTTCCTAGGGTTCCGTAACCATATGCTTCTAGCCTGGTTATGTAGCCGGTGCTTGATGAACTGACAGTCTGACGCCTCGTCCATTGACCAGGGTTTGAGCCTCGTGTGTGTCGTGACATTAACCAAAACCCCAAAGTTACGAAAAACTCAGGAAAATGTATACAAAAGGTACTTAGTGCTCTACCTTTGCTATGGTCGCGCTGACGGGGCAAGTCTGACGTATAAAACGCGCCCCATAGTGCGGATATCATTATCACCCCCCGGAAGACAGGCGGGTGCGCTGTGCCTCCTTCAATCTGTAGAACAGGCACAGGACCCGTGGACGGACATCACAAACACCAGATACAACCTATCGGCAGCATGTGGCAGACAGCAGGGGCGGTAAAACTGAGAACGGTGTATAGAGAAACCAGGCGGTCAATTTTGTTCATGAAGTCCCCTTTCTGAACCCCATCACCACCGACCCAAAAAAGACGAGTAGAAATCTTCCCGTCTACATTCCTGGTTGGACTCTCGGGCAGCTCTGTGTCCTATCCCAACTCCAAGGTCTCCAAAGGGCTTGTAAGCGCGCAGGGTCACATACCACTGCCACGGTTGTATCTTTATCCTCCCTCTTTCCCACGGCCAAGTGTAGGTGTAATGGGGACCCGTCACGCCCCCTTGTCCCACAGGAAATAACCACCTCGGAGGTTTGCCGCATGCTCAGGGCAGAAGTGGAAGGGGGAATGCCAAGCGACCCCAGACACGCTTATCGGTTCCAGTGGCCTTGTTTTCTTATCAACACAGCCAGTCTGGCACTGCCCAAGCTTGAGTTGCGAAGTTGCCTGGGGTTCTTGATTCTTGATCTCGTCGCATTTCGTGACCACCAGGCCACTTGCAGTCCCTGGCAGGTGTTGGGGCATCCCTGCACGGCACAGAGGTGAATTTCCAGTACGCACATCGTGGGAGAAGCTTGGTCAGTGGCTGACTCTCTTGGCGATGCTGAAGATAGGTGCTGTCGGAGTAATCTATTTGGAATACCAAAGGAGAGCGCTGAGGTGAGCCAGTCAGCAGGTGTAAGCGCTGCCTGATCGGTGCTGTTGAGCTTGCTCGGGGTTACGGTGCTGGTGGATGAGAGGTCCGTTGTGAGCGGATGCTCGACCCTTATATAGAGAACGGTTAAGCCAGGTATCCAACCGTGTAATCTAAGAGCCACGACCTGGAGGATGTAAGTTCAGAGGGACCTATGTGCTGGTGACCGTGACAGGGGTCAACTGAACGAGCATTAACATCAGACAAGGCCGTTAACACAGAACCTTCTGTTTAATGCTCGGAATGTCTCCACGTGTGCCATGTATTGACCGGCTCGGTCTGGTTCTAAGCAGAGACTCAATATGTTGCATTGGCCCATTGGGTAGGCACATGGTATTATGCTCCAGTTTACGGAGGCTGTCGACTCCCCGTTTGACTTGACTGCTGACTGATGTTGTCCTTCGGAGTTGTGCTTTTGGGTTAGTGAGATGCCGGGCTATGATGGCGGTCGCATGAATCCGCCTTTGTTCACTAATCATCTCATTAGCGTTAATAAGGACAGGTTATCTATTCAGCCTTGTAGATTCACACGGTAGACTGTGCTATCCCACGAGATACAGGGTAGCCATGAATAAGGGAAGTACTAGTATTGCCTCCAAACTTTCCCGGCTCCTGGGTTGTGAGCCTTGTGACTTTGTGCTTTCTCCGTTCGTCATACAGCTCTCCCGCGTCACTCACAGCGAGCAAAAGGCGGCAATGATACCAACACTAGCAACAATATTTCGGTCCTCCTAGCTACGCCTCGCTCAGACTGCCAAACGCGGTCTTCAAGATTCGAACAATGACATTCTTCTCTTGCCTCACCTTGATGCTGCTGGAACAATACAGTTTGCCCAAGCTTATACCACATAATCCACCCCTAAGGTACAAGACGTAGTGGTACACACACAAACTGAGCTTGGTCTTGCCAATAGCCAAACTATCAAACCCAAAATTCCGCGGGAATGGTGTGATGGAGCCTGGAGCTCCGAAACTGGATACCTATCGATGTCCAAACATGTCTGTTATTCGCATTGTTGAACGGTATCATAGATAAATGGATGGTTATGGGCAGAAGTGATCTTGGATCACGAGCACAGCCGGAACCTGAAATAGAAACATAGACAGTAGGTAGGTTTCCAGGTGGCCTGCAAGCCATGTATGCGCTGTATGATGTCTTTGTGTGGATCCCATCAGGTTCTCTTGCAATTGGTGCAATTAGTTAGAGGAGAAGCTAGGTTTGCCGCGGGGTTCAGCTCTTGGCTTACTCATGTCCTCAACTCTCAGCTATGCTTTGGAATATACCGTTGGTTGGTTATTAGCTATTAGCCAACGGGCGTTCGTTTGCCTGGTCACCGAAACATCGAACAAAGAACTTTCACACCATCTGTTACCAACTCAGCAACTAAGAGATGGCTCAAGCAAATCCTCTCGGCCACATCTCCATTGGCGTCCGCGACTACGATGTCTCCAAGGCCTTCTACACGGCCGTGCTCGCTCCCCTCGGCATGAAGTTAGTCTACGACAGCGAAGTGTCGTCACCAGGAACAGGGAAGGTTCGCACCCTAGGATACGGCATCGATCCAGAGCACGAGCTGCTCAACATATTCGAATTCGGCGAGGAAGCGGCACCGCCGGGGCCGGGGTTTCACCTGGCCTTCAACGCGCCAACCAGGGACGCCGTGGTCGAGTTCCATGCTCAAGCGATGGCGTCCGGCGGCATGGATAACGGGCTGCCGGGGGTGAGGAAACATTACGGTGGAAGCTACTTTGCAGCGTTCGTGGTGGATTCAGATGGCTGGAGGCTGGAGGCTGTTTGTAAGACTTAGAGATGACGAGTGCAGTGGTACACATTGAAAGGATGAGGGCGGGGAGGTAATCATACCTACCATAGACAGCGGATGAGAATTCAAACCTCGAGGGCAACATGTCCCCACCCTTCCTACAAACTGCGGCAGCGTGTAAGGTATCCATTCTTATTGGTAACACAGAAGGCAGACTTGGAATAGCATCACTGTCTGCCACCTGTTTCAACGGTCTTGCATTGTCATGCAAGTAGGACGTGTGCGCGAATTCGATTAGACTCGACACTAAGAAAGTCAGTACGTCCAGGCACGATGATCATCGGCAGATTTAAAGCAGTTCTTGAATGTTTAGGTAGCTTAGCTAGTAGTACATGGCCATTCTTAGCTGGGCTGTCGCAAGTAGCCCCCTGCTCCATGGCCGACTCGTGGTTGTCTTCACCATTTTCGCGACTGCGTTTTACACCCCCAAAAGGATCCTCTAGAAGTCCTCTGCATACTCTCGCAAGTCCTTCACGCTGATGATAACATCGTGGTTATCTAATCCTAGATACTCGAGGAAGAGTTGTCTGAACCCCAGTACTAAGGCACCCTTAGTGATATGATACGAGGGCGAAGTTGTCGTGCCGTCCCGTTGATCGGGATCTCTTCCCGCAAATTCGGTTGCTGTTGAAGCGCAACAGCAGCCTGGCTTCTGGTGATCATTCGTGTTACATGCGGGAAGTCCTCTTCCCATCTCTGGGTGATGATCCGTTGCTCGTTGTCGAGCAGTTTAACTAGCAGGACGATCTTGACCTGATGGTTGGATGCGGAAAACCACCATCTCATAATAGGACGGAGCTGGGTGAGGGACATTGAACAGCCGGCCCCGATCACCAGCGTTGGCTACGCATTCTCCCGTCCACGCTCTGGCACGGGCTTACCACAAGAGCGGCCTTCTCCCGCACCACCACCGGGTTGGTCACGTCGAAATGTACTAGACCCTGAAGGCCAGAAATGTTCGCCAGGATGTTTCCTTTGTTGGCGCATACGTTTGCCAACCATATGGTTGAGTTGCCGACGGGGATACTAATGCCGGCTGCTTGGAATCGTGACAATCAGGATACTCAAGTGCTCCAAGTAGTGAAAACGAACTCCACGGACATTGCGGCGGATTTCGGTGAAATGGGTAGGGGACACGACTATTCATCGAGCCAGCACCATACCTATACTGAGTATACATTGAGGCGAGGTAATATTCCTCTAACAATTAGACAATCGCACTTGTCTCTACTAGAGGCTCTCTCGATCTCCTGAGTGAGATCCTCTAGATTAAGCGAATTGCTTATTGGGGACTCCATTTCCGCATACCTATGTAAATCCTCCAAGTCCAGCGCTACCTAGGTAGTACCGAAGCGGGGGCGGTCGATGCTGCTGCGGGGGTGGAGATTGATGAGGATATTACCGTGCTTGACAGTCATGAAGATTCCATGGTGGAGTGCGATGCTGGTGTAAACGGTGGACGTTGGGGGGTTGGAGACTCGCACAGACTCAGAAAAAAAATATGGTGGCTGCAGTGCCTCGGTGAAGGATTGACGCGAGGATGGTAAACGTAAACAACCTGGTGCCTACCAGGTAGGCATGAGTAAGGCACGGGTCACGTGTCCGTGCAGCAAATCGCGATACTACTAAGATACGGATGTTAAACCCCGCAATGGGCCCGACCTCTGAACTGTGAACACGCGGGCTTGGCACGCCTGCAATTGGTTCGAGCTTGCAGTTCTGTGATACCTTGACGACTTCACTCGTCAAACTCCAACAGTTGTTTCTTATTACCGGTCCGCCGCAAGACATCAGCCTGGACACAGAGCCGAGTTTTGTACCTACAGGATACAACTGCATATTGTATGGTCACTTGGGTGGCATTGTGTGCTCTCCGATCGGCTTGCAGGCCACATGAAGGTGCGCGCCTCGAGAGATGCCCTTTCCCAATAGCTCTGTCCCGGCAGGTGGCGAGTGCCAGGAATTCGCCGGACCCAGCCTGCCAGCGTACGAGTACCGTTGGGGTTCATGTGCTCTCGAGCCAACCAACAGTTCCATCGAGCCACTTGATTCCCGGGCGAGGAACACGATAGCTAATACCCATCTCCCAGACTCTCCCCTTCTGAACACTGAACACTTGATTGCCGAGACAGACCCCTTGCGCAGCGCATCAAGCGACAAGCACAGTGTGTTCCACCGGACCGCACCGGACCACACCAACATCTGCCTCGGTGGGCGAAATGGTGGAGAAGACTTCTCAGCAACAGAATTAGACTTACTTTTGTCGCCGCCTATATTGCGCCTTTCCTCAACGACTTCTCTTCTGCCGTCGCCCCTCGAGCCGTGAACCCCTCGGGCTCAGACATCGCTGCCGCTCGCGAATTTGGCCGACCGCCCGAGCACGATCGTATCGCTTAAGCACAATATCAAAGGGCAATGGACGAGTCGTTCGAAACACACTTAGGCTCTGCCGCGGCATTTGCTGCCTCGGCCGGCCGAGCAGCGCACCCGTCCCTCTCCGGCCTGTTCACCGCAGTGGAGACGATTTCGCGTGCCACTTCACCAGGTCTTCCATGTGGCGAGCACCAGAATGAAGAGGACAAGAAGCGTTATCGACCCCGCACCTTCAGCTACTTCCGGCTGCTCCCCTTTGAGGTCGAGGACGACGCGCACCGGGATGCTGCCCTTCGCGGCATCCTTAGGAACCTCTACACATCCATAATGGCTGAGGACTTCTCCCCCGGGGCAATGCATTGGACGCGCGAGCTTCAAGGGTGGCTGAATCTCAAATTCGAAATGACAAGAGACCTCCGCGCTCGCTTGGTTCACTTGTACTACCATCTTGCTCTGGCCCCCGGTCTAGACTTCACCAGCGCGGACCGCTTTTCGCGTATGGTTATAACGCTGACCAGGTTAGATTCACGGCGTGTCCCACCAACCATGCGCACTTTTTTGGATACTGACGGGTCAAAATTCTAGGAAAAAGCATTACCTGAGACCTGGCGAAGACCTCACCCTCGACTGGCGGCCGTTATGGAAGGAGATCAAGGCTCTGGTCTTACCGCAGGAAGGTGCCTCGCACCAGTCTATGAGGAGACGAGCGCAAAAACATCTTTTGAAGTTATGTTTGCACACAAGCTCTTACTTTGATCCAGCAGAGCGGCGGGCTATTCTGGAGGAGGTGCTTCCCTATTTCAGCACCTCGGCCACCATGTCAAACGCCTACATTGTCGTCGGTGTCCTCAACGCGATGTTGCCCACCGGCCCCGCACCGCCCACTGAGCCACAATCACAGCCATCAGACTTCGTTCCGACCTTCTTCCACTTATGGTCTCTCATGACGCGGTCGAAGGTCTTCGACGTTTGTTTCATTGACATCTTCTCGCGCATGGCTCGGGACTACATGGGCTGCACCCATGTTCCCTTTACTGAACATGGCATCTTCACCCGCGAGCAGTCTGACCTTATCTTCACGGCCATCCTGAGATTGACTGAGATTCCCGTCGGCCAAGCCAATTCGCCGTACAGTAGTCTCGATTACGCTTCAGGGTTAGGTGCTTATTTTGAGAAGGATAGGAAGAAGTACCCTGTCCCGTACATGATCGCGCGCTGGATCACACACTCCATGTCACCTCTGTGCCTAGGGCGGGAGAGCTCTGTTCTGGCCAACCTCGAAGGGCTGATGGAGTCCATTGACACATTCTTCCACCCGTCGAACCAAGGGTCATGGACGGTTTTCCTGGCCCAGCTTACGTTCTTCTTGACGGACATCTTCGTCTCGCGCTGGAACCGCGAGCAGAGCGGCGAGCTGGACGTGCCCCCAGAACGCAAGATAAACGACGAGTTGAAGAAGCGTTTTGTTCTCTCCCTTAAGGAAGTGACCTTCATGGGCCTCTTCTCCAAGAGTAGCAAAGTCGTCAACTACTATTACTCGGCCCTGCAAGGGCTCGCCTACCTGGAACCAGACCTGATGCTGCCTGGCGCTCTCCAGCGGTTCTACCCCAGCCTGCAGGGGCTCGTCGAGGTCCACCGGACGACATCTAGTCTTTGCGGCCTACAGGTGGTCGCCAACATCATGTCGAAGCACAAGGGGTACCGCTGCCATATCACCGCCTTACTGGCGCTTGCGCTCCCTGGGATTGATGCGAACGATTTGGGCAAGACGCAATACACGCTCAACTTCATCCAGAGCGTGGCTTACAGCATCCCATTCGTCCCATTGGTCCATGAGGGTGATGACATCCACGACACGAGCCTTGCGATGCAATGGGTGCAGGCCGAGATGGAGAGAATGGAGCGTGAGGGGCAGGATGTCAAGATATGCTACAGGGAAGAGCTGTCAGACGAGGATGAGGCCCGGATTCTGCGCTCTTCAACTGCGGGCCTGGGCGAGTTCGTCTTGGCACTGCTGGGCAAGGTCTTCGCCTTGCTGGAGAACCTCCCGGATTCAAGCCATCTCCGCACGGGCTCCCCGGAGGACAATGTCATAAACACGCTCCCCGCAGCTCTCACGCCCCTCTTCGCTTCGCTTTCTCCAGAGCTTTTCGACATGGCCTTGGAGAAGCTGGCGGCATTCGTTTCCAGCCACGTCGTCCACCAAGCTCGTGATGCGATGGCTTGGATCTGCAACGCCCTGTGCAAGGTCAACCCTAAGAAGACCCTGAAGGTGTTCATTCCCATGCTGATCGTCAACATCCGCAACGAGATTGATTATAACGGCGCAGCATCGGACCGGAGCAGTGGCACCGAGGTGCTCCCTAGGGATCGGGCGCTTGTCTGGCACGTCAGCATGTTGAGTATGTGCGTCGTTCATGTCGGCGCGGAGGTCTTGAAGTACAAGAAGGAACTCTTCGAAATCGCGCAGTACATGCAGGAGAAGTGCCGGGGATTGCCCACGATCCATATCTCCAATTACATCCACCATCTGCTCCTCAACCTGACGCACACTTACCCTATTGACAACGGGCTCTATGAACCAGACGTCATCGCTCGCGGCCTGAGCATCCATGACTGGGGTCGCACAACGGCCCCGTCGGAGCTCACCATAAAATGGCACCGCCCGTCGCCTGCCGAGATCCTCTTCGCGGTGGAACTCTTCGAGAGTCAGACAAGAAGCGCCGTGGAGAGGCTTGAGCAACTCATGAGCGACAATCCGCCAGTCAGCAGGAAAGGGAAGAACAAGGAATGGTCGGATGAGGTATCGCGGAGTCTGACAGCCCTTCGGTTGATCATCTCCGGCGTTGCTACCCTACTCGACCCGGCCCGCGCCTCCGGGGAAAAGACCAGCCAAGCCGCAAACGGTGATAGAAGGACAGATGGAGACGGTGACGCAATGATGGAGGAGGATGACGATCCGCTCGCCGAGGTCGCGGACGACGACGAGCTCAAGCGCCAGTTCCACTATCCCGCCGGATATCTTCTGAGTCCCGAAGACCCGGTGTACGACCGTATCCATGATCTGCGTGAGGATATCGGAAGGCTCCTTTCGAGGACCCACGCCTTCCTGAATGCGAACCAGGAGGACGATGTTGCATGTTTCACCGCGCTGTATGCAGCGTGCAGAACTTGGATCACGGATGTCGGCATCGAACGTTCCGCACATCCGCTCGAGCGACTTGTCCGGTTGTACAAGGCTGATATTTCACCCTTCAAGATCAGCGGACTGCGAAAGGTGTACCCGCGCCCGCTGCTCATCAAACGGGCCGATGCATACCAACTCCAGCGAGTCAAGTATAACTCGGCCTATCGCAAGAAGAGCGAGCTGGATAAGCAGCTGCTTCTCGACCTCGCTGAGTCTTGCACATCCTCGTATGCAGACGTGCGCCGCGTAGCACAGGGCGCCCAGGAGTCCTCGCTCAAGGTGCTCCTGGGAGGCCGGCCACTCGTCATCCCCGTGATTCTGGACAGGCTGCGCAAAGCGCTCGAGAATAACGACCACGACCGCATCAAGGGAGCAATGTACACGCTGCTCTTCACGACTCTGATCAAGACGGCCATGCGGGACTGGCGATTCGCCCCAGACCTCATGCGACTGTACATCCAGACCGCGTCTGTCGACAAGGCGTCAATCCAGAACCTCGGGTCTTCCGCCCTGTATTCGCTTCTCGAGTTTGGAAAGCCCCTTGAGCGCATGATCATCTTTGACCGGGATGTCGTTGAGACTATTCACCCCGCTGAGGACTGTTCGGCCACGATCAAGCGCCGAAACGACTTCATCAAGGAACGTCGCAAAAAGGTTGAGGCGAAAAAGGCCTCCCTGGGCGTGGAGCTCACCAAGAAGGCGCGCGAGTCCCACTGGAAGATCGCAAACAGGTGCACGATATTCGCGCTGAATCTATCCTTGCGATTCGATACTCTCGCCGACCCGGAATTCGTCGACCTCGTAGCCAGGGGCGCCAACGACCAGCACCCTAGTCTGAGGTCTAATTTCTCGTCGGCCTTCTCAACCATCTTCGCGGCTGTCGACATGCGAGCCGTGTACGGTCACGACTATAAGAAGTTCCTGACCGAGGACGAGATCGACGAGAACAAGTTCGAGATCTCAGTGCCCAGTGACGACCCCCTCGTGACCGAGAAGTTCCTAGCTCAGTTCGAGAAGTATGATGACGACCCCGACTACTTTGTTGACAGCGACTACGCAGGGTGGTTGGTGTGGGGGAAAAAGATCACGGTCTTCCGCGCCAACCCCAAGCCGTTCCTAGCATACGACGAGCTCGAAGAGAAGGTGCGGGACCAACTCGGACAGATCATCACCAAGGACTGGTTCAAGACATGCTTCGGCTATCTCAAGCAGGAGCCGAGGGACGCTGGGGCGGATCGCTTCCGGATGCAGAATCTCATTCTCCTTATGAACGTTTTCGATTTGATGCACTACGGCAAGACGGTCGCCACGTTTGACGACGTTGTGGAGTTGGTCAAGGAGGTCTATGGGGACGGCAGCGATAAGCACCAGCACCGGGCGACCGCCGAGATCCTCGGGGCGTTGCTTACGGGAAGCATTGACGACCCCAAAGAGATACGGGACCGCGTCTGGGGCTTCGCCGCTCCGATGATGCTCAAAATCATCGCGGATGACCTGACCCCTGACAACCTGCCACACTGGATGACATGTTTGCATGTCATCATCGACGGGAAGGATCCCCGACGGTCCCGGGAACTGACCGAAGCGTTGGCATCGTTCCGGCTTGACAGGAACTCGAATGCGGCCTTCAAGGAGTCGTCCAAGGTACAGCTCATCGAGTTCATCATTAATGATGCCGGGTGGCATTTCCGTCACGAGAAGCCGGTGCTTGAAGACTGCCTTGCGCACCTGGACCACCCATACAAATCGGTGCGGGAGTCCATCGGTAGGATCATCGCCACCATCTACCGCACGCGGTACCACGAGTCCTTCAAGGACGTGTCGACCCTGCTTGAGCTGAACAAGGCCGAGTCCTCGATCGGCATTCGCGCCTACCAGCCTTCCGAAGAGTTCTCCGCCACCATCAGGGACGTGTTCGCCCGCCTCGAGAAGTGGCGCCAAGAGCGGACTCCAGGGCAACAAACGCCCTCCAGCTATACCTCGGGCTCGAAGACGGTGCTTATCTGGCTCGACAACATGCTATCCTCGCACGAATGCATGCAGCTCGTGCCCTTCTTCCCGGACCCATTCATCGACCAGCTCCTGCATATGATGGACGTCAAGGAAGACCCGGAGCTCATGAAGCTCGCCTACCACGTCTACCGGCACCTGCCCAACATCCCCTTCCGCTCGGGCGAAGACGACGCCTTCATCGCGGCCCTCATCCGCGTCGGCAAGACGGCTGCTTCGTGGCACCAGCGCTTGCGCGCCCTCGTCAACATGCAGGTCGTCTACTTCCGCCGCCTGTTTCTCACACAGCCGCAGCAGCGCCAGATGCTGTTCGACGCGGTCGGCGACATGCTCGGGGACCCGCAGCTCGAGGTCCGCGACTGTGCCAGCGCCACCCTGGCCGGCATGATCCGCTGCTCGCCCGCGTCCATCCGGAACCCGATCATCTACCAGCTGAAGGACCGCTTCGAGCGCGAGCTGCAGCTGAATCCGATGCCCAAAAAGAAGGTGCCAGGTACCGACACACCCGTGGACCTCCAGAAGCAGATCGTGCGGCGGCACGCCGCCGTGCTGGGGCTTGGCGCGCTCATCGAGGCCTTCCCCTACGCCACCCCGCCGCCCAAGTGGATGCCCGAGGTACTGGCGCACTTGGCGTCGCGGGCCGCGAGCGACCCGGGCGTGGTGGGCAAGGCAACCAAGGCGATTTTGGCCGAGTTCAAGAAGACGAGGCAGGATAGCTGGGGAGTGGATCAGAAGGTTTGTTCTTTGTCTTCTTACTTTCTCCAACCCGCGGTGGTTTGTGACAGAGGTTGGATGTGCTAACTACTATGTGCTTCTTCAGTACTTCACAAGTGAGCAGCTCGAGGACTTGGAGGGCGTGCTCTGGAAGAGCTACTTTGCGTAAGCAGACGATAGAGGGTATGCTAGGGTTGGGGGGTGGCGGTGTGGCAGAAGCACAGCGGACTGTCTATGCAAGGATTAGCGCTAGAGATGAATACGTTGTTGTTAGTATAGCTCAAGAACAAGGGACGGGAGCATAACCAGATGCATATATGAATGCCCTCGTTGCATCGTGGGAAGTGTTGTTCGGGTGGGTGGGATGGCTTAATGAGGGGAGAAGGTTAGAATGGAAATTGGGCATTGATGCAAGGGTAGTTCTTCAAATAGGCCTGTGTATGACTATCAGTCGGTTATGTTTCCCCGATAGATGGCGAAGGCTGGGGGTGGTGCGGTGTTGGATGGACAAGGCCTGAAGAGCATTCGAATAACAACAGAGCGTTCTGTCTGACCAGAATCCTGAATGCAGCTGGGAATACACAGAAGAGCAATATTCTACTTGTTCCGGTTTGTGTGTAGCAATTCACTCATGGGTCAGAAGCACAAGACAAAAAGGGGGGTTCGCGAAACCCATACAACCAGACCAAAAAGATGACCGACCCAGGGATCGAACCTGGCACCTTCTCGGTGGGAAGAACCCCAGTTAAATTCAACTTTTTGTGAACGAGACGTGATAACCACTACACCAGTCGGCCGTTGGCTGAACGCGTCGGACTTTGAGTCTATCGCGGGGTGACTTGCCAGCTCGCCGTCTTTGTAACAAATGAATGCAGACAGGACGGCCATACCGGATGCTTTCGAAATCGGACAAGTTTCAATTCCAGAGTGGCAACAGTGGGCTTGTGAGATGATAGCCCTTGAAATCAGTTCCTTCCCACTATAGGTACTTGACTCAACGGTAATGAATGCTTCAGGTCTGACTTCATATGCCGTCATTGGTTCCTGAACTAAACCATCACAACCGGTGTGCACATAGCTGCTGGCCCCTGAGTGAATAGTACGGTGCTGGACAATTTGAATGTCGTGGCTAATATGATAAGATGAGGGGTTGTTGCGGCTCTTTACTGGGAAACTGGCGAAGTCGTCGGGCGGCGGAAGGATGGAGCTTGGAGGATATGTGATAATGAGAGGGAGTCTGACTCTGAGGGACCTGTGAAGAGAGAGAGGAGGAACGAGAACCGCAACCCCGACATCCATTAAATATCGAAAGTGTGACGGATACTACATGTTAGTTCCACGCTAACTTCCCTCTTGCTAAGCTTATTAATGATGTTAAAGTCCAGAGTGCCAGCCGAAAAGGATCATCTAGGTGGTTTGCCCCTTTCTTCTTTGGCTAGTTTACATTTGACAACGACAACCAATGCCCTTTGAACCATCCAGTGCTTGCAAAACTCACCAAGGTTCTTTATGGCCTCCGCATTCGTGTTGTGACAAAGCTCGCTGTTCTTTCCCCGTTTGGGCCAACGATCAGGCTCAAGTGCGAGGAGTTTGAGGACGGTGTTCCAGGATAGTAGGCCAACAGTGTCTAGATTGTTCTGGGGAAAGTTGCAGACCTCGGCTAATATCGCATACTGAGCCATTGAATAAATAGAATACCTATGTAACCGCGCTTGGCCTGTGGAGTAATTCATGATTCACGAAGAGGGGGTGTGATGTAGTGATGTCAGGGTGACGGAATAACGGGGGTGGAATCAGTGGATAGCACAAAACCATCATCCCACGAGCAGTTGCGATCGTCTTGAACTGCATACCATGAAAGCGAGGGGAAACTATTGGTTTCCACTCGTGGTGTGATCAAACATCATTATTTCTATGCGCCTCTAAGCTATAACAGATACATATTATCGGTGCAACATTGCGGGGAATAAGAGAAGTCCCCCTTTCTTCCTCAGCTTTGTAACCTACTTTGTCAATAGTAGACCAACTAGGGCTCCTAAAGTCGAAACATCGTGCACCATCACACAACATGTCCAGCAAACAAGAAGTCTTGGAAGCCATCAAACAGCTCTCGGACAAGAACCTTGACACTGAAGTCCGGGCAACCGGTTTCAAGGAGGAGCTTGAAGAGGCACGTATTCCGTTCCACTTCCGATGTATACGGTCTGTCGCATAGTAAAGAGTCCTGAGTCGCAATGCTCTACCGGTTATCTAGGCAATCCGCGGACACATCCACATCGAGCTCCAGGCCTGGTTCTTCTTCCGAAAGCTCAGCAACGATTGCGGCCGGTCGAACGTGGCACTGCATGGGTTCGGCACGTACGTCTCCCTGCTGGAACCACTATCATCATGAACTACGTACTCGGTAAAACCTCGCTGACTCATGGGATCGATCCTTCAAGTCTCTGGAAGCGCTCCATGGTGGAATGCCTCGCCGACGCCAACTGGCTGGAGTCATACCTGTCCCAGCGGGGCGGCCGCTCCAGGCCCACTGCCATTGAGGCGCCGACGGTTTCCTGGCCCGACGACCCGGTAGATCCGGTGAGGCCGGTGTATGAGGCCCTGAAGGTTGAGAAGAACCTGCTTGAGGACCTGCAGCGGCTGTGCGCGACATGCAGCAAGTGGTATGTACCAAGATGGGTGTCACTCACTTATGCCATCAAGAGTTTGTCAGAAGGACAGCAGCTGACATGCCTACACATGACATGCAGCGGCGATGGTGCGGCCGAGGACGCTATCCAGACCCATTTCCTGCGTAAGGAGACGCGCCATGTGAAGGACATGGGCGATTTGCTGCAGCAGTGCGTGCGGGTGAGCAAGCAGGCCGGGCACGGACTGTACCATCTTGATAAGGAACTGAGGGAGAACAACGGGGTGGTGCCTTGGGGCATGCGAAACGACCCGGATACTCTCACCGAGGAGCTGTACAATGTGAATGTGTGATTGGAGGGGCCCGAGAGATGCAGGATCATCGGAGGTTCGGGCAGAATGGTTTTGTGTGTTCATGGCTTTTTGACCCCGAAACCATGCTAGTTTTTGAAAAGAATGTAAGTACTAGTATCGTGTATGCTGGGCAGAAGGGGAGCAACGGAAATCGAGGATTCATTCGGGACAGGAACTCGTTTGATCACTGCCTCATGCACCAGGTCTCCTAGGTTCTAAACAATCATGCCATTGTTCAGACAAATGAGACGAGAGACTGTACCAGATGTAGCCATGCAAATTGAAACCAACGGGGTCTGCTGACTTGAATATGCCGAATCCGGCGTCTCTATCAACATCTTTGTGACTTTGTCTACAATGACAGTGATAATATTCCTCAGAATGTCGGCACTCCTCCCGATGGATCAACATTGCATGCTCCCTTGACGATTTTGTATTGGAAGGAAGTAAGTCCTAAGAACGCAGCTGGCTTACAGATCGACTTCCAGTTTAGTGTTAATAAGGTAGCTGGGAGTTACGAGTTACCCCTGATACTAGTTCGACCACTAGTGGGCCATATGTATGCATTAAGCATTGCCATGACTGAGATCAAAGCTTAATTAACCACCATGAAAGCGAAGATAGAGTAAAGTCTTACCATTTTTACGTTACCCCGGGTAGAAACTGAAAATCACAGCTTGTTATCATGGTTTGAGCTCTAAGTCCGAGGTAGTCCGCCATTCTGGCTCCGGTGAGAACGATCTAAGAGCTAGAAACTAGGAGTAAATCGTTAGAAGGCTGAACTGTCATCGAGGTCTTCAGAGTTCAGAATAAACCATCACACAAGCAAAATCTCGCGTTTCGCACACTAGCAATTAATGACTTAGCAGGCCCGGGGCCAGCACTCGACCGAAGTTCTACGGTCGAGAACGCGTTCGCGTTCCCGGACCGGCGCTGCCTCCGTAACGGCTCTAAACGGCGCTGTGACGAAACCACAGGCAGTCCTGCCTCTGAAAGGGTTCGCCGGTCGAAGGTAACTGCTGGTCGGACTGTGTGTCTCGGTGAAGCCAAAAGGTTCACAACAATGCTTGCCGCAATGTCTGCATAATAGGTAGAGGCTATTGCTTGTAATTGCTCACTGAGGAAGCTAGCTATCTGAATGAGTGGCAGAATGGTAGAACTATATACAGCTTCCTCCCCTAGGTACCCCATACCTAGATCTTTGGAACATTTGGAACAATTGTTGTTCTTATTGTTCCATTTGGAACAACGTTCCTTGGCGTTGTTCCCCAGGAACAATCGTTCTTGGCATTGTTCCTGATTTCCCCAATCCTCATTGGTTCTTTCTGACTCGTAATGATTGGATACGGGCGCCGCCTGTTGACCATGCAGGTCGGCCCCCACCGGCCTCTGCAGGTTAGTTCATGACAATCTAGTATTTTAATAGGTATACTAAAGCTCGAACAGTTAGAGTTAATTGCCTCTTTATCCTTAACAGCTATAATAGCTACTATTCAACTAACTTCGAGCTCTATTATAAGGAGAATAATATTATTATACTCTATTGTTATGAACTAACCTGCAGAGGCCGGTGGGGGCCGACTTGCATGGTCGACGGGCGGCGCCCATATCTAATCATTACGAGTCAGAAAGGACCAATGAAGATTGAGGGGATTAGGAACAATGCCAAGAACGATTGTTCCTAGGGAACAACGCTAAGGAACATTGTTCCAGATAGAACAATGAGAACAATAATTGTTTCAAATGTTCCAGAGATCTAGGTACAAGATACCTAGGGGAGGAAGCTGTATATAGTTCTACCATTCTGCTACTCGTTCAGATAGCTAGCTTCCTCAGTGAGTAATTACAAGCAATAACCCCTACCTATTATGCAGATATTGTGACTAGCATTGTTGTGAACCTTTTAGCTTCACCGAGACCTATAGTCCGACTAGCAGATACCTTCGACCGGCGAACCCTTTCAGAGGCAAGACTGCCTATGGTTTCGTCACATCTATATATCTCCCTACTTATCTTATATCCTTTAGCTACTCCATATTAAGTATTTTAGCCTATTTAAGATAGTATATAGTAAGTAAACTAAGGAGTTAATATAGGTAAATATAATCTATATTACTAAGGAGAACTTCTTTCTTGAATTCTATACTATTTTCTAAGCTGCTCTAACCTCTAAAAACATTTAAGGAGGTTTTTAAGGTGCTAGACTTGCTCTTTTTAATCCTAAAAAAGTAATTTCATAGCTCGATATGACGAAACCATAGGCAGTCCTGCCTCTGAAAGGGTTCGCCGGTCGAAGGTATCTGCTGGTCGGACTATAGGTCTCGGTGAAGCCAAAAGGTTCACAACAATGCAAGTCGCAATGTCTGCACAGTAATATAGGGCTACCTTACTGCTTGTATTGCTCACTGGAGGACTCCCAGAGCCCTCCCTAACGAATGACTATATACTAGCTACTTTCCTGTGGACGCCCGTGCTCGCCGTCGTCCTCGAGCGTCCATGGTCGCTGGTGCTCGCCAGCGTCCTCGGGCGTCCATACGGTCGCTCTTGGACGCTGTCGTCCACCGGCGTCCGTGTGGGGCATCCTACGGCCTTACGCTTCCTGATTGGTAACCCCATCACCTGCATGGTCCCACTAGGTCGGGTTATATGGTTGGTTCGTAACACTCGATATCCGTCTAAAGACGCTAATGCTCTCGAACTTATAGCCTAATTATAACATAACTATAGATAGTCCTGTCTCTGAAAGAGTTCGCCGGTCGAAGGTATCTGCTAGTCAGACTATAGGTCTCAGTGAAGCTAAAAGGTTCACAACAATGCTATTCGCAATGTCTGCACAGTAAGGTAGGGCTACTCTACTGTTGTAATTGCTCACTGGAGAACTGCCAGAGTCCTCCAGAACGAGTGGCTATATACTAGCTATCTCCTTGAGTGCTCAGTGCTTCGATTTGGATGAGCACCGGGGTGCTCATCGTGATATGCCCCTGATCACTCTGATCGCTTATGTCCTGCAGAGTGCTCAGCGACATTGGCACCTTAGCGTCTTTGCCTGTCTCTGACTGGTCCGCCTGATTGTCCAAATGATTGGCTCGGGACGCCCCTGCGTCCCCACATACGGCCGTCTGCCCTGCAGCCTGCCGTTGGTTAATTCGTGACACAATTAGTGAGGTGGATCTTATCGGCAGCCGCGAAGGCCAAGCCTAGCGCCATACGCAGAGTAGTCTTGAGATATATTCCTAAAGACGATGTAAGACGTTTGACGTGATCGAATAGAGTGAGAGGGAATTGCGTGGTAACGAACATCGAGCTTAAGAACGTAACTTAAGCGAGGGTACTATGGAATATATCCTCAAGCAGTAGCAACACGGTGTCTAATGACCATAGATTGACAGCCTCTTCTCTGGAGGGAGAGAGGTCGACGCACGACGTCTCGCTATATAACGCCAAGGTTAGCGTGAGTAAGACTATTCCTATAGATGTTACATTGCAACGCGTCCGATCATCTGATGACAGGCAACCGAAAGCAAAACAGCAATGGAAGTGACATATAGTCTTGGCTCTCTGTATGGCGCTGACACATGCTCGCTGCTAAGAATCTTGCTAGCGCTGACATTCAGCCACCAGGGGAGAGCTGAGTGTGACTGGCCTGTGTGGATTATAGCTTACCGTGGTTAATTAGCCCACATCATACCCTCATTGCAAACGGGCACTTTCCCGTAGAGGCGGTTGCCCAGACAGCCCTAAAGGAGACTTGAACGTGCTTGCTTGCTAGGCACCAGCTTTCATGTCACCGGTCTAGTTGTCAGACATAGGATCTAGTCTCGGCAGACTCTGCTCAGGAACCTTTGCAGCTTCACCACTTACATTACGCGGTTTGCGAGCGTACAAGAGGAGGCGGAATGATCTAGATTTTGGTTCTTTCAGTATATCAAACCATTGGTAGAAATACCTGATGGAAGATGACCGCTTGGTTGACTAGTATCTCAATCAGGAAATTCTCCGGGTCATAGACGACGTTCTAGACCGCCGGTCACGCTGTGCCTGGAGTGTTCCCGGTCTCGTAAAGCCAAAGCTTTAAACGGCAGAAGTCCAGCTCGCTAGGGTTAGGGTGTTCTCGACTCTGGATGTCCATTGTCGGGGTTTATCTCGTACTCATTCCCCCAACGACAAAAGCGTGGGCATCTTACATATGGGGATGATGGGTGCAATTTCCTCCACCTCTCAACCTCGCGACTCGCCGAAGACCCGAAACTGCAACCCGATAAGCCATGCCTCTCGACCCTTCAGTAGCCACCCTGGTTCGGGTTCGAATCAGCAAACCCCCGACTGCGGCGATGGATTTCGAGGACATCATCGAGGAACTTGCCAAGGCAGCCAAGCCTCTCCTCGACGCTCCCGGTCACCGACAAAGCGCTTGGGGTTTGCTGCAGTCTGATCATGCCACCTTCATGCTGTGTTCATGTGAGTGCGTTCCTGCGTAGGACTTCCCTATTTCAAATTCCCAAGAACAGAGATCACTAATCATCACCCCCCGCTCCGCCAAGTCTGGGACGACCTCGCAGCCGTCAGCGGCTTCAGGACCTCGGCCGCAGCGGAGACAATGGGACACAACCTTGCCATCTTGGGAGATGACCACCCTGACGCTCCTTCGGTGGCGCTCACCACGGTAGACTTCGGAGGCAGCCTTGATTCGCAGGCAGTCTTGCGCCGCCACACTCAGATCCGCCGCGTGTACTTCCCGTCTCCGGTCTCGGACGCGGCGCGCACGGCCGTTCGGCGTCTCCCGGGACTTGTGTACCGCTATGGAGTGGGCATCTCGGGCCAGGATCGCCTTGGGAGGGATACGCAGAGGGCGTACCACAGGGTGCCGGCGGTCGGGTGGTTCGTGGCGGAGGAGATGCTGGGAGAACGTGCCGAGGAGGGGAGGGTTACAACGAAGCAATGGGACGGGAAGGAATGCGACGAGTTAGTGTGCGTTATGTTTTGGAAGGATGGGGAGCGTGAGCGGAAATTCTTGGAGGAAGAGCGGCTCCCCGTTACCGTACCCGGGAGTGAGCCAGGCACCGCGGTTTGGGTTCGCGACATGTCGTTGATGGAGGAGTGGGAGGGGAAACTGGAAGAGGCTGGTGCGGTGGGCTGGGAGGATGAATATGTGGATTTCTGTGTGGTTTGACACGGGCCAGATTTCTCTCCCTTACTTTTGTATTCCATTTTTCTGGTACTGGTTTAACATGCATGGACATTTCCTACATACACGAGGTAGGCAGGTAGTAAAGAGAGCCAAGGGCAGTACAACAGCAGTAAATTGGCGATCAAGGCAAAAGATATCGTCGTACAGAATGAGCTTCAACCGTCACCGTCCACGGTTCTCAGTCCCACTTTAGAGCAGCCTGTCAACCACACCGTTTTCATCGGGGTTAAAGTACTGGTTCCGCCGGTAGAAATACCAGGCCTGGAGGGCAAACCACGTGTACGACTCCGGGTTTCTGAGGATTCTTTGTAGCTGCGCCCTGTTTCCCCTGTTCGCGGCCCTGGCAGCACGGGTGGCAATTAGCCTCGTGTTGACGTCGCCCACAGCGTTGCCTACGGCGTTGTTGACTTGGACGTCGTCGGACTGCGCAGCGCCGAGAACAAGGTGGAACAGCCTATATGGAGGGTGTTAATGTCTTGTCCCATCGCCCACTTAAGGGTTGGTCGAATACTGTCAACTCACTCATGATACATGGTCAATGACGGAGGCGCGTAGCGCTGGAACCCGGGCCCATTCCCGCCATCGGCACCGAGACTTGCTGCTGGAGCCGACGCACCGGAGTTGAACGAGACGGGGCATAGAGTCATGGTGGCCGCATTGGGCGACTCGTCTTGGGTGGCGCCCAGGTTGCTTTCTCCGCAGTAGCTGCTAGTTCCATAGTCGAGATCGAGGACGTAGGTCCCGATCGACGCCGCGAAATAGGGGAGCAGGCCCGGGTTCTGTTGAAACCGCGTCGGGTATTGCTCCTGGATCAGCTTAAAGCGCGTACCGGTGCTCGTAGGAACCAGGATGAACGCTCCGTTCTGGTTTTGCACTGGGTTCGTCCATTGATGCTTGGCAAGCCAGGTATCGTCGCAAAATAACCAGGCTGGCTTCTGCGGATGGTCCGCGTTCTGGCCTCTGTCGAGGAAGTCACGTATGCGGCGGAATGTGTCTGGGGATCGAAACGGAAAAAAAAAATAATGTCAGTCATTCTCATATAGCTTGAGTGTGTCAGCAAGTCCGCTCCCCTATCCACTCACCAATGGCGACGCCACGATCAGCGTCGGTGAGGGCCGAGAGCCAGGTGGTGGCAGCCCGCTGAGCCTGGCCACGCTCATTTTCGCCAATGTCGGGTGTCGTCGAGATCGCGGCCCTCAGCATATTGATTGCGTCCGTGGTCATCTGATCAGCCTCGCTGAAAAAGCCGTTCAGCTGATTTATGCGGGCTTCGCAGTTGCCGCCCGTGTTGGGTCTTGCAAGATTGAAAGCTGCCCGGATGTCGACCAGAGCAAAGGACATGCATGGGAAGAAGAGGATGAGGGCGCGCAAGCACTGCCATGGCGTAAGGAAAGGTCCTGCCATCACGGCGTCTCTAGATGCGGGCCTTAGCGAGGTATCACTGGTATGTCGACAGCATGAGAGAGGAGGGAAGCCAGGGAGCTGTCATATGGCCTCGAGGATGGTCTAGTATTCCATAGTTTACGTCCGAGGTCAACTCAAGGACCTAACCTTTCTCCTATGCCGCGATGAGACGGGTTATTGCTAATCATGCCAATGTAACCCACAACTCCGACAAGTCTCGGAATGAAAAATCCTCGAGCACGACAAGATTGTCACTCATACTCAGACGAAGATGTCCCAAGACTCCCGGTCCGAATACTTTTGCATCTATTGCTTTCTGGCTTACCTGCGGATAGTAACCGCACGCAGGCTGCCACCATTCTAGCCAATAGCGAGGACAAGGACATTGTTAGTGTGCTCATGAGGCTTTGTGGCCTTACTGATCATCGACCGGCGATAGTGATTCTTCGGGTCGCTCCATGTAAGTGTTGCCTAGGGCGTCAGCGTGGGGTAGTGTCCCCTTGTCAATATCATCAGCCCAGCCGTCAGCGTTGGGTAGTAGTACCCTCCCAAAGGAACTCAGCCAAGCGCCATCTTACGGGACGCCCAGGCACGGGAAGGCTTGAACACTTAGTAACAACACTGGTCTAAACGCACCTTCTAATTTGTCGTGATCTCATTGTAGAAGAAGGAGGGTTAATTAGCTTCGCGATGCCGGGGTCGGCGGAGCAGCAATATGCGGACTAATGGATGGCCAGGTCACACCGGATGCTCGTAGTAGAATTGGTCTCCGTTGGGATGGGAGGAAAATACATCTACCAGTAGTCATGACATCACAATTGTATAAGCTGCTGTTGGACAACCTCTCGGTCAGCCACGGACGCCTTTATGAAGGCTCGGGCTGCTCACCATTCTCATCGTTTTCCAGGGAGCTAGCAATCAACCTCGCTACCCGACATGAGGCACTTCATTTTCACTGTGGCCTGCCTCGGCGCAGCTGTGAAGGCTCAAGGAAAGGTTTCACCACTCAGAATTCCAGGCATCTTTGTAAGTCATCACGGGATTCCATCGTACGTCGCCGCATTAGCTTATTAATGGACAATGGGATAGCCCCCGCCCGACTACATGGTGGACAACACCAACAACTTCCACGGAGTTGCCCCTGACAAGGGAACACTCAACGGTCCGATCGTCAACGCCACGGCGCAAGCGGACCTGCGAAACCAAAAGAGCAGTCCAAATGCCACTGCCGTGCACTTCACTACCGAGTATGCCGGAGACCTCCAGGCACGGCAGGACCACGAGTACTGGCTCGCCAACGTCCCTCACGGCATCATGCCCTACCAGAATAACCAGGGGTCCGACTACCAGTTCTACCGTAACGTCAAGGACTTTGGCGCCAAGGGCGACGGGGTGACGGACGACACCATCGCCATTAACCTGGCCGTGTCGTCGGGCAACCGCTGCGGCCTCCCGGAGAACTGCGGATCGACTACCGTCTCGGGGGCGCTCGTGTACTTCCCGCCGGGGACGTACGTGGTCAGCTCGCCCATCATCCAGTATTACTACACGCAGTTCGTCGGCGACCCACTGAACCGGCCTGTTATCAAGGGGGCGCCCGACTTCAGGGGCATTGCCCTCATTGACAGCGACGTCTACATCCCCGGCGGCAACGGTGCCGAGTGGTACATCAACCAGAACCAGTTCTACCGGCAGATCCGCAACATGGTGTTTGACCTGACAGCCATGAACGACACCAACCAGGACGGCGACCAGACGTTTGTGCCGACGGGCCTCCACTGGCAGGTGGCGCAGGCCACGTCGCTGCAGAACCTGCAGTTCATCATGCCGGACCCGCACTTCGGCCCGACCAGCACCGTCGGCATCTTCATGGAGAACGGCAGCGGCGGGTTCGTCAGCGACCTGGAGTTCATTGGCGGGAACATCGGCTTCCGGGCGGGCTCGCAGCAGTTCACGGCGCGGAACCTGCAGTTCTTCAACTGCGGCACGGCCATCAGCATGATCTGGGACTGGGGCTTCACCTGGAAGAGCGTCACCTTCACCAACTGCTTCGTGGCCATCGACTGCTCCGCGATGGGGCAGGGCCCGGACGCACAGGGGACGGGCTCCATCACGTTGCTCGACTCGTCCCTCGTTGCGGTGCCGTTCGCCGTCCCGGTCAACCCGAACTTCATCCCCAACTTCGTCATGGACAACGTCCAGATCCAGAACGTCGACTTCCTCGTCTTCCAACCAGGGTCGACCAACTACCTGGAGGGCCAGGCCGGGCCGATCACGATCCAGTCGTGGGCCATGGGCAAGCGGTATACCAGCGTCGACGGCGAGGGCGGCAGCGTCATCGGGTTTGTGTCCCCGGTGCCGGACAAGTCGCCGCTGCTGCTCGACGCAAACGGTAAGTTCTTCGAGCGCAGCAAGCCGCAGTACGAGAACTTCGGCGCCGGCAGCTTCCTGGTCGCCACCGACTTCCCCAATCTCCGCAACGACGGCACGGGCGACCAGTCCGGAGCCATCAACGGGTTTCTCGAGCTCGCGGCCAGCTCCGGGAACTTCGCCTTCTTCCCGGCCGGCGTCTACCGGGTGGAGTCCACCGTGCTTGTCCCGGCGGGTGTTGTCGTGATCGGCGAGGGCTGGTCGCAGATCATGGGCGCCGGGCCCAACTTCCAGGACGAGAACAACCCGCAGGTGGTGGTCCGCTTTGGCAATGCTGGCGACCGGGGCAGCATGGAGGTCAGCGACATGCTCTTCACGGTGGAAGGCCCCGCGCCGGGGGCCATTCTGGTCGAGTGGAACATCGCGCAGGGCGCGCAGGGCCAGGCCGCCATGTGGGACTGCCACTTCCGCGTGGGCGGCGCCATCGGGTCGCGGATGCAGCTGGAGAACTGCGCGAAGCTGAGCGGCCGGGTCCTGGACGAGTGCAAGGGCGCGTACATGCTGATGCACATCACCGAGCGGGCGTCGGGCTACTTCGAGAACATCTGGATGTGGACGGCCGACCACGACCTCGACAACCAACCGGCGGGGAGCAACACCACCGGCGCCGGCCAGATCGACATCTACACGGGCCGCGGCCTCCTCGTCGAGTCGCAGGGCCCCGTGTGGCTGTACGGCACCTCCTCCGAGCACAACATCTTCTACCAGTACCAGTTCTCCGGCGCGGCCAACATCTACTCGGGCCACATGCAGACCGAGACACCGTACTTCCAGCCCAGTCCGAATGCGCTGCAGGTCTACACGCCCACGGACTCGGACCCGTCCTTCGCCGACTGCGACAATGACGAGCACTGTGTCGAAGCCTACGCCCTGCGCGTGCTCGACTCCACGAACATCTACATCTACGGCGCCGGCTTCTACAGCTTCTTCGACTCGTACACGCAGGACTGCGTCCCGCTGGAAACGTGCCAGAACCGCCTCGTCGAGACCTCCTTCAGCGAGCGTGTTTGGCTCTACGATCTGTACACCAAAGGCTCGATCCAGGCAATCAGCCCCGCGGGCGGTGTGCCGGCGCCGGTTCTGCAGTCGGACGACGGGGTACAGCACGGGTTCACGACCGAGATCAGCGTCTGGCTGCCGCTGGCCCATGACGGCGCCGCGCAATTCGGCGCCAACCCCGACGGAGGCAGCGGCGGTGGCATCGTTTTCGTGGACCCGTCCATCTGGAACGGGACGGACCACACGGCAGCCTGCACTCCGCCGTGTCAAATCGTCCTGCCGCCGTTGAAGCTGCCGACGGCAGCGACCATCAGCTTCCCGCCGTACAGCACATCCATCAGCGAGATATGCGACGACGGGGGCGTGACGGTGCACTCAACCGTCATCAGCATTCCCCCAGTCACCACGACCAAGATCAACTACTGGAACGTCAACGTAACGACCGCGCCGACCACGTTGGTGGCCGAGTCCAGCATCCAGCAGACGCCCTTCGCCATCACGCAGGCCTGCAACGGCATGACCACGACATTCATCCCGCCGCCGTTCCCGCTCCAGACCAGCGACGCGACGAGGAACAATCCGACGGTCACTGTCACGTCCGGACCACCCGGGCCCACCTGCACCGGCGACTGCGGCGACAAGTGCCACCTCTTCTGCGACGGGCCGTGCCTCCTCTGCGCCGCCTGCCTCCCCTGCCTGCCCGGCGGATTTCCTCCCGGCGGACCTCCCGGCGGATTCCCTCCAGGTGGACCCGGAGGTGTCGGCGGCATCGAACCGTGCACCACCATCACGGCCTCGCAGTGCCACAGCGTCTGCAATCCGTCGCCGACGCCGAGCTGCAGCTCCACGTGCTCCTCGGTCCTCTCGTGCAACCCGGACGGGTCCGACGCCACCGAGACGGCCGCACCCATGGTGTCGGCGCCCATGGAGAGCTGGGGCCGCCCGGACACAGACGCTGCCGACGTCACCTCGGTGGGCGACGACATGGGCGACTTCCTCTCGTCCTTCTACGGCGCCTTCCCGCCCACAGCCACCACGACGGGCGGCGGCAGCGAGCCGACCGGCACGCCCTCGCTCGGCATCACGCTGTACTGGGTCAACCAGCTAGTGAATGGGCAGGACCTGACCTCGTACGTCATGCAGTACCGCAGCAACCCCTGCGACCGCGACCCGAACACGCTCTTCGAGCAGACCAACGTGCCTGGCTCGCCGCCGCCCAGCCAGGTCCTGGTGGGCGGCTTCGGCTTTGATCTGCCACCCAACGGGAACTCGTGTTCATGGGATAATGACAACCCCAGCGGGACGGGTGGTGTAATCTGTACGGAAGGGTCCGGCATCATCGTTCGCCATCCGTGCTTCAGGACTGCGGGCACGGGGACTTGCGGTGTGACGGGCGTGTTGGTGACGCGTTATGTGGCCCAGGTCGCGTGTTGATATGAAGAGTTTTTTTCGGAGACAAGAGATGTTGTTAGGTTTTTACTACTTCCATATCAGTGGCTTCCACGCCTATCCATTGCTGCGTCTGTTTGACGCCCTATCCCTTTACCCACTGCGACCGCAAAATCGCGGTCCACTGCCATATGCAGCGCCGTCGACCCGGCCACATCGTAGGCATCGAGATCCGGGCCCGCCTTGCGCTGGTCCAAGAGCAGGCGCAGCGCAACACGCTCTCGCGCCGGTGCAGGACGGCCAGATGCAGCGCCGACCGACGGTCGCGATCCACGTCACCAACCCGTGCACCGTATCCCAACAGCACCCGCACAACTGCTTCGTGGCCCCCAATGACGGCGTACATGAGTGCCGTCCGCCCGTCGGTATCCCGCTCGTTACAGTCCACCTGGCCCTGCTACAGCAGAAGCCGCACGACCCCGCTGGCTAAAGACATAGAGAATAGAGGCTTCGCGTTGCGAAAGCTATTACGCACCATAATACCTCTAACGGGACGCGGGACTCCTGCAACTCCCCAAGCCGCAATTCGAGTTGGTTAAAGTAATCCTGCAACAAGAAGAAAGGGCGCTCTATAACAAAGTTTTAGCATAGTACACTCGTAAAATTAACAAGGGTATTAGCTCTCGTGCTAAGATTAAGAAATAACGTATCTTATCAGCGAGCCGATCATATCAGCGAGCCGATCATATCAGCGAGCCGATCACTTTTTGCCGCAACGCGTCATTTTCACACCCAACATCAATTTTCTCTACAACCTAACATGCCTTCTCCTTCAAAAGAAGCCAGGGTAATCCTGGCACTTGAAGCTTGTCAAAACAACAAAAAACTAAGCCTCCGAGCCGCAGCTAAGCTCTACGACGTACCCTATACAACCCTCCATGACCGATCTACTGGCCGGCTTACACGACGCGATCTTCCAGCCAACTCGCATAAGCTCACCAATCTAGAAGAGAAGGCGATAGTTCAGTATGTGATTGAGCTATCTGTACGCGCATTCCCACCTAGACTAAGTAGGGTGGAAGATATGGCCAACCATCTGCTATACAAACACAGCGCACCCCCTATTGGCAAGCTCTAGGCACATCGGTTTGTTAAACGCCAGCCAGAGCTCTATATATATTATGCCCATCGATACGATTACCAGAGGGCTAAGTATGAGGATCTAAGGATTATTGGGGAGTGGTTTGCACTTGTACGAAACACTAAGGCCAAGTATAGCATTGTGGATAATAATATCTATAACTTTGACGAGACTAGGTTTATAATAGGTATGATCTGCCTAGGCATAGTAGTTATAACCTCGGATGGCCGTAGTAGGGCAAAACTAGCCCAGCCTAGTAATCGCGAATGGGCAACGGTAATCTAGGGAGTCAATACGCTTGGCTAGGCTATCCCGCCCTTCATTATCTTGGCTGCACAATACCACCTCGCCAACTAATATACCAAGTACAACCTCCCAGCAAACTAGCGCATTATAACTACCAACAACGGCTGGACTACCAATACGGCAGGCCTAGATTGGATCAAGCACTTTGACTTCTATATAATACCTTGTATAAAGGGCAAAAAGCGGTTGTTGATCCTCGACGGCTACAAAAGCCACCACTCTACCGAATTCGAGCTCTACTGCCAGGAGAATAACATTATCATATTCTACATACCTCTATATTCCTCCCATAAGCTCTAGCTACTCGATATTAGCTGTTTTAGGCTATTGAAACAGTCATATAGTCGCTAGATTAAGGACTTAATACATGTATATATCAACTACATCAGCAAGCTCGAGTTCCTCTATAGCTTTTATAAGGCCTTCTTTGCTTCTATAATAGAGAAGAATATATAGGGTAGCTTTATAGAGGCTAGCCTAGTACTATATAATCCAGAAAGGGTCCTTTCTATGCTAGACGTAAAGCTTTATATACCGACACCTCTAACCTTACAACCTAGCACTATACAATCTTGGGTCTTCCAAACACTATATAACCCCTAAGAAGCCGAATCGCAGTTAACATTTATCAAGACTCATATTGCCAACCATGAAAACAGCTCTCCAACTTTAATACTAGGTGCTATAGATTAACTTACTAAGGGTACGATAGCTATAATGCACCAGGTGGCCCTCCTTCGGTCAGAGGTCTCTTCGCTCTATAAGGCTAACGAGGCACTAAGCAAGCGCCAGAGAGCCAAAAGAACATATATATAGCTTGGAGGATCACTTACAGTATAGGATGCAAAGAATCTACTAGACCAAAAGGCCGTAGTTAGGGAGGTAGTACAAGAAACGCAGCCGGACGGTCGTGGTATAGGGGGGGGTTGTACGAAGGTTCGGTGCTATGGTGTGTGCGGCAAGCCTGGCCATAATGTACGTACGTGCCAGGAGGTTGTAGAAGGGTCTGATTCAGCTGTTTCTAATGTAATTATAGTTAGTTCCTAGTGTTAGTGTATTATAATTGAGGATAGATGTTTTGGTGTGGTGGAAATTGATCGGCTCGCTGATATAATCAGCTCGCTGATATGATCGGCTCGCTGATAAGATACGTTACGCTATTTCATTTATAGCTAACGTATATTATCAGCGAGCGGGACATATCAGCGAGCGGGACATATCAGCGAGCGGGACATATCAGCGAGCGGGACATATCAGCGAGCGGGACATATCAGCGAGCGGGACATATCAGCGAGCGGGACATATCAGCGAGCGGGACATATCAGCGAGCGGGACATATCAGCGAGCGGGACATATCAGCGAGCGGGACATATTAGCGAGCAGGACACTCTCCACTACTCTATAACAACTACTCTCAATTGCAATGCAACAACACTAAGAACTAACTACAATTACATCAGAAACAAATGAATCAGACCCTTCTGCACCCTCCTGGCAAGTGCGGGCATTATAACCAGGCTTGCCGCACATACCACAGCACCGAACCTTCGTACGATCCCCCCAGCACCACTACCATCCAGCTGTGTTTCTTGCATTACCTCCCCACCTATAGCCCCCTGGCTTACCACCTCCTATACCTCCTGCACAGTAAGTGATCCTCCAAGCCGCACACGTGTTTTTTTGGCTCTCTGGCGCTTGCTTAGCGCCTCGTTAGCCTTACGGAGCAAAGATACCTCTGCCTGAAGGAGAGCCACCTAGTGCATTACAGCTATCGTACTCTTGGTAAGCTGGTCTACAGTAGCCAACATTGAAGTCAGGGAGCTATTTTGATAGTTGGCAATGCGAGTCTTAATAAGCGTTGACTGTGACTTGGCTTCTCGAGAGTTGTATAGTGTCTGGAAGACCTAAGATTATATAGTGCCCAGCCGTAAAGTTGGGGGTATTGGTATACGAAGCTTGATATCTAGCTTCGAAAGCACCCTCTCTAGATCGTACAGTACAAGGCCAGCCCCTATAAAACCACCCTATATATTTCTCTTAGTAATAGAGGTAAAGAAGGCTATGTGAAAGGTATAAAGAAACTTGAGCTTGCTTATATAGTTGATATATACATATATTAAGTCCTCGATCTAGCGACTATACACCTACTTTAACGGCTTAAAGCAGCTAACATCAAGTGGCTGGAGGATGTAGGAGGAATATAGAGGCATATAGAGCGTGATAATATTATTCTACTAGTAGTAGAGCTTGAACTCGGTTGAATAGTGGCTTTGGTAGCTATCGAGGATTAACAACCAGTATTTGCCCTTTGTCCGAGGCGCTATATAGTAGTCGAAGTGCTTGATCTAATCAAGGCCTACTATATTAGTGGTCCAGCTATTGTTGGTGGTTACAATATACCAGTCAGCTAGGAAGTTGCACTCAGTATACCAGTTAGCAAGATAGTACTGCGCCGCTAAGATAATGAATGGAGGGATAGCCCAGCTAAGGGCATTAACGCCTTAGATCATCGTCGCCCATTCATGGTTGCCAGGCTAGGCTAGCTTCGCCTTGCTATAGCTATCCAAGGTTGTAACCACTATGCTCGAGAAAATAATGCCCATTATAAACCCAGTCTCGTCGAAGTTATAGATATCGTCATATACGATACTATACTTAGCCTTAACGTTCCGTATAAGAGCAAACTACTCGCAAATGACCTTTAGATCCTCGCACTTTACCCTCTAGTAGTCGTATCTTCGCGAATAACACGTATAGAGCTCTAGCTGGCGTTTGACAAACCGATACACCCAGAGCTTGCCGACAAAGGGCACATCACGTACACGTAATAGTTGGTTGGCCATATCTTCTATACCACTCAATTTTGATAGAAATGCTCATATAGATAACTCAATAATATATTAAACAATAGCCTCCTCTTCAGATTAGGTAAGCTTCTTCGAATTGGCTGGAAGATCGCATCGTATAGGCTAGCCGATATATCGGTAGCTAAGAGTTAAAACTAGCACGTTATAGAGCTTAGCCGCAGCTCGAAGGCTTAATTCTATATCATTTTCAAGAGCTTTGAGGGCCAAGGCTACTCTAGCTTCCTTTGAAGTAGAAGACATCTTTAGTTGTAGGAAAAACGCATTGTTAGAGATAGATAAGGAAGGATGCGTTATGCTAAGAAATTAGTATCCCGCTCGCTGATATGTCTCGCTCGCTAATAATATACATTATAATAAAGCTTTAAAGGCTCTATTATTATAGAGCTTATATCTCCTTATTAGTAATAAATTCTAATATCGAGATTAGGCTTAGGCTTAATATTAAATTAGATTAACATAGGTATATAGCAAAAGTTATATATATGCGAAAGTTACACTAAACTATACCCTCTCAACTAAATCTATATTAATTCTATCCAACTATCTTAAAACAAATGAAACTACTCGGAATCGTCTTCCTCCGACGTTTCTATAACTATCTCATAGGTACGTGTATTGTGGCCTGGTTCACTGTAGTTGCTACAACGCCGTGTATACGTCTCAATCCTCGGCTTCTGACTACTACCCGCCTACGTTTCCTCCTTTATGTGTACCTTAACCTCTCTCTGACTCTCTAAATCCTATATATCCTGTATAGAAAGCGATCCTCCTTGCTGCAGCTATTGTTTTTTAGCTCTTCGGCGTTTACTTAGCGCCTTATTTATAGCTCGGAGGTTCTAGTTCTCTGCCTATAATAATGCTAACTGATGTATGACCTTGGATATCCCTTTTATAAATATATTAACCGCCCTTAAAATCTCAGTTAGAGAGCTATTTTAATACCGGGCAATTCGATTCTTGATAAGAGTAGACTATAAGAAGGCTTCTATTAAGTTATTTAGGGTCTTAGAAACCTAGGCGTAGGTACTGCCAGGCTATAAATTTAAGGGTATTAGAGTATTTAGACGGATATCAAGCTATAAGATTATTCTCTTAGGATTAAAAGGAATAAGTCTAGCACTTTGAAAACCTCCTTGAATATTTTTAGGGGTTAGGGTGGCTTGGAAAGCAGTGTAGAATATAGGAAAGAAGTCCTCTTTAATAATATAGGTTATACTTACCTATATCTACCCCTCGATTTGCTTGCTATATACTATCTTAAGTAGGTTAAAACACCTAATATCGAGCGGCTAGAGGATGTAAGATAAGTGGGGAGGTATAGAGTATAATAATATTATTCTCCTTATAATAGAGTTCGAAGTTAGTCGAATAGTGGCTATCGTAGCCGTCGAGGACAAAGAGGCGATAAATCCTAACTGTTCGAGCTTTAGTATACCTATTAAAATACTAGGTCTATTCTAGGCCTCTTTTATTAATTATCTAACCGTTTTTAGAAGTTATAATGACCTAGTTCTTAGATAATAGGCTATTTTTATACTAAGAGAAGAGATAATACTTGCCCTTAACAATAATAAACGGTGGGATTGCCTAGCTAGTAGCATTGGCGCCCTGGATTACTATTGCCCACTTGCGATTGCCCGGCTATTTTGACTTTGCCCTCTTATACTATTCGGAGCTTATAATAACCATCGTAATCGAGATAACACCTATCTAAAACCTAGTCTCGTCAAAGTTATAGATATCTACCTCTTGGATACTATACTTCGCGATTATATTCCATATAAGCGTAAAATAACTGCAAATAATCTCTAGATCTTTATATTAGGCCCTCTGGTAATCGTATTTCCAATTAAAATATATAGTAAGCTCTAGGTACTGTTTAACGAAGGTTAAAGCTAAACGTATTCTAACGTATCCTATATCGCGTTTAGCAAGCAGTTGATTAGCTATATCTTCTATACTAGACAAGTAGGGAGGAAATCCTTTGGCGTCTAGGTCGAGGATATATTAAACAATAACAAATTCCTCTAAATTGGTCAATTTCTGAGAGTTAGCTTGAATATTGCGTCGTGACTACTAACCGCGTCGACGGCAGCTTAGCTTCATTAGGTCTATAGAGAAGATCCAAGCTATAGCTCTAAGACTTAATTTAGGATTATTCTCAAGAGCCTGGAGGGCCAAGATAATTTGGCTTTCGTCATTTTTCTAAGGCATGTTAGGTTATGGAGAAAGTAAGTATAGAAGTGAAATATTGCATTAGTGTGGTTTAGTATAACTTTCGCATGTATGTAACTTTCGCTATATACCTACGTTATAGTAGATATAACGTATCTTATCAGCGAGCCGATCATATCAGCGAGCCGATCAATTTCCACTATACCAAAACATCTATCCTCAATTACAATACACTAACACTAGGAACTAACTATAATTATATTAGAAACAGCTGAATCAGACCCTTCTACAACCTCCTAGCATGTACGTACATTATGACCAGGCTTGCCGCATATACTATAGCACCGAACCTTCGTACAACCCCTCCCTATACCACGACCGTCTGGCTGCGTTTCTTGTACTACCTCCCCAACTATGGCCTTCTAGTCTAGTAGATCCTTTGCATCCTATACTGCAAGTGATCTTCCAAGCTGTATGCGTATTCTTTTGGCTCTCCGGCGCTTGCTTAGTACCTTGTTGGCCTTACAGAGTAAAGAGACCTCTGACTGAAGGAGAGCTACCTGGTGCATTATAGCTATTGTACCCTTAGTAAGTTGATCCATAGCACCTAATATTAAAGTTAGAGAGCTGATTTAATGGTTGGCAATATAAGTCTTGATAAGTATTGACTGCGATTCGGCTTCTCGGGAGTTGTATAGTGTCTGGAAGACCCAAGATTATATAGTGCTAGGTTGTAAGATTAAAGGTATCAGTATACAAAGCTTTACGTCTAGCGTAGAAAGGACCCTCTCTAGATTGTATAGTACTAGGCTAGCCCTTGCAAAGCTACCCTATATGTTCTTCTCTATCATAGAAGTAAAGAAGGCCTTACAAAAGCCGTAGAGGAACTTGAGCTTGCTAATATAGTTAATATACATGCGTATTAAGTCCTTAATCTAGCGACCGTATAACTGTTTCAACGGCCTAAAGCAGCTAACATTGAGTGGCTGGAGCTTATAGGAGGAATATAGAGGTATATAGAGCGTGATAATATTATTCTCCTGGCAATAGAGCTCGAATTCAATAGAGTAGTGGCTTTTATAGCCGTCAAGGATCAACAACCACTTTTTGCCCTTTATACAAGGTGCTATATAGAAGTTGAAATGCTTGATCTAATCTAGGCCTGCCATATTAGTAGTCTAGCTATTATTAGTAGTTATAATATGCCAGTTTGCTAGGAGGTTGCACTTGGTATACCAGTTAGCGAGGTGGTATTGCACGGCCAAGATAATAAAGGGCGGGATAGCCCAGCCAAGCGTATTGACTCTCTAGATCACCGTTGCCCATTCGCAGTTACTAGGCTGGGCTAGTTTTGCCCTACTACAGCCATCCGAGGTTATAACTACTATGCCTGGGCAGATCATACCCATTATAAACCCGGTCTCATTAAAGTTATAGATATCATCATCTATAATGCTATACTTAGCCTTAGTGTTTCGTATAAGCGCAAACCACTCCCCAATAATCCTTGGATCCTCGTACTTAGCCCTCTGGTAATCATATCGACGGGCATAACGCGTATAGAGCTCTAGCTGGCGTTTAACAAACCGATATACTCAGAGCTTGCCAACAGGGAGCGCGCCGCGTTCGCGTAGCAGATAGTTGGCCATATCTTCCACCCCACTTAGTCTAGGTGGGAATACGCGTGCAGATAGCTCAATCATATACTGAACTATCGCCTTCTCTTCTAGATTGGTGAGCTTACGCAAGTTGGCTAGAAGATCGCGTCATGTAAGCCGGCCAGTAGATCGGTCATAGAGAGTTATATAGGGTACGTCGTAGAGCTTAGCTGCGGCTCGGAGGCTTAGTTTTTTGTTGTTTTGACAAGCTTCAAGTGCCAAGATTACCCTGGCTTCTTTTGAAGAAGGCATGTTAGGTTATAGAGAAAATTGATGTTGGGTGTGAAAATGACGTGTTGCGGCAAAAAGTGATCAGCTCGCTAATATGATTAGCTCGCTGATAAGATACGTTAGGCTATTAATTATTAAATTAAGTTACTTACTAAGGAAATTATCTAATAAATGACGAAATAGTAAATTTATATACCGCTTCCTCCCTTAGATATCCTTGTATCTAGACTTTTAAAATATTTAAAATAATTATAGTTCCCATTATTCTATCTAGAACAATTACTCTTGGCATTATTCCTAATCTCCCTAATTCTTATTAGTCCTCCTTAATCTATAATGATTAGATATAGGCGCTAGCTGCTAACTATTATAGGTCAGCCCCTACTAGCCTCTATAGGTTAATTTATAAAATTATAGCTATTAGTTTTGAACCTTTTTGAGCAGATAAACAACTTTTATAGGCAGAATCATGATTAACTGGCATAGTAGTACATAGTAAAATACTGCCACGTGACTGTATATGAGATTGTACAATGTGGGTTAATTAGCCTAGTTTCCCCAACTCGTATAGCATGACAGGGGATAGGCGGTCGGCATCCGCCACTCATAACACAGCAGAGGCTATCGCGGTCGGAAAAGCCGTTGCCTGCCGCTAGCGCACTCTATAATCCCCATTTGTAAGACCGGCTCATGAGTAAGCACAATGGTTGAATGAACTTCCATCAACGACGTCGTATCAATGCATCTTCCGTGCCATCTTTGGTCTGGGTCAAGGGAAAACGATTTTGACAAATACTGAGGTTTATTCGCTGTCGCGCCCAGGCCTGCCGTTTCTGTCAACTTAGGCAACTCGAATCTTGCTGTCGCCTCTGCTTCGTAGACCCACATCACTGATCACTCAACACAGTCAACACACCAAGAGAGCTGCAGATCACATGTTCAAGGGGCGTCCCAAACAGATCGGCCCGATGCGGTATTCTCATGGTGACCTTGCCATCCTCAGCGCCGAGGTTTACAATGACAGTCCAGCGTCTGGGCCGTTGACACGCCGAGTGGCAGCAAGACGGTCGCGCCCGTCCCCTCCGTCTTCTTCAACCTCCCCTGGCCCTGAGGAGGGTCCAAGAAAGCGTGCAAAGACAGGGCCAACAGGCCCCGCTGAGCCTGAGGAGGAGCAGAAGAAGAGGTCAAGGGGACGCCCGCGCTTGGACACCAAGGACGAGACAGCTGCTGACGTGAGTTGACCTTGGTTCCCCGCTGCGTCTCCTATCTCCACAAGACGGAGGAGGTTATCATCCGCATTGCCCGTCCATGGTCTATACTATGATGATGGTCATTCTGACACCGGCAGCAGCGGCGGCGGACCCAGATACGGCTTGCGCAAAGAGCGTACCGCAACCGCAAGGAGAATGCCATCCAGACCTTGGAACAGAGAGTCCAGCAGCTCAAGGATACCAACGAGGAGATGAGCAATGCGTTCATGCAGCTACACGACTTCGCGCTTAGCAATGGCCTGCTGGACAGGATTCCCGAGTTCGGCAGCCAACTGCGTGCCACAACGGAGAGATTCCTCTCCCTGGCACGCGAAGCAAGCGACGATGATGCCAAGGACGGCGACCCGAAGAGCGATGCCAGCAACAAACACCCTGAGTGTAGACCCGGCAGCGACGGTATCCAGTCCACCAACTCGCCCCCTCAGAGTGACAATGCGCCACCCACGGTGACAACGGCACCGGGAGAAAAGCCAACCCTCTTTGGAGGACTTATCATATCGAGCGAACCGAGTAGCCCCGGCCGAGCTGCACCTCCTTCAGCGACAGAAGCGGACTTCGGATCGATGACAGCTGCTGTGCCCATCTCCCTTTCCCAGCAACTTCCACCCTCGCCAACCTCCAACTTCAACCAGTACGAAGTCGTCACCCTCCCCACACCCGAGAACGCAAGCTTCTCCACCTTCCTCTCCTTCCCTCCCGACTTCGGCAACAGCAACAACAACACGACCAGCCTCGAAAGCGTCTTCGATCAACAGAACAACCAACAGCAGCATCTCCGTCCCACTTCCCGAACGACCGCCGCCCCATTAGCACCACCACCACCCCCATCATCATCAACATCAACATCAACCTCCTCGCCCTCACCATGGAACTATGCCCCGCCCCTCCCCAACACCTACGCACACACGCTCGAGTCCACCTTCGGCCGGCGCCTGCAGCGCTACACGCTAGAGCGCGCCTTCGTGCTCATCTCGCTGCCCCACCCGCCCGAGCACGTCGTGAGCCGCGTCTTCGGCTTCTGCCTGCTCTTCGAGTCGCGCGCGGCCATCCGGCGGCGCCTGCGCCGCGTGCTGGGCCATGACGCGCAGCAGAACCTGTCCAACTGGCAGTTCCCCTTCTTCCATCTCGGCGGGGCCGGGCGGCACAGCTTTGTTGATGTCTCGTCGTCGCCGTCGACGACGGCGGGAATGGGGATGGGGATGGGGATGGGGGGAATGAGGGTGGGGAATCAGGGGACTAGGGATGTGCTCAAGCCCGGGCAGACGGCCGGGTTTGGGGCCGGGCCGTTTACTGAGAATGTTAGTGCCGTCAGGGATGGCAGGTTGGATGGGGATATGAGGATGGAGTTGGAGGGGTTTGGCGGGGAGTACTTTGACTGTGACGAGGCCGAGATGTATCTGTATCAGAGGGGCGTGGTGATTCCCCCGGGGAGGATGTCATCACCGTGGATGTGGATGAGCGGCAGTTCAGGGACGATGATGGGTTCGAGGGCTCGTGGCACCAGCAGGCTGCTGATATGGTCGCTGCCGCGAGCGAGTTTGCTGCTACTGCTGGTGGTGGTGGTGGTGGTGGTGGTGGTTCGGGGCAGAGTAATCATTCTCCGTCGGGTGTGTCGCCTGCTTCGACCTCAACGACGACCCCGGGAAGTGGTGCAGGTGGTGCTCCCCGGTCACAGCAACAGCAGCTGCAGCAGGGGATAATCCTTGGCAACGGGTGGTGGAACGACCCGGTTGATCCGACGCTTCCAGACATGTTGTCACAGGGACAGGCATTCACAACCATGGCGGAGTCTTCATCGTCGGCGGCGGCATTTGCTCCGGCGTCTGACGGGAGCGGCATGCTTTCCTTTGGGGACGGCAGTGGCGGCTCCGGATTTGGTATGGGCGGTCCTGCCCAAGGCCCGGGGCGCCGGAGGGTCATTGTCGACGTTATGATGCTTGTGCAGGGTACGTGTTTGCGCTTCTGCTGGTCCTGTTTTGTGCTTCGGCAAGCTGACACGGTTCGTGCTCCAGAACTGACCAAGCGGGCGACCTGTCTCGGACGAACACCAGGGTTCCGGCAGAAGGATATCAACGCCGCGTTTTGGGCCTCGGTGCAGGTTGGTATAGTCTAGGGTATTGCAACCAGAACCAGAGATGGTGAACATAATGCAGTTGGTATATGTTTTACACAACAGGGCAGAGTCCTTGCCCAGGGTGATCATGCTACACGATCAGTACGTACGGGGCGTGTGCAGGCCTGCGAACCCGTCTATTGGCGGTGAGTCTGAGGGGAATCTCTTCCTTGACAGTCTTGATAGCCAGCAGCATTATGGCCTCGGTCGATGGTTGCGGCTTGACGTTATCAAGCAGTCACCGTCCTCTGTCTAACCCCAACACTTTGGGTTACAGCCTAAGCTGTCTTTGGAGTGTGTGTTTCCTCAGACTCTTCGGCTTCACCGGTTTCGCCGCCGACGCCACCCTGTTCTTTCTGCTGGTCCGTTGACTTCGTAGGTTTCCGCTTCCGTCGGGCCCAGACAGGCCGCGCCCACACCCTCAGCTGAGCCTCCTCGGGGTCCTTCCCCTCCTTCGCAAGTCGCTCCTTCTCCTCCTTCAGCGCCATGTCCTGCTCCGCCAGGACGATCTGCCACATGGCATTCGCTCTGGCAACGAGGTCCTGCCTCTCGCTCTCTGAGACCTGCATTTGGTTGACGACCGCGTCCCACAGCGTCTGCCTGTAGGTCGACTTGTCCCTCCGCCCGCCCTTTTTTACTGCCTCGGCGCCCCTCCCGCCTTTTCGAGCCAGCATTTCCGCGACCAGCTCCTCCCACTGATCCTCCGCCACGGCGGCGTCCAAGCCCTCGCCCTGCATCTCCATGATCTTGGCGATCCTCTTTTCCTTCCGCTGAGACTTTTGCCGGAGCACCCGCTCCAGGAAGCGCGGCTGCGGTTTCTTGAGCCGCAGGAACGGCACGCCCATCGTAGCGCCAAGCGTCGGCGGTTTCCGGACTCCGCTCGGAAAGGACGAGAGCGGGCGGGGCGGGGCCGCGGGGGCGTAGACAGGCGGCTCGCCGTCGGCCGATATTTTCTTGATCAGCGTCGGCCGCCCCTCGATCGGCGCGGTGGAGATGCGCTTGGACGCCTCGGCGGCGGCTTTCTCGCGGATGACCAGCACGCGGGCCTGGTTTTCGCGGAGGAAGCCGAGGACGGAGGTATGTTCCGGCGCCGATGGGTCGGCGGCGCGGGAGAGGAGGGTCAGGTAGCGGTAGCCATTCTTGAGGGCCGAGACGATCAGGCGGGGCGACGTGTCGCGCTTGTTGCGGCGGAAGCCGTTGCGGATGAGCGTCTTGATCGGGTTTGTCGGGCCCAGCGGGGAGGCGGTCGACAATTCACCTGGCAGGGGCACGCGCAGGCCCTGGCGGATGAGGGACCTGTAGAGGGCGAAGCCTGGGGATTTCGGAAGCGTGTGATTAGAGGCTGCATGGTGATTCGGGAGGGAGGACAATTCTAATTCTTACATGCTCGGCGGTGCCGCGAAGAGCGGGCGGGATTGAAGAATAACGGCATTCATCTGTTGCGAGCGCCGCACGAAATACGTCATGCGGCCCGGCCCGTTGGTTTTAGAGGTCTTACGTGAAATTTTGAGCTCGATTGCGGGCACGCGACCGGAATCAGATCTGCTGCGCGGCAGTCACGTGCCACACACCGGGCACTATCCGAAACGTGGTACGTAACTGAGTTTCTTGTAGGATATCAAGGTTATGATGAATAAGAGCAGCGTATGTGATTTGTGATAGCCAATGGGGCAGTCATTGGTAACTCCGTCCCTCTGTTGCACCTCCCTCTTCCTCCTGTGTGTGGCCGTTAACCCCATCGAGTTGCCACTGCCATAGATGTCAGCTTCAGACACGCCGGCGCAGACACAGTGGCACTACCCTCTATTGCCTTCTAAGATCTCCGATGTCTTCTGTTTCCTTCATTTGTAGACGTCGTACTTGGACCCCTCAGGGGGTTGCGGAAGTTTCTTATTTTCGTCCATGAATCTGGACTCCAGTCAGCGTCGTGCGAATCCCACTGCGACTGGAAATGCCCACTTACTTCCTTATCGCGATAAGAGCTGTCTCTAAGCTCAACGGATCCTCCTTCGGCCGGGGGTTCTTTGCCAACTCGGCCGCAATGCGGCTCCAATCTCGCAGGATGGCTACGTAGTTCTTGTCCACTTTGCCGTCGACCGGGCTTACGCCGGGGAGGTTGATCATGCTGACGAAGTGAATCTCAGGTGGCTCCTTGGGGTAGTCTGGGCCGCATTCCATCTTGAGCTCGTAGATTCGGTTCTCGTGGTTGCCCTATGTATGTTGCGGTAGGTTAGTCTAGGCGTCGTTTCAGGGCGGCGAAGGCAAGGCGCTCTGGCTTCATCACGGACATGGGGAGGGCCCCAGATGGTTCCTCGCCAGTGTGTCATATAAATGTCCTCGGGATCCTCCAGACCGTACGAGCAAGCACCTAGACACAGTCGGATTGGTCGGTCAGTAAATGCCTTGCTTACAACTCCGCGCGTGAGCCCTGTGACAAGGATAACTAGCTACCTGCGCCCATGCCCTTCTCACCCTTCTCCAGCTCGGCGAGGAGCTTGAAGTTCCGGGGAACTTGGGCAGCAGCCATGATTCCTCGTCCGCCGAGATGTTTCGTATTGCGTAAGGAACTTAAGAAGCTGCGCGGGTGTTGGCGATCAGCGCGGTAAGCAGAGTTGGACCCGACGCCTAGAATCTCTGGAACCGTTGGGCTGATGCTCGGCACCTAGGGCAGGCAGGTGGAGGGATGCGGGGCATGCAGGTCGGGCAATCCGCCAGTCAGCTGCACTGCGCAGGGCGGCTGAGATGGCGGTGTGAGATTCTGCCGTGCTTAGTCATCAGGCTCGTCCTTGGCACTGTTGGCAGTCGCTCGTTTGCAGCTGCACTTGGCAGCTGGGAATCTGCTTGGGATTCCCCTCGACAACACGCAATCGCCCATTCACGGGTAGCACCCCTGTTCTCCCGATATACACATGCCCCCGGGTTGCGATGTGATGTGAGCATCCCGACATCCATTTTGAGATGCGAATATGACCTCCCAGCTTCTGGCGTCTGAGCTCGCCAATCTCGTTCAAGAGAGCAAGCGAAAGCACAACGACCTGCGCCAGGTACGAACCCGCACTGTGCCACATATCTCCATCTCATGCTTGAAAGAGCCATCCAAGTCTCTGTGGTGTTCAGCATCACTGACGACAACAGGCCGCCGAAAAATCACTCGATGAGCTGAAGAGTATAAGGGCACCGTCAGAAGCTCAAATATCTGACGGTAATGCTGCCGTTTGCCCTATTCTTCTCTTCAGGCCCGAGCTTACACAGTGCCAGAACTCGCCCAGCGCCCAAACTTCGTCAACCCCTTTATCATTGCATGTGGCACCAAAAATGCGAAGTTCACTGGCATCGCCATCGTCTGTCTCCAGCGGCTTATTATCTCCCGGGCACTCCCACGGTCCCGATTAAGCCAGGTCCTTGAGGCGCTGCAGCAGGCAACGTCAGCAGGCCTCGATGTCCAGCTCAAAATCCTCCAAGCACTCCCTGCTTTGCTCGCCAACTATTCTGCCGATGTCAAGGGCGACCTACTGATCACCGCCTTGAACGTTTGCTTCATACTTCAGTCCAGCAAAAATGCCATCGTCAACAATACATCTGCTGCGACACTGCAGCAGCTGGTTGTCTCCGTCTTCGACAAGGTCGTGGCTGAGGACAGTGAGTGGGCCTCTCTTTCTTTCCACCGCTCCTTGTGATGTAGTTATCCTAAGACGTTCTAGAATCTGGCGTCGACTCACCTCCTGCTGGCGAAGTTCCCATGCGGAATGGCTCTGCTCCGCTCCGAGCCGCTGCCATGGATGCGTACAGGGTGAGTGTTGTCCAGGAATGAACTTGGCGGTGCTGTAAAGCTGATATCGTTAGATCTTCAACGACATCTGTCTGCTTACCGAAGGCCAACGACCTGAGTACCTCAGGTTCTCGGGGCTCGCCCAGACTTTTGGCCTAGAGTTGATAGAGTCGGTGCTGACGAACCACGCCGCGATCTTCACAACCCATGTTGAGCAGGCCGACATCCTACGTACGAGAGTGATGCCATTTGTCACCAGCGCACTCCGTAGCAGATTAAACTTCGCAACCAGCGTCCGCATCGTCCGCATACTCTACACACTCCTACGGCATCACCTCTCCATCCTGCCGTCAGAGAGCGGGGATGCCCTTGTGATCTTGACCCAGCTCCTTGACCAAGATACAACGGTCTGGAAGCGTTCGTTGTGCATGGAGGTGTTTCGGGGCATTTTCGCCGAGCACGCCCTACTTCGCCGCATTTTCATGCTCTTCGATGCGCAGGAAGGCCGGAAAAGCATCCTAAAGAACTTGACAGCCACGTTTGTCCGTGTCAGCACAGAAAAGCCATCGGTCATTGGCTTGGGTCATCAATCCACTATCCCTGTTTCCAGCTCCGGCGCTGGTCAGTCAAGCGACCAGGTAATGCTTGATGCGAGTGGCATGACTGGCATCATAGCTAGCTCGGTCAGTTCTGATGGCCACAACACCGGAATCAGCAACCATTGGAGCATCATGCGAGTTCCCTGCATCGACCAACTCGACAAAACCGAGGCCCCTACGATCCCTGAGTCTTATGTCTACAGCCTCACTCTGGCTTGTATCATGTCCCTGTCGGAAGGCCTTGCTAAGTTCATCCTTCCCCTCACTGCCCCGAGTGATGGCCGGAGAAGACGAGGCGCGAAGCAAGAGGTTGGACGCGACTCGCCTGCTCCTCAATCAGACGAAACCGCAGAAAAGCTGGAACGCTCCGCATCGTTCAAGAGGAACCCGGTGCCCGTTAACCCCTTAACACTCGAGAGCCACCCACTTTACCCAGAAGTCAGAGTCTGCGCCGGCTTCATCGACGAGTGTTGGCCCGCTATCCTCGCGACTTGCTCGACCTTCCTTTACGCTGCTCTGGATTCCGAGTACTACCATGGCCTTGTCCGGGCATTCCAAAAGTTCGCCCATGTTGCCGGTTTGCTGCAGCTGACAACTCCACGAGATGCGTTTCTGACCACTCTGGGAAAAGCCGCTGTTCCTCCAAACGTTGTGACCGCGTGCATGAATGCTGGCCCGATGCGGCCTCCGCCAAGCCCGGGAGTCACGGAAGGGACAGGAAACATCTTCAGCAATGCACGGGGATTGCTGAGCGTCGAGAGCCTCGTCAGCCCGACACTTGGGGTTGACAGGCAGAGACAGCATTCCATGGACATCAACAGTACCACCTTGAACACCCGGAACTTGCTCTGCTTGAGAGCTCTTCTGAACCTCGGCATCGCTCTAGGTCCGACGCTCTCCTCATCTTGGAGTATCGTATTGGAGACTCTACAGCAAGCCGACTTCGTCATGTTCTTTTCCGGGAAGGCCGCAGGGAGGACGCCACTGGCTGCTAAGGGTCCGGATCGCGAAGCTGAGCAGGAAGCGAGCGCCCTGCTCGCCAATTTCAACACAGAGATACGAGCGGTTGAGACGGCTGCGTCTCGTCTCTTTGAGAGCACGGTTGACTTTCCGAATGCAGCTTTTGTGGAGGTTGTAGAGGCAGTATGCAGCCTGATCCAACATAGCGAGCCAGCTTCAGAGGCGAGCAGCCGGCCCCAGTCACCGCCTTCTACACCCGGCCTTAAGATGGCTGTACTTCCCGGGAAGCGGGTGCTCAGCATCGCCTCGCCCGCTTCGGCAGGTCCAAACCAGGAGAACCAGTTTGCCTTGTCCAAGCTTGGTGACCTGGCGTCTATCAACATTGAACGGTTGCTCGCATATCCGCCCGAGGTGTCCGGTTGGACGCCATTGACGGCTGAGCTTATCAACACTCTGAGCTCAGGATTTAATACCGCTCCCGTCAGAGCGCGCGCGGCGGAAACACTCGTTCGTATTCTCCTGGAGGAAGCCAACGCTATCGCGTCTCAGCCAGAGGAAGTACGACACGAGATCCAGAGGCGGCTCCTTGAGGCATTCCGCGACTCCCTTCTTCCCCTACAGGCGCAGGACCGTGAAGCGTCTATTGCAAGCCATGCAGCGGACGTGGACATGCACAAGATTATCTTGGAAGGTCTCAAAAGTCTACTCGAGAATTGCGGCGAGTCATTAATAAGCGGCTGGGAGCTCACGTTCGAGATTATTGACACCATCTTCATTACCCGTAACCTCGGCACCGAAACCGAACGGGAGGTATCAGGTCAGAGAACTGCTGTCCTAACAAGGGCCGTCAAGCTTATACGGCCGTCGTTCGCATCACTGCAGCTGATATGCTCCGACTTTCTGCCTTCGCTGCCTAATACTTGCTTTCTCAACCTCGTCGATACCCTGTACAAATTCTGCACGCAAGATGACGAACTTAATGTGGCGTTGACAGTAGGTTTCAAAGATCAAGCGAACACATACTATCACTAACAAACCCATAGACTGTCACGTTTTTCTGGGCCATTTCGGATTTTCTCTCCGGGAAGAGCAAGTCCATGTCCATTACAGAAGAGATGATGCAGGACTCTGCAGACAACACGTTGATTCGAATTGCATCGCAGCCGTTCGAGGACGGGTCGGCCGCCGCGCTATGGATGCTTCTTCTCCTGAGGCTTACCTCTGTGGCGACGGACCAAAGACTAGAGCTCAGGAACAGTGAGTGGCCACGCTGCCTCTAGCCATATCAGAATTACGCTGACAAGATAGGCGCCATCCAAACGCTGATGCGCATAATGTCTGCGTATGGCGAAAGCCTCAGCCCGGAGGCTTGGTCGGTTTGCATGAACGCGGTCATCTTCAGCCTTCTGTCTTCGGTAGAAACCGAGTTGAATGCCCTCAGCTCGCTTCCTACGAAAGGCAAGAACCAGGATGAGTGGCAAGAGACAGCGATCGTAGTCACACAGGGGGTATCGGATTTGTTTGGGTCTTACCTCAATGTACTCGCCGCTCATCGAAGCTTCCCGGAAACCTGGCGCGATCTAATCAACCATTTCCGGACTCTACTGGACCTTGAGATTCTCGATATCAGCGCTGCTGCTTACAGCGCCCTCCGCGACATTCTCCACAGGTGTGGAGGACAAGAGAGGCCGAGCGTTGGGAGAGATAGCCTCGACCTCGCTTGGGATCTGTGGTCTCGGCGAGTGCCTGTGCCTGAGAGCTCGAGAGACGACAAGTCAGCAGACAACCAGAAATGCCTGCTAGTTTGGGTCGAGTGCTTTTTAGAGCTGTATTCCCTGATTCAGAACGACTTCAGCGTTGAGGGTGTTCCCAGCTTGCTCATCCTCCTACGCGAAGCCATGCAGCACGCAAACCCTGGGGCATATGCCAGCGACGTCGAGTATGTTACGCCGCTACAAGGCAAGATCCTGGAGGTCTTCCGCACGATGCGCACAGAATCTCAAGGTGTTCCGTCTGCTATGATCACGCAAGTTGCAGAGTTTGTCTCATTAGCCTACGATCAAGAAGACGCAGCCAAGGCAGCAGCGGAGAGGCGGACGTATGTGGCCATGTCAAAGGAGAGCATGTCCATCCTCCAGTCCTTGATCGTGAAGCACGCCTCACAACGGGACATTTACGAGACGGGAGCGTTTGCCACGGCGTTGGCCGCCCTCGCTAAACCGATCGTCCTTAAATATCAGTTCAAGATAACCACAAAGACTAATTCCCCGTGGAAGACAGCGACAGAGGCCGCCTTGGCCGTGCTTGACGCAGCACTTCCTCACCTTCACAGCATCGAACTACCTCAAGCGACAGTCCGGGAAATCTGGCAGATCATCATATCCATCGCCAACGGCATCATCAGCGCTGGCTTGGCCGCTCCTGTGACAGCCGCCACCGACATCATGGACGACCAACAGTTCGACATCATTTCATTCGGCAAACTACGCAAGCTCATCATCCCGACCCTTGGAGCCGAGGTAATTCCTGATGAAACTAGGAAAGCGTACGCCGAGGGACTGTTCCGCACATCTATCATCCACCCGCCTACTCCGGCCGAAGCCGCGGTCATCGATGGGAACAATGGGGCTGATCCGACACGTCTGAAGTCGCTGTACAAGAAACGCATCGGCCGCACCATCGATCCTCCACCAACCATGCGCGACCTCATGAGCGCGGTCTGCCTGGACGAACTTTTCTCGCTTGTCGAAGTCCAAGATGAAGAGAAGCGCACGTCGGACGCCGCAAGCGCTTCAGAGCCGATCCACGAGCTACACGTCCGCCTCGCCCGCATCGCCGCACCGTATCTCATCCTCCGCTGTGCCCTCACCCTCCGCAGCTACGTCGCCGACCAACCGCTACGGGGGCGCATGCCACAGCCGCTGTCGCAGCGCAAGGAGCTGGCCCGTATCCTGCGCAGTCTGGTTGGGTTGCGCTCAGAGCCGGACGCGATTCCGGATGCGCCGAACGTGGATAGCGAGACGCGGAAGCACCTGTTCAGGTTGTATCCGCTGCTGGTTAGTGCGGTGCAGGTCGCCGGCACGGCCGGGGATCAGATGGTGCTGGAGCTGATCAGGGAGGCGCTGGATGTGGTGGGCGGGGAGTTTGGCATTTGATGGAGTTAATTCCCTGTATTTGTGCAAGGTTCTTTTCTTGGTAGAAATACATTTGGCAACTGAGTGGTCCAATAAGTGCCCGTCTGACGCCGTGCCCTCGCTTTTTCACTTCCGGGTTTCCATGCCGACGGGACAAGTCAATAGTACAGCCAGATATGGTGTCCTTCCCCCTAACCTACCCCAGCAGCTGCCTGGTTGTGTTGCGCCTGTTGTCCAGGAGGCGCCTTGTTCATCCTATGCTTCCTTCTACGCAGCCATCTCCGGCACCGACGCATGCTTGTCATTGCTTGTCTCTCCGGTGCCACTCCCCGCCTCAATCACCTTGCCCTTCTCCAGGATATCCTTCGCCATCGTCTTCGCCTGCGCATCCCCAACCTTACCATACACGCTCAGGGCAGTAGCGATCATGCCGCCAATATCCCCCACGTTCCCGGGCACCACCACCGCCGTGCCCTCCTTCGCCAGCTTGCCAAAGGCATCAACGTATTTCTCCGCGACAGACAAGCTGACCGCCCCCTGCGCCGCGTCCTTGCCCTCGGCAATCGCCCTCGCAACCGCCTCGATCCCCGCCGCGGTCGCCCGCGCGCGCAGCAAGATGGCCTCGGCCTCACCCGCGGCCTGGTTGATCTTCTCGGCCCTCACGGCCTCGCTGGCCAGGATGGCGCTCTGCTTCTGGCCCTCGGCGATGTTGATGGCGCTCTGGCGCTGGCCCTCGCTGTCCAGGATCTCGGCGCGCTTGGACCGCTCGGCCGTCACCTGGCGGTGCATGGCCTCGACGACGGGCTTGGGCGCGTGGATGTCGCGGATCTCGTACCGCAGGCAGGTCACGCCCCACGCCTGCGCCGCCTCGTTGATGGCCGCCGTGATGTTGGTGTTGAGCGCGGCGCGCTCCTTGAGCACGTGGTCGAGCGTCAGCTGGCCGATCTCGGATCGCATCGTCGTCTGGGCGAGCTGAGAGATGGCGTACTCGGCGTCTTCGACGCCGTACGAGGCTTTGTATGCGTCGAAGACCCGTGTGTAGAGCACGCCGTCCAGCTCGAGGGTAACGTTGTCCGCGGTGATGGCTGACTGTGAGGGGATCTCGATCGCGACTTCTTTGAGCGATTTGACGTAGGCGATTCGGTCGATGAAGGGTATCAGGATGGCCAGCCCGGGTTGCAGGATGCGGTTGAACTTGCCCATGCGCTCCACGATCCAGGCTGTTTGCTGCGGCACGAAGCGGATGATGGTGTTCATGGGGAGGGAGGCGGATTTTTGGAAGTAGGTCGGCGGCATAGCCCCGGGGCCAAGGCCGCTGGGGAGGGCATTGCGTGGTGTGGTATGAAAGGTGCGGATGTGGGGGGATTCGGTTGACCTCGTTGTTGGCGCTGGTCTGGAGAGAGCGAGCATTGCTGCTGCTGCAGCTCTGGAGGATGCGCGGGGAGAACTGGAGATGCTCACCCGCACTGTGGGCACGAGAGCCCTCTGCACGGCTGTTAGCGACATCGTGGTCGGCCGACAACCTTGCACATTCGCAGTGGCGGAAGCGCGCTATTGTTGGAGATGACACGTGAAGTTGAAGGAGCTGCAGTCAGTCAGCCAGCAACTTCGACGTCAGCGAGTCCAATTGGGTCCACCGAAGCTCCGACCACACATAGAGCCCTGCTAGGCCCACACAGCCTTGCGGGTTTCTCCGCGTGACACAAACACCCCACCGTTCCATCCCCAACATACTCCTTCCTTTGGGACCCACTCTTCAACAAATTGGACACAGCTTCCGTGGCTCAGGGGTAGAGCGTCTGCCTAGTATCGGACAATCCGAGCTTTACAGCAGAAGGTCGGCGGTTCGAATCCGTCCGGAAGCACTTTCCTTTTTCGTCCGGGCTTCATTTCTCCTGTTTTGACGCTGTTGACCCTAACTAGGCCTTGCTTGGCTTTTTTTGACATGCTCATGGAGGTCACAAGCATCTCTAGGTACCTCTTTAAGTTGACCGCTGACTCGGTACGTGGAAGATTAGAGCCGGTTTAAGGCAGGAGCATCACCGGGATACATACGTACAGGCAGTGACCCTCGGCAAGCTTGTCGTGCTTGCTCCTTCCCAATCTACTAGTACCTTAGGCAGGATACTTAGGAAAGCCGCTTACAAGTCGGCTTCCGAGAACCAGTTCCGTTGCCTTCATTTTGTATGTCTGGGCCAGCAGGTTCCACATTGGTCGTCGAGATCATTACACCACTATAAGGGAGGATTAAGGGGTCATAAACATACCAACGCATTGCAAGTCGGATACTCAGGTATGAAATCATAAATTCTATTTGCTCACAGACAAATGATCCGCACAGAATACCAGTTGCACCTTGATCTCAACGCCCGAAACATAAAAGTGCCTTGTCCCTCTTCCTCCTCGCCCTCCGTGAACTTGTGTCCCCGCCCCTTTTGCTCACTTCAACCCCTTCTTTACTTCCGGCCGCTTATTTGCCAATCTCCTACTTCGCCTCTCACCTTTTTTTGTCTCCTGCTTAGAAGCAGGCTTATCCTTCTTCGACTTTGGGGCAGGCTTCTCTTGTGGCTTCGGATTATGCTTCTCCTTCTTTGTCTTCGCAGCAGGCTTCTTCTTCTGTTGAGGAGCAGCATCGCCACCATCATCACCGTCAACACCATGGTCGACTTTTGTCCTCTTCCGAGCCCTGCCCTTCTTTTCCTCCTTTTGGGTAGCAGCGTCAGATGCATCATCACCAGCATCACCATCTTCATCATCAGCCTTCCGCTTCCGCTTCGGGTATCGACCCGCAGGCTCCTTGCTGTTCTCCTTCGGGGTACTCTTCTTCGGGGTACTCTTCTTCGGGGTGCCCTTTCCCGTGGTGTTCTCCTTTGGGGCACTCTTCTTCTGGGTGCTCTTCTTCGGGTTACTTTTCTGCGGCGTGCTCTTCTCCGTGGTGCTCTTCTTCGGGGTGCTCTTCTTTGGTGTACTCTTCTTCGGGGCACTCTTCTTCGGGGCGCTTTTCTTCGGGGTAGGCGGACGCCTGACTTCAGCCTCCGCTAAAACTAGTGCCTCCGACAGCTCGTCTTCCCTCGCCCGCTTTTTCGCAGCGTCAACCTCCTTCCGCAGACGTCGACCATAGATTGGCTTGCGCGCTCCAACGGGAGCTGCCGGAGCTACCGGAGCTAGATCGCTCTCGCTCTCGTTCTCGGCGGGAGTATCGTCACCATCGTCGACTTGTGAAGCTGCCGGAGCGGGATTGCTCTCGCTCTCGTTCCCGGCGGGGGTATCATCACTATCGCCGACTTGTGACGGTGCCGGTGCCGGTGATGGGGATTCTGACCCGCGCGGGGATTTGTCTTTCTCCGGGGTATGGTCAGGATCGATTCGTTGGAGCAAATGAGACGGCATGTTGTACTTCTGTGCTGGAGAATGACCTAATAACGCTTGTACACAGTTCTCGTGGGGCGAATTCGATCCTTGGGGTCGGGTGTTTGGTGTTGTTCTTTTAAGCTCGTCGGGAGACAAATCAATCGATCGACAGCTCCCTCAAAGGGCCTCAATCTCCTCCCCAGGCAATCCCGCATCCCGTATGAAAGCTCGGAGTTTGTTAATTGAATGTAAAAGACCAACAAAGACCACCAAATTGAACCGGCCTTTTTACACCCTTATTCAGAGACCGCCTCGATCTTGACATCCGGGTTGACCGAAACTACCTATCCACTGTTATCCAGCCTCGAAGCAGATTCCGTGTTGGCCTACCCTGTGGATTCGAGTTTGATCGGGCGTGGAGTCTGACAAACATCGGGCCAGTTCACTTCATTCGCGCTGTCACACTCCCAAGTGGTACAATAGATACACCATAATCCGTCCACATCAGTTATGCTCCGATGCTGGGCCTCCCCGCCATTCTCCCAGTACTTCAGAAATACTATAGTCTAGTGCCGTAGTCGGTTCTCTTAACAGTGACATCGGAGTGGCTCGAACCGTTGTCACGGTGTCACTTTGCTGCTTCAGGTCAGACTGACCTTAGGAGCTGGGCAATATACCACGGCCGTTGTCCGCTTGGGGTATCTCCGGCCAGCGGCGATAACGCGGAAGTGAAGCGGGGTCGGCGACTGTTACTGTACATTCGAACTGTCAACGCTTGGCTTGTTGGGTGCTGCTTCGCTGTAACAGGCAGTACTTCCATTAGCAGGTATTATCAAGGATCACCGCGCGTGACACGCAAACAGTCCCTCTAGGCGAGTGGGTGCGAACGGAAAAGATGGCTGCAACACCGGTGAAGCGCAGATACACTGCCGTTGCGGGATTTTTCGAGCAAGATTACGCATCCAACAGCCTCTCCTCCAAAGAAGGGGTGAGCGTCTCTGAACTAACCTAAACTTCTGTCACTTGTTACAGCTTCCACTGATGACGGTCAGACCACCACTCTACCAGGACTTGGCTTGATTGACAGGCCCTATGACACCGACGAGGCATTCGACCCGCGCCGGGAGAAGCATGCTTGGGAGCGCTTTGCTCACTACCTAGACCATCTAAATACCACCAGCGCTGGCAAAGCTGTATACAAACTGATCTATGCCGCCCGCCACGGAGAGGGCTACCACAATGTGAAGGAGAGAGAAGTCGGAACGCGCGCCTGGGAGGTACGTACAATTACAACCCATGGCGGCGCCAAATTTTAGTATGGAAATGTACTCACTGTCGCATCACGGTGAGTAGTCCCACTGGGCGAAGCTCGACGGCGACGAGAAGACGATCTGGGCCGACGCGCACCTCACAGAGCGCGGCATCGGACAGGCGCAAGCGATGAAAACCTTCTGGGAAACCAGCGCGTCGACCCTGGGCTTGCCCCTGCCGCGGCGACACTACGCAAGCCCGCTCGCCCGCTGCCTGGAGACGTGCGAGCTGGCGTTCTCGGACTTGACAGTGTCGTCGTCGTCGTCATCATCGAACCACCACCACGGGACGGAGAAAATAGTAGTAGTGATACCGCCCTTCAAGCCGGCCATCAAGGAACTGCTGCGCGAGAGGTTGGGCGTGCATACGTGCGACCGCCGGCGGACGCGCACGTGGATTCGGGAGCACCACCCCGTCTTTGCGATCGAGGACGGCTTTGCGGAGCAGGATGAGCTGTGGAGGCCCGATGTCCGGGAGACGCTGTTGGAGCATGCCGCTAGGGTGGAGGGATTCCTGGACGACCTGTTTGCGAATGACGGCGAGACTGTCGTTTCGGTCACGGCACACTCGGGTACTATCCACGCGTTGTATGCGGCGATTGGGCATGAGGAGGTGAGGGTTGCGCCGGGGGGTATTGTTCCTGTTTTGATCAAGGCTGAGATTTGAAAGCCGTCCGTGATACGGGGGCTACATGCCTGGTATCGTGTTTCAATGGTTCAAGAGGCCGTCCTTAAAGGCTTTGTTGTAGGTAGAGGACTCGGATGATTCAAACAATGATTGCTTTGGATTAACAACTCGAGATACGACTTGAGTCCCCTCGGCCAACAGACGGCGCACTTAGTGGGCGCGCCGAAGATGCAGTGATTGTTATTTCATTTCAGGACGTAACTTCGATCTAAATCGAATATCAATGCTGCTTTCACAGTCGGAAACCCGAGCAAATCCTGTTGATGCATTTGCCATCATGGAATGTTAGGCAAAATGTCCCTTCTTAGGATTCGTTAATTGACATCCTGGAAACAGTTGGTCGGAACCACACTCGACTCCATCGGGTATGGTGTAGCGGTAACATCGTTGACTCTCACTTCTCAGGAGTGACTGCTCTCTCAACAGCCCCGGGTTCGACTCCCGGTATCCGAGTCTAGTTCTTTTTGCTACCGACCTCAAGGTCCAGGGTTAGGGGTGACGCATCGAGTCGTACGGATGTATGGATACGGAGGAGGTATATAATTACCTTCTGTAGGCTATGGATAATAGTGGGGGATCGTCTAATAAAGGAAGTTCAGAGATATTCTGTCTGGTTGAGTTGATGAGACGACATGCGGGTCAAATATCTATATGCCTTCAAGGCTTGCCTAACAGGACTTACCGCCTTCGCATTCATTTGGCTCATACCACGGGCCATTAGAGAGCAGCTACGTCTGTGAAACCGGTTGACAAAAGGCTGTGTGGAATTGTTCGTTATTACGGGGTGCTTATTAGCGGACGGAGACGACAATGGGATGAAGCAATGCAGGGCGCTACGGAGTCATCCACGCAAGACACGAATACGCTTTTCGATGACGAGAAGGTTGATCCACATGATAGGATTATGTGCAAGAAATTACTCTATGTACAAGAAAATAAACGGCAGAAGAAGGCCTGCCAGGGGCACGCAGTGCCAGATTTGTGAAAAATGTTTGCGCCCTTCTTTTCTTGCAGCAGGGCACCAACGATAGATAGCAGTCCGCTCCACACTTGCGGCCCTCCCACGACCTTTGATTTCATTTATTTAAACACCAACAGCGCTGTTGAGAACGGCCTTGTTCTTGCGCATGTTCCTCTTCTTGTTGCGCCCGGCGCAGCGGGTGGGCACGGGCTTAGCAGAGGCCTGGGTGCTGGTGGCGGCGGGAGCCGAGGTCCGCACCGAGGTGACCAGCGTGGTGGGGGCCGTAGTGGCAGCCGGAGCAGAGGTGGCGGCCGGGGCGGAGGTGGGAGTCGGGGCAGGGGCAGAACCGCCAGACGAAGCGGCGTTCCAGATGGCCGGACCGGGGATGGGGTAGCTGCTGAAGGAGCCGTACAGGTTGAAGACGATGCCTTTGTCGGAGTAGGTGTAGCCGGTGCCGAAGTCGAAGTTCTCGTCCGGCACGGCCGAGCCGCCGCTGGTCACCTCGACCTGCACACACGACGGGTAGAACTGGGCGCCGCGCGCCGGGTTGGCGTTGAAGGCCGTGTCGGACTCGTGGAGCGCGATGATCTCCTGGCGGACGAGGTACTTGCCCGGCGCGAGGGCGGACGGCAGGGTGAAGTCGTACTTGCCCTTGTTGGCCACCAGCGTCTCGACCGCCCACTTGCCGTTGGCGAATCCGTCCTCGGCAATCTTGCTCCAGATCGGCTGGGCGCCGTTGCCCTCGGTGTACGGCGCAATGTAGGTGATGATGGGGCCCTTGTGCGAGAGGTCAATGATGTCGTCGCCGCGGGAGTTGTGGTACCACTCAAACGTCAGCTTGTCGCCGGCGGCCGCCTTAACGAAGGACGGGACAGCCTTGCCGCCGTTGACGTTGCAGACAATGTCCGGGCTGGCGAGGTCCTTCACGGGCGAGTTGGAGTCGGGCGAGCGGATGTAGACGCTGCGGCCATCGCCTTGGTCGACGCCGTTGACCCAGGCCGAGAACATCATGCTGTGCGCCGACACGGTGCTGGCCAGCGCCAGCAGGGTGGTGGTAGTGAAGTACATGGTTGCTGGTGTTGTTGCTCGGTTCGAGGATGATCCAAAAGAATGGTTGTGTTTTAGATTTCTTCACGCTTGGTGTAATGTGGCCGCCGGCCTAGAGAACGTCGTGGAAAGGGAGTGTCTTGAGTAAAACAAGGGCTGCCAAAGCCGACAAGAAGCGAATGTAGCTGTGAAGAGAAACAGTGATGGATCAAAGAGAACGAGTCTGGCCACTTCGGAAGCGGTTGAGAAGGAGACAGAATCCGGCCTCTATATAAGATGTTCGTGTAGATGGACTGCCCGGTTTCAAACCCGCTTGCAATCTCGCCATTCTTCCCCACGTGCTGCAATGCACCGTCTAGCCTTGCAGCACAGTGTAGACGGTTGCCGCCGTGATGCGTGCAACCGACGATAGTGAGGCATCGCTTAGCCGTGGTCATATTGGACAGGGGCAGGGGCGGGCAGGCGCTTGAGACATCTGGGAAGTCGTAGCCGCGGCGGGATGTCAGGCGATTGGTCCGGCTCGAACCGTCCCAGATCTGGACCACGCGATGCCCAGCATGGTGGTTGGACGACGCCAGGGCTGTGATTGCAAAGGAACTGCGGGCCCTGACTTCCTAGGCGGCGGGTGGAGGCTCGAAGCCCCTGAGGGAATCCGTCCGTTTTCTTTTCGGTGGATCACCACACTGCATGCAAGTGTGACCTGAAACCCGCCAAGGTTCGGCCGTCGGACATGAACCCGCAAGCGAACTTGTGAGGGATTGGTCGTCCTCAACAATCAACCAACCCCCACGCAAAAATACTATACCTATTGCTGCTTACTCCACGTCAAGGCGATCACCAAACGCCCAGTTGCCCAGCGAGGCGCTCAGACCTGGGAAATCGAAAAGGAAGGAATCCATTCAGGATCCCGCCGACAAGACTTGGCGAAACCGGGTTCTTTCGAGCTTTTCTCTGTAATGAGCAACATTCGGGTCGACGAAGACATGTAGTCTTTATATTCTATCCCAGCAAGCAGCTAGGGAGACGAGGCAAACTCTAATAAGTGGTATCGCGTTCTATCACTCTATCAGTGTAACAACGATCTATCATGCCCTCGCCGGCGGGCGAACAATCGCCGGAAGCCCGGAAGAAGCACACCCCATGCATATCCACCGGCTCTCTTTATCAACGTTAAGTTAATTCCAAACCCCCTATCCGCCCCTACAGTTTCCTAAACACGGTGCTGAGAATCTCCCTGCTCTTCAGCAAATTCAAGACCCGCAACCGCTCATTACCCAGATGCGCTGCATCGCTGGCCTGTCCGCAGGGGAGATGCGCCGCGGGGGCGTTAAACTCCTTCTCGAGGAACCGAATCGGCGGAATGGACCCGCCCTCACGGATATAAAGCGGTTTCCTGCTCCTGGCACTCGGCCCCTTTTCGTCACCGCCATCCTCCTCTTTCTTCCCCTGTCCGCCCGCTTCCTCCTCCTCCTCCTCCTCCTCCTTCGCTGTGACAGTAGTCGTAGTGGTGGTAGTAGTAGCAGGGCCCCAAGCGCGCATAACGGCCTCCTCAAGCGTTCGGAAGATATAATTCCCCGGCACGCCGAGCCAGGGCTCCGCCCTGTTGTCGATCCTGATCGTCAGGGTGTTCTCGCTGCCGAACTTCTCATACTCCTCACGCAGGTACGCCTTGAGCTTCTCAATCACCTGCTCGACCTCCTGCCCGGGCACCAGCCGCACGCTGACGTTGGCGGTCGCGTGGCTGCTGATGAGGGAGCCGTCCGGGCCCGACACGTTGTAGCGGTGGATGGTCAGGTTGGGCTCGCGCCAGCGGGCCATGAGGCTACGCTTCAGCGTGTCGGGGGAGATGTTGGGAGAGGATGAGGATGGGTTGTTGCGCTTGATGAGGATGCGCGCGATCTCGTCGTAGCGCCGGTCCTCTTCCTCCGTCAGCGGGAGGATGCCGTCGTAGAAGCCCGGGATCTTGACATGGTTCTTGGCGTCTTTGAGTTTGCTCAGGAGGAGGGTCAGGTCGGTGAGGGGTTCTGATAGCATGTTGCTGCCGTCCACGCCCGAGTGGAGGTCGGGATGCTTTGAGTCGATGCAGATGGTCGCGTGGAGCACGCCGCGCAGGCCGTAGGTGAGGCACGGGACCTCGTCGTCCAGCCAGTAGCTGTTTGCTATAAGGACGTAGTCGATGTGGCCGATGAACTTTTTATGCTGGCGGATGGTGTCTTCGAAGCCGCGGGATCCGGATTCCTCCTCTCCTTCAATGACGAAGATGATATCGGAGTCGAGCATTTTGGCTTGGAGAAGGTCGGAGACGGCGTGCAGCGCGGCGATGATGGGGCCCTTGTTGTCACTGACACCGCGGCCATAGAGGTAGCCGTCGCGGCCCTCCAGCCTAAAGGGGTCGGTCTGCCAGTTGTCTCCCTTCATGTCGGCCGGGACGACATCGTAGTGACCGTAGAACATGATTCGCTTCCGCTTCTCCGCCGGCTCGAGCTTGCCGCTGAACTTGGCGTACACGATGGGATTGTGCAGCCTCCCGGTGCTGAGCATCTCCACCTGCGCACCTAGCCGCTTGAAGAGAGAGCCGAGATAGGTTGCGCCCTTGCGGCAGTCCTCGGTGAACTCGGGTCGCGACGAAATGGTCTTGAACGAAACGAACTCGCGCAGTGACGCAATCATCATGTTCTCCGACCCGTCAACCCCTTCGTCGCTCTGGGTTGGCATGCCATTGACACGCCACACGCGGACTCTGTTGTCGTTGGCCCCGGTGATGAACAGCTGGTCGTTCTGGTGCACGGCCACGGCCGAGGACAGGATCTTGCCGTCATGGGCCTTCCACCGGCTCAGGCAATGGTACTTCTGGCTGACATTCTGGGGCAGGCCGTTCTTGTCCCTGCCGTAATGCACTGTGCTGTGCTTCTAATCCTGTGTTAGCGTATAGTTACTTAACCAGACGAGGAATAAGCACGGATCTTACCGAAGCCGATCCCCCCGTAGCTCCGCTCCAGAGGAGGCCAAAGCTCATCCTGAGCGTGTTGACGTTTCCGTCATGAGCCTTGATGACGCGCAGCTTCTGCTTCGTGTCGAGATCCCAGAGCTCGATGATGCCCTGCAGCTTCCCAGCATACAGAAAGGAACCATCGATAGCAAGGGACAAGACGGACTCGCTATCGTCGTCACCCAGTGTCATGACTTCCTCAATGCCTCCTACCACCCCGTCGTCGTGGTCTGGCCCGTCGTCCGAGAGCCTCCACAGCTTGATTGTGCCGTCTCCGCCGCCAGAAATGAGCACCTCTTCGTCAGGGTCCCCGAGCACGGTCGGTCCCTTTGCTACCAGCATACAAAAGATCCATCCGTAGTGCGCATACTGCTGGATAGCACCGGAGTCGATCTCCAACACCGTTGCCGCCTTCGGGATGAGGGCGTAGTGTTCTTCCGTGCGCCGTGGCGTCGATGTCCCTCCAATGGCACGCGAGTCGAAGAAGCGATGTTGCCGCTTATCGGGGTGGTTCGCAGAGTCGTGCGGTACCCTCCTCGCAGGGTCCGTCAAGCTGACCCATTGTATGTCCTGGGTTTGCGTGCCGAGATACAGAATCTCTCGCTGCGGCGAATAGGCGATGCTGAAGACGTCGCCAACGTCATAGGTGCTGTAAATCTCGTAGAGACGGGTGAAGGTTCTGGGACACCATACACCGATGATGGGCTCGCACGCGCTTGAGAAAAGGTACTTGGTGTCCTCGGACAGGAGCAGGCAGAGGACGCTTCGTTTGTGTGCTTGGATCGTTTCGACTAGCTGGTATGTCCCGAGCGACCAGACCACAATCTCGCCTTTGCTCGTACCGGCGAAGATGTACTTGTCTGAAACTGCGATGGCAAGAACAGAACCATGGTGCTGGAGCTCCTGCAGCCGATCGGGCGCGCTGTCGGGGCAGTCGTCTTCAAGCTCGCGTGCCTCGGGGCCCGCCATGGTCGCCGATTTAGTTGTCTTTGCTGCAGGTAGTCAATGCCGTTAGCGCGAGCCAAATCTCGATCTTTCAATTCATCCCAGGCTCATGGTATGGGTTGTGCTAGTGGCGGAAACTGGCCATCGTATGTAATGTTTCCTAGCCGCTGATGACATTGTTGGGCCTCAGTCGCAATGCGCTGGGGTCGATCAGGGCTCGCGCTACTGCTAGAGCCTAGACCGCCGGTTACAGGGATGCCGGGTGCCCCGCGTTTTCAAGCTCCATGCCAGAAGGCCCCGCTGGAACGGGATCTAACGCACCCCGCGGGCCACGTTGTTTCCATCTGGATTTGCTCCTTCCTCAGACGGGACGTCGCCAGGCCGGGACTCGGGATGCCCGGGACGTACAGTAGGGCGCGCGTATGTGGGGGTTATACGGGAAGATCGAGGAGATCGAGACCCTATGAAAGCCACACTTCTAAGAAACAATGACACTCACGGAGGGTCGGAACGTGGGGTGACCGGGCGGGAGCCGCCCTGGTGTTGATGATCTTGCTGCATCCCTTGCAGCGCCCATCCGCCCCATTGCGGTCATCGTCGAGGTGGCTGTGACTCCAAGGGTCGAAATACGCACGGAAGGCGGGCACATCGACGATTACCATGTTGCCTTGAGTGACTTGATCCGCGCCGCTCGCTGAGATGGTGCGCCGTTGACCGTCAAAACGCCAAACAAGACTCCGTGGGCCACTGAGCGTAGGGCGGAGAGAGCTTTGGCTTTGTACTTTCTGAAACCCAGACGCTCCGGAATCATCCTCCTCCCACGATGTCCCGTCGAGACCGAGAGATGACGCGAGCCCAGGGGTGCTCTGCGCCATTGCAAGTGCCCTTATATTCCGGAGCGGACAGGTCGAAAGAAGAAGGACGGACGCATCTCACCGCTCTTGCCAGCTTCCAGGAAGCACGAGTTCAAGTGACACAAGTCAAACGACGGATCGGCAGGGGAAGTACTAGGGGCTTATCCAGGTAGGTAGGTACGTAAGAGGATGGCGTCGTTCTTCATATACCTCATAGGGACTCCGAACCGGCGGCAGAGCGAACGCCACGAAGTGTGCTGCACAAAGCCACTGCCAGACATGAGTTGGTCACTGGACGGTGCGGGTTCAAAATCCCGGCTGCATCTTGGCCCTCACAACATTATTGGACTGCTTTCTCGTCCATAGCTGCGCCTGGTTCTGTCATCTGTACACCGCATTTCACCGACGGGGAACATGTGTGGAATGTTGAGACCGAGACAGGTATCATGCAGCAAAGCGCACCAAGTTGCTACCTGACAGCGGCAAGATTGGGCTCCCAGCCCTGGCATGTCGGTGCCGAGAACATCGCGACTCTGAATCACTGGAGCGACAGTAATAGAAGCCTTCATGACACAGTTGATGTGCATGTTCCGAGTTAACTGTCACGTCTCATTAACTAAGGTACCTAGGGTTGATGTCGAGTGTCTCTAAGGTACCCGGTAGGCAGCATCCGGTACCGGGTGGGTCCGCCCGACCGTCGGACCCGCCTTGAGGGCAATGGCCCGTGCCCGGCATCCTTGTCAGCCGCAACAATTTTCTTCGGCGTTCTGAGATCATCGAGATGGACTGTCGACAGTACCGATAACGAGCTCCTCCCCACCTCGTCAACCACGATTGCCGGCGCGCCCCGTCCATCTGCGAGAGATATATTGGCCATAGACCACCTACTTTGACAATTCGCCCGATATTTGCTCATAATCTATCGACGCGCTGGGCGCGAACCGGGCCGTGATTTATCCAGAATCTCCATAACCACATACCCAGATGGATCACACGCGGGACCCCTGCCCTTGGGTCATCCTCAACGACTTCGGTGGTGCCTTTTGCATGGGTGTATGTGTCCCTCGCGAAATCTCCCCTCCCTGCATCATGGCGCAGCACAGGCGATAAGCGCATCGTCGTTGATGATTGAGGATGCCCCCTCCCATCTCCTAGCTAACAGTCGCATGACTAGGCGGTCGGCGGAACGATCTGGCACGGCGTCAAGGGTTTCAGAAACAGCCCGTATGGCGAGCGGCGGCTAGGCGCGATCACAGCGATCAAGATGCGCGCGCCAGTACTGGGAGGCAACTTCGGCGTGTGGGGCGGCATGTTCAGCACATTCGACTGCGCGGTCAAGGGCATAAGGAAAAAGGAAGATGCGTACAATGCGATTGCATGTTTCCCCGAGTTCCCATTGGCAGACACTCCAGATTCTAACAGGATACAGATTGCTGGATTCTTCACAGGCGGCGCGCTGGCGATCCGAGGCGGGTACAAAGCGGCGAGAAACGGCGCCATCAGCTGCGCTATCCTGCTCGCTGTTATCGAGGGTGTCGGCATCGGGTTCCAGAAGATGTTCGCAGGGGCAACAAAGCTGGAGGTGAGTCGGATTTGCGAAAGGGCGCTGGTTTTCGTCATGCTGACTTTCTAAGGCCCCGCAACCACCGCCGTCAAACGAGATGAAACTCGCATAGAAGCGCTTACGATCTCGGAACTCGGTGACGGTCCCTCGACAAACCCAACTCCTCTCCTCCGGCCCTTCGCGGGACTGGATGTGTATTTCTGTATGCATTCATGACGGTCAGCATTATGGTGGCGGCGTTCCCTGGGCTGTAACATAGAATCGGCTGTGTGTTTGCCATTGGGCTAATGGGAGCCCAACCCAGCGGAAACATCTGCTCAAATAATATCTATCTTGAACACAAACGCTATCTAGCACTCGAGATCTAGGTCAGTGTCTAGTTGTCTGATGTCTAACCGAGCTTCTCCCCTCGCCATGCCCGCAGGTCTTCCGGCCTGCCCTCTCCAGCATATCGATCAGTTACCTCCCGGTCCTGCCGAAATACTCGAGCAAACGCAACACCCCTCTCATCGACCCACGCTCGAAACATACCGCCACAGTTATAGTCCTGAAGAAGTTCGGAACGGGTCTCGACCACGTTACCATCCGTGTCCCTCACGACGACGCACTCAATCCCGATCATGCCCCCCTCGCCCTCGCCAGTCCTGCCCCAGCGGTCGCCAGCGCTCTTTTGCAGCTCGCCACCCGGCCCGGTGACCTTTGACAACGCCACCGCCGAAGTATTCTCGGCAAAGCGCGCAACGGAGCCGACGGTTCTCGCGGCCGCGGTTCGAAGGAAAGAGTCCCCGTTCCCAGTCCCTGACACAGCAACCGACCGCGTCGTCACTAGGCCATCGCGCCGGTCCCTAGAATAAGGGGTATACACCCCGGGCGTAGGCAAACAGTCCGCCATCAGTCCCTTCAGCGCGCCTGACAGCACCACAGCCGGCTGCCGCCTCCTCCACTCTGCGGTAGGATCCCCGTTCTCGATCCATTCCTCGGCCCAAAAGCCGGCCCCCACCGTCGGCGTATCGCCAATCCGCCCGGTCAGCTTATTCGTCAACCCGCCGGTACTAGTCGCGCAGCAGACCACCCCGTCCTCATCCAGAGCCACGGCACCGACCGTGCCCTGCGGCAGATACTCCTCCGCGCTCCACGAGCCAAACCCCCTCCCGTTCCTCTCCCTCTCCAATCCCCGGATATGCTCATCCCACCGCCGCTGCGTGAAAAAGTACCCCGGCTCCACCATCACCAACCCATACCGCTCGGCCAACTGCTCCGCTGTGGCGCCATGAAGGTGTGTGTGCCCTTGCATGGAGGGGACATCCAGAAGATCCGACCCTTCCCCTTCTCCTCCTCTTTCCCCTTCCCCCATACTATTATTCTGCCTCCCTTCCAAAGCATTAATCCTCAGCGGCGGACATAAGTCGGCATCCCCGCGAACAAGCAGCTCCCGCGCCAGCCGGATCGGGTTGCGCACCCGCCGCAGGCCGGACAGGCCGACCCCGCGCTTAGCGCGGCCCCGCGACACCATGACCGACGCCTCCAGCTCGTTGATGCCGTCGCGCGTGAACACAGCGCCGTGGCCTGCGTTGAAGAGCGGGTTGTCTTCCAGTAGGGTGACGGCGTGCGTTGCGACGTCTAACGCGGTCGGGAGGGTGCCTGTGCTGGCGGAAGGGGAAGAGGTGGGGTTGAGCATGTAGCTGTGGGTTTTTGAGACCTATAGTATATATATATATATATCGGTGATTAGGAGGCGGATGGTGGTGTGATGAGGGAAGGAGTCGAGGGAAGGTGAGCGGTCAGGGGCCTTACGATGGTCAAGAGGGCGACGCGGAATTCCTGGTAGCGGTCCGGGGTGAGTGTCGCGGGGGTGATGTTCCCTGCGCCGCCGTGAATTATGAGACGGGGTTGCAGTTTGGGGCGGGACGGCTGTTGGGGTTTGTATTCCATCTTTGCGCTTTCTTTGTCAAGAGCAACTGGGAGAAGCTGGGCGGTTGACGATAGTAATTAGGCACAGTGATGGGATAAGGTTTAGGCGGTAGCGGCATCGGGCGGTTGATAAGCCGAGCACGGTCCTTATCTGCCGACCTCCGGCCAATCAGATCCCGTGGGTTGCCGCACCTTTCACCGAGATCTAGAGCGAAGGCTTGGAAGGCATCTCATGGCCCAAGACTCCGACCAGGGCCGATGAGACAATTTCTTGTTTATTCACAATCGACGATGGCAAGTCAGACCAGGCCTACAGCTGGAGGGAAACCCTTGTACAATAGAGAACCTGATCTCATACAGTAGGTTCATTCATCCGTTTCACACCCTCCTAGGGTGGCATTGCTGCAGCGTCCTATTATCCCAAGCCAAATACATTCCAGTCATCACACTTAGATTTCCCTAGGCTCCTTTCCGTCATCCAGCGAGCCAGTTGTATCCTACAGGCCAAGTCCACTGGCCACTATACGAACAAGCCAAAACAAACCATAACCAGCCCGACCCAGAAGGCAAGCACACTGCCTCCGAGGTGGCGAGTGGCAACGTTCTCCCTGCCATCATTGTGGGTGGCGTTGCTGGCCGTCGTCAGATCAATGGGCCTCACACACGTCAAGTATGCTTCGGACTGGGAGACCAAGTTGCTGCTGCCGTTGCCAGGGAAGAAGACCGTTAAGATCGGGGTGAGGCTGAAGAGGACGTTCTCCATCACGGATGAGGCATTGTAGTCGCCCTGGAACACATGTGTCAGTCATATATCAGTGCCTGAAAATGTGGATTCAGTCAACAACCACGTACAATAGCGGTGACAGAGTCAATCAGTCGAAGGTCGTCGCTCTTTGGCAGAACTGGCCAGCAGTCTGAAGTGCTGTTTTGCTGGCCTGAGATGGGCTCAGGAGAGCCATTTCCAGAGAGGGCTGTCGCAGATACGATTAGGTTAGCTCTTCCTCTCGCCGAGTACAGTTATTGATATTGGTCCATGAAATTCACCTCTGGCAATGACGCCGCTCCATGTACTGCCATTCCCAGGGGAAGCGGTGCACTCAGAGACGACGCTCCGGGAGAAGTCTCTCTTCAGTTTGTCGCAAGCGGCCGCACAGGACAAGCCGTTGAGGTCCACTTTCTTAGCACTGTTGATCATTGCGGACATGCACGAATCCGTCAAGAGATCTTGACAGGTTCCGTCAGTGCCGTCTTCATTGGATCGAACGAGGTCGCTGACGGGGGTGAAAAGCAGCGCGCATGCTCCGGTGCTACCGAAGTCGAAGCCGCTTGGTGTGCCAAGGTAGAAACTCTGATTGAAGTTACGCACGGTGTCGTTCACATTCTCTGCGCCCACGCCTTTGACCCAGGAGAAGCCCTCAAGTCCCTTAGTCGTAGTGTCAAGGCTGACAACACCCACTACGTTGTACGTTCTATCCGCCACGGTACATGTCGCCGCTGTTGTTCCTTCCGTGATGGGGCATTCCACATCGGCGCAGCTGAGGATCTTCGCCTGGGCAAGCGGCAGTGTGACGAACACACTTGATGTGATCACATAGAAAGTTTGTTGGTGCAGCATGTTGATATCAAGCTGAGAGACAAAATGGGGATCCAGTTGATGAACAGATATGTACAAGGAAAGAGGCAGGGAATCCAACGGCAAGCAGACTCTAGGAGAATAATAAGTAGTCGGTTGAGTAAACCGGCTGAGGAAGGATTCATCATTCTGGAGCCCCAAGAACCGAGCGAGTGGTGAAGCCTGGAAGACGTGGCGGAGAAGACGATGATCATCAATCCTTCCGGCAATCAAATGAACAGGACTGATGACGCCAGGAACCTTGTTGGACACTCTAGTGTAGACTTTACACTACCATAGTACCATTCACGTTGCCCAACGGTTGCCGTGCTGGCTGGGCGCTCCCGAATTCCACTTGGCATGCTCCTGCAGCTGTGGCACCTACGTAACGGGACCTTGCCGACTTAGCCGGCCGTAAACGCTGGACTGGAGGACCACAACAAAACGCCCGTCCCATCCCAGCCTCCACCTCGCCTTTCGTCACGCCCGCCTTACCACTGCGGTGGCCCCTCCGGGGATCATTTTCTTGTCTTCGACGACATGTTTCCATTCACCCTTCCCATATCTGGCTTGGCCGACATCAGGGGGGTTGGGATTTTGCAAATACGACAAGGCATTGGTTCTATTGCTTTTCCAACTGTGGCCAGTTTGGCGAATTCAACTTACTCAGGTGTTGTGTGGATGATAGCTGTAGTGCTGTACCCATGCTAGCACGGCAAGAGTTTACTCAAGGGTCGGCTATCACATCATATTTTATGGTCATCTGCGAGTGTGCTGTGTGTTATGGGTAGCACCGCGCAGGTAGGTAAGTAAGGTACGTATGCTAGACACGCGGTCCTAGGTTGGGCAAGTATTGCTCTAGTATATATGACCGCCTCCAACCCGAGCCTATCAACTGTTCGATATCGACATACACCTTCTCATACAATACCTGGACAGACCCGCGGCCCCATAGCGCTCCTGCAACCCCTTGTACCAATCACGATCATATAGCCTATAGGCTCTAGAGCTCGTGCTCCGTGTAGTAGACGTGCGAGTAGAGCACATTGCGCTCCCCCGAGCTCGACAAGATTCTTCTCGAGCTCCTGGTTCTGCCTGACGAAGTCTTACACCGACGATACCGAGGGTGCCACGCCCGGTAAGCAATCACGTGTGCATAAAGTCATTGAGAAACCGCCGGGTGAAGCGCTTATGGGGCATGAAGGGAGTGTAGCGGAAGGCTTCAGGGCCGACCCAGAAGCCTCGTCTGCCGTGGCGGATGAGTACTCGGCCAGGGGGGATGTGGTCTGTTGGCGGATGATGGGATGGCTCGCGGGATTGATGCGACTTTGTCGTCTCCTGCATGCAGGTAGAACCAGGGTTCCCACGCTCCGTTGAAGGTTTGGGGTTGAGTCTGTTGAACTACAAAGACCTTTGTGGTCTGTGTGTTCAGTACAATGGCTTTCAAGCCCTGCCACATACAAGCCAGTTCCCTGGCTTGGCTGGGCACATCACCTTCTTCACCTTCTTCACCTTCTTCGCCTAGTATTACACTCTTTTCTCTGCCTCTGACTTCTACACACCACGCCAGGGCCAAAGGCGGGATGTCGACGGTAAGCCTGCCCGTCATGACCAGCCCGAGTGTTTGGAGAGCCCTCCATGGCTCTCTTGACGGCCGCTATTGTCTCGAGCGGCTGCGATACTCCAGCTTCGTGGCAATGCCGAGTGGGCCTGCGGTGCCTCTTGCACCATCTGCACCGATGACCCACGTCCCTCAACGGTGGGAGACGGGGCTCGGCTGGCCACGCCACCATCAAGACAACTGGCTTGGCCATGCTTGTCGTCGAGCTACTAGCAGTCTCGGGGTAGTAAAATGTCAGCTGGACAGGCTCCTTCCTCATGTACATATGGACACGGGGTATGTTGCGATGCTGGCGCAGCATGGGACAGCGGCGTCTAACATACCCAACCCCTGAATCGTAAAACTGGCCACAGCACTAATTCAACGGGCGACAAAATGATTGCTCGGTATTATTTGGACTCCCCATGTTACTGATGTCGTTGGGGCGAGCTATGAGCGTGGAGGATGGGGCCCGGGGCATGGTGGTTGCCCATGACGAGGTGTTGGCCCTTCGAAAGTGACCGTAAGGCCAGGGTGAACGCGAACGCGGAGATAAAAGTAGTGTAGGGCTAGTGTTTTCACACCTAGCTATGTCGCGTCCGGTCAAGGGTTGCCATCGCGTAGAGTCTGTTGAGATATTCTACGTATTTCAGTATATTTGCTGAAATCGGGGGCAGAGACTACAAGCCAGGCAGATACTGGAGGTACCGTTATAGTAGGAACAAGGGGGTAAAAGGCTAGGAACTAGGCTCTCTCTTTACATACGGAACCAAGGTCCGCAGAATCCTGGACTCCTTAAGCAAGCAATTACAACTTGTGTAACCCCCTAAGCTCAACAATATTCATCATCACGATAACGTGCATTATAAGCAAGCCGAACATATAAGCGAGTTGAACACTCTCCACTACACTACCAACAATATCCTCAATTACAGAACCACAACACTAGGAACTGACAATAATTACATCAGAAACAGCTGAATCTGAGGCTTCCGCAACCTCCTGGCAAGTGCGGGCATTAAGGCCAGGCTTGCCGCACACACCACAGCACCGAACCTTCGTACGAGCCCCCCTGCACCGCCACCATCCGGCTGCATTTCTTGTGCCACCTCCCCAACCATAGCCTTTTGGTTCAGTAGATCTTTTGCATCTTCCACTGCAAGTGATCCTCAAAGCTGTATACGCGTTCTTTTAGCTCTTCGGCGCTTGCTTAGTGCCTTGTTTGCCTTACAGAGCGAAGATACCTCTGCCTAAAGGAGAGCCACCTAGTGCATTATAGCCATCGTACCCTTGGTAAGCTGGTCTACAGCAGCCAACATTAAAGTCGGGGAGCTATTTTAATAGTTGGTAATACAAGTCTTAATGAGCGTTGACTGTAACTCGGCTTTTCGAGAGTTGTATAGTGTCTGGAAGACCCAAGATTATATAGTGCCCGGCTATGAGGTTGGGGGTGTTAGTATACGAAGCTAATATCTAGCTTCGAAAGCACCCTCTCTGGATCGTACAGTACAAGGCCAGCCCCTATAAAACCACCCTGTATATTCCTCTTGGTGATAGAGGCAAAGAAGGCCGTACGAAAGGCACAAAGGAACTCGAGCTTGCTTATGTGGTTGATATGTGCGCGTATTAAGTCCTCGATCTGGCGACTGTACGCCTGCTTTAACGGCCCAACGCAGCCAACATTAAGTGGCTAGAGGAGGTGGGAGGAATATAGAGGTATGCAGAGTATGATAATGTTATTCTACTGGCAGTAGAGCTCGAACTCGATCGAGTGGTGGCTTTCGTAGCCATCGAAGATCAATAACTGGTATTTGCCCTTTGTCCGAGGCGCTATATAGTAGTCGAAGTGCTTAATCCAATTAAGACCTACTATATTGGTGTGACGAAACCACAGGCAGTCCTGCCTCTGAAAGGGTTCGCCGGTCGAAGGTATCTGCTGGTCGGACTGTAGGTCTCGGTGAAGCCAAAAGGTTCACAACAATGCTAGTCGCAATGTCTGCACAATAGGTAGAAGCTATTGTTTGAATTGCTCACCGGAGAACTCCCAGAGTCCTCTAGAACGAGTGACTATATACTAGCTATCTTCCTGGGTGCTCAGTGCTTCGATCCCGATGAGCGCCTGGGTGCTCATCGTGGTGCGCTCTTGATCACCCTGGTCACTTATATCCTGCAGAGTGCTCAGTAGGCATTGGCACCTTAGCACCTCTGCCTGGTCCTGACTGGTCTGCCTTACTGTTCCACATGATTGGCTCGGAACGCCCCCGCGTCCCTACACACGGCCGTCTGCCCTGTAGCCTGCCGTTGGTTAATTCATGACACCTAGCCAAAGACATTGACGCCTTGGATCACTGTCGCCCATTCGCAGTTGCCAGGCTGGGCTAGCTTTGCCTTGCCACGGCCATCCGAGGTTATAACCACCATACCCGGGAAGATAATACCCATTATAAACCCTGTCTTATCGAAGTTAAAGATATTATCATCTACAATGCTATACTTGGCCTTGACGTTCTATACAAGGGCAAACCATTCGCCAATAACCTTCGGATCCTTACACTTGGCCCTCTGGTAGTTGTATCTACGTATATAACGCGTCTGGAGCTCTAGCTGGCATTTGACAAAGTTATACGCCCAGATCTTGCCGACAGGTAGCGCGTCGTATACGCATAGCAGTTGGTTGGCCATATCTTCCACACCATACAGTCTCGGCGGAAAAGCTCGCTTAAATAGCTCAATTATATACTGAACAAGAGCCTTCTCTTCGGAATCGGTGAGCCGGCGCGAGTTGGGCGTAGTATCGCGTCGTGCAGGTCGGCCAGCGCGCCGGTCGTAGAGGGTCGTAACTGGCACATTATAGAGCTTTGGCTACGGCTCGGAGGCTTAGTTCCTTATCGTTTTGAAGAGCTTTGAGGGCTAAAATTACCCTGGCTTCCTTTGAAGTAGAAGACATGTTGGGTTATAGAAAAACTAATGTTTAGGTGGAGGGAAGACGCATTGTGCCAAGAAGTGTTCGACTCGCTTATATGTTCGGCTCGCTTATAATGCACGTTAGGTACTGTTTGTTTACAGCATAACTTCCGCCTCTAGGACCGACCGCATGCTGAGCTCACCTCACAGCCAAACCAGAAGGAGTCCCTTCTGCACCAGTGGTATTTAGCGCTGCAGGAAGAGACACCAGACCATCCCCTGAGATTTCAAGGACCATTATATTCGTCTGATTTGGAATTTCAGATCCTATTCCGCAGTCACGTACTATAGCAAGCAATAACCCGGCGCTCGTCGCGACGAGGCCCTGACTCGATGTCATCAAACTCATGCCGACCGGCCATAGATATAGCCACTATGGTAGGGCGGCGGTATGGGGTTGTACTGCGGTGTCGTCGGCATGTTGAAGGTAGGGGCGATATGTATCGTGTTGCGCGGCTGGTTCTCGCTGAGGAACCCTTGAGCCGCCTCCGAGGCATCGCGTCCGTGTCGCTTGTTCTTCAGTTGTTTGATTCCAACCCATACCGCCGCTACTCCTGCGACGGAGCCTACCGCGCCGATGATGATGCCAGCAAGCTCGGCCGGACTAAGTCCGTTTTTATCTGTTTATCACATCCAGCGTCAGGACATGGGGGAAAACAAACTCAAGAAGAACTTGAAATCAGACTTACCACTCGACCCCGAAGGTGAGCCACCAGAAGCTGAGTTCGAGCTGCCAGATCCAGAAGTAGAGCTTCCAGATCCAGCAGACGTGTTCGACGTCGCCTCCGTCGCCGCATCAACGGTTCCTGTCGCCGAGCTGACACCGCCACTGGTCGCCGGGGATGAAGGGACGTCTGGGCTGATGCTGACGCCCATATAGGCACATGTCAAGGCTTGTGATTTCCGTATAGCTGCGGCGATGAGAAAGGATGATACATAATCAGCGTTTCACTCTATAATGACGGAATGAACGAGCTGGTCAAGTGCTTACATTTATAACTAGAGCCGCACTTGGAGGTCATGCAGCGGACATAGTCCGGGTGGTCGTACGCTTCGCACGTACAGGAACTGCATGACCCACTGACGAGGGTGAGAGTTTGCAAGCAGTCGAACTGCACGTGTCAGACACACGAATAAGGCTCGAGTTAGCTAGGCGTCCCGCGACGATCATGCGTGATATATTGGTGCACCCATCTACCCTTCGCGGGCCCTCGGGTTTGTAACGCACCTCACAATTCTGCGCAACCGCAACGCCAGCAGCGAAAATCGCCGCGAGCAACAGCTTTAGAGTCAAAAGTACCATGGTCGATTTAGGCTTTATGGTGAGACTCTGACAGTGGATGTCAATCTATACGCAGAGTGTCGCCGCTGCCTCTGCTGGGTCTGAGAATTGCCCTGGGGTGGACGGCTTCGTTTCGCGCCGGGAGCGGGAGGAGAGAGGGGCTGGAGAGCCTCGCCCGGATACTAACCACTCACCTCATGCCTTACCCATGCTCAATAAATGCGATTCGGGCCGTAGCTCACCATTTCCACCTCCCCCAAGAAAGCCAAGTGGCGTGCGCTAATGCAGGCTTGGAGTGCGGCTGAAAAAGGCTGAATAATGCAGAGATCTAGTAGCTAAGGTATTGTACGCCCCGTGACCCCATTCGGTTCCCTAATGAATGTATAGAATCTACCTAACGCAGATTTCTTGCAGTGGGCAGACTCTGATGCATGCGGTATTGCCATGTTGGGAGACCGGTTCGTGGAGGGCTCCGGCCAACAAATGGTGGGGTCCGGAGCAGGGCGGAATTGAAGCTAGAAAGGGGGCTTGGACTGGAATGTCTCCCGGTACCTAGGTACCTTACTTACCCATCGTACCGTGACAGTACTAAGAGAGATGGTTGTCGCTGCGAGGTCGGTTTGGCCCGGAATGAGCGTTCAAAACAACCGGAGTAAGAGTTATTGTCCCAAACCGTATTTCCCCTATCGTCGAGATGCAGAGACATGCTATGACGCATATCACCACTTACACCAGTTCGTGCGATAACGTTTTTGCATCGGCTTCCACACCGTGCATTTCCGTTGTCGACGCGTGATACTGTTAGTCCCTAAGGTACGGCAGTCAATGGCTCAAAATCACCTGTGATGTCTTGGATGTCCTTATCGATTGATAGCTGAGTAAGAGTTGCCTGAACAGTTGAACTGAGGATACCCAGATATTGGATGACGGCACCGGTGGAAAGGATGATTAAACATTCGGCGGTTATGTCCAGGACCCGAAACCCGATTGATAAGTTGACATGATGTTGTAAATACTTGCCTACTAGCAGTACTAGTAGTCTAAGGATTAGCACAGTGTGAATGTGCCAGTGCCAATTGGTAAAGTATAGGTACTCCCTCGGTCCCTCGTTCCAACACAATACGGATCGCACCTTCCTATAACTACGTACGCTGACGACCAACGTTCACTTGATAATCACGGAGTCGTAGTACTCGAATTAATCAAGGACATTACTTGGGACAGTTCTGTCCCGCACCGCAGTTGTGGGCGCTCCCAGACAGGCATCCATTTCAATCTAGCGTGCTTTTATACACCTCTTCTCGCTTGAAGCTCAACCCCACCGAAACAAGGCCTAGTCTCGGTTCGGCTTCCGCAACCGAGGCGGATCCAATCTCATTGGTCAGTTCGCAGGGGGCGTCTGGGGAATCGTACGATCTCGCTTCTTATCGCCGTGGGGCCCCTCAGGCCGTGTCTCGGAACCAGGGACCCGGTCCGAAGCCGTTTTGAAACACAACCTGTCATCTCAACATCAGGCTCCATCAGGGTCTGTACAACATCATCCTGTGATCATGAACGACATGTGATGCCTCTGTCCTTTGCCCGAATGCTCAGATTTTCCCAGAGTACCTCAATCGATACAGCCATAGTAGGGCGTTCGCAAAGAGCCGGGCAGTTTCCCTTAAATAAGGTAGCTATTCTGCAGGGCTCTAGTTCTGCCCGTAAGCGCCACTGTCGGCTCCATGTTCGGTTCTCGTTGGCTTTGGACGTATCTGTGTTCTCTTCCGGCAGGGACCAGTAATGGGCAATTGCGATTCGCTCCACGATCCCTGAAGAAACGGGTGGACGTTGCAGCGATCATACACATTCTTTCGACCTAGGAAACTCTGATGCACGGGTTCTTTTTTCCGGGATGGCTCTGTCCAGTGTCGAATGCTCCGGGCTTTCAAAGCATAAGAGCCGCGCGACCCCGTCTTCTTGGCAACTGGCCTACCGACCGGCACTGGCACGTTGCGCTCCCCGAGGGCGCAGCGTCATACTCTGACCTGCGCGACATGAAGTAACGTTAGGTGGTCACCCAAGGTAAGCTTCGGCTTCGAACCACTCTGCTCTCGCTGAACGCTGACTTCTCAACGCAGTGAACAGATAGGTTTTATGATTGTATAAGGTCCACACATCAAGCTTTTGGCTTATGTGTATTAACTATCTGGGCATGCGAGCCGAGTCCTTGGCCCATCGCCTTCAGACCATCCTCGGTCCCTTGCCCGGGTCGCCAAGCAGCAGCAAGGTGCATTTCACGGCGGCACGCCTTGCTTGGCAGTCGCACCTCAACTGCAACCCCTTTTCTTGGCCGACAGGACTGAAGCAAGCGATGTGATCCGACGATAACAACGCCCAGGTTTTTGAACCTGGTGTACCACTGAGGAGGTCTCAACGTCATTTAAGGTTGCCATCTGGGGATGATGAGTAACATGGCCCAAACCAGAGAAACACGGAGCCTCAACCCTGGCACGGGGCCGCGCCAAGGCGTCGAGACCGTTGGGTTAAGCTGCCCAAGGGTAAGGCCATACAAAACACCACCATTCTCCCGCTCGCTTCGTCGATCACGGATCGTGGGCATACGCTTCTCTGCTCTCATTACGTTTTCCTGTCTTACTTAGGGTCTGCGACTCTCTTCTTTTCTCTCTGCGTATTGTGTATATCTATACGGAGTACATATTACTTAATTCTGTGACCGCATTCCCTATTAACAGTTTGAGACATCTTAACTACTCGGCCGGCCCGTTCCCTCCTTTGTCTCACCTCTCTTTTACAGAATGGGTTTAACACTTCGCTCTCTGCTTCTGGCAGCCTCGGCAACGCGGGCCTTCGCATCATGTGCTCACGGGACATTCCTCCGTCCTCGTGCGGAAAACGGGACAGTGGAAGTGGGCAAGTTTGGATACAGCGGCAGCATTGTAAGCCTCTCCTCGGCTCGCCTCTCACTCCTTCTGGGAAGTCACTGTTGCTGACATAACACCAAGGGCCCGCTCAACTGGGCAGCACTTGATGCACCAGCCAACGCTGCATGCGCGACCGGTACCCGGCAGTCGCCCATCGATATGGTGGAGGGTGTGTTCACTGTGCTTCAGGGGTCGGAGATCGAGTTGACAGTCAACGATATGCCGGAGGGTGCCGAATTCGAGAACCTGGGAACCACTGTGGAGGTTATCACTCAGGGGGGCACATTGAAGGTTGGAGAGAAGCAGTTCGAGCTGCAGCAGTTTCATTTCCACCTGCCCTCGGAGCATCTGGACGCTGGCAAAAGTCAAGCGAGTACGTGAACTCGGTCCCTTCCAAAACCTCCATTCCCTTACCTTACATTCAGTGACTAACCCGCCCCAGTGGAAATGCACATGGTCTTCCAATCCGCCGGGACCCAGGAAATCGCCGTCATCGGCACCTACATCAACATCGCAGATCAAGCCGCTGCCCCAGCCACTCCTCCCGCTCCCCCCGCCGCGAAGCGTTCCCTGAGAAGCCGCATCACCCGCCGTCAAGAAGCAACACCCCCTCCCCCTCTCCCAGCCACGGCCGCCACGGGCGCGACAGCACTCTTGGAAACACTCTTCAGCGTTGTCGATCAGATCTCCACCCCAGGCACCAAAGTCAAGACCCCGCCGCTGGTCATGTCCGAGGTTGTCGACGTCCTGAAGGCCAACGCCTTCCAGATCTACTCGGGCTCGCTCACCACGCCGCCCTGCAGCGAAGGGGTCAACTGGCACGTCTCGACCGCCCGGCTCGGTGTGACGCCTGCGAGCTTCACTAAGGTGAGGGACGTGATTGGGTTCAACTCGCGGTACCCGCAGAACACGCCGGGCCAGCCGAACATTCTGATGCTCTCCGCTCTCGGGTCGGCGGCCGCTGCTGTTGCGGTTGCTGCGGCTCCTGCTGCGGCTCCTGCTGCGGCTCCTGCTGCGGCTCCTGCTGCGTGAGGAAGTAAAGAGGAAAGTGGGAAAGTGATAGAAGGGGGTTGGGTGGGGCAGAGGGTGAGGGACGGATGGCGCTAGTGATAATGGAAGAGAAAAGCCGATGTAGACAATGGATGTTGTCAAGGTTGAAGCGTGAAATCAAGCGATATGTCCGAGATACCGATGCTCCGGCAGCTGAGATTTATCCTTCCATCTATCATGATCCATCTCTATACTGTGTAAGTTGGAATACCGCGTAGCCGTGAACTGCCATGCATTGCCCCCCAAAGAGCTGCAAGCCCCCAGCCCTACATAGGAGACTTCCTTTGATCTGTCACCCCAGAACGACTTATACACTTCCAGTGCATGTACAGACAAGTGTGCGAGTGCGGTGTGGGTAATTGCAGCACAGAGCATTCCATCTCCACGGTAAACCATTTTGAAGCCTTGTCCCGCGACGATGCGTTTGCGGTTCAAAAAGGTGGCGATACATGGTCGTTCATTACTCGAAACCTCCCTAGCCTTACTTACGCGAGTGACAGGCTACCTACGCTCACCAGGCTTGTGAGGCAGTGATGCCGTTCGCAAGGGCAGGCATTTGGCGGGGTTGTGGGACGACAGACAGCCTGCCCAAAGGCCTGAGGTGGACACTCGATGACCGCACGGGGACCACGACTCACGAGGTCTACGCGATCAGAGCTGGGCGCGTCAGACATCGCACCGTCATGGTTGTGGGCCTCTGTTTCGGATTCAGTGTGGCAAGCACTGCAGGCAAAACTAGAAGTGTCCAGAAAATGTGGGAGGCACCAAAGGCTTACGGTGGGCGTGGTTGCAGGCTGCTGCTCGCTGGCTCTCCTCAAAAAGTGCGATCAGCCTCCGCAAGCAAATAAGGCGAACAACCGGAATCCGGAACACTGTGCCGGATGCGCCCCACTTGCCTTATCGGGCGCTACTGTGGATTCAGCCCCGCTGAATAAAGTTGCGGAGGTGGGTCCAGTGTGGTGGAATGGAAGTTCACGCTCCACCTGACAGAGGAAATCAACGACCATTAGCATACGTACCTGTAGGTAAGGTACGTAACACGTTGGAATATTAAGAACTTACAATCAGTCAAGCTTCATTGCGTGGAATTGCGTATATATGGTGGGGTTGGATGGTATAACTGAGCCTGTACGGTGCTCAGTGCAACCTCAGGTACTTTATACGTCGGGTAGACAGTACCTTAGTTGGTTGGAGAATTGCTCATGATGAGGGCTCAACGCCCTGACCTGTCCGTGGGCATCAAAAGGCTCGCGGTGGTGATGGTATACTACCAGGTATTTATTGCAATCAAGCTCAAAGCAATCTTAAACGTCGGGGAAGCCTTCTTCAAGTGGATGAACTGATCCCAAATCCTGACATCAACTTGTAACATGCAGGGAAACAGCACTTACATTTGCAGCAAGTCTGAACAGTGCTAAGACGTCAAACTACGTCAGACGAAGGGTGTGGGATTGCGCTCGAGCCTCCTTATTCCATTGAACTACGTACCTTACCTAGTATGGTCCACTCTGGGAGTTCATAACCAATCTCCACGTGCTCTGATTGTACAGCTTACTTGGCTATCTGGCCATGACAAGACGCGTGACCGTGACCGTGTTTGTATAGAAAACAGTGCGACTAATGGTGAGTGGCGACGCGCATGCTACACAACACACCTGATCTAGCTTTACGTCTTCAATCATTTCTACCCTCCACTCCGCCACCAAACTTCCTCCACCTGTACACTCTCACTCCATATTACTCTTTCACACCATCTGTACCCTCTCGTTTCTCGTTACACTTTCACGCAACCATCCGAGCCACTGACGCCTCCCAATATGTGCAGAGGCGTCATCCTTAACTTTTGGTGTCCGTGCACATGGTCTGGACATGAGAAGGAAACCAGATACGGAGGGCACGGGGCGTTCGGTCACAGCGTCGTCCGCCAACTAAACCTGGGAGCCTACAGATGGTGCTCTGACTATTTCCCGTCGGAACATTTCCAACTTGGGCTGTTCATACCGAACTGTCCCAAGTCGATCGACCACGACTGGCAGCATACCCGGTCAACCACGCTCTGCGACGAGTGCAAGCGACTTGGCTGCCCATTCCAGTACAAACCGCGCAGCAATTATGGGCACTTGACAGCGGAGGAGCGGAGAATACGCGACTCCCGATGGACCCCGAGAGAAAGGAAGCACTATCGAAGCAAGCGTGCGCGCAACGAGCCGGCAACCCCGCCGTTGCGGACAGTAGACGCTTCGGCAGTCGTGTTAGAGCAGCCGAAACCCACCAGAACTCCAGTGCCAAGGATGAGAACTCCGAAGTGGCCCAGTGGCCTCGGTTGGAGGCTCGTCCGGGGTGGTACGGCCGAAATGCTGGATGTTCAATGGACAAGTAAGAGCGTCTGCAACGGAAACAAGGTCTACAACAACGAGGAAGTCTCTCCATCATCGGCCAAATCAGCCGCGATTAAGCTCGACACCGAGGCAGTTAAGGCAATCACCAGTGATGTTGACAACCAGCCACAGAAAGAGCAGGGCTCGACCGACATCATTCATACGAAGACAGCGGGCGATAATTTCATGGAAGTGGCTCAGCAAGTTCGCGAAAAGTACACTCATTCGTATTCCGGAGACAGGCCAGGCGCAGGACGGCTGGGTGGTCGGGCTAGAAGCAACACCACCGCCGCCCTTGGGCCCCGGCCCGTGCTGTTTCAACAGACGGACATCCAAATCTACGATGACGATGACAATGACGATGTCGACGCCGATGTCCTTTCACTAGATGCCAACCAAGAGGGGCTCCGGTGCGAACAGGAAGCCACGGACGAGGAATGGGCGGAGCTCATCAGGGGGCTCAACTATCAGATGAGACCGGGCTCTCGTGCATCAGATAGGTCCGAGGCGTCCACACCCTCGACCGTTATCGGTAAAGATTTGGCTCAGGACATGTCTGAGGTATCTACGCCGTCAACTGTTGTCGGTTCAGAGCGTTAGAGACGATGGGCTGGAATGGTTGCGCGGCTCTTCGGCGACTCTCATGAGCAATGAGACGTTGCGGGGGGGTGGTCTCGACGGAGAGAGTTGGTTGAGGAAAGCAGAGGATACTTGCAGCTGTAGGACGTGGCAGGATATTGTCGGATCCAGGAAAGCTGGGATATCTGGGATGGGGAATTTCTTTGAGAAAGGAGTGCTTGGGAATGGAAGAAGTATGAGAAGTATTGGTGGATATTCTTGCATGCGCTTGATGCGAGATCGCCGATGTGCGAGACTGGCAAGGGGCTGCTTTGTAATGTAGCTTGGGTTTCACGGTTTAGATCTTTTTGTCCTTGCACTTGAAAGGGGCTATCGATGCCCTCATAATTCAGAGAGGTTCACTTCAAACAGAGAAACGTGCAGGTAGCGAGGCTATTGTAACTTTCTTCGTCATGCTGACACTGCATATGAGACGCGGCATAACACCGTTACCCCAATGGAATCGTCAAGGTATAATCAAGCTATCGACAAGAGTTTGAACTGTACAGTAGGCTTGTCAACTATGAACAGCGATACTATCCGCGACGGTCAGACTAGGATCCTGACCTAACCATCCTTCCTATTTGTTTCCGTCGTCAATCCAACAAACACTACCAGCACCGAAGCATATGCTGCGGTAGATGACATGACCTCCACATGGCTACTGAGATAGATGGCAGCCATCACTCCAAAGGTAGCCACGAACACCGTTGTCGACACCAAGGCCGCGTAGAGGGTGTTGTGTAGGATCATCAACCACATGGGTGCGACGAGAAAGGCGCCAGCGAGGGCCGGTAAAAGCCGTGGGCCCAGCTTCGGCGGTAGTTGTCCCGACGGGTATCACGAACTGAGGGCCGCTCGGTACCTTCATTCTCCCAATATCTGGCAGCAACTATTTCTTGGTCGTCACGCCTGTCGAGCATGTGCGCAAGCTGTTTCCGGTCAAGGTACCATTCGCCGCTCATGTAGATCGGGTCTCCAGGCAGCAAGCTCCTCTTCTCTGGTGGCGCTTTGGGCAGAAAATGGACGACAAGAGGGGGTTGAGGGGTTGCCCGGCCCAGCCACCGTATATCCATACTACTAGTAGTATGCAATGTAACATGCTGTGCTCCACATCGATTGAGAAGCTGCATTTTAGCTCTGTGCTCAATGTAAGAGGTAAGTCCTTCCATTGGCCAAGCAGCCATCTCCTCTTCAATGGGGAGAACGTTGATCGGGTGATTCAGCCAGGGGGGTGCCTGATCAGTGCATGCAGGTCAAGGTGTGTGTGCTACCTGCCAGTGAGCGATGTTGCCGGAGGGGTTATTTAACGTCTCACTATGAACTTAAAGGAGTCGGTCAGTTGCTCATTCGCTTTCTTCCACCGGCACTTCATCCCAACCTTGCGCCCAAGAGTCCTAGCTGACCCCAAAAAAGGATGTCCAGAAGGGTCGGCAAAAAACCAGATGTTCCTCATGCACAATTCAGACCATGCATGATTGATGTTGAGATCGAGACCCGTTCGACTGGGACTGAGAAGGCCGCCGATGGCGACGACAACCTCGGTCCTGACAGCAAGGCCATATCGACAACAATTCTACTTCTGTTTTCGCACAAGATCTATGCGGAGATGTACAACAAATATGCCGAGATGTGCATTTGCCGCGCCAGAGAGGCTGGTGATCCCTCCCCGAGCGCGATTACCTTTACGTACGATGGAGAAAAAGACGTCAGAATCATTATCGACTCGACCCTGCCGTTCTACCCCACCAAGTTCTCAGAACGTGTTCTTACATTCGCCACGGCTGAAGATGCCCAGCAATGGGAGAACACGACCAGGTTATGGGGAAGCTACAGCATGAGGCTCGCGCCAAACGAGCGGCGTATTCCGGATGAGCTGCGCTACCACGACTTCAGCCGCCGAATCAGTATTCCCGAAGAGTACGAGCGTCGTATACTTGCGTCCGGAACGACTGTGTATAAGGGGTCAGCCTCCGATGACTCTGGTGAATAAGGGGCCATCTTCCTATGGCGCTGCCGTCAGGAGGTCGAGGGAGCACTGGGTTGGTCTTATATGGGAATGGGTGATAGAAGTGGCGATCCGGTGCACAGCTGGGCCCTAGTCTTACCTGGAATGGATCATGTGGGAACATCCCTTCCTGGTAAGCCGTGCATATACGGATCTCACAGAAGGGGTGACGTTTGATCCCTTACTCTCGAGCAGGAACATTCTTTCTCCTGATACAAAAGGAGCACATTCTCAGGGACTCGTAAGGTCGTTGATAGGTGCCCAATGCGTTCATTCCCGACTATCACGTTTCACGGTGCCAAGGGCGCTTGAGTCAGTTACTAACCTAAAGCTGTCTAAGTACTTACCTAACTCTTCTACGCATTGGCTCAACTGTCAAGGATCGTTGCCTAGCAACCTGCTCACCCTGGTAACAATGCTATCCCGCCACCTTTTACCTCAGCCCTATCAAAGTAGAAAACGACAACAATTCAAACCACTGGAGATGTTACTTTTGTAGGTACAGGATCAAGTCTACGTTACCAGCTTTTTCATATTCCGCGCACTCAACCTATCTAGTACTAGAATATAGCAGGCACTAAGTCGGACCCCCCCCATTCCGAACACCCCACATTCCGAACACTTTGTAAGCCTTGGCATCTGAACCGCCCATCTTCTTCAACCTACTACATTACAACATCATCAACCCACCACAATACAGGAAGCATCTGAGTCGGAGCTTTCTGACCCGCTCTCTTTAATGCCAGACTCTTCAAGACGACCAGCCTCAATTTGAGCCCGGTGTACCTGTTCAATGGAAGCGAACTGCTTATTCGGATCCGGGACTACCCTCCTCCTTCTCGACGGCCGGGCTGCCTCCAACTGGACTTTCAGAGCCTCGTTTTCCTGTTGCAAGCGAGCCAATTGGAAATCCTTCTCATCAAAAGCCTTCTCAACCTTCTTGAATAGAAGCCGTCGCGTAGAAAGATCTTGCCGCCGGATGGCCAGGTTGGTTAGGTGATCCCGAAGGTCTACCTTCTTGCGTGGAGTCTGAAATTCGACCTCCTTAGCCGTAGTAGTGGGATGGCCAGGTAGCGTAGGAGCTGGGGTCTGTAGTAGGCGTAGTAGATCATCTTCGTCAGGCGCCCGGTTCGAATTTTCCAGCAAGAGAGAGCTCATCAGTGGTTTGGCTATACTAAGAGGCTATAACCCAGATGCCTTCCACCCAGCTTTGATGTTATGAGCTATAATTGACTCCCTACGAGCCTGGACAAGGCACTTTAACATCAACTGCTTGCCCAATGCAGTATATTCTGACCAGCTAGTCAAACGATTGAGGAGCTTGTAGTAGGTGTGATTGAGGGGAGAGAACACTGATAAATCCAACGTCTAGAGAACGTAGGAGGTATAGGCTGGTACAAAGAGTAGTTGGATATTGTTGTTAAAGCACTCCCATATAAATTCAGTGGTTGTATAGCTGCCATAACCGTCCAGTATTAACAGCCGCCTCTGGGAGGGATCCTGCGGCTGGGTCCGAGGGATGAAGACCTATTGCAGCCATTCCAACGCAATTACCCTATTCACCTAGCCTTTATCGGTTGCAGTGAATAGCCAGTCCTTCAGTTCGTCCTTGGCGATAGGGAACCACTGCTATTAAATGCTCTTGCCCCTGAAAATGACAGCTGGTGGGAGTGATACCCCTATCGGAGACGCACTCCAAGAAGGAGGTCCAGGCATGCGAACCAGGGACTTTCCGTTGCACTACGCGTGTATGGGCACTTCCAACTACCAAGCCGTTGATACCCTGACCTTCCATAAGGCCGAATTCGTCAAAGTTCCAGCGGTTGGCAGGTAAGATGTCCTTGATAGCTAGGATCTTTAATTATAGAAACCAGCTACGGATAACCGCGTTAGTGGCGCCGTTGATACGAGCTGAGTCGATCTTACGGCCTCTCTGGGTTCGGATAACCGGGTTTCTACGAAGAAACCGGGTTATCCAGCCCTTTCCAATGGTTATACGGGTGGCTCCCTGTGCCTATAGAACTCGGCTGGTGAACTCCCTGATCTGGGTATGGGTTGGTGGAACACCGAGAGCGGCCTGGGTCAAGACCCATCGGGTAAGATGATCTTCCTGTACCCGGCTAAGAGTCTGTTACGGTTCGGCGGCAATAGAATGGGTCTGCGAGCCGTGGAGGCGGTCGTATAAGGTAGTCATTGGGATGCCGAATTCCCGGCTGATGCTTCGCGCTAAATAGCCACCGCGACGGTACTTAGCAACCGCATCTTGTAAATCTTGTTCCGAGTAAGCCATCGTAAACTGACGATACTATTGCCCAAAATATGAAGTGATTTAACTTAGAATTGACTGAGTTGTGGTAAGTTGAACTGAGGGGGTCGAAAAAGCGGTGTGGGCTTACAAAGTGTTCGGAATGTGGGGTGTTCGGAATCGGGGGGGTCCGACTTAACTCTACTCACCTCAGTCCTTGCGACACAGCGGCCCATCAGGCCTCTCCACAAACTCCTCCGCACCCACACGCGTCGGACAGTAAAAAGCATGCTCCGGATCATACTTCCTCTTCACCGCCAAGTGGCCGTCATAGTCCGCACCATAAAAGGTCCGGATATACTCCGGATCGTGCCGGTCCCCCTCGTTCATATACCCCCCGGTATCCAGGGCGAGCCTCTTGAGCGCAGCGCCCTTGACGTTCGTGATCTGGTTGGTAACATACTCCCGTACCTCACGTGTCGCGACCTTTGGAATCCCCTGGCCCGAGATCAAAACAAAAGGGGACGTCCGCCAGGCAGGGTGCAGGCCGGATCTCGTGTCGGCAGCGTCCTGGAAGACCTGGCCGCCCGAGACGAGGAGCACCACGTTGGAGACCACCTCCTCGGGCGTGCCGCTGATGATCTCGACGGTGTCGCGCACCCTCTTGTAGTCGGAGACCGCCTTGGGGTCGATCATGCGGGAGGTCAGAATGGAGGTGTCGCCGGCCGGGTCGTGCAGGCCGGACTCGGCGTCGTAGAAGGACCAGTAATCCGGGTACTGGGTAAAAGTGGATGAGATGGATAGTTTGTCGTGGAACTTCTTCTCCTCGAGCAGCTTGAGCGTATCGGCCATGGCGTCTTCGGCCTCGGTCTAGTTCTTGCCGATGGCCCAGATGCCGTGGGTGTAGCCCGAGTGGGCCTGGCCGACGAACGGTCCCGGGAAGCGGCGGAACCAGAAGCCGTACCCGGCGTGCCCCTTGCCGTTGAGGCTGGGGAACTGCTGGAGCAGTACGGAGACGGCGTCGAGGAGGTCGGCGTTCTCCGGCGTCTGCTGCAGCAGAGCGATTGCGAGACGATGGGCTGTGACTACTACATCCACGTTGGGGTACGCCTTGATGTGCTGGCTGAGGACGATGCCGTAGCCGGGGCCACCGGCCCGGATGGCTCGGAAGAGGTCGGTGTTCTTGCAGTGGTTGGCAGTGACGATCTGGCCGTTGGCGAGCATCACCTCGGCCTCGAGGATCTGGTCGGCGCCCAGCCCGTAGTTGCGCGTCGCGGGGCCGTGTCCGCCGCCTGACGACCACCCGCCGATGGCGCCCGGAGAGAGCGAGCCGTGACCGACGGCAATGACGTTGTTCGCCTTGGCGACCTTGTACACGTCGCGCCACTGCCATGCGCCATCGATGTGCAGGGCGCTGCCCTTCCAGCCGGACTTGGTGCACTGCCGGGCTGACTTGAAGGTCTTTTGGAAGTTGATGCCGTTGCGGAAGTGGCGGAGCCAGACTTCAAGACCACCGTAGCCGTCGGAGCGGCCGAGCAGGTCGTGGCCCGTGCTAGTGACGAGACGGATGTTGTTGTGCTTGGCGAACTTCAGCGTGAGGGCAACATCCTTTCTCGTGGTTGCGTTGACGGCATACACGGGAAGGGAGCCGAGCGTGCACGCCGTGGGAGTCTCGCCTGCCGTGTAGTTCACCGGAGTGCAGGTGATGTTGTAGGGATATGGCCTGCCGACTGGGTTGCTGGTCTGGAAGTCTTGGTCTGACCACATCTGCGTCACATAGCCGCACTAGTTCAAGTCCATGCGAGCGCCATTGTAGCAGGACTCGGCAATGGGCGAGGTCCGGATGAGCTTGCCTCTGCCTAGTAGCTGTTCGAAGGACCGCCATTGGCTCTGGCTCGGCCAGCATTTGTCACCGGGTACCTGCTACAGGGAGCAAAGTGAGATTTCAGATTTTCAGTCAGCAGACCGAGGAGGCGGTCCCTTTCATTTACACATCTGCATCTGGGGTCGATTCCTTGCTCCAGGCCGACAGCAAATGAAAGACCAAACTGAAGTAACAGTACTAGTAGTTGAGGACGCATATTTCCGTCAGAAGAAGGAACCGTTACCGCTTATACGGATTACGGGGGACGAGAGTCACAAGACATGTTATAAGCCATAACTGATCCGGCCAAGCGCTGGGCCGCGCAACCACATATCCATAGTCCGGTGCGCAGGACAAATGGGGGATCCCTTACGAGCTACTAAGAGGATTACCATGGGGTTGCTGCGGGTGAGCAACGCGAATGTAACAGCTCATCTGCTTGGAATCTTGGTATTGGGTCAGCAGCCCGGGAACGCGGGCGTGGAACCGACTGAGCCGCTTGGCTGCATGCTGCGATGTGTTGTCCGAGTCAGATCAACAACGACAATGCACAGTTCTTTTGCTAGCCCACTTCATCCGTGGCCTCGACCAAAAGCGAACTTCTGGTGAGGGGGTAATATCACTGTCTAGACCTTATAGTCCTTACTCGGTGTGTACCTTAGGAAAGGGGGAGCGGCCCGCCAGACTGGAAGAATGGTATAGTTGAGCTCTGACGGCAAAAAGCAGCAAACCGGTGCTCACTACTAGTATGCAGGAACGTCCAGCGCGGCTCTCACCCGAACCTGTCAAGGATGACGATGAGCAGCCTGTGTTTGATGAGGTCTACGACCTGCTTTGGCAGGCCATTGAGCAGCACGATGTCAACATCGTCCGGCAGCTTCTCCACCGGTTCATATCGATCTACCCGTTCCTTCTGACATGGCAAGACAAGGAGGGGGCAATGCCGCGGTTGGTGACGGTAGCGGCGAGGAGCGGCGCTGTGGGAGTCCTGGAAGTGTTTCTCGAATATCACAGCTGCCGGGAATCTCCGAGCCGATCTCTTCATGATGATGACGACGTTCGGAGACCTTTCTTCACAACGCTGAATGCAGCATGCCAGGCCGCGCAGACCGGAGCCGTGCGCTATCTTCTCGACCTCGATCCGCCGTAGGATATCGAGGAAAGGGATGACTACGGAAACACCCCTCTCTTGTCTGCACTGCAGGCCGACTTCAGCCAGGCCGAGCAGAGAGACGAGACTGTCCGCCTGCTACTAAACCGCGGTGCTGATGCGACCGTCGTACTCAAGGATGACGATCAGACAGTACGCGCGACGGTGCTGACAATGGCTATGCTGTCTGGGAGCCCCCGCGTAATCAAGTGGCTCGTCGAAGCTGGTGCCAGCCTTGATGTCAAAATAGAAAGAAATTCGACTCTGCTGCACCTTGGTTGCCAGCACCACAATGCCGCCGCGGTTCGGACCCTCCTCGATCTCGGTGCCGCTTCCAATCTCACAACTCCAGACAGCGGCGGCCGATTGCCTCTTCACACGGCAGTCGATTGGGTGACCTTTCAGCAAGTAAAGTATGTGGAGCATCCTTCTCACAAACCCATATGCATGCCGTCCATCCACGAGACCGTCGCGCTGCTCCTGTCCGACGACAAGATGCGCCGCGCCACACTCAACGCAAAGGACGTCTTGGGACGCACGCCACTCCACCTCGCGGCGGGGAGCTTCCGCTATATTCCCGTCCTGCGCCAGCTCCTCGACCACGGCGCCGACCCATCCATCCGAAGCTTCGACGGCGATAGCTTGCTTCACGCCATCTTATCATCCAGCACCTGGCAGTACTCTACAGAGTCTACTTTCAATTACCGGGAGCGCGAGGTACATATCGACGAAGCACTCTTCCGCCGCTTGCTCCGCCCGCCGGTTCCAATGCACGACACCACCACCACCACCACCACAACAAACAACACCACAAACCACCCGGACGTCGACCTCCCTGACCAGGCTGACCCCATAACGACTACTACGACCCTCGTCAACGAGCCCGACAGCCAGGGCAACACACCCCTTCACCTAGCAGCCGCCGCCTGGCTAGAGCGCAGCATCGCCATCCTCCTGCACCTCGGCGCCGACCCGCGGGCGCGCAACCACGCCGGCAACACGCCAGCCCACCTAGCCGCCCAAATACCAGTACTACCACCACTACCGCCCCCACCCCACAATCACATCACCGCCGGCGACGACGAGGACGACGACAGCATCTTAACCGAGGCGCTAGCGATGCAAGACCGCGTCATGGCACTCCTCCGCCTCCCTCCCCAAACTCAAACTCAAACTCAAAGTCACCAAAGCGAGAAGGATAGCACGCTGACGCTGACGAGGGGTGGTGGTGAAAGTGAAAGTGAAAGTGAAAGTGAAAGTGAAAGTGAAACGGCGCGTGCCGTCATGCAGCGCGAGCGGGCTGTGCTGCGGCAGGCGGCGGCGGCGGCGGGCGTGTGTTTGTCAAGGCGCGGGCGCTGAGGGAGGGGGCCGCGCGGGAGCTGAGGCGGATTGACGACGACGACGACGAGGAGGAGGAGAAGGAGGAGCTGCCGGTAGAGGCGAGGCGGACGTCGAGGTGGTTTAGAGTGGGGCCTGGTTGGGGGGCGGGGAGGGATTTGTTGCGGGTTGTGGATGGGCATGTTTTTTATGGGCTGGAATCACTTGGTGGTGAGAATGAGATGGGGATAAGGACGGGGGGAGGAGGGGGGGGGGGGGGGGGGGGGCGGCGCGGATGGGGATGATGAGGTAGCGGAGATTACGAGGCGGTTGGATCGGCTGCTGCAGGAGTAGTCGTAGATGGGGCTCGTGTGTAGTATACAACAACGGCGTTTTAGATAGAGGCCGGCGAGATGGGCGTTAAGCATGATAGCCGCCACACCACAGAATCCAGAGAGACTATCAAGAACATTTCTTAGTAAGAGTAGCTGTCAATAATAGTCTATTTGTAAGCCGCAATACCATATAGTCTCTCAACCAGTCGTAGTACCTTAATATGTAATACACGCTTCCGCCCGCATCCCTCACATCCTCAACTAGCCCGCGACGACCTCTCCACGCGAAACGTCTCAGTGACCATGATCTCATTACTCCCCAGCTTATGCGCCCCCCTCTCCCCCCTTTCCCCCCTACTCTTCCCCCCAGTGTCACCCCCTTCCTCATCCGACCTCCGACCTCTACTACTACATCCCATCATCATCTGATTCCGACGGTATTCATCCCCCAGAATCTCCTCGCCCGACGAGTTATCCCCGCCCACCACTACGCTGCTCCGCTTCCCCCTTCCCACTGTCGTCCGCGTAAAGGGCCCGTTGACGCCCAGCTTCACATCGCTGAAACTGACCTCGTCCGTACTATCCTCGACGTCCTCATCCCTATCGGCATCGGCACCACCACTCCCACTCCCACTCCCACTCCCATTCCCACTATCACCCTGTGTCTTCTTACTCCTCTTGGAGACCAGCACCACAGGCTTCCCATCCGCGTCGACCAGCCCGCCGCCGATGGTGCGCAGCGGGACCGAGTTGCTGTTGTTATTATTTTGTTGCGGCTGATGGGAGTTGGATTGCTTCTGGTAGCCGCCCGAGTTGTTGTAGTACGAGGAAGCGCCGAAGAGGCGGCGGAAGGCGCGCTTGTACAGCGGCCGGCACACGGGGATGCCGATGCAGATCAGGGTGACGGCCATCTCGGCCGAGGACCAGACGATTAGGCCTACGCTGTCTTCTGTTTTTTTTTTATTGTTTTGGTTAGTGGAGATTCCAATTTCCATTTCTCTCTCTCTCTCTCTTCTTTTTGTGGTTGTTGAGGGGATAAATAAAAGGGGGGAAAGGGAGGGGGGTAGTACGTACTCAGGTAGTTCGATGTGTACAGGCCTTCGACCTCGGTCGTTCGCTTGATACCGGCTGCAGCGGCGCTGAAGGGAGTCAGTTACTGCTGGTTGGTCTTCGCGCTCCTGCGACACGGCGGAGCCAAGTCAGAGACTCACACCAGACCCAGACTCATACTACCGGCGATGGTGTACTTCTCCCGCTGCGGCATCTGGAGTGGGTAAACAATGATCCAGGGGAAGACGGCGAAGAAGAAGTCGACAGTGATAGTCGAGACTGTGTTGGTTCAAAAAAGAAAAAGCAGGGTCAGTCCGTTGCCGGTCGCTTGTCCAGTGTCAGGAGAGGGACATACTGCAGAGAATGTACGATGTTGGCCGGGTATCGATCGGGCAGTACCCGCCCGGGATGCGGCGGTCGTACACATAGTTCAAGGGGACGCACGAGAGCCAGAAGCAGAGGACTTGAGCTGTTGAACATCAGTCGGGGGAGATTTCGAAGTGCGGACTCCAATCCCTCCAGACAACGCACCGATAGACGCCAGCATGACGAGGGTCATGGCGCTCCAGATGGCAATCCTGTGCCAGGGGATGGTGACAAGACGGAGCAGGAAAAAGCCGAGCGAGGCTTTCGCGATGGCCATGCCCACGATGGCGAACCCCTGGCCAATACACTCATAGAGCGTCGCCCGCACGGCTTGGTCGATGTCCCCGATCTCGTCCATGGTCTGGCCGAAGCCGTGGTTGCCGGCGAGGGTGGTGAAGATGGTGAAGATGAGGAGGAATACAAAGGCCGTGAAGTAGACGTGGTCGTCGATGCCGTACGACGCGAGACAGACGACGCGCGTGTAAATGCGCAGCAGCAGGAAGAAGAACACCAGGCCCGCCAACAGCCACATAACGCTCAGCGCCCAGGGCGCGTCGCCCTTCAGCCCCATGCCCTTCATGATGTCGACCGCAGAACGGCGCGAGGCGAGGAATATGGGCCAGCCGTCAGCCGTCGTCGTCCTTTTGGCTCTGTGAGGTCAGATGCTGTGCCGGCTACGCTCATGAAATGTCGGAGTCAAAGTCCGCGCGGGTCCGGGTTGTTAGTGTATGGAGTGTCGACGGACCATGTATTTGAACCGCTGCCTCTGGAGTGAACATGGATGACAGACGGCAGGCAAGGACAAGGCAAGACCGGGTGCCATTGCTACGACGCTCATTCAACGGCCGGGTCGATCATCTTCGTTTCGGGAACAGGGGGATTCTGCAGCTGGTTATGAGTTGCGAGAATACTGTGCAATGCAGCGATCCTGTCTGGGGCAGGGCCAAAGCTGGTCTCGGTACGGAATACCCATGAGAGAGAGGTTTGGGTGAGGGTCGGTGTTGCCGGAAATTTCGTTCCTGCGGGACCACCACGAGTGCTCCCAGCATCTGACAGAAATTTATTTTAACGTTACGTACCCTCGAGGTACCCCATGGCCGTGATCCATGATGTTCAGTTTTCTTGGGGAGCAAGGGTCGCATTCCCCTTCCCGCATATCCCCGCGCGGAGGAGAAAAAGCAACAGCTGAAACGATCAACAAATCAACTGGCTGACACCCAGCAGGCGAGGGTCCTGGACTCGTCGTCTGCTGCTTCAAATCAGCCCGGGATGCATCTATCATGTCGCCATCGTCAAGGGCTCGAAAAGTCCTCATGATGCGGGGAGCGGTGAGAAGACAAGGCTTTTCTTTGCCACAATCCCACGAGTCGCCGGGGAAGTCAGTTCCGAAAGGCCATCATGGTTGTGCCGACTGACCGGTTGAGCCCGTCCCGCGGATCAGCATCCCGGGGATAGCGCTTGAACATTATGCCAGGGCCAGGTTTGACAGCTGCCAAGAGGCTAGGGCCAAGGAGGAGCGAGATCCTTGGGATCCCAGCGAGTGAGGGAACGATGGGCAGGGCCTGGAACGTGGGGGTTGGTTCAGAGGCTTGCGCTAGGGGGTCGCCTCGGACATTCCCCGAGTGCTTGGTTATTGCACCAGGGCTGTGCCTGGACTTTGGACAGTGGAGGTACGCTGGAATAGGTACCTCCTCAACTCCTGCTGGCTAACGTTCTGTGCCAAACCGCAGCGAACAGTTGATGATGGGACCTCTCAGAATCCAGTGGGCGTTGGCTTTGATAGCATCAACGGAAGGGTCTCAAAGAAACGCTTTATTCATGTTGAGGCGATAACCTATCGGTCAGTTTGCTTGACAGGGAGGGTTACTGTAGCCCAGTAAATTATGGTTGCAGTGCATGCCTGGGCGTGTCGACAACTCAACCGTGTTACGGAAGAGTTACCAGGGCTGGGGACTTTGGGTGGCATGGCGAGCAAGTGCCGGGGAACCGACACAAAGGACGCGAGGCAGGAGCAGGAGCTCTCCAACTACGAGCAGTGAGGCCCGAGAAGGCACCACTCAAAAGTCGAGGCTTGAATGTTGGCAAAGAGGAAACGCACATACCGTTAGCACTTGAAGGTGGCGTATTACTTCACCCTGATCGTCCAGGAGAATTGCCGTCTGCAACTGGTCCATACCAAGATTGTCCAAACCTGCATATGCGATGTGCCATCCATCATCAACCGCTAAAACACAATGGGAACAGCGAAAAGTGCTTGGGTGAACCCCACTTGCTTGCCATTGCTGTTCATAACGAGTCCCTGCTGCTGCTGCTGTTGCAATTTCCGGTCTGCTTCTGCACAGGGCAAGCTTCACCTTCCCCGTTTCCTTCCTTGCCCTTTTACCTCTCCCGCGTCCTGCGCTCCCATGGCTTCAGCCTCGCCCGCTGCCGATGGCGGCATCCCCTGGCGTGGAGGGATCCCACTGGATTTGAGCCCCGTGTTGGCCGGTATCTGGGAAAACAAGCTGGGCGTTCTCGTCCTTGCTCCTTCCGTTGCCTTTTTTCTATGGCTTTTTGTCGCCTACCAGACGTCGCCCCTGAAGAAGTACCCCGGCCCCTTTCTGGCAGGTAAGTTACCAATTATCTCACGTCAGCCCGTGTAACTACTGCACGATACATACTTCAGTTCGTACCTCAGGCCCACTGACGACCCGCCAGGATGGACCAACCTCTGGCGGCTCTGGCAAGTCATCTCGGGAGAGTATGCGCCCCGGATGAAGAAGCTGCATGAGAAGTACGGGCCGGTCGTGCGGATCGGGCCGAACCTGCTGGACCTGGACATGCCGGACCTCTACCGCGTCATCTACGGCACCGACGGCAAGTGGGTCAAGTCGGACTTCTACAAGAACAGCAGCTCCATGATCGACGGCAAGCAGGTCTTCCACATGTTCTCTGAGGTCGACCCGACCCTGCATGCCCAGATCAAGCGGCCCGTGGTGCGGCACTACTCGGTGCCGGCCGTGCTAGCCATGGAGCCGCTGATGGACTCTGTGATCACCGACTTCATCACCACGCTGCGGAAGCGCTACGTCGAAACTAAGGAGACGTGCGAGTTTGGCGACTGGTTGGGCTACTGTGAGTATGGACTGTGTTCTTTTCGGGACGATTTATTGTTCCTTCTTGAGCAGCAGCAACTTGAAGTCACCAGTCCATGAGCTGACATGCAACAAACAGACGCCTGGGACTTTCTGGGCATGGTCACCTTCAGCTCGAAGTTCGGCTACATGGAGAAGGGGTGCGACTTTGACGGCACGCTGGCCATCGCCGACAAGTCGATCGACTACTTGGGTCTCTGCGGCCAGATGCCGTGGGCGGACTACTGGCTCGACAAGAACCCCATCTACCCGATCGGGCCCCCCAACATCGGCAACGTCACCCGCATCGCCATCGAGAACCTGACCGCTCGTCTCAAGGGCGAGGACAAGAACTACACCGAAGGGAAGCCCGACTTCCTGCAGTACTTCATCGAGTCCAAGTCTACCCACCCCGATCTCGTGAACGACCAAAGTGTCATCGGCTATCTCCTCCTCAACCGTAGGCCCGAACCCCAGCCCAACCCTAGTACTAACCTACTACCTTACCCACCCACATCCCCAGAAAACATACAACCAACAACAAAACACTACTAACTCCCTCATCACCACACAGTCATCGCCGGCGCGGACACAACCGCCATCACAATGCGCGCTCTGTTCTACCACACACTCAAATCCCCGCGCATCTTCGCGAAGCTGCAGTCCGAAGTACGCGCCGCCTTCCCACGACCCTTCGAGCCCGCGCCGCACTCCAAGGCGCGCGCCCTGCCCTACCTCGAGGCCGTCGTCAAGGAGACGCTGCGCTACCACCCGGCCGTGTCCATGATCATGGAGCGCATCGTGCCGGCCGAGGGGCTTACCTTACCGGACGGCAGCGTCGTGCCGGGCGGGCAGATGGTCGGTATGAATCCTTATATTGTGGGCAGGAATAAGGGGGTGTTTGGGGAGGATGCGGACGAGTTTAATCCCGATCGGTGGCTGAGGAGGGAACAGGAGGGGGAGGAGGAGTATAAGGAGCGCATGCAGCGGTGGGGCCAGAGTATCCTTGCCTTTGGTGGGGGTTATCGCATTTGTCTCGGGAGGAATCTGAGCCAGATGGAGGTGTACAAGGTCGTGCCGACGCTGTTGGCGAGTTTTGATATTGAGTTGGAGGATCCCCAGGAGCAGTGGTGGACTTGCTCGAGGTGGTTTTATCGGACTAAGGGGGTTGTTTGTAAGCTGCGGCCACGCAGTTCGTGAGGGCAGGCTGTGGTTTGGCTCAGTAAGATAGGGCAGTTGGATCAAAGAGGTACTACCTAGGGGCTTTCGGTTGGGAGCTGAGTTGTACATACGTGGATGGGATACTTGCTTGATACAGTCCAAAGGTGGGGATATCGAGTTGAATAACGATTTCCGATGAGCGGGAGAACGCTCTTGACGGCACCGTATTCCTCCGTGATGTTCCGCTTTGTGTCCTGGATGCATTCGGTGATTGTTGTGGCAGCATGTCTGGTAGGAGGAACCTGTTTCTTGCCCGTGGTACCCAGGCGTGTGTGATGATGCCTGTGGGCTTCAAGGGGCAACTCAATGCCCCACCGCAGACGGGCATAACATTACTTCATTGTACATCCGACGGCGATGTGTTTCTCTAGGCAGTCACCTAGCTTTGTGTAGTTGCTCGGTCACAGCACCGTGAGACAGACACTCTTGTTGTCCGGACTCCGGAGGGACTCGCCAGTTCCGCGGAACCTCTCAAGCCGACCGGTCAAAGCAAACAACATAGGCTGGGTCTTCATCTTCCTTGAAAGAGATTCACCGGAATCCTTAGTTCCGAGCCAGTTGCATGTAAAGATTTCCGACCTTTGTTTAGCCATCCAAGACCTTGGCCATTGTTCATGGCGTGAAAGGACAAAGCCATTGATGAAGGTAGCCGCACGATGCTTCTGTCAGGACTATGGCTGATTGTTCAGGACAATGGGATTATGGTTATGTATTCCAAACAAAGCCACTGTGAGGCATGGAACGGAGGTATAATGCTATGAAGAAAATATATAAACAAGATCAGATCACAATATGTCCCTTTCATTTCATCAGCCTCGACAAGAGCTTCACCTCCCCTCCCTGCCCACGCCCAAGAATACCAAAGCCGTCTCACTTCCGTCATCATACCCCACCGTACAAGATGTGTGGTTACGACAAGGTCACCGAGGTCTGCATCGACTGCAACAAGACTCTCGAGGTGGCTTGGAAGGTAAAGACGCCGTGCAAGTATGTCGGCCTCTGCTTGCAGTTCGACAAGATACGCCGCCCACACGCCAATTTCCGCCGTAAGCGTAAGGTGGTGTTTCAAATAACCAGCTTTATCTCCTGTGGGTGTGACGGCGAAGGTGAGCAGGAGGGATCACCGGGATCTAAGAAGCGCAGGTTGTCTATTTGCAAGCCCCAGAGGCATAGTGAAGACAGCTGGATGCTGATTGATGCTGGGCTCGGCGTGAAGTGGTGGAGAGACCGTCACGTACCGGAGAAGGAGTTCCAAGCTTCTTCTGGTTCGTCCAAGGGGCCTGCGTCAGGTAAGTGAACTAATTGCCCAGATACAGGTCGAGGTAGCCGAGGGCAAGAATAAGGTAGGTGTATCATCACTGCAATAAAGATTAACTTGCAATCCACTGTTTTCTCATTGATGGGAGTCAAAGTCCACCATTTTACATACTACACGTGATTCAAGCACCTATGTATTGTATTTGCACTTGTAAGTGATACGGTCACAGTATGACTGACGGTAAACTCTTCTGGAAGCTGGCCAATGTTGCTTTCACGGCATGGACCATGCTGATTATAGCTGCTTTAGCCTTTGTTACATTAGTCTGGTGGTACATCGTAATCATCACTCCAGTTCTCGATTGCAGTCCTGACTTGCTACCTACCACCTACCTTAGGTACCTTCTTATGCTAATTCCTGCCTCCTGTCTCCGCTTACAGGTTAGGCATTTACTAGTATGGTGAGCACCATCATCCTGAGAAGCGTGATTCACAACACAGATCCGGCATTAGTCTAGCACTCTCACTGAGAGGGCCGGATTGTGAAGTTTTGCACAGTTCATATTCGAGATTATCATCTCAATACTTCACTCTATATTCGCACTGGATAGAATCATTGACATCATCGCCCCTTCATCTTTGGGAAGGCCCGGCGGCCCAGCCCAGTTCCTAGGATCCGGCTCGCAAGACACGCACGAAACGATAATTCCACCAGATTCCGATCGAACCCAACTTTCATCCTGGGTGCTCCTGAATATTATGCCGTGACACCCACGGAGAAATTGTCCCATCTCGGCCAAGTCGAATCAGCGCGTGGATTGGACATCACAGCCGCTGATGGGCCAAAAGTAGAATGAATTCACGGGCCAATAGCGCTGCTGAACGGCCACTGAACAGGGATTGGACAAGCAACTCCACCACGTTCAGCGCCAAATCGCACCGCGATCCTGAAAGCCACCTCGATCAACTCCTCGATTGACGAATGATTATGCAGGCTGCTAATAATGGCTCTCCTTATGCTCTCCCGCTTACGCGCGGCGCATGGCCATTGAGATCCCGCACAATCCCGGTCCCAGCAATGAATGGCCGTTTCTGGATTCCCAGCGATGCCGAAGATTCTGTCTTCATCTCCCTGCTTGGCTCGACCCACTACCACGGGTCGCGATGACATCGACCATCGTCGCGCGGGAATCCCCGCGTTCCCCGGACGTCTTCCCTCTATTTTTCCCTTCCTTTGCCTCTGCTGTTGAGCCTCTTCGACTATTTCGCGATTCTCCAGGTGCTGCTTGTCAATATTCTTGCGGAAGGCTTCGACAAGGAAAGCCGGGGATACCCCGTTAGAAGAGGTTGTTACGCGTACAGGGCATATGGGCGCCAAACTTCAGTGAAGAGCGGGTGATATCGAAGCGGATTGAGTACACCGGACACACGGGACCACCGAGGATGCCGCCCCCGAGCCCTCCCACGAGCCTGGATGGTCATACAATCACCAGAAAGCACAGGCTGTCCTCCCTGAACAGACACCGCGGACCAACAAACGAAGGATCTAGACGCGACATGGCCCAATTAGGGGTCAAGCATGTGCAACGAGAACCATTGGACAAAGATTCGCCGCCCGATACGGGAGCTCAACCCCTCTCCTGGCGCTGGGAACGTCCAGGGCATGCCACAACTGCTTTCAGGTTTCCTACTTCTACCGAACCTGGTACAAGTGTTCTGGTGGAAAGGAAGGGCAGGGAATCAAGAGAAACGGCTTGGCCCGTCGACATCTGGCATGCCATAGCAAGGTTTCTTGACGAGGTATCTACCACGGTTGGCACGGCGCACCAAGAGGACAGGAGCATGCCACAGGGGAAACCTGTGTCAGAATTCTACACGAACGGCCAACCGTCCACACACGCTCGTCAGAGCTCGGAATGGGAAACGGAAACGCTCATGGACCACCATGCTACGGTTTCATATCCTTGTCCGTTCAGGAAACGGAACCCAGCCAGGTTCAACTTTCGGGAGCACAAGAGATGCGCCATGGCTCCGTTCGGCTCCATTCTTGAGCTGAAGTGAGTCATGTAGACGCATAACCTCTGGGTAAAACGTGCTGACTTGGTCGCAGGCATCACATTGTCTCCTGTCACGGACGTAAATCAAGAGGTGCCCAGTGCCGTCGCTGCAAGTTGGAATTCGACACCGAGATCGGCCTCGAGCGCCATCTGTTGCTGCCCCGCGATCAGATGTGCGAGGTGCAGGCATCCTCCGTTGAAGATCCGGAAAGCGGGATAACGGGCGAGATTGCGGGAGTACTGATGGCGAGGGATGGAAGCGGCGAGACATGGAGCTGGGAGGGACTTTGGCGCCTAGTCTTCCCTGATGACGTGGAAGTGCCGGAGCCAGGTACGTGTCATACGCACTCATCTCGTCAATTGCGAATATCAACTCACCCACCTCCAGACTTCCAACCTATTGTCGAACTCGTCGAGGTAGAGCAGGTCTTTGAGGAGAGCCAGGAAGCCCTGAAAGCCAGCTTGCGAGAGACGCTTGGCTTGCTTCTTCCCGGTGTCACCGACAACGACTACCTCAACTTTCTTACAGGACAACTAGAGCTTGTCTTCGAAACGCACCGAGTCAACATCATGAAGCAGTCAGCGAGTCGGTGTTGGTCAGCCACAGGCGGGGAACAGCTCCAGGGCCAGGGTTCTCAGAGACGACCAGACCGCAAATCAAAACGGAACACCCTGCTCAAGTCCATACAACGCAGCACACAGGATGCCGCGACAAGTACCGCTGTCAACAAACACTTCCGCTCAAGGAGCCCTCGAGACACAGCCGCCTCGTTCAGCGAAAGGATCTCTCGACGCAACATGACACCGCAGACATATGAAGTCGTCGCATCTCACGACATAAACAACCCGACGGCGTCGACCGACGAGCAATACACCTCCAACCCTCGCGACTCCTGTGACTCAGGCATCGGCATACCCTGCGACAAGTGCACAACAGAGCAATGCAGTTGCAGGGAAACTCGGCACTCCGAGGACGATAAGGCCGGCACACATAAGCTACGCCGGGAAACAAAGGAGCCAAACGAGAAAGAACCGCAAACCCAGAGCCGTCCGAGGCTGAGTATCAGGACCGAAGGGAACTGGGTCACCGAGGTCATGGGTATGGAAGGGACGGCCGTCTCGGGCGGCCGCTTCTCGCCCGAGTCGTTCAAGCAGAGGCTGTTGAGGAAGCAGTTTACGAGCGCTTAGTGTTCTGACGCGCTGGAAAAGGTGGGGGTTTCGTGTTCCGGGTTTCTAGGTGCATTGCATTGGAGTTATAGCGGGCTGTCTAGGTACGACTGAGTGAATCAGGGGGCAGATAATTAATCATGATTAATAGGTAATCAAAAAGGGTGAAGACGTCGGTGTTGGCTGTGGCGCTTAGACGTCCGTCAGGAGAAATACCAGTGCCGAGTTGGTGAGCAGGACCAGAACTTGGGGGGGGGAGGTTATTCAGATCGTGGTCAGCATTTGATATGCATATTTCCAGTCTCCGATGCATTCCTTTTTATATCCACGTGCTTCGTCGCCTCCCCCTCTGAGTTATCGATTTTCGGATTTGGCCCCTAACAATACTTCCCCGTTTTCCTTAGCTGCAGGAACACTTCTTCTGAGACCACTTGCACACAGCGCGTGCTCAGTGTGATTCCTTTGTTGTTTCTTATTGCTTCTCCGAACCACCACTTCCGATATCATCCTAGGCTGTGAAGACCAGACAACGGTCCTATGGGAGTTCCCGCCCCCGGGATTGCATTGCAGGCTAGTAGCGACCCTTTTGAGCGCTGGAGAAGCTTTATGATTCACAACACGCTACCTATCCAGCATGACCCGTGATAACATCCTAATGCTTATCGCTCCCTCAATATACAACCCCTTAAGCATGATGAGATGCGAAAGTTGAGCATTTGATAAGGTAGGACATGTATATTTGTCTCTTCGTCAGCACCAGTGGTCACTTGGATAGTATCGATGCACCGTATAAGCGGAGTCCGCCACAGAATCCCCAGCCCAGCTCTGCACTCGCCTTGATCCACGCTTAGAGGAGCATTGTCTTATCTACCACCCCCTTCTCTCGTAGCTTGTTGATGTTCCTATCGGAAGAACACATTCTCCACGTTAATCCTGTGCCTACTGTCGGTTGTCATCGTTGTACTGCTTGTGGTTGTCCAGCTCGAGGCCCGTCTTTCAGCGCCATCAACAGCACCCGCAGTACCACCACAAGTCCGTATCCTCTCATTTATCATAATCAGGAACGTTACCGTGGTCACGATCGGCATAACGCTTGTACTCAGCCACGTCCATGTCATCGGGCTCTTGGACGAGCGCCACGGTCACAACAGGCTCGTGCTTCTCCTTCTCCTGCACGGTATTGTCGTTGTCGTCGTACTGAGCCGGGTCATACAGCTGCTGTTCGTTCTCTGGCACATGACCTCGGTGGTCATGATCGCGCATCGAGCCAGTTTCGAGGACAGACACCGCCGAGTAGCGCGTGCGAGGGGACTGGGAGAAGGGCTCGTAGCTGGCGCCGGATGAGCCGCGGAGCGAGGCGTAGTCGAACCCCTTGTCGCGTATTCTCCGCGCGTGGACGCGCTCTGTTTTTTGATGAGATCATGTTAATATTAGTGGGCATGAAAGAAAGGATGGCGATGGAGACATACCGCTCACGATTTGCAGGAAGGTGAACACTGTCAGGGACATGAGGAGGAGGGGGACGAGCTGGCCGAAGGTAGATGGGTCATTCTCTGGGTTTTGGTTGTTGTTAAGTTGCATCCTGCAGGCGGTTAACTGGGTCAGCAGCGAACCTAACATTAGTAGAGAGAGGAGTGTCTGACGTACCAGCCTGAGTTGCTGACCCACCATCGCAGCCGAAAGACGTAGATGGCTGCGGCGGCAACAGTCCAGGTGGATATGCCGATGCCGGCAAGCAAGTAGCAGCCAAAGAAGAGATAGAAGACCCGTTTGATGCGGAAGAAGAAGGGGAAGACCCGCTTCAGCGAATGCATGAACTTATTCCGGTTTCCGTCACGGCCCTTCCCTCGACGGATTATCCGCCCCAGGCTCATAGCGACAGCAATCATGTAAAAGAGAAACATGATCACATAGTTCGGCCAGCCATGCAGCTGTCCAGTGAAGAAAGCCTCCGCCGAGCCCACTTTGAGCGTTTTCTGGACCTCGCTAGCCAACGTAAGATGGCCGCCCTGGAAACAGGAGGCTGGCAGCAGCATCAAACTGTACTGTTCCGTATCATCCGGCACTTTGGTCGGGAACTTGTTGGCTTCGGAGTCACGGTTCGCTAAGAGGACGCCGGTAATGATAAAGAGGAGGCTGGTTACTGCGATACGCAGGACACCGACGAAGGGATGCTTCCAGTAGTGCCGCGCAACGGTTATGGCCATCAAGTGCGTGGCGCAGGTGACGAGCAGGATGCTCGCGACGATGTTGTAATGGTAGGCCGAGATGGAGCAGGCCTTCGCATAGCGCAGCGTGATTGCGTAGGCGCCGCCCGTGAAGACTTGCTGGTCGCTGCAGGTAACGATGAGCGCCTCGATGATGCCGGCGATACTGAGTTGCCAGTTTCTGAGGGACTTTTCTCTGGGGGGAGTGAGCAAGGCCGGCCTAGGGAACATGCAAGGTCATGCTACCGCTTACTCTCTTGTGATATGATCCAGGAAACCAAAGATGTTCTTGGCCCACCACCATGCTATGCTTGCGATAGACAGCAGCAAAGAGGCAGCGGTCACGCAGAGGAATGCCCCGAGAACCTACAGCGTGTCAGTGACACCTACACACATCCACGAGGGTTGGACGCCTTACACCGATGCCTGCGATGTCTGGGTCGCCCTGGAACTCGCCATAGGCGCTCTGGCCGAGCAGGAGGGCGGTGGAGTCGTCCTGCGCCAGGACGACGCTACAGTTGGGAGTGATGTTGTAGTGGGCAGCACAGCTGGTGGTGGAAACGTGCGCACCCATGGTTCCCCGTCATGACAGCCTGGAGTGCTGCCGCCGTGCCCGGAGTTGCAAAGTGCCGCGACCGACGGAGGGGAGAAGATATCTATGGGAGATTGGCCAGGATATATCGTGGCCAATAGCCTGTCCCAGCTGCGCGGAACGCATAACGCCCATGTCTCACGCGGGGCGCTCTTGGTGGACAAGCCACCCGGGCACCTGCATATCACACGGTACGCGATGCAGGTGTTTGAGTTTGCGCGCACCAACCGCATAACGGTTTCAGTCTCTCGGCCAATTAGGGCGCGCGGCCTGCCCACAACCTCGAGCCAACCGCGCACGATCAAGGACGTCGAAATGGCGCAAGGTACGGAGTACGTTGCGCAGCCTTGTGCTTCAAAGACAACATGTTTGGATGTGGTCTAGCGACAGCGAGATTGAGGCTCTTGTCGGCGCCGGAGCGGCACAGTTCAGGTGCAGCGGCGCGGTGTGATTGACTGAACTTTGCCCGCTTCTGACCTGGCTCGCTACCACCGTGATATTGCGGCGTCACGGCACTCCGGGTTGGGCTGCATAATCTTGTTTGCCTGTTTGTGACCCTAACCAATCTCCCAGACTCTCCCTAGGGTCGGCCCCCCATCGGGCCCCTTCCGGTCATCATTGTTCGGTAGGATACCGAGATATGTCCCGTTTACCCACCAAGAACGAAAAGGGAGATGTTCGCGGGGCGAAGATGGTGATGTCACCGATGTGTGAGACTTCGCAGCAGCACTCAAACGCAGATTGTTGTAACGTAACACAACACCTACACAAGGCTCTATGCGACCCAAATGTAGCAACCAAGCATCGCCAATACCTCAGCTGTAGCCTGCCGAAGATTGGAAGCACCTCGAGATCTTTATAAATAGTCGCATCACCCGTTCAACCCCTCCCCCCGCCCCGGAACAGAAGACTCGCCTCGAGTCTTCCAATACAGCCAAATCCACCAAGTACATCATCACCCACACATACCAATCAATCGTACAAATCACCGTCGTCATCGCCAGAGCCCTTCTCCAGAGCCTCCTTCATCGACCGGATCTCAGGGACCATACTATACTTCGGCGTATCCATAGCTGCAATGTCCACCGTGTTCAAATCCATCGGTTCGCCCTTGTTGTGATCGGCATTGAAGGGCTTGGGGTTACCGGAAGCATGGTGACGGGTGTTGAGCTTCTGGAGCATTGTGACAAAGCCGTTGTAATCGTCGGGTATAATGACCTGGGCACCGAGCCGGGAACGGGCTGATTTGCTCAAGCCACGACGAAGCATAGCGATCTTGGTGTTGTCGGGCCACGTGTTCGCCTTAGCCGCGTAAAGCAGCCGCTCGAACCGGGCCAGGAAAACCGGAAGCAAATCGTCGTCGGCTTGTTTTAAGGCTTGTAGTTTGTCTTCGGCATTGCGTACCTTGTTGGGGTCGTCGAACAGACGGGCTCGTTGATTGAGCAGGATCTGGGGGTCGTACTGCTTTGTGTCTTCGGCAACGGCTAACTGCGGTGTAACGAGTGCCTGAACCTTGCTGTCGAGACGACCGTATACATAGAAAAACTGGGCTTCCGGAGCTCCAATGGCTTGACTGTCGATACAGAGCTTGGCTTGAATGGCCGGAAACCAGGTATCTCAATGGTAGGTGCCGGAGAACTTGCCAGGATCGGGGAGGCTCGGCTTAGGCTTGCGGGCCGACTTGTTCCTTAAGTCGGTAAGCTCCTTTGTCAAGGCTTGAATCTGGGCTTCGTGGTTCTGAATGACCTGCTGTATGTGCTGAAGGGGGTCCATCTTGCAGGTCGGTTGTTGTTCGTGCTCGTTATTGAATGCAGGTGCGAGAAAAAGAGGGCTCTTGCAATTCGGGATCCAGCCGGTCGGTCCACACACTTCTAATTACCACACAACCCGTATGCAGGGGAAGAAGGTCGGAAACTGCCGCGCTTGCAATGAATACCGAAGACCCTAGAAGAAATGGCACTTCCAATTACCACCGTAACCCTTTAGTGCCAGGGAAGGAAGGCCCGAAGTGATGAATGTGAAAAAAAAAATCCGGGTACCGACGGGGGGCTCTAGGTGCAGGCTCCGTAGTTGTTCGAATACGTGGTCAAGCCTCCGCTAAGACGATGTGCTACGTGCTCGGTCGACTAGGCACTGGTCGGTTCGGAAGGTCGTAGCCGTTACGATGAATTGCCTGGCTAGGTATGCAATCCAAAGGAAGTTCAATATTGCCACGGTGACTGTCGTCGCAGGCCAGGCTCAAGGCTCTGGTGGGCAACTGACTGTATTGCAAGAATATTGAACTTGCAGGAGGAAAGGAATCCTCGAGACTGCAAGGTAGGCTTTAAATACAGGATGCGAGTAGGTCTGAGCTTGCATGCATGATGTAATGGAACATGCATAATGAATCATCACTTGGTATGATGAATCATTATACATACAAATGATATCATCATCATGGTCGGTGCGTTCCACCGTCACATACAGCTTGGAGAATCACTTGCAGTGGAAGATGTAAAGGATCTACTAGACCAAAAGGCTATAGTTGGGGAGGTGGCATAAGAAATGCAGCCGGATGGTGGTGGTACAGGGGGGGCTCATACGAAGGTTCGATGCTGTGGTGTATGCGGCAAGCCTGGTTATAATGCCCGCACTTGCCAGGAGGTTGCAGAGGCATCTGATTCAGCCGTTTCTGATGTAATTGTAGTTGGTTGATAGTTTTGTTGTTTTGTAGTTGAGGATAATGTTTGTAGGGTAGTGGAGAGTGGGTCATTCGCTGATATGGGTCACTCGCTGATAATGTACGTTATCCCTAAGGTCAAGCTAAAGCGGGACGAGTTCGGGATAGCCGTCCCCGCCGAGGTCGGGTAAGAGCTGGTCGCTCTGGGTAGTCGTGACTCCAATTGCGTGCTAGTCCGCGGCTTGTGGCGAAAAGTTGACGGGTACAGTGCATGCGGGCTCTGGGTCTGCCTGAAGGCTCTTCAACGGCTGTTGGATTCCTTACGCTGGAGATGCTGCACGGTCCCAAATGCTCGGACTCTTCCACTCGCCCAGTAGCAGCAAGAACGCCTTAATTCGAGCGTGGCTGGTATCGCTCGTGAGTCAATATGCCCGATGAGCTCAATGAGCTTGATAAACCCGATGAGTCTGAGATCGCGAAGAATCAAGTACCTTGCTCCTTGGTGCCGGCGATAGAAGTCCTTTCCTCACCGGTGATACTTGCTACAGCAGAGAGATGCAACCATTACAGCAAGTCGTACCGAGCAAGGCTGCCCCATTTGAAGCACAGCTGTCCGTTGTTTCATCCAATTCGGCGAAATGCTGTTGCATTCGCTATCCCCGCCAATTCCAGCAGGCAGCCAAGCATGCGGTACCGTCTGGTGTCTCCCTTGGGGTTCCATTGGCTTGGTTAGGAACGTTTGCCAACTTAGACGCCTGTCCCTTATCCCAGCATGAGCGAAACAGCGTGCTTCTACCGCGTATTCTGCACGATGTATCTCGTTTGCTGTCACAATAGTTGCTTTCATGCGTGAATATCGTGCGACGGTACCCTGCCCACCCCTCTGTACAACATCATGTGTAACTGGTGGGAGAATAAGTGTGATGAGTGAGTTCATGAAGTTGCCCTGGCCTCACAAGAGCGCGCTAACACAGGTTGCAGGTCCACCTCCAAGTGAACGTCTTGCAACGTAGAGAGGCAGAACCGTCAGGGTCAGGTCCAGCAACATCACTAGGCAGCGCAAGGGGTTAAGGTGGATGAAGCAGGGTTGGAAAGATTAGCGAAACTATTCAACCTTGTCTCTTGTTTTGAACTTGTTCTCTTGACCCGGCCCGTAAAGAAAATGCTATTCAGCAAACTGAACGGCGTGGAATTGTCGCCTAACCAGATACGAATCTCCTCCAATGCGTCGAGGTCATTCTGCGGAAACGCGGTTTTGACTCGCTCATCGTACCACTCGTAAGTGCGACCAGCACCTTCCAGACTCGCTCCTATCCGCCTACAAGAGCCGAAATCAATGATGACTGCCTTGTTACCGTCCAACATGATGTTGCTTGGGTTGATATCGTTGTGAACCAATCCCAAGGCATGAAGATGCTTGATACCGCTCTCGATCCCGGCCAGCACACTGTTGTAGTCCCTGCTTCTCTGACAGTCTGATCTGAACTTTCTCTTCATAAGACCGCGGGGGTTTACTTCTTCCATTAGGGTACGATGGTATCGCGCAAAACAAAGACCAGCTATTCTCCCATCTGAAACCTTGCATCCAAGGTAAGTGGCAATGTTGGGGTGCGGATGCTGCTTGAGAACCTCGCAGACTGAAGCTTCGAGGAGAATGGAGTCCGCGATATGATTCGGCTGGGATCCTTGGCGGATTCGATCGTAGGATATCAGCTGGGGCTTTTTGATGTGACAGTTCTCTGGCAGGGGATTGGGTGCATGTGTAAAACCGGGCGGGAACAAAGGGCTGTAGGCGGAGATGGGGATGGGGATATGGTTGTTGAGATGTTCGAATTTAACCTCCGAGGGGGGCGAGTAGCGAGCTTTCGAAACCGCATGGTGCAAGCCGTCACCAGTTCTGTACACAACGAGTGTGCCTGTAAACTTGAAACATCCGTCGACTTCTTCAAAGGCCTCGTTTACCTCGAGCACGTCTATATGCTCATTGGGCAGTGATGGGTGTGTGGACGGCATTGCTTCGCCTTCCCTATGTACTCTGTAGTCAGTATACTTTGCATGGTACGAGACGTTTATATGATGACGCCGCTTACCTGTGGAGCCTTGAAGAGAGATTACAGCAATTAAGAATACTGTGCCCACGAAGATGAAGGGGGATTGAACAGAGAGCGGGTGTGATCAAGCCATTTTGAGCCTTACGCATTTGTCGAAGGTGAGCGGATGATGCTTTGTAAAGCGTAGGCCACTAGCCTTTGGCATGTTTACTATTTATGGGACCAGTGCCGATCACGTGGATACCTGAGGCGGCAAGCACAAGACCCCACTTCTTGTCCGGAGCGTTAACTTTTGCGACTTTGTTCTGCGGCTCGAGACTTCAAGCTCTTATGACCCGGTTCATTCAGTTGTGCCGGGCTTACTTTAGTTTGATCATCACATTTCGGGTTCAAGCGATCGAGTCAGAATTGGGAGTCAGTTCGGTAGAGGTATCCGAGTGTGATGTTTGTGCTCTGTCGCCGTGTCATGCCAACAAAGAATGCGTTCTTGGGCAAACCGAATCTCCCTTGGTGCCCCACTCCACCACCATGGCATCCATCATGCTCTTCATCCCTCTCCTTGACTGCAAAGCACCCAGAATCCCAGAGTAGTGGCAATAGAAGGCGCTTTTGCGGCACATTAAGCTACATACAACCCATTAAAGACGCTTTGTTGATGAGGTTGTGGTGCATTGTGATTGTGGCATACACAACTATGGTTGGTGGGGGCTTGGGTGGGGCTGCCCGTTCCCACCCGAAACCCCGCCCGGTCTCGGCCCGACAGCAAAGTCTTACAGCATCACCAGAGCCCTTGATCAATTCCCATTTGCTCCCCTGCTTTCAACAACTAGGAAAAGGGAGCTTAGCACAGTCGGTAGATTGCGCCGGTCTCATAGTTAAAATAGTGAGCTATCCGGAGGTCGTGAGTTCGAGCCTCACAGTTCCCAAACTTTTGCGCTTTAGGTCGAGTGTCCAACGTTCGAGCCCCACAGTTCCCAAACTTTTGCGCTTCAGGTCGAGTGTCCAACGTTATGGTGTTGCTACCGATCGACTACTGATGTATAGGAGGGAAAAGCGTGGCATGCAGGTACAGGGCTGTATGGCCACAAAGTGGTGGCGCACAGACTACATCTCATATACCTTATGTTCGCACCTGCATCTCATAATCTTACAGTTCGTACAGTTATATATTATATAGTTATATACAATACACTCCTAAGAAATATCCATCCTATCCGCTGCTACGGCGGAGCGCCAGACTGCGGGGTTCCTGATGACAGGGTGCGTACCGGTAGGGCATGAGATGGTGGGGCGTACACTGGGGGAGCGCGGAACAATAGAGTGCAGGACGGCCAGAGCTACGGCGGAGCCGGCGAGAAGGGCGGGAGCCGGAGGTACGGGGAGAGCGGGGGCTGGAGACGTAGCAGGCGTATTAGAGGAAGTGTTGGCTAGGTTAGCCTATCTCTTAAGGTTAAAAATGCCCTAATCTTAAAGAATTATAATAGGTATATATATATATATTCTCCTACTCCGCTATGCCTCGCTATTTACAAGGCGCGCCAGACCCTCTACTGCTATGTACAAAGGAAAAACCGTACCGTTTAGGCCGGGTGAAAACCTTCATCAAAAATAATAGGAAAGACATGGTTCCAGTGATACACGTTGCTGCAAGTAAAGAAAAAGGCCTTGGGAAGGCCTTGGGCCAACGGCTAGTAGGGTGCTAGCCCAGCTAAGCCGTGGCCACGGGTGTGGTTAGCCGAGCTCCCTGGCTTCCAGTTCCTGATCTAGGTTCTGGGCAAGCCTGTATTCCCCTAGCCGGCCCGAGTTCATCAGCCAACCCAGTACCTTCTTCAGAAGTCTTCGGTTCCGGTAGCCTAGGCCCTGTAAAACAAGGCTAAGGTCCCGGTGGGTGCGTATTAGTTGCCTAGGCCAGATTCTTGGTATAGGTGGTATAGAGCACCAAACCACTAGGTGCTCCACTGTCTCCCGGCCTTCCCCGCATTCGCAATAGGGGGTAGGCTGGTTACGGGCCTTTTGTTTAAAAAGAAAGTCCCGTAGGCCTATAGCCTCCGTACGGGCCTGTACTAGTAGGGAGCTCTTGGCCTTTGTAAGGCCTTGGTGTTTCCGTAGGCTCTGGTTCGTGAAGAGGACTGTTGGTAGGCCTTCGTCGGCTAGCCTGGTTGGCTGTCCCTGGACCTGGGTTTTCCACCTGGCCTCCCAAGCTCTTAATAATGCCCAGTCATCCTGGGTCTTGGCCAATGGTGGGCCCAAGGCTTTAGCCTGGGCGTTCCATTCGGCCACTACAGCCGAGGCCTTTTCGACATCTGTTGGCTTTCCTGGGCTCCGGGGCCGGCCCCGTAGCCTCCGGAACCTTCGTTGGAGCCTGTTGCAAGCCCCTTGGATGATTTCCTTTGGTGGGCGTCTCGGGGCCTCTGGGCCTAGCCCAGCCTGTAGGGTAGGCTCGTTGAGCCGGCCTTCGAAGTCGGCCAGCCTCTTGTTAAGGTAGAGGTCTAGGGGAGGGATCCAAGTTTCCGTCTCGAGGTTCCGTATAGGGGTGGCCTTGTAGGCTCCGGTTACGATGCGTAGGCTTCGGTTCTGGGCCTTTGCTAGGTCCCTGGCTAGGCCTTGTGGTGGGCCGTTGAGTGTTGTAGGCTTATGGAAGCTGGATGCCCCATAGGCTATTGCGCTACGAATGCACTTGGTATAGACCTCTCTGGCCCTGATTAGCCCCGGGCCCCAGGTCTTGGCTGCTATCCTTGATAGGGCAAAGTCTTGGGTTCTTAGCTTGGTAGCTATGCCGGCTCCGTGGGCCTTCCAAGAAAGCCTCCAGTCGAGCCAGACCCCTAGGAACCGGCCTTGAAGTCCTTAGATTATCACTCTACAAACGTGCTACCTAAGCGTAATCGCGAAGATCCGCCTTATAGAGGTAATCTAATCAGAGAGGCAAGGCCAAACCTCTCTACCGGACCAAGCATAACAATACTAGGCCACGGGACTCCAAGGTTTGCACCTTAAGCCCTCCACAAGAGGCACAATACTTCCTCCCTCTTGGATGACCGACACGCGCGTCCGTCCTCTCCGGCCGGCTATACTACTCCTTCAGAGCCATAAGTTCCTTATAGCGGCGACACCATACATTTGATCCCCAGCCATAGTACTCTCTAGTACGTCCTATCGGCGGTTTCCTCCCCCATCGTACGCCTCTGGCTAAAGGAGCACGCTCCCCGCCGCGTACGACATTCCTACGGGTCCCTCGCCGAGGGAATAGCTATATCTCTCCTATAGCCTGGGTACGAGCCAGGGCCACACCTCCGTCATCCTCCTCTCGGTCTAGTATAGCCGCCACGGCCCACCTTCCGCCAGGCGCAACCCTGACTTCCAGCTTCCCGTTGCCTTGCTAGGTCTCCCTTACAAGGCCGACCGTGTCTTGCAGCAGGCCGTCGTACGAGCTGCCACGCCGGCGCAGCTCGCTCGGTCGCTCTGCTACTAACCTGCCCTGATCCACCTGCCTCGCCTCCTATCCTCAGATCCAACTACAGTATTGCAAAGGGCGAAGTGCCTCGCAAGAGGGCCCGGCCGCCCGTGTTGCCTCCCTTAACGAGCCCGTATTCCCTCTCTCTCCTGCTCTTATAGTTGGTCGTACGATCGGTCGGCGATACCGGCTTTCGCTCCGTATCCTCGTCGCCGTACGACTAGCCCTCTAGCGTTCGTCGCGGGCGCCCTTAGAACCGGGCAGGGCCGGGGGTGCCCTATCTCTTCTTCAAAACGTCGAAAGAGTCGGGTGGTTTTCGTACCCAGTATCCCCCTAGTCTTGCAAACTTGTTGCAGGTAGATTATCGTAGTTGTCGTCAATGGTGGTCGTCGTGCGGGGTAGTGCGGGATTTTCGGTGCACTCGAAAATCCTCACTTTCTTGTCGCGAAAACCAACAATCCGACAGCCACACGGCCGCGTAGAAGCTGCGCGTCGCTGCAACCCCTTGGAATCGAAAGAACAGATCACAAAGGACCTAATTCCCGATTTTTGCGATGCCCGGCCGCCCGCGTGGGCGGCCCCCGATGTTTGTTCACCGGGAAGGGTAATAGGTATATACTCTATACCTCTCGGCATGCTTTTAGCGCACCTATTAATTAGAGCAACTATGGCGGTATATACCGCTACCTCTATTACCACTACTACTACCACTACTATTACTACTACCACTACTACCACCACTACCGCCTCGGCCACTATGTGATGAAACTATGCAGTCCTATGTCACGGTCAGTATGGGTGTCGCCCCAGGTGGGGGTCGAACCCACGACCTCCCTGATTGACGGCTGTTGTGGAGCACCGGTCACATGACCCACAAATCAGGAATATCTTCGTGTAATGTTCTGGGCCACCGACTCAGAACTTCTCTTTCCTTTCCTCAACCTTAGATTCACGAAATAGAATGACAACAAACAGCCGGCTTGACCCTGTTCAATTACATCTAGTCGTCACAATAACGGCTAAAAATTATATACAATGGCTAGAGCAAGGGAACCCAGACGTTTATGGTAGTTATAGGACTAACGTATCTTATAAGCGAGCGGGACATATAAGCGAGCGGGACATTCTCCACCACTCTACAACAACCATCCTCAATTACAATATAATAAGACCATTAACCAACTACAATTACATCAGAAACAGCTGAATCAGACCCTTCTACAACCTCCTGGCACGTACGGGCATTATGGCCAGGCTTGCCGCACATACTACAGCACCGAACCTTCGTACGAGCCCCCCCTGCACCACCACTATCCGGCTCCTTTTCTTGCGCTATCTCCCCAACCATAGCCTTCTGGTCCAGTAGATCCTTTGCATCTTGTACCGCAAGCGATCCTCTAAGCTGCACGCGTGTTCTTTTGGCTCTCCGGCGCTTGCTGAGTGCCTCGTTGGCCTTACGGAGCGAAGAGACCTCGGCGCGAAGAAGAGCCATCTGGTGCATTATAGCCATTGTACCCTTGGCCAACTGGTCTACAGCAGCCAACATCGAGGTTGGGGAGCTATTTTGATGGTTGGCAATACGAGTCTTGATGAGTGTGGACTGCGCATTGGCTTCCCGGGAGTTGTATGGTGTCTGGAAGACCCAAGACTGTATAGTGCTAGGCCGTGAGGTTGGGGGTGTTAGTGTACGAAGCTTGATATCCAGCTTAGAAAGTACCCTCTCTGGATTGTACGGCATAAGGCCAGCACCTGTAAAGCCACCCTGTATATTCTTCTCCGTCATAGAGGCGAAGAAGGCCTTGCGGAAGGTATAGAGGAACTCGAGCTTGCTTATGTGGTTGATATGCATGCGTATCAAGTCCTCGACCTGGCGACCGTACGCCTGTTTTAGCGGCCTAAAGCAGCCAATATCGAGTGGCTGGAGGAGGTGGGAGGAATGCGGAGGCATATAGAGTGTGATAATGTAATGCTCCTAGCAGTAGAGCTCGAATTCGGTCGAGTGGTGGCTCTCGTGGCCGTCGATGATCAATAACCGATATTTGCCCTTTGTACGGGGTGCTGTATGGAAGTCAAAGTGCTTGATCCAATCGAGGCCTACGGCATTGGTGGTCTAGCCGTTCTCGGTGGTCGCGATATGCCAGTCGGCCGGGAGGTTGCACTCTTGATACCAGTTGGCGAGGTGGTATTGCGCGGCCAAGATAATGAAGGGTGGGATAGCCCAGCCGAGGGCATTGACTCCCTGGATTACTGTAGCCCACTCGCGGTTACCAGGCTGGGCCAGCTTTGCCTTGCTACGGCCATCAGAGGTTGTAACTACCATGCCTCGGAAGATGATACCCATCATGAACCCAGTCTCGTCGAAGTTATAGATATCGTCATCTACAATGCCATACTTGGCCTTGACATTCTATACGAGCGCGAACCACTCGCCAATAACCTCTGGGTCCTCGCACTTGGCCCTCTGGTAGTCGTATCGACGTGACCAACGCATACGGAGAGCGGGCTGGCGTTTAACGAAGTTGTAAGCCCAGAGCTTGCCGACAGGGGGCGCATTGCGTACGCGTAGCAGTTGGTTGGCCATATCTTCTATACTACGTAGCCTTGGTGGAAAAGCTCGCTCAGATAGCTCAGTTATATACTGGACTATAGCCTTCTCTTCTAGATCGGTAAGCTTCCGTGAGTTGGCTGGAAGATCGCGTCGTATAGGCCGGCCGGTACGTCGGTAGCCGAGGGTTGAAACTGGCACGTTATAGAGCTTGGCCGCGGCTCGGAGGCTTAGTTTCGTATCATTTTCAAGAGCTTTGAGGGCCAAGGTTACCCTAGCTTCCTTTGAAGCGGAAGACATCTTTAGTTGTAGGAAAAACGCGTTGTTGGAGGTAGATGAAGAAGGACGCGTCGTGCCAAGAACTTAGTGTCCCGCTCGCTTATATGTCCCGCTCGCTTATAAGATACGTTATACGCCTTGATAAGGATAAAAAGAGCTCTGGCGCTACTAGATGGCGTAGGTATTGCGAGAACTCGTGTTATAGACTATGTGTTTCAAAGGACAAGAAAGCCCGCCAAAAGGCTCTGACAGCTAAGTAAGTTTCCCCACCGTTGCCTAAGGACTGTCTATCGTTCTCGGAGGTCCTCGAGCTCCCCCTGAGGCCAAGTTTTCATACGGCCACGGCAGTCCCAGACCAGAATCTGGTCTTGGACGGGCAACGAAGTCGGACTCTATCACCTCCCCGTGGTGTTGCCTGGAAATCTAGTCTTTAGACTGGAGCCAATATAGAGAGGCGTTATCGATTCCGAATTGACAATTTACATGACTCTTGCGTGTCTTTGCCTATGATCGAAGTCCGCTCTGCAACCCTCTTCTCCTTATCCACCGACGAACGTAATAGATTGCGCCAGTCTCATAGTTAGCATATGAGATATCTGGAGGTCCTGAGTTCGATCCTCACAGTTCCCAAAGCTTTTGTGCATCGGCCCGAGGGTCGGAGGTGAGGGTTTCGATCACCGCACCTTTTTTGGCCACTGAGACTTTACTTCCAGGTCGCCAAGTGACCAGATAGGCTGTTCATGCATTCCGAGTGCGTCCGGACGTATGGAGATCAAGAAGATTCGGCGATAATGCCGGACGGAATACGGGCTATACATAACCCTAACCGTGACATAAGTTATACTCTGCTTTTCTTCTTCACATCCTCTCACACCTCCGCTAGCTTTGACACTCTAGAACTCAGGCTCTCCTAGTACTTTACGCTTTCTGCAGCAACCATGCCACGTCCCCTGCAGAAGTGGCTGCTACTCGCGTGCTTGCCGGCATCGCGCGCCACGTTACCATGCAGTAGGCGGTGTTGTGCAACTCCGGACTTTGAGAGTGGCGAAGCCCGGCTGGTCGATCTTCCCAACTCCCGAGCACTCTGCAGCCTCCGATCGTCCAGCACACCAGAATTCCCCGTGGTTCGAGTCCCGGCCACTCACCATATGCAGCACGGATTATATGACCCCCATCTCCGATCTCCGAGGCAGCGAACCTCACTACGGCAGACTCTCACTTTCCGCGATGGGGGGCATGCCCGGTACCTAGGTAGTTAGAAAATCTGTATGGAGATCATCATCAACCCACACATCCCACGGCTACCTTCTCTCCCTCTGGCCCAAAGGCCGTACAGCAGCATGGGCGTCGCCTGGGCTCTGGCCTTGGGCATAAACGAAATTCTGTTGTTCTACCTCCAACTTTGGGCATCGTCATCCAGTTCTTGATCTTCGCATGGGTATACCGTACAGCCCAATCAATGGGGTGTTCCTGTAGGTGGCCGTGTACTCGCGTCGAAGCAGCAGTCCCGAACCGGTAATGTTGCGAAATCTCGCAGCGGAACCCAACCCGGAACGGCGGCGTGTTACCTGGCGGGGACTGGCTCGCAGGCACGCAATGATAATTGATTACCGGGCCGTGACGAACATCAAGAGAAGGAGCACCCATCTTGGACAGCTGAATATCGCAGCTCAGACGATACCAGCGTCCTGTCTCACATTACCATGCGTTAGCGTCGCGTCATGGATCGAATCATCTATCAAACACCGGAGATTGCCACAGGCCTAAGCAGCTATATAAACAATGGCCGACTCGCACCCGAAGAGGTTGACGGTTGAGACGGGACATACCACTGCGCCTGCCACAGGTATAGTGTTGCAGTCCCAAAACGGAAACCGGCTCCCGTGCTTGGAATCTGAGGAAAGAGTGTGTTATATAGGTCCGCGCAACAAGTAAGTCCCTGGCCTCCCTTTTGCTCCCTCTTATCTCACTCTCACATTACCCGTTTCCTAATACCCACAGCAAGCAGCGATTAGTATCTAGTTATCTTTCACTCACTTGTTTTACTTTCACCATCCTCTACCGCCAACATGAAGATGAACGTACTGTCTCTCGTTACTCTCGCCCTCGGCTTCATCGAGCGGGCCGCAGCGCACCCCGGAATGCGCCGGGTTCTCGAGGACCTTTCCTCCATAGCTAAGCGACAAGCCTCTTCCGTCGCAGCAACTGAGCTCATCGGCGATCTCGCCACATTACCGGACAGCGCCCTGTCACCCCCCGGAGCCGCAATCAAGAGCATCTTGCTGGGTAGCGGGACGGCGGAAGACCTCTCCACCACATACACAGCACCCGGCCAGCTCGGGTCAAGCAAGTGCCGCAACGACACGTGCTGCGTGTGGAAGTACGTGGCCGACACCATGGCAAGCGCATTCAAGGATTCTTCGGGCCAGTGCACCGAGCTGGCGCGCCAGGCCATCCGCATGGGCTTCCACGACGCCGGCACCTGGTCCAAATCCGAGGGTGGCGGCGGCGCCAACGGTGCCATCGTTCTCGCCGGCGACTGGACGCGCAGCGAGAATCGCGGGCTCGAGGATATCGCGGTCCAGATGTCGGTGTGGTATGCGCAGTACCACCCGTACGGCGCGGGGATGGCCGACCTGGTCCAGATGGGTGCGACAGTGGCCGCCGTGACCTGCCCGCTCGGGCCCCGAGTGCGGTCGTTCGTCGGGCGGCCCGACAGCTCCGCGCCCGATCCCGAGGGCCGGCTGCCGGAGGTGACGGACAGCGCCGAGGAGCTTGTGGCCCTGTTCGCCGACAAGACCATCTCCCTCGGCGAGCTGATTGCGCTCGTCGGCGCCCACACCGTCAGCAGGCAGCGCTTCGTCGACCCCTCCAAGGCCGGCGCGCCGCAGGACACGTCGCCCGGGGTGTGGGACGTGTCCTTCTACAACGAAACCATCAGCACGCCACCACCGCCCGGCGTGTTCGTCTTCCAGAGCGATCTGGCGCTGGCGCGATATCCCGCCTCCGAGGGGTTTTGGTCCGCATTCTCCAACCCGGCCAACGACCAGGCTGCTTGGGCCGCGGTAAGTTTCATTGCCTTGCTTGATTCGATGCGATGGTACCCAGCATTATCGGATCATTGACCTGACTTTCGTTGCCAGAGCTATGCTACGGCCTACGTTCACCTCAGCGTGCTTGGCGTCGAGCATATCAACAATCTTACAGAATGCACCGGCGTGCTGCCGTTGCGCAACACTCAGGCGCCATGATCTGCCACGTGGAGCGAAGTTAGGGAATTGAAAGGAGTGATGATTCGAGTTGGGCAATTCTTACATTGTGTCCCGGCTTGGGGGCCAGCAGAGGTCAGAATGGCATCTCATTAGCGACTCATCGGGAAGAGTTGAGCGCATAATTGGTAGCGCATACCGGTGGATGCTTTGTTAATGGGCCATTAGATATAATTCATTAGTAGTAATATGTAACAGCTACTAGTACTGATTTGATCGGCTCCATGAGCCTTTTGGCATTGCATTTCTTGATCATGACAGAAGAAGAGCCCTTACTGAAAGCTCTGAAGCAATACCCCGGTGACACTATCGTGGTTTATACAACACATTCACCTACTGATGGATAAAACGTTTCGTGGAAACATCTCACCTTCGTTGCGGTCTCAAGAGAGAGAGAGGTCCACCGTGGGTCATTGGAGCGGTTCCCTTCCATCAGCGCCTTGCATTCGTTTGAACGTATATCAGCTCAGAGCTTCCCTACCAAACTTCATGCTCTTTTGATTCATGCCAGGTTAAAAACGTTCGTAACGTCATATCGTAAAATTGAAAACCATGTCTAAATGCCCGCTAGTATCCGTTCCTCATCACATCATAGCTCTAATGGCCTCTCGTCTTTCATTATCCACATCTCGCCGATGAGCACCACGCACCCGACCGTCATAGCGATGGCAATAATCGGGAGGTTCACCCTCGCAAAGTCGAGACGTCTGACGTGGATATGCTTCTTCGCGAGGATATCGCGCCAGAGGAGACCGGCCAGCGAGGCGCTGAAGGCGGTGCTGAAGGCGCCGAAGTTGACGCCCAGCGCCATCGTGTAGACCGTTGCCCAGAACGTACGCTCGCTGAGGTCGGTGTGGTCGTAGTGGTGGATGACCTGCCATGCTTGGATGACGCGGGAGAGAAGGATGGTCGTGCCGATGTTGGTACCGGAGAACTAACACGGGAAGGTCATGTCAGTGATGTATCATGAAGAAGCAATGGTGGGGGACCTACGTTACTAAGAACAACAGAGAGAAAGCCCATCCCTCCAATGGCTCCTATCGTCCCGGTCTTCCGCACCCAGGCGTCCCAGCCTACTGCGAAGATCTGCACCCATCCCTTGGTCACCAGTGCTTGGACCAGAACGAACATGGAAAATGCAAAGGGCACCAGCGCAAATGGCAAGTGCGAGATGACGGCTGTGGCTGTGGGGAAGGTCTCCTGACACCACACGTAGAAGTCTCTCGCAAGCGACTCCAGCGTCGTCCGCTCACGCGGCTGTTGAGGCGATGCTTCTCGAGGAGCGGCGGCCTTTTCGCGGCTGCCCTCAGGGTCTCTAGCCTCAGATGATGGTTTCTCGGGGGTATTAGCGGTAGTGATCTCGTCGTTAGGATTCGCATTGCTAGGTGCAGTCTTTTGAGTCAATCCACTGCGTGGCGACCCCATCTGTGAAGAGACAGATCCTGCAGATGACGGAAACCCTTCGGATCCTTGGGCTGCGAGCGTCATTTCCTCCTCTCTCTTCACCCGGAGACGCTCCAGTTCCTCCCGGCCCTCACGGGCTATCCTGCGCGTTTCGCGGCGGTGCATCCACCCAAATGCCACGTCCCAGGCGAACATGACGCACGCGGCGGGCAGGGTGACGTAGAATACCGGTTTGGCGCCGGTTCCTGTGGTCGAGGCGTTGTATGCCAGCACAGCGATCAAGGTGGCAGCCATTACGATGGCACCGAAGGCGGCGCCCTTGCGGTCTAGGAAGGGATTCATGATCTCTTCGAGCGATAGCAGCTTCCCCTCCTCACCGGGGGCGTCTTCTTGTTGCTCCGCGGTCCCCCTGGCGTGCGGGATGTTCGGATTGACAGGCTTGCGAGCTCTCGCTTCCGCGGGGAGCTCGTGCAAGTTAATGGATCGCGGGACGAGCGACTCGTTGTTGAACACGATGTAGAGTAGAAACGGAAACAGGATGATCCCCGTGATGATGACCGGTACGATCATGTAGGCTGTGTATTCGATGAACCTGATCTGGAACGCCCCAGCGAGGACGAGGTTGGTCGGGTTGGACGACACCAAGATGGCCGAGCCGATGTTGGCTACCGCAAACTGAGAGAAGATCCAGGCCCGTGGATGGACGATGTTGCTCGAGACACGCGTCATGTATGCAAGGAAGGCCGTCCCCGAGAGAATGACAGGGTCGTTCCCGACGAAGGAGGTCAGGGCGAACCAGAAAATGTAGAGATAGAAGAACAGGCGGTGGCCGGTCTTGCCTCCCCACGTCAGCACCCTGAAAGCCAGATACCTGATGATGCCGGACGCATCAATGGAAATGGCGATGTATGCGAGTGAAATGAAGAAGAGCATGATGTCGAGCGGTGAGATGTTGTGGGCCCCAATTGTTCCCTCCCGCACCTCCCGGCCGCCGATGGCCAGGATCGCGAGCAGGAAGAGGTCGGCGATCAGGGGCCCAGTGACGATGTTCATGGGAAAGTTGAGGCGGACATAGCCAGACGACCGCTTGCTAGTCTTGTCGAAGCCATGGTCACGGAACCGGTCTCCCGGCCCATCGCGGTCCCGGGGACAAATGATGCGCACGGCGCTCAGGCAGTCCAGAAAAGCGTCGTGGAGCCGGCGGGGAACGTAGATGGGAATATGAAAGGGAAAGAGGACGACGATGTCTAGGGGTTTGTTGTTAGTTTGTGTGTATTTCCGCTATCGCCTGTTTTAGCGGTGAACCGGTGACCTACTGGCGAGAACGAAGACGACAAGCGTGACAATGGACCTCCATGCCTTGATTAGGTCATAGTTTGGGGGCTCGACATCCGTCAACCCCCCTGCCATGTCGTCGAATCTTCGGTGACCGAAGGGAACAGTGCAACGGCCCTTTGAATCCGTGCTGCGTACCCTTTGGGGGAGTGAGCAAGCAGGTTCAATTCATAACTGCTTGGGCCCTGGGGTTGCCGGGATCAAGGTAGGGCAGGTTGGGGCAGGTTCATTCTTGGCGGGGCACAGTCCTGTGGGGCTGGTCCCGCCACGTGCAGCCGTCAGCGACCGTCAGCTCATCTGGGACACCGACCTCTAAATCCGCTCACAAGGAAACACAGCCACCACTGGAAGCGAGTGTGGCCAAGACTCTCACTGAGCCGCTTGGCCTTCGAAATCGGGAATCGTTTCGTGCGGGGAGGTGCGTGTGGTGGCTGTACCGTTGCATTTTCAACGCGCGTCATTGGGATTCTTGGCTCGGCATCGCAGTCGCGAGTTACGACTTGTCCGGTAGGCTTGGGACTGAGGCTCTGTGGCGTCGGTGACGATCTCGGGCGTCGCCGTGTTGCTGCTTGGTTACACATCGGAGAAGTGCGAAGTGAGATCTTCCGGAAAGAGCAGAACGGCACGTGTTGCCCAACCCGTTACAGGCCGCTTTGCGCAGCCAGTGGTTGATGACAACTTGACAAGGCTGCAGCATTCCATGCAGCTGACGTCCTCCGGATCGCCCTATCTTCCGTGGTGTTCCGCGCTGCTGCTTACCCCAGACTTTCCATTCCCATGGATATTTTGTTCCCCTCCCCGTTTCCCACATCCCTTACCGACGCTACTGCCTCAGTTTTACAGACTATATCGCTAATTAGATGCTACAAAAAGAAGACGTGGCGCTTGGCTCATTCCGCTTTTCCTCTCTGTTCTTCTCCATGTTTCTCGTCTTCCCTTCCGGATGACGACACGCTTACTCGCACCCCAGCTGTCAGGTCAGGGGCATCTTAGCTCTACTCGGCCCTAACACTCATGCCCGCCGTTCCTCACCTCGACCTCAACCTATCTCATCTTGTCGCCGGCAGGGCCACGGAAAGTCCCGCACCCGAACTCCAATCCGTAATCTGTGCTTTTCCTTTGTCGGGGCAATACGGGCCGGGATCAAGGATATTGTTCGTTTCCTCGTGATGGGCATGGACTTGCTGTTAGTCGCTGGGTCTAAGATTTGAGACTAACATGGATCAGATACTACATCCTAGTGGCAGCCTGTGTGCTCGCTCGAAAGACGGAATGGCTTCGAAACGCTTGTTTGGCAGCCGCCCTCATCTTTCCCGCCACTGCTGCAATCCATGGGATTGTTCTTGCGGCATTGCATTTGGATGGTATGTCTGGTTGGCCTCTCTCTCTTTCAATTTGTTGTCCTCATGTCTTTGCTCAGCACTAGCATTCCCAATGACTCCTGCTTAACCTACCTACCGGTACCTACTGCCCTCGATGCAGTTCTGTTGCTGACAACGTAGCAGATGCGGTGGACATGGACATTTACGGCGCTTTCCAGTTCTGCGCCATCGGAATTCTGACCGCGCCGGCGACGGTCAGACTGTCTAGAACATATTTCAATAACCCCGGAAGAAATGTTTTGTTCCTATGGACGATGCTGGTCATCGCTGGTAAGACATAAGTCGCTCACTTATGTGAGATTGCTTCTAACAATCTTTCCGTTTGCACAGGACTGCTAGCATTGACCGTCGAGTTCTTCCGCGCCCACTCAAACCCATGCACCGACAATGGCTCCGGCCAGCCTCTCTATCGTGGCTCCTTGTTCCCCTACGGCCACACGACCTGCGGCCTGACCTGTTCAGCCGAGGACGGCCCCTACAGCCCTATGAGGGACGGCTCGGCTGACAATGTCTATGTCGTCCCAACACCACGCGTCCTAACTTTCGGCGCCGCCACGCTTGTTGCTGCTGCATGCTGCATCCCTGGCATCTTGTCCATGGTCTCCCTCTGGGACAAGATTCTTAGGACGAATTTCGTGAAGCAATTTGGCGACCCTGATGCGAATAAGTTGATCGATGGGACCAACGGGGCTACAGAGGGTGGCATGAAGAATATCAATGAGGTGATTAGAGGGCTCCTCAGCCGTGTGGAAATCCCTGTGGTACGTACTCTCCTTTGTTTATGAGTTCTTGCTTTCCATAGATCTACAAGAGCGGATTCACCCTTCCGCTTCCGGGAGAAGGCCTCTAGCACTGAGGCATTACAGCTAACGCCAGTCTTTAGTTTGGAGGCGCCGTCCTCGCTCTCATCATTGTCGGCGAACTAAATTTCTGGAGCGAGCCCGTCAGATACGAAACCGAGCCTATTGCTAATGTTGGTCAATGGTCCAACATCGCGGCGTCTGTGTTTGCGGCATGCGGGTCGCTTTACATGCTTTTAGCGGAGAGTCTTGAGACAGCAGACAACGAATTTGAAGGAATCGTGGCGTGTCCTAGCCGGTCCTGCCACTGCACATGTCACGAACGCGGCAGCAATCATCCAGGTTCTTTAAGCGATCGTGTCGAGACTGCAGAGAGTACACGATCCCCGCAACGAACAACCACCCTCGACACTATGCCGGACACTCAGTCACACGGGGAGGACCATGGCCACGGTCTCGGTATTACAAGAATAGATTCTGGCGGTTCCTCCAGCACGGGAAATCAGCAAAAGGGGTGGATGAGAATTGCGACGGCGCTTGGAACTGCGTCACCTGGTCGGTACGACGACCGAGACTTTCGAGAGGGGAAGGCTACCGGTTTCCCCGAGATTCCAGGAGAAGTAACCCGGAATCCCAACCTTAACAAGATCAAGGAACAGTGGGGACAGCCAAGCCTAGATGGCGACGACGCCCACACAATCCGAGGGCGACGATCCAGAGCCAACAGTTTCAACAGTGTCTCCCGGCCAAGTTCCATAGGTCCACGACCACGCTCGCCACAACCCCCTATAACGCCGCAGCCTCCCAGCGCATCATTCCTAGGGTTGCCGACGACGACTAGCCCGGAAACCAGCACCGAAACAACCTTCCCTTCGCGGCCTTCGACTGAACTGGAGAAAACAAAGTCCTCGGGCACTGTTGTCACACTACATGAAGGGCCCAACTCGCCGGCCATTGTGCTCTCGTCAGAAGAAGAGCCCAGTGAACCTTCTGACCCGGGCGCGGCAACTCCACCTGCCACTGAACAGCTGCCGCCTTAAACCTAAGAGAAGTGCCAGGGTCAGAGCGTCGGAGTTGAAATCGCTGTGTTTCTCTGGGGATCTATTGCTCATACACTCGGCAAGGGCTCAACCCAAGCAGCAAGCAGCTAGGACATCATGAGCTGGCATGGTCAAAATATTTGAGCGTGGGGGGATGGTGGCAGTGAGAAGACCGGTGCTCCGGTTATGATCAGAGCCCATTCATCACCGACCAGAGGGCCAGACGTCACGCACGGCAGGGGAGCAAAGGGAGTTGAAATGGCGGCCTTATGCATAAGGTAATCACCGGCGAAACGTCGTTATGAGCAATGAAGCTATGTGTGCAAAGATGGGTAGGTACTTATGCGGCGTTTGAGCGGTCATGGTCATTCATTCATTATACAGGGCAGCAGGATTTGTATTCTGTGAGTAATAAGATATACATCTAGGGCGGCGTTCGGGGCGTAGGTTTTCATAGACGGGCCATATATACTAGCAGTCTCAAATGGACTACCGTGTCACTCCAAGCACAACAGTTGAATCCAGTTACTAGGTACCTGGTACTTGCTTCGGTCGCCGGGATATAAGTCATGTACGGTATTTGTCCCTGATCCAAAGGCTGATCTACGCTCAAGCTATTGTCAGCTTTTGCGTCTGACGCATATCACCCACTCAACGCTACCTTAACCATCCAATCCATCACCGCTTGAACTCCGCTTATCGTTCATCCCCAGAATCACAACTCCCCTCATCGCCAGTACTAGGGAAAGGGGAAGAAGATTAAGTAGCCCAGAGCGTGACTTCGGATCGTTGTCATTGATATATATCTGTGGGTTCTAGCAATGCTAAACCTGAGCAATGATGTCACTCTGGATCCTCTTCAGAGCTCAAGTTATCGACATTCTCACTTCCAGAAACGGCTACGACGCCTGAAACCTGCCACCATATAGATCGCCATGACGAAAGGCAGGTTTACGGCATCGATCTTTCCACACACCGGCGAAGACTTGCCATTGTTACACTTCCACCGATGCTACGGGAATGCTGCATAGCTGCGAATGGGAGCCTTGACCGGTTTCTCGTAGCCCGCTGAAGACCCCTGGTCATGACAAATAGCGAACCTCGTGAACGCGAAAGGGAGCCTCCCTATAGGCTCTAGGCGTGTCACCTAACTGACGGGACCTTAAAACCTGCACCCGATAGGCTGAGTGCGGTACGTCGAGGGCACCCTGCCGCTGCAGATCAATCACACCGCGGCTCGAACCGGCGGGGCCAGTCTATTCACTATTGGTAGCATCCCACGAATATATACTAGTACTGCCTATGCATCTCGCGTGGACACCGGCAGTGCGCCGGCCGCCTCCTGTTGTTCAAGCACAAATGTACATCTAGGTACGCAACCTGATCTCGTTCTCATCCCTTCCGCTTCCACACAGCCCGTGAAAACTGAAAAGTTCCGACACGCTCTCAACCATGCGGGTCATCATTGTGGGCTCCGGGCTTAGCGGCCTGATCATGGGCCACTGCCTGCTCCGAGCCGGCGTCGACGACTTCGTCATCCTCGAACGTAGGCCCGACCCCGTGGAACGGAGCGGCTCGGTCATCGGCCTCTTTCCTCACACGTTTCGGGTCCTGGACCAACTCGACCTACTGGATGAGATCAGAAAGCTCTCCCCGCCCTTGCACCACTGGCTCCACCTCGATCCTCGCGGCCGTACCATTTACGACGGCGGGTTTTTTGACTGTTTACAAACCAAGTGAGCCACTCCTCCAAACAGACGTTAGACCGGGGGCAGACCTGAACTTGCCTCTTTACAGCCACGGCCATCCCTCAACGCTGCTCATGCGTCGCGACCTTATGGAGGCCCTCTACTCCAAGTTACCGGACAGTGGCCTCCGGGTTGTGCCGAACAAGAAAGTAACCGGCGTGGAGCAGGACGAGTCCTCCGTGACGGTGACCTGTGCAGACGGCTCGACGTTCAAAGGCGACGTGCTAATAGGCTGCGATGGCGTGCACAGCGCCGTCCGACGCTTCGCCCTGGAACAGCCGGCAGGAGAGTCAAAGCGGCCTCTTCCCAAGTCCGGGTACCGTGGCCTGTTCGGATCCTGCCCCCGGCCGGACGGCCTTGCGCCGTGCAATGTCACCGAAACACACGACACCGGCATTGTCTTTATGATCCTGTGTACGGAAGACAGAGCGTTCTGGCTTATTACCCACCGCAAAGAGAAGCCTGACGGCCAGAAATACTCGGCCGAGGACATACAGGCGCTCGTCGACAAGTACGAGAACCACTCGGTAGCCCCTGGCGGGAAGGTCACCTTTGGCGACCTGTGGCGGACAAGGGACCCAGTTCCCGGTCCCGGTATGTACGACTACCACGAGGGTGTTGCGGAGCGGTGGTATAACGGGCGGGTGGTGATTGTGGGCGATGCAGCGCATCAGGTGGGTTCCCAAACACATCATTGACAATCCGAGCCATCGCCTGACTGTTCCTGTTCCTTGGCTTGAAAACGAGAGAATAACTGACATTCGCGCTGTCAGATGACGCCGAACCTCGGCCAAGGGGGCAACAACTCGGTCGAGGACGTGGCATCACTCATCAACCAGCTCAACGCGCTTGTCAAGGAGAAGCCCAACCCAACAACGGCGGAGCTCGAAGGGGCCTTTGCCCGTTTCCAGAAAGAACGAAAAGGGCGGGTGAAGTTCATAGCTGGGATAACCGGAAGGTACACTCGGTGGACGTCGTGGCGGGATTGGCCTAGTTGGTTTATGCAGTACTGGGTGTGGCCACTTCTGGGCGATCGGTTCATTGTCAACCGGCTTCTGTCGCCGATGATCAGGGAGAGCATCAAGTTGGACTTTGTGGAGGAGAAGCGCCTCCCGCCCGGAAAGGTGGCGTGGAAGTATCATTAAGAAGTGGTGTACTTTACGTATTGCTGCGGTGTTGAATCTCGCCGAGCTGCAGACAGGCAGGAAAGCATACGGTGGCGGGCTGAATAAACTTGAGAGCTGCTTAGGCCTGGGGGAGCTTACCGGGAAAAGGTTTTATCCGCGTCCCAGTTAAGGTCCGCAACCCTTGCGAATTGACAATCGTCCTTGCGAAACAGACCAGCCGTTCAACACAGGAGGGGTCCCAATCCTTGCGAATGACTAGCCCGACTCTAAAATGGAGGACCTCGACCCAACGGCCATCCGTACTCTTGTCGAGAAACTGATTGGAGGCCCTTGTAATTTTATTCTCAATACGGACATTTCTCCCTTCCGTGGCGGAGAGTATGCAATCTATGCTCTAGAGGACGAGAAGTCAAGACGCCTCTGCCTCCGCATCCAAAATAATCGGACCAGCTGCCATATCGCCCTTGTCATTGAACACGAGGCCGAGGTCCGTCGCCATATTGACGCTGCCCAAATCGATCTCTTTCAGCCGCTTATCGCCTATGATCCTACGACAGAGAACTTGATGAAAGCGCCGTATATGGCTCTGGGTTGGGCGGATGGCAGCCCCCTAAAGTGGTCTGATGCCTATCCAGCCGCGGACGATCTCAGGTCTGTTATGCGGGCGGTTGCTAACGCCAGTCTCGATCTGCTTCGCATTAAACGGCCTGGTATTGTTGCTTCTTGACAAGATTTCCTGGATTTGAGCTAACGGAGATGTAGGGGAGGCGGCCCTGGAATGGATTACAGATAAGATTGACCGCAAGATCGCACGTGCGAAATCCAACGAGCTTCGCGGGGGCACAGTCACCGAGTGCGAAGATCAGAAGCATCTGATACCAAAATACTGGATGCCGGACCTTGATAATTAATACCCCGCATGTGCTTGCCTATGGTGACGTCTCCGGGAACAACATCATAGTAGGCAACGCCCCTCTTGCTGTCCAGAGATATATCGGAAAATCCCTGCCCACTAGAGACGCCTTAGGCCACTGATATAAGTTATAGTATCATCGACTTAGGCTGGGCGGAAATGGTACCTCTACAATTTGCGGCCGTGTACCCGCGCTTTCTCACCCATGAACCCGGGGAGGGAGCCCAAGGCTTTTCTGTTCGCAATACCCGGCAAATGAAGCAAAACCGCGCTTTCTACCTCGGATGTGTGGAGACAAGGGCTAAGCGGGAGGGCGGCATCGAGCTAGATTACTATCGCGTACTTTCTCGCGACGACGAACCCAGTAGGTACTGGTGGCTCACTGCAGCGAGCCGCATCGACATTCACATAGCTATGTTGTTGTGTTCTCGGGCGCCCGCAATTGTATAGCGTAAAGTGGCGGGAGTAGGTAGCAAAGAAAATCGTTGATATTGAACTATCGCTCGAGGCTGATATAACATGAGCCTATCAATCAACCAACCATTCGTGCCTCTGTCTCCGTCAGGTTGATACAGTGTACTCATGAGAGTGGGTGTGCTTCTCTGTTTTGAAACAGTTGCACCTGCAGCCACGCTTGATGAAGTCATCGGTGTAGAACGGCGCCTGCGGGAGCATGTCGCGCCGCAGCAGATCTATCCGGGTGCGCTGGATGTTGAGGAACATATTGTATGGCCAGGGGGGATGGTCAAGGGTAATGGTCAGGAGGGCGGTGTTTATATTTGACGATGCCCGGCGTCGCCCACTTACAGAACCGCATCGCGATGCTCAACGCGTTCGTGGATGTTGGTTACGGTGGGAGGGCGACGTCGGGTAGCATGCTGTGGAATACGGCGGCGGTTATGTACAAGATGGTTCTGTCAGGTAAATTGGTCTCTACTCTACGATACTGAACATTATAGCGTCATGAACGATAACTGCAGACAGTCAGGTATGTGTGAAGGCGATACAACGAAGGCGATATGGCATGATCGACAGAGACATCATTATCGTAAAGCAACAGAGCGAGACACATAGAGGCGTTTACCAACGCTGTCGCGTTGGCATCGCCTCGTGGCTAGCCTGTTGCTACTTTTCGATGATGTCTCTGGATCATGCCTGTGTATGTAATGTCGGATGCATCTTGTGTATCACCAAGCCTCACTTCACATTTACTGGGGCTTGGCACAGTCAAGGTCTTGTAGTATATGAGTACATCGGAGCTCAAATTTGAAACCCATCACCGCAACTAGCAATCCATGGGGAGAAGACGTGCTTAACAATCATGCATTGAGGTCTCTGGTGAGATCCAGTCTGGAAAGGGTGTCGGGGCCAGTGTATTCTCAAGCGTCGCTGCGGCCGGGGTCGATTACGACGTCTGTTCAAGAGAAGCCAGGAGAAGGTTCTTCTCCAAGGGCCGTCCTTCTTTCAGTGCCCGTTTCACCCGTGCCCTTCGCACCCATTTCCCCCGGCGAGACCCCTTGATCCGTTCTTTCGTGATGTCGCGAATGATCTCCCTCGTCCGGACCCTCTCCTGGGCTACCCTCATCTTTTCTTCCTCCATGGCCTCCCTTTTTGATCTCTCCCCCTTTTTGCGCCGATGCCCCTTGATCCAAGTCTGCAGGCGCTTTGAGAAAGATGCGGCCCGAATGCGACACTGCAAGTCCCCACACCGCAGGATCTCCACCGCCTCGCCCATGTACTTGTACCCGCACTCAGGGTCAGGTCGCGGTATTCGGGTCTCGAGATAGTGTCTGGCGACCAGCTCGGTCGCGGCGACGAAGGCTCGCGTCACCGAGTCGTACTGCAAGGCCTGCCGACGTGCCTTCTCCCGACACATGTCCGTGGTCCAGCTCAGGAGTCGGCTCGCCTCGGAGATGACCTCTGGCTCGTTACATGGGTCTCTCGTCACCGCCCGTAAGTAGTTCAGAGAGGCCTCAGCCAGATGCTCCGGTTCGTGGTTCGGTGATTCGACAGCCACAAGAAGCGGCCGATGCAGCAGCTTCACCGTGGTGCTGGAGGCCGAGAACTTGCTCTTCCAGGTCTTTGAACAGCAAATGCCCATGTTCAGGACGATGTTGTGCGTATTCCCAATCAAGTCTCCCATGGTATGGGTGGCTTTCCAATGACCCAGTCCCAATGTCGCCTTCAGGTCGCGCGGCGACGAAGCCCAGACGCGGAGTAGCGAATCCACGATGACCGTCAATGGCCGCCTGCCAAATTCGGACGCCAGGATCTGCTTCAGGTGTCGGAGAAACCACCCTAGCCACGGGAGTGCTTGGCCTTTTCCCTTTGTGCGGATTGGGATATTCGAAAACACGTCGCACATTGTCCAAAAATGCAGGAGGAAGCTTGGGTCCGGCACTCGAGCCGCGAGTCTCAGTCCTGCCAGCACTTGGCGAAGCATATAGTTTGCGTGGTGGTACAGCTGCCCTTCGACAAGCATCTGCACTCCCGCAACTTGGTCGGATAGAAGCTGCCAGGCTCGGCTGGAATCAGGAGTGTTCGGAGGCGGTCTGAAGTGGCGAGCGTCGGCGGCCCAACTCTTGTTGCCTGCCGCAAAGAGCACCTTACAAAACGCATCGATGGCGTGGAAGAGCTCCTCCTGGTGGATGTAGATTGTGTGAAGGAAAGGTCCAATCGCGCCTTGGCTGATGCCTGCAGCTGGTTTCGCCTTTCTCTTCTTGCGCCCCTTTTTGTTGCCCCTCTCGACCTGCAACTGCCTCCGTCTGTTTCTTTCTTCCTTCCGCCTGTTTCTCTCGCTGCGCTGTTCTTCCGCCCTCGTTCTCCGAACTCGTTCGGCCACGATTTCGAACAACTTGGGGGTCTCTGTCTTTGTGTCCAGGCTTGGGTCGTCGGGAAGCGCTCTTGCTGTTCGAAGGCGTTTGTCTTTTCCCAGGCTCGCAAGTCTTTTCTGATATGTTCCTACACTGCCAGTGCATTGAGTCAGTCAGGCACCACAGCGTCCCAGTTCAATGCTCTCATATGAAACGCACTTACGAGGCTTCAAAGTCGTGGATCGCAAACATTTCGAATGCTACCTCTTCTGCGGTGTGCCCGTGAATGAGATAGAGCCGGCGTAGATGCGAATCCATTTCCTTCCATTCACTGGCTGAATGTCGAATCCGTTTTCGCACGACTCGGTGTCTGGCATTGCCATCATCAGGCTTGCCGACGCTGGGTACATGGGAAACGGAGCTGGTGTTGGTAACCAAGACGACCGCTGAATCGTCAACGTTATCGCACTGCCATCTGGCCACAGTCTCCCTCTGTGTGACCGGGATGGAAGCACCACCGGCGTTTTCGGCAAACCAATTAGGACTTGAGAACATGGCGTATTGGTCTGAATGCAGCGGCACCGTAATAGCGTTTTCCATTCCTGTGAATCCGCATCCTGCATCGTGAACAACACCCGCAAGGTGGCTTGATCCCTCATCAAGATGCAAGTCCCATGCCGAGGGAACTTCGCAAATATCCCAGATAGAATCAGCGTTCACTGAACTGTGCGTCGGATAGGCCCGGGCGCTGATGCACTGTAAATCCGACTGTAGATTATCGAGCCAGTGGTGATTCTCGTGAAAGGTCGTCATGGTGAGGCCAGGGTCGAGAATACCCGGACCTAGGCTGCCTCCGGTGCTGCCGCTGCTGCCGAGAGGGTGGGCGGAGTTGGACATGGCCGGGCCCTTGTCGAGCATTCCTGCATGTGGGTTTACCGTTCCTAGGTTGTTGTGGAAGATTCCAGAGCATGAGATGCCATGAGAACCGTCAACGATCTGGCCAAAGTTGTTGGAATCCGCGAGGAAAAAACTGCCAGGCTCAGCGTTCACCGTGTCCCAGCCCCGGTCCGCTTCTGGGATTCCCAGGCTGCCGTGCAAGAGCGCCAGTCCGTGCATGTGGGCAGAAATGCCATGACTGCCAATGTCTTCATCCATGTTTGCCATCAAAAAATGGTCATGGGCTGACCAAGTACTGGGCGCCTGAGGGAGAAGGCCAGGGCCGAAAGGGGTGTTGGCCCTTCGCCGGCTCAGGGTCAAATCAGTCTCCAGATCGGGGATGGTGAGACCATGGAAACCATCAGTGTGGGGTTCAGGCTGATTTTCAGTAGTAAAACGTGGTACTGGAGTATAGTCATGCGGTCGGTCGTCCATGATTGTTGTCCGTCAGCTATGCGTGCGTCGGAGAACGGGTATCGACTGAGGTCGGAAAGGCCGCGGACCCGCGGGATGTGCACCGAGGCACTTCCACAGTTTGGGACGAAGCGGGCAGGCAACTCGACGAACAGGACTAAGAAGCGAGCGCGCCAAAGAAGGGTAGGGAGGTACCTAGCAGAGTTCCGGGTTGGGCACGCGGCGATGATCAGCCGCTGCAACACCCCAAGGCGTTCTCCCCAACTCCAGAGACGGGGCGTTTGGGTTAGAACTGTTGGGCTCCGCTGCGTCTTGGGCAGCCTGTCCTGCCGGTTGCGAAGCGATGCGAGGCATTATGAGTCTGCCTTCACGGGAAGTCGCCTCCTCCCGAAGCACGATGACTGGCCCGATGCTAAGTTTCCTTATGCACGTCAAGTCCTCGAATGCGATAATTGGACGATGCTAAGTTTCTTTATGTAGGCCGAGTTTCCTCCTGTGGGAGTGTGCACCTTTGTGTCTTTCTTCATTGGCCTTAGGCACCGCCGAAGGCATTCACGCCCACTGGCTCTCGAGACTTTGCTCTGTAGGCCAGCACCAAACACCCATTCGACAGTGCCAAGCTAATTGTTACACAAGACTCTCACGCAAGCATAAATATGTCATGATTTTCCGCCTTCAAAAGAGTCATGTTTTAGCCACCAACCCGAATCATCTTGATCACTTCCTTCGCAGCCAACCTTCGGTCACCAGACCCAGCACAAGCCTGCTTCTTCTCTCACCCAACACCACCGTCCTGAACCACCAAGCATCATGGCGAACATGGGCGATGATCTTGCCGTTGTCTCGGCGAGCCTGTTCGACGAGATGCAGGTTAGGCTCTTCGATTCGATGAGTCGGCTCCAGCAGTTGCGTATCGACACGCCTCAGCTCGTCGTGGTCGGCTCGCAGAGCAGTGGCAAGAGCTCCGTCCTCGAAGCCCTGGTCAGATTCCACTTCCCAGTGGATGGTGCCAAACCCACCACGAGGTTCCCCATCAAACTGGTTTTGCGGAAGGCCGACGAAGAGATGACCCGGGTCCGGATTGAGCTGCAGAGTGAAACGTCGCGTTCCGAAGCAGAGAAATTGCGCCTTCGCCGCTTGGCTGAAGATCTCTCTGGTGACCGCTTCGATCGCATCATCGAGAAGGCCAAGGCCAACCTCTGTGTGGCTTCCCCGGACACCCCAGGCGAAGCTGGTGACAAGGTGCGGACATTTTGCGACGACGTCTTGGTCATTGAGCGGTATGGCCCGTTGCTGCCTAAACTGGACCTCGTCGACCTCCCCGGACTTTTCGACGCGGAGAGCACAGGGCAGACCCTAGAGGATGCAAAAATGGTCAGAGACATGGTGTGCAGATACATCAAGTCACCGATGAACATCATCCTGCTCGTTGTCTCGGCCGAACACGACTATTCCAATGTCCGTGGCCTGGGGACCCTCCAATGGATGCGGAAGGAAGACCCCACCCTCGAGAAGAGAGTTGTCTGCGTCATTACGCGCCCAGACAAGACCGGTCTCCTACAAGAGACCCTGAGAGTCCTTGGCAAGCAGAATCCGTTTGCCCAGTCTTTCGCTCGTCCATGGCACGTCCTCCGCAACCAAGACCAGGAGGCGAGGAGGAAGCACCAGGCCCTTGATGAAAGGGACCGCATTGAGCAGCAGTTCTTCCGCCAGAAGGACTGGGAGGCCGTGCCCCCAAGTCAAAAAGGAATCGGTGCCCTCCGAGAGACTCTTAAGTCTATGATCTGGACCCACACACGAGATCAACTCCCTGAGGTCATCTCCATGGTCAAGGCTGAGATCAAGGGAGCCGAGGATCAGCTGCGTTCTGCCTTTGATGCGAGAGCAACGCCCGAGGCCCGTCGAAACTATCTGAGCGGTGTCGCCGAAATGTTTGCCCTTTTGACCAGGGAGGCAGTCCAGGGTACCTTCAAGAACAAAAGATGCGAGAAGGACCACAGAATCGACGAGCCGTGCCGAGAATGCAACGGCTTTTTTGCCCCATACGGGGACAACACGTTGGAAAGCCAGCAAAAGCGACTGCGGGCAAACGTCCGAGCTCTGAACCGAGCGTTCGCGGCGGCCATGCGCCAATACGGCAGGACGACGATTGAAATTGGAGACGGGGGAGCGCCCACAGGGACAAACCAGCCGCTGGACCAGCTGTGGCAGCAAGACGGCGACGGAGAGATGGCTTCCCAACTGCACCGCCACGCTCAGTATTATGTCCATGACAAGCCCGAGACCAAGAGCCGGAAGGAGTATGAAAAATGGGTTTGCGCCAACACAGACCGCTGGAAGTCGCTGGAGCCCGGGAGAGAGGCGAGCGACGGCGCTTACTGGGGACTGTTCGCGTACCAAGCGGCGAAGTGGAAAAGAATTGCGACCCAGCATGTGAAGGCGGTCTGGCTGGTGGTGGAGGAGTTCATTGAACTTGCATTGGCGGCTTCGTGTCAGGACAAAGACGTTCTCGACGCATTGCGGCGCGAACTCGTGGACATAAACCTCAACGACGTTCAAGTGAAAGCCGACCGCACCTTGCGCGACCTCGTCAGCTGCCACGGCGAGGCCAACCCGGGCTTTTACGACAGCCTTGCCGACGCCCGTGCAATGCGCGAGCACGCCGAAGCATTCCTCCAGCGGCTGGCCATGATAAGCCCGGAGTCCGGGGACAACGCCGAGGCGAGTGGCTCGGGCACCGCTAATGCCGAGCAGGCCAACGGCCAGCAGGATGCTGCCGCGCAGCAAACCAACAGCACCCCGCGCCAGGGGGACACGAACTTGAAGCCCAAATCCCAACACGCCGGCACGCAGCAGCGCAACACGGAGCACAAGGCCATGCCCAAAGACCGCAGCGCGAAGAGTCGAGAGGCGATATTGACCCTTGCGCTGGAGAATGCCATCGGCATACTCGGCAACGGCTACCCTATCCTCAGCAACCCCCTGGTTCGGAAGTCAGTCGTTCCCATCATAGCTCACCACATCTCCGCGGCATTTGAGCCGAACAGCGACTCCGGCACCAAAGAAAAGCCGAAGCGCACCGAGACAAACGCACAAAAAGGGGTCCACAGCCTGTTTCCTGTCGATTCCGGGACCCTCATCCCAGCCAATGTCATCAGCCAGGTGGAAATGCATTATGAGGTACGGAGGTTTCGCAGCAGACACGCACATACCCTTTCCTGCCTAAAGCTGCTCGTATCAAGGCAGCCATCCTTGATCCCTTCAGGACTACGCTCATTATTATACTGACCGCATTATTTGCGCACGTAGGCAATCCAAACCTCTTTCGTAGGCTACGTGGCCTCCCTCGTCGTCGAGCAGAGGATCATGGGGCAGCTCCCCGAGGCTATCCTCACCGAGAAGATCGTCCGAGACATGAAGAAGGAGAAAGTCGACAAGATTGCCGGTGAAAGGCCGCAAGATGCAGAGAAACGCAAGAGAGTCGAGGGGGACTTGAAGACTATGCGCGAGGTGCTGCAGGCGATCGAGGAGTACCGGAGGGCAAGCTGGCCCGCCACTGGCACGCCTTGAGGATGCTAGCTTGGAGTATTCCCAGTGAGTTCAAGTTCGCAGAGGAAATTTGATCTTGGCATATCCGTCTTTCCCGCCCTGCCTGGCAAAATCCTGGTTTCTCTCTCCCTCTCTTTCCCTTTTTCAAGCATCCATAACCTAGCTGGTACCTAGCTATATAGCTACCCACATAATACGATTTTCTCCCGCCTTTTTTGCCCCGACTCAGAAGATGTATGCTCTATACACGGCGAGTCCTCCTCTTATTCCGGTTCTGGTAATTCACATGCCTTATCCCGCATTCCTTGACCACCACCTTCATCATGACAGCATGCTTGCGCCTTGCATCTTGCATGATTCCCATGCAGTCATACTTCCCATCCACTTCTTCAACTCGCCATGTGATCGCTAGCGTTTTGGTGACGGCTGTGACAAGCTAGCAACCAAGTCACGAAGAATCGGACGTAGTTGGTTCGTATCCTCGACGACGGTCCCGGAACGATGGCGCGAACATGATACCTTGTCTACATCGATAGGGGACGGGATCCTGGCGCCAAAATTGCATCGCCATCGCGAATGCGCGGGAGCTGTTCCGGAGAACTCCATGGGTATGAACGAAGTAGAATGGGCGACGCCTTTCGGCCTCCGTCGCCGGCGCCGTTTGAAGCAGTTACGGAGGCCGCCCGATCCGGGTCCGCGAACGGGTTCTCGTCCGTTGGGGCGGGTCGGCTGAGTCAGCAATTGCGGTTCAGCGCCAGGGAAGATTTTGCATATATTCAGCAATGGAGTTGGTAAGAGCTGCATCCCATTTTGGTGGCGGTTGTCGTTGGCTGCTAATCTCGCTGCCCGCCTTAGCCCTCTCGCTAACACCGTTGTTGGTGTTATCGTATACATTGTCGATACCTTCCGAGTTGTCCTTTTAGCATCGCTGGCGAGTGCCCTGACTAGGTACCTACCAATTGTGTTGTGCTATAGAGGTGACGTTCGACACAGCGTGCAACCCATCACCCCTGACGTGCAGGAGTACGAGTCGGTGACACCCCTACTGTGGTAAGTGGGACAACTTCTTCCCTTAAGTAACCCTAACCGCTAGCAGACCTAGTTACACATCTTCGTTGTGATTGGGTTCTGATTTTCCCGCCCCATCGCCCACTGGATAGACGAAAACATCAACCACGTCCAGCAGTGCTGAGGGACAATTACAGTTCCGCATCGACGACAGCATGCACGGCGACTCGTTCCTTTGTCTGACGGCCTCGTCTTTCGCAATCAACGGGGATTGTGCGAACCACAACTCCTTACCACGCTCCTCCTCGCCAATGGATCCCATGGCTCCAGCGTTTCAGCCCGGCTCACCGCCACCAAAACCCAAGCTGCCAGCACACAACGCGGTCGACCCGCTGCGGAAAAGATGTCGCGAATGTGGAGAATTTTTCCAGAAAGGCAGCCAATTGATGAAGCACCTGCGGAAGACTCACTGGGACACCACAGTGACGAGAGCGCCTGAGGCAGTCCGGAGACGGAAACCAATTCCATCTCCATCTGCTCGGAATCCAGGACAGCCACAGATACACCCATTTATCCTGATGTCACAGCAACAGAAACTACTCTTTGTTGTCCACGTTGTATATATGCTTTGCTGCGTTGCCATGAAAATCCACGAACAGGAGGAGACGGCAAGGCAGCGAGAGAATGAGAAGCCCGTCCAGCCGAGCGACGACCGTTCCCAGGAGTCTCCGCCCCCGGTGGAAGGCACAGCTGGTTCTATGACGGGAATATTGCAATCCGCTGCCGACATTCGCCCGCGGCAGCCTGGGGAGGATTCTGATTCGGAGATCGTGGACGAAGACGAAGACGGTGGTGTCCCTCTCTATTCATCCTCCAGCACTTAGGAGCCCGACTCTTCGAATTAGCGGCATTCGAAATAGAATGGGTGCCTCAGACGGAGAAGTTCTTGGGGTGACCTGGACTGGTTCAGGGGCCTTCTTGTTACAGCAGTGGAGGCCTACCGTGGCCGGGACTCTCCAACCTTCACACACCCCAAACCACGTCGGATATCGCCATCTCGATGGCAGCCCCCGCGCGACCTTGCACAAACAGAAGTCATCAACCCAATCGGGCCAACCCGACGGAGGACATTTCGCGGGCCGAGCACCAAGGCACCGAAGATACCACCAATGACGTATGAATGGGACGGAGCAACCCTGCGAATGACCGGATGAGGCGCATCTGTATCATGCTTCGCTCTCTGTTCTCGGCCCGAGAATGAGACATGCAAATCAGTCAAGGAGGAGAGGAAGCGTCCGCCGTTCTGGAACCCTGCAGCAGTCCATCCGTTGCCTGTTTTGAGTACCTGACTCCTGCGTTGATCGTCTCTGGACACTCGCCCAATGGGATAAGGCTATCTGTCGCACCAGAGCCAACCAACACATCGTACAACAGCACTCGGTCATGCACAGCGGCGGGCTTACGCATGGAGTATGCTTGTTGTGTTTCCCTGTGTTTCGTGCTTCCTTGGTGCGATCATAGAGCGCAAGCGGACTGGCCTCGGCTCCCATATCTGCAGTTGCACGACTGCCACAACTCTCTGGCCCTTGCTGCTGAGATGGCATGTTCGAGATGATACGGGCGGTATCTGTTGCCTGCTCGGGCGGATGTGTGTTCCTCAGCCACGGTTGAAGCCGGGCGAACTGCTCAGGTAGTGCCCGAGGGACGCTATATACACCCAAGGACACGTCCTTGGTGCGGCGAGGAGGCTGGCTCCCACAGCGCTCCACGGGGCAGTGGGTGGCTTCACTTCTTACTCGGTCTTTTCAAAACAACATAATGGTCTCAACGAGCACCTCATCGAGCACCTCATCGAGCACCTCAACGCGCACCATAACGCTGACGAGGTCCGGAGGTCCAAACGAAATGATCTCAACGGCAGTGGATCCGTTTACCATTTCGATTACTCGCAACAACATTGGGCCCCTGACAACAATCTTCACACCCCAACCTGACTGTGGCATTTGCTTCGTTGGGCCAACTGCGCAAGTACACAATCTGTGTGATGCTTTCTCGACCGACTGCCAAGGATCCCCAAGGAGTTGTCTGCCCAGGTCTTCTCAATGGAGCAATTGGGCTTTCTACTCACCAGGGTTACTGTGTCCGGAGGGGTGGACGACGGCAACCGTGGTGAGCTCGGACATGACTGATAGTGTCAGAGCTCTCGACATCATTAGCCTCTTAACGTCAGATGAGACTGCCGCATTCTGCTGTCCGACGTGGGTTTCGTGGAGCTTTTTTCAAATAATGTGCAGTGCTAATTGCGTCCCCAGTGGCTTCACATTCAGCTATCCGATTATCGTACCGTCTTTTGCTACGGCGCCGCCAAGGTGCATGTCGGGAATGTTCGAAGGGGGTTTCGTATACCGAACATGCCTTCTCTCTGCAGTGCCCACGCCAAAGCCTACCACCGCCGCGGTAGGAACAGGCAAACACCTTTCCGACAACGATACACTTTACCAGTCACGAGACATTCGCCGACGATGGAACAATCTACACGTCATCAGCCAAAAAAAAAAACAGTGACCACGTGGTATACGACGCAAGCATGGTTAACTGCCTTCACAAATGCACCGGCTGTCCAGCTGGTGTGGCGACCTAACGATCTCTCACTCATTCCGCATACGCTCCAGTCTGTCCAACCCTCAGCGGCATCAGCTCTCTCGACGGTTTCGGGTATACTGACTTCCTCCCCAACCTCAACCGCTGCCCTCTCGAGTCTCCCGAGTTCCTCGCCAACTTCAACCAATACCACTAAACAAGCACCACTAGCATTAGCCGTCATAGTTGGAATCTCTGTTGGCGGTGCGGTGTTCATTGCCGTCCTCGCCCTAGCCGCCGCCGTTCTCATCCGAAGACGTCGTCAACAACAACGGGGCAAGGACGAGTCCGGCGATGCGACAGACAAGACGATATCAGGACCAGACGACACAAACACAGCATCCGGTCTCAACCAGAAGGCCGAGCTGGACGGTCACAGCACCACACACCCAGCAGCAGCAGGGAAACAAGAGCTTCCCTCCGAACCAGCCAAGCAGAAACTTGCCAACGACTGTGTCCCTGTGGCTGCTGTTCGTCCGCCAGATCCAGACCCGGACCCGCAGGCCTTTGAGCTGGACGCTCCAACACCGCTCGTGCCTAGATCTCCCGAGTCGGATACCCCTGAACCACCGCCCGTCCCACAGTGCCTGATCCCTGGTGGTGGTGGTGGTGGTGCTCGTCCTTCAAAACGGGAGAGCTCATTCTCAAATACCATTGGCCCGATTTCGCCCCTGTCGGACCGGGAACCGTCCTCGCATGTGCTGCGCTCGCCGTCCATGATGTCTGATATGAGTAGCCCCGGCGTGGGAACGGGGCACGATAATCATGTTATTGATGGCGGATGGAGGGCGACATCGATTCCTGAATGAGAGGATGGGTTTCACAGCTTGGTCATCGATGGGTGTTTGGCTGGCTAGGTGTGGTAGCAATGCAATACGGGCTGGTTGGTGAAGTGTGTGGTCACTCAGGTTGGAATTGCTTGCTTGAAGGGGAGACTACCCAAGGTGCTCCCTTGGGGACCACAGTCCTCCATGTATGGAGAGCCCTGAATCCCTGTCTTCCTCCCTGTAAACCTGTGTATTTGTACCGGTACTTCCAGAGTGTGTTGGCTTGTAAGCTCTGTCCCTACTTTCAGCACTGGTACTGTGGCAGGGGACAGATGGAATGAAAGTCTTGGTGAGCGTGGACGGGAGTACGTTAGTTCTACATCCGTGGCAATATCTACGATCTCCTTGACCTTGTTATGGCTCGTTGTGATTATCCATATATGTAGGGACCAACCTTTCCCTGCGAAAGATCCCTATGTTTCTGTTCCAGCTGTCCCGTTTTCGTGAATAGCACTTCAGACTCCTGAAAACAATGGGGGTGTATTTGTCAGTTGATTGGTCGGTGTGAGGTTCAGTTCACAGACCGGGTTGAGTGCCCTTACGAAGTGCTCAAGTACGGTACCCGAGTGGTTCTCCGTGCCTTCCTTTCACTTCTTAACCTGATAACCAGGTGGAAGGGGAAAGGAAGGTAAGACATCTTTCTGTGGCCCATGCGTAAGGTCACCAGTGGCATGCATGAAAGAACGGGTATATAAGTCCCCATGGTGGGCACTCCTTCCATCACCCCGCGCAGCCGCATACACATCGTCATGAAACTCTGCGTGGCGTAGTGGTCAAGCTGTGAAAAATTGTCCAACACTCTCCGCGTGCGCAGCCCTGCTGTGGATTTTGTAGGACCACATGTTCGATTTGTGGTTGCATCACCTTTTTCAGGTTTTCTTATTGCTTATGGCAACAGCATCGTCCTATAGTTTTCTTACCATGATGACTGACCCTCGTAAATGGTTTGAGCAGCCCATGGTTACTTACCACAGCCAGGCAACTTGATACTCTAACTTCCCTCGCAGCATTGCAGGAATTGAAGAGTGACGTTTGGGTAGTAAAATGAGGAACCAACGAGCAGCATCTACAACTTGTTCCAGACCGTGTCCCTGTCACACTCATCCATCGATCCATCTTTTGGATCAGCGCATCGACATGCCGCAATTCAACTACCTATTCATTTCCGCCTCTACTTATGGTACAGAGTACGTCTTTCGCTAGCTCTCTCAGCCAGATCGTTGCTAACACCATCGCCTCTCTGAGCCCATCTTAGGCAGCAAACCTGTCCTTATTCGTCTCCACCCAGTCCTGGATCTTGGTCCCGGGTTTCCGCCCATACTTTTCAGAATTAGCGACCGCCTCCTCGAGGGTACCCGCGGGGAACACATCCTGTCCTTCCGCCGTGGCCTTATAACCCCGGACGAGCTGTTTGGCAACCGGCTCCGGCGTCCCCTGGACGGAAACGAGGAACTTGACCGCTTCCTCGTCATCCGCAAACCCTTCGACCTTCAGATCCTTGCCGAGCGCCTTCCCAATCATGACAAGAACGTCGCCCTGCGGCACGAGCTGGGGGCCCGCCAGGTAGATGATGTGCTTCCCACCCGCTGCCGCCACCGCCTGGGGTCCGCCGGCCAGTACGGTCCCGCTGACGCGGCCGATGTCCTCGGGCGCGATGTAGTCGAACTTGGCCTCGGGATACGGGATCTTGACGGTCCCGCCGGCGGCGATGGCCTTCTTGAAGCCGAAGAAATTGCTGGCGAAGTAGCCCGGGCGGATGGTGGCGAAGCGGTCGGTGCCGAACACCTCCTCGAGCACGAGCTCGACCTGCGCGTGCTGCCAGTTGATGAACTCGGCAGGCGTGTAGCGCCGCAGGTCGTCGCCCTGGCCCTGCACGCTGCAGCTGCTCAGTATGACGACGAACTCGACGCCGCCGGCCTTCAGCGCCGTGATGGCCGCCCGCATGTGGTCGGGCGCCCCGATGGCCACGTAGATGAAGGCGCGCTTCGCGCCCGTCTGGACCACGGCCGCCTGCACGGTCTCGGGCTTGGTCAGGTCCGCCTGCACGCGCTCGAAGCCGCCCGCCCGCTCCTGTTCCGGGGTGAGGCCCGGGATGGGCTTGTGGGTGTCGCGCATTGCGAGGACCACCTGGGCGCCGCACTGCTGTGCCGTGAGCGCGGCCGCGGAGCCGACGCCGCCTGTGGGGCCGAAGACGATCACCTTGGGGGAAGCCATTGCGAGTGACTGTGAGGGATGATGGGGTTGCTTAAAAGGAGAGGTCTGGTGTGGTTATGGTAGATGGTGCCGGTTGGATGCTCTGTGAGAGAGGGGGATTTGGGTGTTAATGGTGAAAGTGGATGTGACAGAGATGGTGTTGCTGGTGGTCATGGAGCTAGCACCCTCCGTATGGCGATATATACACGTCTACATCTCAAAGAAGGACTTCGATCCTTTCGGAGTTCGTTCTTTCTCTACCGCCGAGCTGACATATCTTCCATCGCATTGATCGAGATTGCTCACATCGAAGCGTCATGACGACTAGTTTAGTCAGGTTCGTAGCTCGAGAAAGCGACCGTAGGTTGCAGGCCGACGTGGACGTTATTGGTGAAATGGGTGCAGCTACGGAGAGTCGGAGAGATTTGTCCAGTACACTACGTATCTGCTCGGCGGGATTAGCCTCCGACGTCCGGCCTGTAATCCATGCACCCCTGATCAAGAGGGTAAGGTTTCCGACCCCAACCCTCCAGTTTGTCAGATCTGCACGATCCCTTCATTATTGATATTTGAACAGACTACCTAGCTAGGTACCTAGGATTACCCAAATTCGGCAAATCCTTCGAGGGCTTGCTGCTTAGGTCAGCAGCATTACGCGCGCGCACATCTTATGGACTGGTGAGAAACATCAGTTCACCACGTCAAAGGCCAGCGGGATCTGGCCCAAAAAGAACTTGGTGTAACTACCGTTCCTTCGGCTCCGAGCCTTTGAACAAAGCCGAACCGGGTCCGACCAGTCGGAAACCTACTGTGTACATAGGTATGGGCATTGGGCACCCCTGAGTGGATAACATTTGTTGGCATTGCGATCCTTCAGCTGACAGGATACTATGTATCCCGCAACTAATCCCGGTAAGGCAGGAAAGCTGAATCTGCTAAGCCTCCTTGCTGCAGAGTGCAGACAGCCTGAAATAATGGGGATACGTGTGCTTCTTAACTTCAACTCGCCTCTCTCCCTCCATCGCCGCGTTTGCGGGTGATAGCAACCGAGCTTGGATTTCCGTGACCGACTTGTGTGCACAATCGCCACAGGACTTGAAGCGTCGACCCATGGCCGCCAACAACAACACCTCGGGGTTGCTCCCGGGAGGCCCCGCCTTAATGGCCGTGAGCGGTCTCGAAAGAATGGCGGCGGCGCCGGTGACCGTAACCGTCGCGGTCGCCGTCGTCGTCGGTTTCCTCATCTTCTACTACACCCTAACGCCCAGCGTCGACCCGCGCGAGCCTCCGGTGCTGAAGCCGCAGATCCCTCTCGTCGGGCACATCATCGGCATGATGCGGCACCAAGCCCTGTACCACACCATGCTGCAGCAATCCACGGGCAAGCCCATCGCGACGCTGCCCATGCTCACGGGCAAGGTGTACGCCATATGGGACCCGCACCTCATCGCGGCCGGCCTGCGCAACAAGAACCTGTCGTCGAACCCGCACGTCAAAGTCGTGACGCCGATCGTGACCCAGGTGACCAAGCACACGGCCGACATCCTGACGGGCCCCGGCGGCGACCACCTCACGGACCGCATCATGCTGCACGCCATCCCCAACAGCTTCAAGGGCACGGCCATCCAGCGGCTGAACGAGACGGCCCTGGCGGCGCTCGCGTCGTCGCTGAGCGCCTTCGGCGCAGCCGGCCGTCCCGAGACGGTGCCCAACGCCTGGCTGTGGCTGCGGCGGCTGATCACCTCGGCCACGGGGAAGGCCGTGTACGGGCCCGAGGACCCGTTCGCCAAGGACGCGGCCGTCGAGGAGGCGCTCTGGGACGTGGAGGACAGCCTGCTCAAGCTCTCGCTTAACCTGCCCGCGCCGCTCGCCCGGGCCGGCCACCGCGCGCGTGCCGTCCTGCAGAAGGCGCTGATGCCCTACTACGCGGCGCGGCACGACGAGGACGCCGCCGCGTCCGACTTTGTCCGCCTGCGCGCGGCCGAGCTGAGGAAGGGGGGCATGCCCGACGACGACATCGCGCGGGTCGAGATCATGCTGCCCTTCGCGGCCATGGCCAACACGGTGCCGCTGCTCTTCTGGCTGGTGTGCCACATCTTTTCCCGCCCGGGGCTGGTGGAGCAGCTGCGGCGGGAAGTCGAGGCCGGGCTGGTGGTTGTTGCTGCTGCCAAGACGGACGACGGCAACGGCAACGGCGAGATAACGCTGCGGGCGGGCACGGCCGCCGTCGAGGAGCGCTGCCCGCTGCTGATGAGCGTCTACCGCGAGACGCTGCGCTGGACCGTGCACCAGGTCAGCACGCGCACGGCCCTGCAGGACACGGTCCTGACCGACCGGACGGGGAGGCAGTACCTGCTCAAGGCCGGGACGGTGGTGCAGATGGCGATTGGCGCGGCGCACGCCCACGGGGAGTATTGGGGCGATGACGTGGACGAGTTCAAGCCCGACCGCTTCGTTCGGAAAGAGGCGACGGCGGACGGTAACGGTAACGGCGAAGAAGGGCCCGGCGGCGCCAAGGCCATGCGGGCGGCGTTTCAGCCGTTTGGCGGGGGCCTGCATCTCTGTCCCGGGCGGCATTTCGCCTTTGCCGAGATGATGGCCGTGGTGTCGACGCTGCTGCTCGGGTTCGAGGTCGAGCCGCTCGACGGCACCGAGTGGAAGCTGCCCGGGCTTGCGACGCGCTCTGTCATCTCTGCCGTGACGAAACCGGCCAAGAATGGCGAGGGCTTCGGCATGCGCTTCAGGAGGCGGCCGGGCTGGGAAAACGCGCGGTGGGTGTACCAGCTGTAGGTGAGGTGGTGGCAACTCGTACATACAATCATTAGAATGGCACCGTCCTTTAGAACAGTCCTAGTATCACACACCATCATCTAACCATCTTTGGATATCCATCCATCCATTAACCATTAACCTCTCTCGGGCCATTCTGTATTTCAGCGGACCGGAATCTCCGAGAGCGCTCTCCTCTCAAAAACGGGCATAGACTCCAAGGGACAAGCCACCTCGACCGTCCTCCCACCGCTCCACTCATGCTCTCCCTCAAAGGCCTTCCATGTCGCTCCAGCAGGCAGATACACCTCCATCTTATCCACCCCGGGCCGCAGCACGGGGCAGCACAGATACCTGCCGCCAAACATGAACTGCTCGCCCGTCTCCCAGCAGCGCGGGTCCTCCGGAAACTCGTAGAACAGCGGCCGCATCACGGGCGTCCCCTTCTCATGCGCCTCCTCCATCAAGCCGCGCGTGTAGTCCCGCAGCCGCTCCCGAATCGCCATGTACTTGGCGCAGATGCCGTACACCCTCTCGCCGTACGACCACACCTCGTTGGGCGCACCGCTGCGACAGGTCGCGCCGCCGGTGGTGCCGTGCTGCGGCTGGCGCGGCTCGCGGTCGCCGTGCAGGCGGAAGACGGGGCAGAAGGCGCCCCACTGGAACCAGCGCACGAACAGCTCGCGGAAGCCCTCGTCGCGCGGGTCGCCGCCGTGGAAGCCGCCGATGTCGGTCGTCCACCAGGGCAGGCCCGCGAGCCCCATGTGCAGGCCCGCGGCGAGCTGGTTGCGCAGGCTGGACCACGACGACGCGATGTCGCCGCTCCACACCAGCGCCCCGTACTTCTGGCTGCCGGCCCACGCGCACCGCACCAGGTTGACGATCTGCGCGTGGCCCTCGCGGCGGAGGCCGTCGTAGAAGGCGCGCGCGTACTCGCGCGGGTAGACGTTGCCGACGCGCAGGTTGGGCCCCAGGTGGTAGCGGTAGTTGTCGAAGTCGTAGGCCGAGTACTCGGGCTCGGCCTCGTCCAGCCAGAAGACCTTGATGCCCTTGGCGTAGTAGTTCTGCCGGGCCTTGTCCCAGACGTACCTGCGCGCGTCCGGGTGGGTCGCGTCGAAGTGCATCGTGTTGCCCTGGAAGTCCATGCCGATGCGCATCCCCCGGTCGGTGCGGACCAGGTAGCCGCGCTCGACCATCTCGTCGTAGTTCTCGGACCGCGTGTCGACCGTCGGCCAGATGGACACCATGAGCTCGACCCCCATCTCTTGGAGCTCTTTGACCATGGCGTCCGGGTCCGGCCAGTACGTCGGGTCGAACTTCCACTCGCCCTGCAAGGGCCAGTGGAAGAAGTCGATGACGATGAGGTCCAGGGGCAGGTTCCGCCGCTTGTACTCGCGCGCGACCCCGAGCAGCTCCTCCTGCGTCTGGTAGCGCAGCTTGCACTGCCAGAACCCCAGGCCGTATTCCGGCATCATGGGCACCTTCCCGGTGGCGTCGGCGTACGACTCGACGATCTCGGCAGGCGTGTCGCCCGCCACGATCCAGTAGTCGAGCACGGCCGTGGAATACGCCTCGAAGCTCATGATGTTCTTCCCCAGCACGGCGCGCCCGACGGCCGGGTTGTTCCACAGCAAGCCGTACCCCAGCGACGAGAGCAGGAAGGGCACGCTGGCCTGCGAGTTGCGGTGCGCCAGCTCCAGGTCGGCGCCCTTGAGGTCGAAGAAGGGCTGCTGGTACTGGCCCATGCCGAAGAGCTTCTCGCCCGGGTCGACGCTCTCGAAGCGCATCGTCAGGTGGTACGAGTCGCTGCCGGGCGTGGGCTTGAACTCGCGCGCCTCGACCTCGATGGCGCTGCACTTGGGATCGAGCACGTCACGGCGGTTGCGCGTGTACTCCTCGAGCAGCAGCTCCCCCCGGGAGTTCCAGACCATCAGCTTCCCGCGCTTCGAGATGACGGCCTTGATCTTGCCGTTGACCACGCAGGCGGAGTCGTCCGAGATGCTGATTTCGGCGTCTGTCTGGGCGGGGGGTTGGAGTGCCCAGTCTTCAGACGGCATGCAGCGCGCTTTGGTGGCGCGGATGCGCAGAGCGTTCTGACCCCATGGCTCGACCCAGAGCTTCTCCGCGTCGTAGGCGTAGACTAGCGTGCTGTCCTGCTTGAAGAACATGGTGAAGGAATGGAATTGACGAACTACAAGTTGTCAGTGAAGGATTCAATACTGCACAGGGATGGATAATCGATCAACCTGTGATGGGAAAACCTGATGGTGGGAGTCAAGCTCGCTTCCCTAGGTATTGAAAGGGGGTCAGGGGCTATGAGTTTCCAACCACCAACGCCAGCTTTTAGGTCTCGAGAGAGAATCGACGAACATGTCGTGAAGGCCGCGTCAGGCGCGCCGTGCCCCTCCTCGGCCTCGGTGGATCAAGTGCTACATGCCGGATTGCCGCCCGCCGCTCGCACAAGGCACGAAGGAACGGCGGGACCCCGCCGGACCGGTCACCCGACCATCGGGTACGCGTGCATTATTAGACCGGAAGTTCTGCACCCAGTGGGGTGAATATGGAAGCGCGCCAATCGAGATCATTATGGTTGCTGCTTCAACTGTCCAAGCTCCGGCGGGGTCGTACAGAGCAGTGTTATGTTGTATGTCGACCGATAAAAAGGGGGGATTGGACCCAGCCACCTTGGCGACGCTGCAAGACCCTTATGATGGGTATTTCCAATATCTATGCCCATGGTCAACGTATGCAAAACCCGATATGAATGTACATACATTTGCTGAACTGAAACCCAAAGAAAACTCCGTCTGTGCAAGCCCATGATCCTCAAAACATCCGTCGTATCCGCTATGAGCTCTCCAGACACGAAAGCCAACTACGCGCTCCCTCGCTGCAAAGCCACACCCGCTCACAAAAGCAACTCATTAGGTGGTATCCAAAATTGCCGTCTAGCCAACCCGACTCTAGAGCATCCAAGCAAGCATGTTCACCACTCCGAACACCATAACCGCGCCAAGCCTAACCTCAACCCCTCTCCCGGCTGCGTTCTTATCCGTCTCCGTGGGCGAAACGTTCCTGGTATTGCTGACCTTGGGTCCCGGACCTTGCGCGACCCCCGTGGGAGCCGTCCCCGTGAACGTATTGGTCGGCGCCCGGGTCGCGGTGACATCCAGGCTCTGCACGCCGCCAGCGCCGGTCGGAGTGGGCAGATCGGTGCACTTGCCCGTCGAGCTCGGGACGGCATCGGCGCCGGAGCCGATGGCCACCAGGTCGGTGTCGCAGTTGGCGGCCTGGGCGATGTGGAGGTTGCGGTTGTCCTGGTCGAAGACGACGTAGGCGGCGCGCAGGAACGTGTCGCCCAGGATGGGCTCGTCGTCGTTCGGCAGGACGCCCAGCATGCAGTAGCCCTCGACTTGCCAGATGAAGTCGTTGAGCGGGACGCGGATGACCTTGGTGCCGAAGTAAAAGTCGATGGATCCAGCGAGCTTGGTCACATCACAGGGCACGAAGTAGAAGCCTGACGACGGGTCGTACTGGGCGTCGCCGAAGGCCTCGGCGAAGGCCTGGTAGATCGGGGTGGGTAGGTGGGTCAAGGTAGAGCCTGAGTCGAGGAACACGGCCACGTTGATCTCTTCGGACCGCGTCACTTCGCCGTCGGGGAGGGTCACACCGACGCCGGTCATGGTCACGTAGTAACGGCTTGCGCCACCGGGGGATTCTTCAGGGGCAAGCATCGGGAGCTTAGCCAACTCGCCGATGTACTTGCCCGTGTCAATGCCGCCGAAAATGATGGCGCCGTTGGGATTGTCGACACCGCGCAGGTCGAGGGAGAAGGCGCGGGAGTTGATGAGGCCTTGCTCGGCCATTGTGTCGAGGACATAAGGATATTCGTTTTGGCCCTGCACTGGAGGGGACACGCCGAGGATGCCCAAGGGGATAGAATGGGACTCTGTTGCGATGCCGATGATCTGATTCTCAATTGTTGCGGCTAGGAGTAGCGCGCGTGCGTCAGTGAACGTCTCTAGGTTGGGACGACCAGGGCGCGGTTTGGCTTACATCCTATGGTCACCGTCTCGTACACATACTGGATCGTCGCGTTGCCAATGCCATAAACGAGAATGTCTTCAACACCGGTCTCGTTGAGTGATGTGCTCTTCGTGTAGTCGAACTGCGCAAACGCGCGGCAATCGGCCGGCACGTTCGCCGTAGCGCACGACGGGTTGACCCAAGTATCTGGCGAGCCCGTGTCGAGAATCAGGGTCACCTTCTGCGGCGGTGTCCCGACCTCAATCTCAACGCCATATCGTGTGCCTTCGCTTTGGTTCTCTACCTGCACTTCGTTCTGGCGTACTCGCAGCTTCGGCGCGGGACCCGAGATCGCGTTGATAGGAGACCGGATAATGCCATTCCCTCGGGCGACGGCGGGGCGAGGTTCGGCCGCGGCGGCGGACGCTACTAGCGTCGCGGCAAAGACGAGAGGGAGCATGGTGTTTCCTGCCGTTCACCCTCCTCGTGCAAGGCTGGAAAGGGATGACGAAAATAAACAATGCTTGAGCGATCGAGTATCATGGGCAGGCCATGCCGACGTCGATCGAACGAGGGCCCTTGGCTGGTTTATTATGCAGCATGATGCCCAGAAAAGCTGAGGATCCGGAACCTGCCTGCATCGTCCATACCCTTTTCGCACAGCTGCACGTGCAGGGATGTCTTGCCTCCTCTCAAAGCGCAATCAAAGTGGCTTGTGCCGCCAAGGTGAGCCCAGAGGCTGAACAGCTCGCTCTGCGCGCCGAGGTTGGACAGTTCCCGGTTGAGCCAGCCATGGCTGTGGTTGACACTGGTTGTGACGCTGTCAACTCGCTGTACCCTTGTTTCGATTCAGCATTAGCTTCCTCTTCTTCCTGCTTCTCAGGTTGCTCCCGCAGTTGGGATCCCGAATTCGCTGCGCCACGGCCAAGCACCCAACCCCGCCGTCTCAGGGATATTGCCCTTGGCGATAGCATGTTTGGGTCACACTGCACTGGCCTGGACTGACGGAAAGCCCGGCAATGTCTGAGTTGACCGCGGAAAGAAGAGGAGGCTCTGCTCTTCCATGGTGCTGTGTTCAACACCACCGGGCATCGCATCTGCACCAGCATCTTCTAAATAGGATAATGTTTCGCAAATGCAAAGCATCCGATGAGGAGTTCCTTGTGCCCTGGATATCCCCGTACCCAGGCCCCACCGGATAGTGACTCCACTGGGCACTGGCAGTTCGCCTAAATTTCCTCTTCAGGGCAAGGGACTCTACTTAGATCCCAAGATCTGAGCGTCCAACTCCAGAGCTTCTCGTTTCCCATCTTGAGCGCCAAAATTCAGGTTACGCGTCTGGAAGAAGTTTCTATAATGACTTTTGCGCCTCATCCACTTGCTTTAAGCTTATCATCTTTAAGCTCTCAGTATGATGCATGTACATGTAGATCCCATATCCACGCATTCACGCATTTGGCAGTAAGGTTGGTACGGATACCACTGGCCAATTATCGCTTCACAGCTTTTTACTTCTGACGCGACCTGCGTGCCCGACTCAACACCTCCGTGCTTTAGGCCCACTGGGAACAGCATGCTGAGTTATGGGCCTCCGCCGGTCTGATGATTCCCGTGTCTACGTCTAGTGTAATCGTGATCATGGCGTCGGCCTTCATGCTGGTCTTCATCCTGTTCGGGGCCTGCACGGCGTGTGTATCACATGCGCCTTAGACCACACGCTGGGTCAGGAGTGCGGGGGTGGTGTAGAATAGCTCCTCGATCACCGCTTAATAGGACTTCTCGTTCTTACATGCAGCCCACAGTACGGCTTATATGTAGCCGGTCGTAGACAACTCGGGTTATTTCCGCGGTGTCTATCCCCCATCCTGCACCCACCCTGCACCGATCTAAACAGTCCGTTGAATCAGGTCTTCCGAAGCAAAGACCATATGTTGACACCGGGTTCTTCTCTGCCGTGTTAGATCCGAAAGTAGCCCCTATCTATGCTCCTTAGTAAGGTACTTAGGTTGTCTCTGGTGGATTTGGCTCGGTTGCCACGGGAAGCTTGCCGTTACTACTAGTAGTAGTCTTCATGTAGATGTTACGTGCCGTCGTACCATAACACCCGATGAGGCCAGCAATGAGCTTGTACCTTCTCTGGGTGTCCTTTATGGTCCAATCTGTTTGTCTTATGTACCTACCTAGGTGAGTACAGAACCACCCACTGTTGAACCAATGCAGACCTTCCGAGTCTTTCCAATATTACCCAGTCTTCTCTAGGGAATAACATCTATCCCCAGCCCCTTGAGATCCTCCCTCCAAATCATTCATCTCAGAGTCCAGGATCCGCGCTTTTTTGAGCATCATCGCGGCCACGTTGGCCTCCTTTTACACCTGTCTAGCGCATCACCGAGTCACCACTGCTGTTCTCCGAGCCGGTGCTGTTGAGTGAAGTCATCACCCCAATCAAATATCATTTGGGACACCAAAGCCAGGCATGGTCGAGTACGAGTCATTTGGCCCTGCTCTTTCTATCTTGTCATTCCCGTCGCTTGTCGTAGTTTCTCAGGACACTCAAAATACCCGGTGGTGATCTCCATCACGACATTCGCCGTCAACAACGGCCCATGATGCAGCAGTGGCCGAGTAGACCCTGGCCATAGCAAAGCAAGGACGGACAGGAGGGCGGATTGGGTGAATTACTCTGCCTTGAAGCTTTATGTTTGCATGGCGAGTTGAGGCTAGAACTCGACAAGACTGACCACCTATCGGGAAAGGGGAGAATATGCTCCCAGGCCATGCACAGTAGTACCACCATGGCGGATACTTGACAGGTGTTCGCTGAGCAAAAGCTTGATTCCCTTTAGCTCATGGCCCAGGCACCGTGCCCACGGACTTTACAACGGGAGATGTTCGCAACCAGCAATCCTCAACAGAGTTCATGGAGACAGTTGCCAATGCTCACAACCAATTGGGAGATTGGGTCTACCTGAGAAGTTCGAGCTTGTGTCTGATGGCAAGATGCCGTGCGCAACACTCACCTGCCATGTCGGACTCCCTGAGTTCGTGGACAGCCGGACTTACAAACCCCGGTCCGCCAAATTGCCACCCCTGAAAACGGACTGGTTTCCAGGCACCGTCAGGCACCAGTGCCCACTATAACCCTCAGACCCCACTGGCTGCCTGCTTTGCCTAGAAACCGACCCGCAGTGTTAACAACCCCAGCTAACAGATCTCTCAGTGATTTACGCATTAAGCTGTTAGCTTCTTATAGCCCCTGAATTACCATCATGACAACAATATTGACACTGAATTGAATACTTAAGCAACCGATTCTTCGTCTTTCGACTTCAGACGTTCAAAGTCTCTCATCATCACAATCTCGTCTCTTGTCTTCGCCCTTCCCACTCAAGCCACCACATACACGCCCATCATGATCGAGTTGGATAACTTCTCGCTTGGCGAAGGTCAAGTGCACGAGGTGTATCAGCGCTGCATTCTGGTGTCCGGGAAGTCCAATGACGCCGGTGCCCTCGAGAACGGCGACGGCAACGTCGTTGTTGAAGTCAAGGATGAGGTCAACCGGTCATCGTTCCTAGTACAGCGATGGCCAATGTGCCGTGGCTACTTCAAGGCCCTTGTCCTCCTCTCACCGGGCTTGAACAAAGTCCTTATCAGCACGGCCCCAGACAGTAATGGTTCAACAGAGGTATGGCCCTCTCCGCGAGTGGCATAGTTTTAGTGTCTCACAGAAACCCCCAGATCTCCGTCCGCTACACCCCTCTCCTTCAGACGCCGCCTCTGCATCTGGCCGTCATGATCGCCAAGGACTCCCCCCTGCTGATGGACTGCCCGCCCGCAAAGCTCGGCGGCGTCTCCAACACCCACTCTAGCCTCGACGCCGCGATCTCCAAATTCCGCATTGCCGCATACATGTGGCAGGCACTCACGGCCGAGGACCTCCGTGCCAAAGGCCTAGGCCGCCGTTCCTTCCGCCTCGAAGAAGAATGGACCACCGACACACTCAGCCAGCAGAGCCTGAACTCGCCGGCCGCGGGCCTCGTCCCCAAGGTCCACCTGATCCGCACCGACAAGACCGTCGCCGAGCTCCGCGACGCCAACCTCGCGCAGCAGAACCCCCGCGCGCGCCAAAGGGACGACCTGCACAAGATCTTCACCAACGCACTGCTCGCCCACGGCGCCCCCTTCACCTCCCACGCCAAGCCCGTCGTCGCAGGCCTCATCCTCGACGCGCACTACGACCTGTCCATCACCCCGAAGCCCCTCATCCTAGCCCATGCCGCGCTCGGCTGCCACGACCCGAACGGCCTGTCCCTTGGCATCTTCGGCAGCCACCTCGCCTACTCCTGGCCCCGCTTCCTGGAAGAGGTGCCCTCCTGCCTGCTGGACCCCACCCGGCCGGGCGACACCGTCGGGAACGACAACGGCGAGTGCAACACCATGTGGCAGGCCTGTGCCGTCGGCCAGGGTGCCTTCCTGCACGAGGTCGGCCACGCGTTTGGCGCGGACCATACGGAGGGGATCATGCGGCGGGGGTACTCGCCGGACTGGCCCAAGGCTTTTCTGGGGGGTGTGAGGAAGGCCGGGAAAGAGGGAGGTGCATTGGAGCCTGTCACGCCAGAGACGAAGCATGAGTGTCGATGGGATCTGAGGGATGTGTTGAAGTTCAGGGGGTTGAGGCATTTTTGGATGCCTGGTGACGGGGAGTTGTCGAAGGAGGCGCCGTCAATTACTGTCGAGGAGGGCGACGATGGGAAATTGGAGAGCATGTATGTGGAGGTGATGTGCGAGGTGGGAATTGCCAGAGTGGCTTTCAACCAGAAGGGAGGCAAGCAGGTGGCTGAGCAGCAGGCGTTCGATGCCGCTCCGGTCAAGTCACTCCGCTACCCGCGCCGGCAGCTCATCGAGAAGTTCGGCAACGCTAAGCAACCACTCGAGCTGGAAGTCACCGCGATGAACGGCCAGCAGCGCGCCATCGGCAACATCTGGAACCTGTTCAAGAACAGGTCGTACATCAACGTGCCGGGCACCAAGATTCGCCTGCTGAAGCAATCCGTCAGCGCCGGTCCCCATGCCGAAGACGAGGATGTGTGGACCTGGGCAGTCATGCTGAAGAAACGGAACAGCCAAGGCAAGCTGGTGGACGCCTCCAAGATTGACTTGCGCGTTGGCTGCGTCCTCGACGGTGCGGTGGTCTATTACAAGGATGGAGAGACTGTTCCTTGCGGGCCTAGGGGCGTAAATGGGGATCCCCACATGGGAGGCCATCAGGCAAGGAAGCTTGCGCTTCCCAGCGGGGCAGAAATCGACAAAGTTGCTGTGAGCCGAGACAACAATGACAGGGGCAGATGGTTGTACGGCCTGCGGATGTGGCTTTCTAACGGCAAGGCAATGGGTGCGCTGAACATGCGGTGTGGAGCCCAGGTCCAGGCGGAAATGCTCGGTACGTCTGATGCTCCTGCTCGTTACCTGTCACAGCTGCAGAGAACTGACGATTATGACAGTGCCTCCGTCAAGCCACAAGATCATCGGCTTCTATGGGACCAGCGGAAAGTATGGGCTGTGCTCGCGGTTTGGCATTGTGAGCGCTCCGCGGGATGCTGTTCTCCCCGATGCCGTGTACGACATGGAGGAGCTTCAAAACAAACCGGAGCAAGATGGCCATCGCAGCAAGAGACGCCGGACTGTATGGTTTCTCTCCTACTTCTCCCATTTCCGCAGCATTCTGACCTTGACCGGTGTACAGGATGACGACGAGCAAGACGTCGACGAGAACATAAGAGATGCGGGTGACGACACCCCCGATGACTCGTGCACGTCCGAGGATGAGGATGACAACTACGATGATGAAATGGATTCGGAGATGGAGAAATGGTACAAATGACGCCTTGGCGACGGGTGCCTTCGACTGGCCTTTTCTGGAGAGAATAGAAGGGTGGTAGAGGTCTGCATTATCTGATACATATCCTAATGTTTGCTACTTTGTACATGTATGTACATTACACAACGGGCACCTAAGCTTGCCATTTTGTCTTTCTTGATACAGTTATCCACCTTGTCCGAGTCCAACAAGTCCTTATTGGCACGCTGACATGGTGTCATACATGTACCGACAACACGGGGTCCTCAGGCTGTGTAAAGAAGCATCGACCATAGGAACTGGGTTTGTTCTGCTAAGGGGCGGTGATTGAGGTATCCAGTAGTTGTAAATCCAAAGTCACAGAAATGGGAACGTACACGTTTTACTTAGAAAGAGTAATCATCGTGGTCATCTGTCCATTATACGTTGTCGATTACTGCGACCAGTCTTAACCACTCAAACTAGATAGGAAAGCAGATCTCCAAGTCTCCAGCCGGAGATAGTGCGAGTTATCGCGGGTCTCGAAGGGCAACGCATTGACTGCATGCTTTCGCAGGGCGATCTATGTAAACTCTTGGCGACACATCGCCGTACAGTAACAGTGATACCAACGGAGACCAGCTGACTGTAATTTCGCCCTGAACAACTTCTCCCCCTTTCCATCCACTATTTTGGGCTCGCTTTTGGTGATACTTGTAGGCGTCAGAGTGAACATGTGTCAGTGATCAGTACCTTGGATGAACGGCTCCGTTATCACTCATCCAGCCGCACCATCTGATTTAAATACGGATGCTCTCAGAATGCTACGGAACGGCAGGGATATCCGGACGCTTCCAGAGTTGCTGTGATACATTGATGATTAGACGAAAAGGATTACATAGTAGCACGCTAGCGACGCGTCTGCGGGCCGATTACTTAGTTGAGCCTGAAACTTCGGATGAACGAGATCCCACAAAGTGGTTTGTACAGGTTTGGCTTTTGTTCTACTTTGACTCTTTGACGCTCCAATGTAGCGGATATTTGTAAGGTTGGTCGTTTCCAACATGCCAGGGGCTAGAACCAAGGCTCTGCTGTGTAAATGATGGACGAAGAATACCGCAAATCCTTTCGCTTTGAAGATGCACATATTCCTCAGGACAATTGAACTGGTTTGACCGACAATATGGAGCTGCAGACCGTCCTATGTCAATGACGAGCGCCGCGCCACAAGTCGCTGCGGTGATGTCATTGTGGACCAACGCTTAGACGACATATGTGACGTGACATATGATTTAAAGGCAGAGAAGACCTCGAACAAACAAGTGTTCATTCATTTCTTGACAATCTACTGCTCTCTATTACCAGAATTCACCTTCATCACCCAAGCTACGTATTAGATCACATCACACAATGTCGAATGCAGGCAACTCCAACGTCGGCTTCCCCAGCCTCTACGAGGCACAGAACCAGCGCAACTACAAGCAATCAGAGGTCGCCGAGCTGACGCAGCACACTGGCGAGAATGTGAAGGGTTTCCTGCCAAGTATGTCGCGCTGGCCTAATCTCCAACCCGACCTTAGGGGGGTATGCTAATCAAATCCCCAACAGAGGACCAGAGACGCGAAGTCAACCGCCTACATGCCGAAGAATCCCAGCGGAGGCAGCAGGAGCAGATCAAGAAGGACCCCACTCTTGCGGTACGTAAAGCAGTCGCCTTCCCGTTGCGTTCCTCCGGCTGTTGTAGTGTAGTGGGACGTGGTGCTGGGGTCTTCGGAATTAGGAGGGGCAGAAAGCTGACGGTGCGAAACAATCAGGCAACATTGCACGGCAACAAGCCCCACAAGGGCGCCGTGATTGACAAGGAGCTGCAAAAGGAGGATGAGGCAATTCTGAGGAAGAAGGGTGATGCTACTGCCGGCAAGAAGATGTGAATTTGTTGGAATAGGGGAAGTGTAAACAAAGGCTGCGTGACATCGTTTGGGAGAAAGCTTGTGATCGTTATTTCAAAGTGGACGTAGTTCAGCTGAGGGGGGGGAATTTTCGCTGTCATGAATCTATAATTATTGGTACACAGAACTACGAAATATGATCTTGTGTACTAGTTGATGATGGGGGTCTGAACGATCTGCTGTCTTCTCACTCAGATGCCTTTTCTTCTTCTTTCTTCCTACCTTCCTCTTCTTTCTTTCCCTTTTTTGCCTTCTCCCCTTTTTCCTTCTCTTTCCACTTTCTTCTCTCCCCTTCTCGCCTTCTTTGTTCCTGCGACGTGAGCAACAGCCTCAGAAACAAGCATTGGTAAGAATGGAAACACGTTATAGTGGATTGGCGGTGATGGCGGATGAAGACGGTGCGCCTTGATCGCGTACAGGCTTTTGATAATGCCCACAGCATTGGTTGGTATCACCTTTTTGTATCTCATGTAGTAGCACTGAAGCACTTTTAAAATGGCCGAGAGGCTTAATGTATGCATAGTGGGTATGTCTTTGTGAGAATGACGCTGGGATTGTGACAGACGAAATAAGAGAGCAGTTGACAAACTCAAAGTATATGGACTGGTGTGACGAAAGGGCGAGGACAGTCTGCCATGGCTTTATCTTATTTATACACGAGTAAGGTATGGGGGAGAAGATAAAGATGGGGCAGATAAGGCAGTCTAGTAGGGAGAGCGAGTGAGGCAGCTCCTGTGGCCTACATGTACGGGTACCATGAAAGAACGGATATATAAGTTCCCATAGTGGGCACTCCTTCCAGCACCCCGTGCAACTGCACACTTCCCATGAAATTCTTCGTGGTGTAGTGGTTGAGCTGTGAAAAATTGTCGAATATTCTCCATGTGCGCAGCCCTGCTGCGTCCTTCGTAGGACCACATGTTCGATTCGCGGTAGCCTCTCTTTTTTTCCTTCTCTTTTCTATTTGCCCCTATATCGTATTGTCTTCTAATATGAAGGATGTTCTCCCATTCTATGGTCGGTCCCCAACTTAATAAACGCCCCTCTTTCATATTGTCATCGCCCAGAATAATACCAATAATACCTGCGTATATCTGAGTCGGTAGCTCAGGTAAAATACCTGACTTCTCTCCAGACCTTCACTTCGTCTCCTCTTCTCCTGCACACCTTTCATCTCTCTCGCGCTCCGTCTGTGGCTGGGCTGGCTCGGGGCCGCCCACACCCCCCGTAACAGCCGCTTCGCGCTGTACCTGGCCCCCGTGGCCTTCGAGAACAACAAGATGCGCAACGAGTGGTACGACGTGTCGGGCAAGCAGTCCAAGCTGTTCGGGCACATGGACGGATTCGTGGGGTACGCTGCTGAACGATTCACCAGCGGCAAGGAGCCAGTGCTCGGCCTGCTCACCCCCGTTCTTCCGACACTACAAGAAGCCAAGCAGATCGTCCGTTCCGGTGGGCGCTCGGCCCTCGACAGCTTCAACAGCCACCCGAAGCTGCGCCGTTTCGGTGTCGCCGTTCTCCTCTGCCTCGTCGTGCGCAACGGCGTCGAGGGCCTCCAAGTCGCGTCCTTCTCTCCGTGGGACAAGCACGACTGGATCAAGGAGAGCTGGAAGGTGCAGAAATGGGATCTGCTGAAATGGAAGGAGGCCCTGACGCACAGGGTGGCAGCTTGGGCGGCCGAACACAATGTCACCGTCCACGCAGGGTATTCGGGTGGATCAATCAAGGCTCGGAAGGATCGGGACCAGGACTCGGTGGAGATGGCTGCTGGTTGGCTGCACAGTGTGGTCACAAGAATGGAGAAGACGGTTCCCGGGCGTCGAGGAAGACCATGACTGGGAGTGGACGGAGTTGTGTTATTTTGAGAGGCTGCCGAACATTGGGCCGCTTCCGGAGGATGAGGATGAGGATGACGCAGGGATGGACTTGGACGATTGACGATGTTATGGCTTTGCTTGAATGAGCTGTGAATGGGCTTTACCCGTGGCTAGGAGTCTAGGACTGACTTAATGATGATACCCCTTCGGCGTTTGCGGAGAGCCTGCTTTCATCCCAGACCGGAAGAAGTCCCTGAATAGGCTTTGTGTTCGTGCCTGCGAGTGAAGAGCTGTCTGCCCGCTAATGCAGAACACACAACATCTCCTACCTTTCTTAGTTGACATGATACCTGTAGGTACCGGTGATGACGAAGCTGAATGGCTCACATCGTACTGCATGACGAGAGAGCAGGCACTCGACCCGCCGCACCACAATCAAGAGGCCAATCATTCGGAGTACCAGAGGAGCCTCAACCGTTGACTAACTCATTGTCCTCAATCCTGTAGTCTCGAGTAGTGGGCAACCCATAGCTGTCGACGACGGTGCTATCCAATTCAATCATCCTGCTACCTCTCCATGCTCCTCTCCACCATTTACAAGATCCGCAGGGCAAGGAGAAGTCCGACAAAAAACATGCGTAATAACATGCTGAACAAGCGAACTCGGCGCTTTCAGATAAAGGCAAATCTGTAGCAACTCTCCTACCGCAGTGTGAGGTGCGGTATTGGCCTAGGCTTTGTTATGTTCTTGATAACTAAGGCATCTCTTATCACTAACCCTCGTTTCCCTTCTAACCTTCCCCTCACTTTCGTTTCTCTCGTCCGAGATGTATCCCGTCAGTCTCCTCGTCCCTCGGATCTCGGCATTTATCTCTCTCGAAGTTGACTCACACCACATAGGTAAGTTCGTCAGGCACCTGTAGGTATCCGCCCAAAAAGCAATCGCGGGTTTCAGAAGTACTACCCGCATCCTATGCGTGTGGTCAGCCCACCTGAATCCCCATTACCCCCATCCCCTTTCATCGTTTCACTCGCAAGAACCTCTATTTCTGGATACGCAGTGGACCATTCCGCACCAATGAAGGCTTGGCAACGCCCTCAACACTCTTACTATTACTGATGAGCCTCGGCACCTTTCGACTTTTGTGCAGAAGAACATTCGAAGGTGCTCTCTATGAAACAGCAGAGCGGGGATATCCAAGACGCCTAATTAAGTTAGCTCCAGGAGCCCTTGCTGACATGCGCTAGTTGCCGAAAACGCGGGGAAAACCACAAGGTCGGATTTGGGTAGTATTGTATGTATAGGTGCATACACTACATAGCACTCACGTAGAAAAGACCCGATAGATCCGAATGCCACCTGAACCCCATGTTTTCTTTCTGCGCCTGGCTGAAAATGTGACATTTTCGGACTGCAACCAAGACGCGGATCTTCGATCAAGGACGCACTTACTCCGGTATTGTACAATACCGGGACAATACGCGGGGTTACCCAAAACTCCAAGAAACGCGAGCGACACTGAGACAAGAAGTATTAAGAATAGGTTCAGTGTCAGTCATAGTCGTCGGAGGTGGCTGAGTGTCTGAGAGTGAGACTGCCCTGTGTTGCTTGGCTGAGACAAATTTGGCTGCGGCTACCAGAAGTGTGAGACGAGATACAGCTGCGGAGGCGAACGTATGTATCTGTACGGTAATGGTAGTATCGGAGGCGGAGGACAATACCCGCGTGGGTACGGTATAGACGTACTGTACATCGGTACAAAACCGCCGCGAGATATATTACCGTAATACCTGTACTGTACACTTCCGTCGCATTAGCCCGAGCCCCGTCCGTGTAACGAGGAGAGGGCCGAGCCGCTGAGGCGGCGCCGAGATGCTTTTTCGAGTCGCATTTTGAGACGAACGGCCGGAGACGTCGGCGGACGCTATTCCCGCAACAGAAAAGTTTGCGGTAGCCTCGGAGCCTCGGCTCCTGGAATGCGGAAGGCTAGGGGCCCGTCTGTCTCTCTCTCCCCTTCCTGCGGGGGACGAACCGCAGGTAGCAAGAAGGTTGGCGATGGGTTGGCATCAGTGAAGGAGACATCAGGTCGGAATGGAGATAAATAGACGTCGAGCCTCACGGCGACTTCACATTTCCCTTCCAGCTCACCACCCAGCCTCGAGATCCATTGGAGAGCCGCCGGTTTCTGCTCCGCCCAATCGTGTCGTCGTGTAAGCCATCGCATCAACGCCCGAACCACCGCAAACATGAAGCTCCTCCAGCTCCTCGCCGCCGCCGGCCTTGCTGCCGCTCTGCCGACCGCCCCCGTAGAGGCTGAGGCTATTGCCGAGCTCCAAGCCCGCCAAATCCTCTCTTCGACCCGCAACGACCTCGAGAGCGGCAGCTCCTCCAACTGCCCCAAAGTCATCCTGATCTTTGCTCGTGGTTCGACCGAGGTCGGCAACATGGTATGTGGTCCATTCCCCTGAGCCAAAACGGCGAAGGACAGCGGAATCTCACAAGTAGCAGGGCACCGTGACTGGTCCCCCCTTGGCCTCCGCCTTGGAGCGGGAGTACCGCAACGACATTTGGGTCCAAGGCGTCGGCGGAGCGTATGGCGCCACGCTCGCCGACAACTTCCTGCCAGGCGGCACATCCCAGGCGGCGATTCGCGAAGCTACCCGGCTCTTCACCTTGGCCAACACCAAGTGCCCGAATGCGTCCGTGGTCGCAGGCGGGTACAGTCAGGGCGCAGCGCTCATGGCTGGCACAGTCAGCAAGCTGTCGTCGACGATCCAGAACCAGGTCAAGGGCGTCGTCCTGTTCGGGTACACCCAGAACCTGCAGAACAAGGGCCAGATCCCCAACTACCCCGCCGACAAGACCAAGGTGTTCTGCAACGTGGGCGACACCGTCTGCACCGGCACCCTGATCATCATGCCTGCGCACCTCCTGTACACGAGTGAGGCGTCGACCGATGCGCCTCGATTCCTCATTAGCAAGGTTGGTAGCGCTTGAGGCGTGTGGCCGGAGTGGGGATGGTGATGATGGACAAGAGGCTGGAACTCGGCATGGGGGTGTGGGCGATGAAACGAGGCGCTGCGCTGGTGCAGTTGATGAGTCACGCGGACGGCCTGGTGTCGCCGCCAAGATGAGGACGATGATGATTCCAATTCTTTTCACGACACGTTTAGCTGTGTTCTCTTGTAAATAGTTTCCTTGCAACCTGAATATACTCTGCCCATGGGTCAAAACAACAGGCTGGTACGGTGGCATCGCTGTGGGGAAGAACATGTGGTTGTAGTGTACCAATGGAGTATGGACTCGCATGGGATGGGGACACTGATGTCAAAGTGCCACGGCGCGGGCAGAACAGGTTCACTGGGGTGAACAAGACTGACGAACACTTTGCCCACCGGATTGCCAAAGATACAGTAAGTGGGTATCATTGATCGGAGTAACAAAGTGCAGAAGTCCTACGCACCGGCTGTGGCAACTTGCCACTACTTTTGCCGTATGTTTTTGGGTTTCCGCTTCTTGAACATGACCGCTGGGACTGCTGCTCCGTCTGCGCCGGGGGAAAGCTCGGGTACGCTTTCCTTGGCCGGGCCGATGCCGGCGCCGACTTCCTCCTGCTCCGGTTCCACCTTGATGGGCGGCGAAGACTCCTGTTTAACCGTTTCGTCGAGTTCTGCCTGCGCCGTCTCCTCGTTACTGTCCTCTGTCTTGATTTGGGGCGGCTCGCTTTCCTCCTTCTTGGCCTTGATTAGCGGCCCACTTAACAATGCCTCCAATTCGGCGTCTTCCTCAGCGGGCATTGTCTTGGAGTCGATCCCCCACTTCCGCGGCTTCTTGAAGAGTCCCTTGATCGCCTCCTCCTGCTCCTTCTCTTCTTCCGTCCGGTCTCTCTCACGTTTGACTCCAACCGCACGAGCCTCCGTTGAACCAGGATCTTTGTCTCCTGGCTTGTCACTGTTCTCTTCAAGGACTCTTGTCGCGGTAACAGTCCACTCCCCAGCCATCGCCATGCTTCCCCTCAGCTCCGTTGGGATATTGACGCCCAGTTCGGCAAGCTGCTCGAGCTGCTTTTGCCTCTCTGCCTCTGATACCTGCTGCGGCGTCGCGCTGTATGCTCCGCCGCTTGACTTGGGGCCCGGCCGCGATGCGCTCGACGCGCCGGTACTCCCCGACACTACTCCATTGAGTCGCTCGACTTCTCGCTTCGCCCGTTCCTTTTCGCGCTCTTTCTGGTCGGCGCTGCGGTGCAGGTCTCGGAGGGATCGCTTGATGGCCCCTTGATGCTTTGCTGTGGCTTCATGGTTGGTACGCTCGAGTTTTGTGTCACGCACGTGGACGCTGCAGTGCTTGCACCAATATTTAGGTGTCGATTTCCAGTATTCCGACATGTTGGAGGAGTCACTCGACGATCCAAGGCCGGAGTGAACAGGGAGGACTTTGCAAAAAGTGTTGCCCTGTCTAGTGGAAATGGGAAGAGATGCATCGTGGAACATCGCGAATCTTGCCGGGCGATACGTAGCCGGCATGCCGGATAAACCTCGGCAAGGTCGTGTGTGGCGCTCGGACCCTCAAGCCACTCCATTGCACTTTAATTTGACGCCATGACATGGGATATTCACTCATTCACAATGAGTTCTCGAGAAAGTCGTATGTGTCATGTCATGCCGCCATTCCAGTCCTAGTAGTTGATGTAAACCTGAACTTCAAAACCGCGTCGACCACATTATCATCGCCGGCAAGTCAGCCATTCTCCCGTTATGGTATCACATGTTGTTGGGACCAGCGATGAGATTTCTGACTACCGAGAACCCCCCTGTAACTCCCTGCCGGTGTCGATCCTGGTCCCATCAATCCCATAGAAAAGAGCACGAGACGCAAATTTAAAAGCAAAACATTTCCCATGACCAATTCCTTTGGCTTCCCCCAACTCAACAGACCCAGAATACCATTGCCACGCCAACCGCAAGTGCGGTTTGAACCACCCCACCACTCACCACACGACCCCGAATACGGTTGGCGGCGCCAACTTGCGGAGCGCTGGTCGGTACTCCAACAGGACCGGAGGTGGTTGTCGGCTGATCGGTCGACGTGGTATGCGAACCCACCCCAGTGACTTGAATTTGCCCATCGGGGCCTTGAGAAACGGGCGGGGCGGTGTACGTGACCATCGGGGTGGTCACAGCGGCTCCGCAGGGCGTTGTGTGCACCTGAATTTGGCCTGTTTCTCGTCAGTCTGATATGTCTCATCACGTGGTGGCAGGCAGAAAACGGAACGAGGAACCGACCATCACCAATTTGGCAGATGAGAATCGCCGTCGTGGTCGTGACTACCTGCGGCTGTCCATCTGCAAGCGGTGAGACAATCGTTGTCGTCACTACCTGGGTGCCAACCACACTCCCCTGGTCGGCGGACGGCGTGGGATTCTCCACGCAGGGCAAAACCACGACTTCCGCTGGTTCGCATTGCTCCGCGAACCAGCGGTCGTACAGATTCCAGAAGGTGCCCGAGCGGCACCTCCAAAAGATGGTGGATGGGCCGAAAGCCAAAGACCCGTTCTGGCAGATAGAGAAGCCGGCAGTATAGATTGCGCCCGACTGGGGGGGTTGGTCAAATTGAAATTGATAGTTTGAGGCAATGTATCCGGTACGTGAATGAGAGTCAGTCAAGACCGTGTTGTTGAGTTCCAAGGTCAGGATTCCTTCAGCATCGCAGGTACCGCGCGCCTGATGAGTGCTAGTCAGCCATCACCCTCTCCGGTCTGGTACATTTCGTTGGAGTCCATCAGGCGGTCCAACTTACTTGGAGGTCCAGGTCGCGTTTTTTATCAGGAGCGACGAGCGGCGAAATCGAAATTTGAAACTTGCCGTTTCTGGTACCGACGCAATTGTCGGGCAGCCCGCCCTCAGGGGCGATCTGTTGGGTCACACCTTGTGCGATAATCCCGACGATCATCGCCAAATGAGCGAGGAAAATATGAAGTTTCATGATGAGAGATTTCCCAATATGTCGATTGGCAGTCTTTTGACTCAGATCCCTTTCTGGATGGAAGAACTAAGGTCGGTCAGGATCCCCATTCCGGTCGAGATATCAAGGTCATCTACTTACTTCAAAGAAGGCTTGACCGGACTCAACGAGCAACTTGGCTTGAGTGAGATGCGCTGCGGAATGTAAGCTGGGTTTCTGAATCACCGGAGCTGAAGTTGTTTGAGGAAGAAAAGGAGCGGAGGAATGAACGGAGCCGCATGAAGAAAAGCCTCCGGCCGTGCGGGTCCCGTGTACGGTCGGGCAATGCCATTCGCCGCCGCATTTATGGTTCCAGTTTCTTTCCGGTCGTTGTTATGGTACCTCTGCGAGCTCAGTTGCTCGGCACCGAGCCCTGAACGGAAAGACGACCTCCCTGGGATCCGGCCTTTGGATGGCATGTATGCATGTACATGCATCTTCCCGCTGGCGGCCCCTGTCCCAGTTCCACCACGTGCGCATACGTGAAAGACAGACCGCGGATAGGGCTGAGAAGACTACCTACCTCTGGTATCTATCTGTTGAATGCTTGGGCACAGTGGGAGACATGGGGGAAGGATGTCTTTTTGATCATGACTGACGGCTGGGCATGGGCATGTGGCATGGGGCCGGTTTCCAGGGCAGAAAAGACCACATATCACATGCGGAACGTCAGCCTAACCATTGCCCAGCCTCCTGAGCGGAGGCCAGCTCCGCCAAGTCAAGGCCATATTTATACCCAACTGTGTGCCAGACGGCAACTTAGGGTAGATCAGTATTCTCGGCACTTCTCAGTGCTTCCTCAGCACACCGCAGATTTGGACGGCCACGGAAACTTGAGGCCGACCTTGGCCATATCACAAAGCGTGTGCTGGAATGGCTCTATTGGTGCTGCGTGTCGACTGGCGCGGCACTGACTTGGCATGCAGGTACGGACAGCAATGCATACATGGCAGCGGCCCAATTACATACAACAGCGCGGATCATCCCTTGCGCTGGTGGCTGGAAACAAGCTCTGGTTGGTAACCGACAGCCTGGCCAAAAGGTTCTACAATATACGGTACTGCGGCAGGTCTCTGCTGCATGAAGCTGCACATGCTCGCACCTACGCCAGCTGCATCGATTTCTCATCTGTGTCCCGTCGGTGGGTAAGATGTCGGCACACCTTTGTTGTCATATGTGGGGATCGGGCTCGGTGTGGATCAGTAGTCAGGGGCCAACAAGGGCAGATGTGGCTCTTTGATGTGGCTCTTTGCTCAAGAACTTCGTTGGGACAGTGTTCTGGTACATAAGGTAATAACGAGATAACTGGCTGGCACGTTACCGGGTTATCCAAGAAAGCATCCGGTTCGCAGAACTGTACAGATTAGGAGTATCACACACCATGTGGTGACGGGTAACGTGCCCTACATAGTGAGATGACTAGGTGACTGTTGATGCCTCCACCTTAAGTGAACTTCTCCGTACGGAGTAGTGCCGTCTATGAATGAGCTCTTCCCATCAGGCAGTGGTATCTCCCTGATTCTAATCGATCTAGGGCGTCAGACAGCTATGTAGATGCAGATCCACTCGTATCATGATGTCGAAGGGGAACAAGCTCGCGCTGGGTAAAGAGTTTGGTGGAGACTGTCAAATTTGTGGGGCAGTGATCGACACCAAGAAAGCGGCAACCGCCGAGGGGAGTTTCCACTTTCCAGGCCGAACGTCGGCCCGTCGGGAACTCTAGGCCCGACCGTTGGTAAAGCTTGCGTCGCATCCGCAACCGGGCCCGGCAGCACGTGCGGTATTCTCCGGATAGTACCCTTATCCTTTCAAAGTGAAACTCTTTGCAGTTACCTCACCTCCCCTGCGGATCTTCTGCGCGAAAAGTCAGTTGTGGCCGACGTTGGAGAGGATCAAGTGCTCTCCGAGTCGTTACATGTCGTTACACGGTGTTCCTGTATCACCAACCGGACCCATCGGTAAAGAGATGATGTAAGGTCAGTCAGCTGGCTCCTTCATAGGTGCAACGAAACACAGAATGGCACCCTCGCCTGGCTCAACAGAGAGCATATGGAGTCGGTGCTTGCTTCCTCAACACGGAACCAGGTAGCCCTGAGTCATACGTCGTCGCCCTTACAGGGCAACACCGTGTCACAGAGACACGAGGCAACAGTCAGCTCGAACCATGTCTATACATCCCGCCCCGAAAAGAAATATCCTACGGTATAACATCAGTGCGAACACGCTTCAGTGACCCGCCCCAAAAGCCATTAGCCGAATCGTCATCATACCGTCTACCGAACCCCATGTCAAAAAGCAGATACCAAATGCGCCGTTCCGAAAGCCACTGTTGAACCCTTCTAGTCATCGAAAGAACCATGAAACACACATCTGACGCAGTGTCCGTTCATTTGGGTGGAGGCTGATGGGGCGGATAGTATGGCTGCCCCGGTGCTGGCGTCCCATGCGGGCTATAAGGCTGCTGCTGGTATGGATACTGCGCCTCGTTTGTGTCGGGGTAGGAAGAAGCGTACGATTCGCCGGTCTGCTGGTACTGGACGGGCTGCTGTTGGGGGTAGCCGGCCGCGGTCTGTTGTGGATAAACCCCGGGCTGCGGGTACACCGCCGCCTGCTGTGGATAGGCATCGGCCTCAGCCGGGGACGGGTACACCTGGGACTGGTATTGCTGCTGGGACGAGTACTGCGGGGCACCGGGCTCGGCGGCGACGGCCTGGGTGGCCACGGCCTGGGTGGCCAACATCGGAGCGCCCTCCAGCTTCATCTCGGCGGTCGCGTTGTCGACAGATGGCTTCTTGTTCTCCTGGCGCCACAAGCGGAAAGTGTGTCCGTGGAAGACAAGCGTTGCGATGAAGAGCAGCCTGCAGAAGAGTCAGTGACCCGGCCTTTCGCCCTTCGCCTCCCCCAACGTAGTCACCTGGATGATGCAACTAACCAGTTTAGGGCACTTAGGCCAGCAATGGCGCTAATACATGCGAGTGCAGTGTGGTCGGCGAGCACACCACCACGCTTCATCTTCTTCGAGGAAACGGTGCACATGTTGCTGTTGACGGCGCTGCCATTGTTATTGCAGCTGTCGACATTGATGGTTGTGTTGAACTGTGCGCGCAGAGCGGCATTGGCCCCGAGCGACGCCAGCCAGAAAACAGCCATGAGAAGGTCGAGCGATAGGACGGCCCACACGTTGTATGCCTTCTGCGCGCCCCGCACCTTCTCGGTGATGAGCCCATAACCTACGACGATCCAAGTGAACAGCCACTGCGATGCGAGTCAGTACTCACTGAAGACACCCACAACGACGACCAGTAACACTCACGCAAACAAGCGCGAAGACGTTGGCACCCACGGCGAGCCCATGGATGAGATACCCAGCCATGCACAGGATCACGAAGCTGAGGAGGAGCTGGAAGCCGCGAACAACGACCACCCAGACCGGGGTTTGCTGGATGTACCGTTCTTCCTCACTGTGCGCGACTGCTGCTGGCGCGGCATATTGTGGTGTTGGAACGGTATCGGCCATTGGAAGCTGCCTGGTGACCGTCTCTACCGCAGACGGGTGATGAAGAGTGAATGGAGGGGTCTTCTTTCTGTGACAACAAGGGAAGCGGGCGATCAAGCTCTTTTACTGTTTTACAAACTGTGGGACAAGGCAGATTTCAACGCATGAGGGTCTAGATCTCAGGCGGAATGTATGGAGCTGTTTGCTAGCGCCTCAGCCGCAGCATGGACGATGTCACTCCACAAACAGCAACCAACGCGGCGACCCAGCGTCCCAGCCAGTGAAGTGTTCACCCTACCCATGAGACATTCTGCTCTCCGTCCAGCCATACCAGCAGTTCTTGCAAATCATCACCCCAATTCCCCCCAAGGCTAAATTCTCATCGTTGATACGCACATCTTCATTCACATGGGCGTCTTCGCGAAGTCGCGTCCACCACGTCCTGACTTCCAACTCCCAAGCCACTTCGCCAAGCTGCATGATCTTGGCTGCATGGGAGAAGTCGCACAGTATTCCCTTAAACGTTCAAGTGGAGATCTCGCAGCGCCACGCTTGGGGTCTCCATTGGCAGGAAGTAACCGAGACCTCAGCATCGAGTTGCTCAGCAGGGTCAGCATACGAGGTTAGTGTAAGTGGAAAGTCCCCATTCATGTGGCTTTCCCCATTTCCTCTATTGGACGAGATCGTGTCTGCGGTCTCAAGGCGATTCTAACAATAGTCCAGCGTAAACCCTACATGCAGTGGTGTAATACCTACTACTGATATCTCTGACCCGCTACCTCGAGATTCGCATCCCATGCTGATTAAGTAGAAGCCAAGGCCGGAAGCCAAGCTGCGTTAAGCTCCAGGAATGTGCAGTGGAAGACATAAGCGCTGCGACGTACTGCCTTGTGCACACTTGTCGACGTTGCCGCAAGAGACAGGCATGCCTTTTCAATAACAGACGTCCCACGAATCATGCATTGTCTCGACAAGAGGGCGATCACACCAGAAGGAACACCGGGGCCATCAAGAAGAAATCGTCCTTTAAACAGAAGGTCGTTGTGATCAATGAATCCACGGGCTTGAACCCAATAACACCCGAAGCCATATAACATCCTGTTAGACTCTGTCAGAAGCATGCTTGGAGACATCCTACCAGCGACCCATGACTGATAGCTAATGCTTCTTAGAGTCGCTTCTCACCACGTACCTCTGATAATGAGCTACAGCCGAATACCTCGAGTGCTGTTCTACCAAGTACGGTGAGCCAAATCACTGGCCGCGCTGTTCGATATTTAGTAAAATCATGGATATATTGCATTACCAGGCGGTAGCAGGTACGCAACTATGGCAGGCCATTAGGCATCTGTTGTCCCAGGAGAGTTGACACGACGGGGACAACGCAGCAGAAGCGCAGGGACAGCTTACCGGAGCTTGCGTAGCCATGGTGGCAATGGCTGGGTCTGCGATGAGGCGCTTAGATTTTTGGCAAGCCGGATTGTGGGAGCAGTCGTGATCCTTGATACTCAAGCTAGAGCGGCTATGCACCGGTCCTCATTCTGTAGAGGTTGCCAACGTAAACACCACTTGAACAGAGCCCTGCTCTGCAATGGGCGGACTCTTGCCGCTCTCAGTCCTAGCCTAAATTGGGCGTTATTGTGGTGGGCTGTATGACATTCCTGAGTTCAGAAATGCTGCCTTTGCTCACGAGCTCAGCGGCTTGATCCCTCGAGGACCACAGCTTGGCTCCCATTATTAATGATAGCCAGACTGGTCTATTTTACCATTATGGGACCTGGTTCTTGGTCCCCCCGGTATTATCAGAGAGTCATCATTGTTGAAACTCTTAGGCCGCTTCCCTATAACGCACATGTGCTCTTTTCGGTGTCACGAACGTCACCTTGCTTCAACGATGACTTTCGCAATCGGCGTTGGGAGAGGTAGATGGCTGTTTCAACACTCTTTCGCTGGAGACGCCGCGTACAACTGGCAGCATGGCTGAAGGCCCGAAATAAACAGATCCTACCTTACACTACATGTCACCTCAGCTTTTGCCAGGTGTAAGTAGGTGACACCCAAGTCCCGCGATTGGGATCTTGGGCGCAAGATGGTATGGGCTTTGGCAATGATCCCCAACGCCACCAGGGACTTGCTGTGGAGGGGATCATCTCCTCGTAGTCATCAAGCTCTGGTCAAGCCTGTAGTGACGGCTGCTTACTAGTACTAGTACTTCCGTCCGGTCTCAGTCATCATAGAACAAACAGATGAGGCAAACAAGGACCTGCAGACTAGCGGTGTTCGGGTTCGAGTGGTTTAACTTGCGCTTCTTACCTTGGAATGAGCCTATAGAAAGAAACCAAGCTCACGAGAAAGCATCATCTGATGTAGGCTCTCATATTCTCAAGACTAAGCTCTCAGAAGAGTCCGACGTCTTACACCACCACTTAGAACCAACATCACTACTGTTCACAGCATGGTCTATTTGTAGCGGACATGACAAGTGCCGTCAAGCGTGCTTATCTGAACTCGTGCGATATTTGGCTTCCCAACTTCGCGTGCCAAAACACCATGGCTGTTCATATCGATAGTGCCTTGAGGCGCGTCACCTTCGCGAACAAACGCGTTGTTCCACCACAGCAGGTTTCCTGTTATCGGCCTCTTTATCGGCCGTGCCGACCGACTATTCTATCCTTCTTCTCAAACCCTACTTTTGCTCTCTTCATCGACCCAAGGAGTTTACCACTCAGGAATCTCAAAGACTGCATCTCGGGCTTGTCGCTCATCACGCTTCCCTTGGTTACTTCATCACGCCTACCTCACTTCATCACTCTTACTTTAATTCGTCCCAAGCGCAAGATCTTGTATCGACCGCCAGGAAGCTCTGCCAGTTCTCCTTCAACAGCACGTCAGTAACCGCAAAACTACAAAATGGGAAGGCGACCGCAAATCAAGGGCTACAAGGCTGTTGGACGGTTCCAGCCGTCCCGCGCCTGTGCCCCCCGTCTTTACTTCTCGCATTTTCTTTCGCTCCCGATGGAGCTTCGTTGCCGAGTCTATGACAATCTGCTCCGTTCTCCCCATGCCATTGATGTGTCGGGCACGTGGTAAGTCATCAATCAGCTTTCCATCAAGTTTCCATCTACGTGTCTCGAGCATGAAGCACCGAGATGAATACTCGACTTGGGAGTCGTCATTCTTAGAGAAGGGTCACTGACGAAGATTGACGTTACTAGGTACCAGAAGCCACGCCTCACGATGTCCCTGCTCCGTGTGAGCAAGTCTGTCTCGGCCGAAGCTGCCGACTGGTTCTATAGCGTCAATACGTTCGTCTTGCTTGAGGACTGCGATGCCAACACTCAAGATGACAACGACATCGAGAAAAGTGTCATCTATCCGTGGTATGTAAATCACTACGTTCATATTCTACCGCCACAATACAAGGACTTCGAATCTCTCATCCTATCGGGGCTTCCACTCTCACGGAACACTCCTTCCCGGCCCCTTTACAGAGCCCGTTGAACCCTCCATCTCACTACCTCCAAAACCACTGGGTCTTTCCCTTACCAAAGCTAACGGTCACACAGGCTTCTGCTGATCCAGAAGTATGCCCCTTCGCTGCGCAGCGTCCAAATCCGCATCCGCAGAGAGCGACCCGTGATGTACTACCGCGAGCTCCTCTCGATGCTAGCGCACTACGCGCCCAACATCACCCGCATGGCGCTCGTGGCGGAGGGCCACCAGTTCATCGACCTCCGCCGCACCCACTCGTCAGTCTTCCACTGGTTCTACAAGTGGCACCCCAACGAGGTCATGGCGTTCAAGGGCACCTCGCTCTCGGGAGGCTTCGCCAGCGAGATGCTGGCATTCGAGAACCTGCGCCTGGTCGTGATCGGCGGCAGACAGCCAATCGAGGTGATGGACAAGCTGTGCGCGCGCCTGGAGAAGTGCCGGGTCATCGGCCTCGAGGATTACATAGCCGGTCGGGAGGCCTTCGACCTCTGGGAGACGGCCTGGCATTTCCGCCGTGGCTTTGACATCAACAAGTGGTACGATGCCACGATGGTGCGTGGAGACAATGGCGAGCGGACCGTCAAGCAGACGGCCGAGGACGATGAACAACGCGTGCGGAATGATTGAGGTTATCTCCTTTTCTCTGTTGTTCTTTTTTTTTTTTTTTTTTTTTTTTTTTTTTTGCATTTCCTATACGACAAATGCAGGAATTGTTGGGTTTTTTGTCTTCGTCATTTCGGTGTCGATGATACTGTATTATATTGAAAACGCTCACCGTCACTAGCTACTTACTAGGTACCTGGCTAATATCCTGTGTGGTGACATGATTGCACATTACATGCCCGTCGCTGAGTTTAAGGGCAGCCGCAAAATGATTCTTCCCGTCTTCCTTGACAGTTCTCAGGGTGAGGTGGTCTTAGAGCGACGACTCCGATAACATAACCTAATAAATGAAGCTGCTGGACAGCTTCCCATGAATCTCTGCACTAAACCCAAGCAGCACTCTACACCCACGGGATCACAGAATCGTCATGATATCCATTAAAATACCCTAACACGTCCAGTATTTATTTGTCAGCAAATCGTGATATCGGGAAGAAAGACAAAAAGTTCGGATGCAGCGATACCATAGCAGACTTGAAGTCATACACGCAAGAAAGCCCGCGCTGCGTGAATATAGTAGTTCCCCATTGTCGGGTGTGGGTTTCACATAACCGACCAAGCATCCGTGTCCATATTGCCGTCCTCCGCCTTCTCCAGGGATTTCCGTGCCCAGTCTGCACTCGTTTCCAGGTCCTTCCAGTAGATATGCTTCCTGAAGCCCGCCCGGGGTTTCTGGAAGATATCTGCCATGACCAGTAGACACTCCTCATCTTGCCCGGCCAATGCCATGAGCGTCAAACCCGCAGGCTTCAGCAGCCTCCACTCGAACTCGGTCTCGTATGCGCGAATGTACAGCGGATTCCGCCGTTTCTTGAGCTCGGTCTCGAACCTTCCGAACAGCACCCTGAACATGCAAGTGGTGAAAAGGTAGTTGAGGCTGTAGACCGGGGCCTCGCCACACACGTTCCAAATGAGGTCGAGCTTGACAAGGTCGAGGGGAGTGCGGCCAGTTGGTTGTTGCTGGCTGCCCTTGGTGCAAAGCCCGCTAGCGTGCAACATCGCTGCTCCACTGAGCTCCGGTGGGAGGTTAGGCGAGCCATAGATTTCCGGCAGGAAGGCGCCCAATCCTTCTGGTAGTTGCTGCAGGGACGCGATGACTGGGAAGGGTGGGACTTGCAACAGCCCATTGTCACCCATTCCCCCGGCTCTGGCGCGTTCCACAAGGTCTGTGTCCTTCAGACGCCGCTGGCCGGTAACGGGATCGACCACGACTTGTGTGGCAAGCCGAACCATCCATAATGGCGATTTGAGCGAGATATCGGCGTCGGAAATGGCATCGACATTCCACTTTGACTGTCGGTACCGTATCAGGTGGGACTTCGTGTTGAAGAGCCTGTTCAGCTTGACATCCAGCATGCGATGAACGTCATGACTTAATGCAGCTTCTTTTCTCGCCGCAGCGGCTCTCCGGGTAGCGAGGCGATCCCTTCTGCCAACAAGCTCAAGCAAGGCCTCGTCAAAGTCGGAAGTAGGGGGCTTGCCGTCAAATAAGGCCGGCCCAAACAGCTCCTCGAGGGTCGCGAACATCCCGATGGGATTCCTGATGTAACCTCTCGTCACAAGCATGTTGTGCAAGTGTGTGAGCAACATGGGCTCAGGAAGTGCCTCCCACACTCTCATACCAACGAGTTAAGCGAGCTCGAGGGCCTCGGCAAGGCCAACACCGCATAGGAATGGCGAGTATTCCCACAAACCGTTCGGATCGCAATGGGAGAACCTGGATGGAGGAATGGTGGTGAGGCCATACATGTATTTTGTCTCGCCCAGCCAGTCGCGAAAGTCGTCGCCACATGAATCCAAGATCATGCACAGGCTCTGATGACGATGCAGATCGTGGTGCAACAAGCCGTTTCTCTGGAGCAGCTGCTTCAAGATAGCCACCCCCTGCAGAAATCCGGTGCCGAATGTCTCATTTTTGCGGTCCAGAAAGAGGTCGACATCGCGCCTCGGCCGGAATTTTCGAGCAGGGTCATCGAGAATATGGCCTTTCAGTGAGCTGATCGACCAGCCGCGAGCGACCATGAAGGAGCCGACGGTGCACGCCAGCTGGAAAACGTGGTGTGGTAATATCCGCTTGCAGATGTCGGTCCCCGGTTTCTGCATCGCAAGGGAAGTGACGAAGCCTGCAAACTCGTTCAGCCCATAGAGTCTTCGGTGCCTGGCCCAGGGTCCTTCCGGCGACCAATCCACATTTTCCAGTACATGGTTCTCCCCCCGCATGGTGTCACGCTGAACCACAATGGAGGGAAAGACATTGACCAAGTCGTAGAGCCAGTTGATGGTGTATGACCGACGCCACCGGATTCTCTGCTCGTTCGTGGCTCTCTGGGGCTTGAAGTTGGGGTCCCAGTTGCGAAGCTCGTCCCACATGCGCTTGGTGGTCTTCCCCGAGCGGTTCTTTTGGAAATCCTCGACAAAGTCGACAAGGTCCTGGTATGTATAGATCATCAATTGCTCTTTGACGTCCACATTGGACTCCCGAACCTTGTCGACGCTTATACCGCCCGACCCGACTCTCCAGAGCCCTATCGTAAACATCCCCTGGCCCTTGTCTGGGTTTCCCCGCGTAATGGTGTTCATGACGGTTTCGTAATCATCGTGGCCGTTGAAGTCGACAAAGATAGCCGCTGCACTCCTCTAGATCATCGCAATGGCCAGGTTAGAGAGCGTTCCGCAAACGGCACTGATTAGCCCGTCGTATGCGCAGTCGTGCCAGATGCCTTGCAAGTAGTGCGCAGATCTAGCCACTCCCTAACAATACCGTAGACCGCCATCAAGAAATTGGTGATGATTCCATCCGTGCCCTGGGTTATGCGATAACTCTCGAGAGACACGTCGTCCAGGCTCTGCTCCTTGGGGCAAACGGGCTTCTATTGCTTCTTCCCCTTCTTTACGCGTTTGCCCTTTCCTCTTCCCGGTTTCGCCTGCCGGCGATATCGGGGGCCAGAGCTCGAGTCTAACTGATGCTGCTGATCGGGCTCCACCTCGTCGTTGGATTCTCTGACCTCACCATCATCAACCCTCCCTCCTCTGCCGAGATCCAGAGCGCCAGACTTGTTCCCAAGTACAAGTTTGTCAAGGTCTTCTTTGGCTTTGACGAAATCATTGGCCTCAGCCCTGTTACTGTTCTTGAATTCATCAACTTTCCGCTTCTTTCCTCCCAGGATTTGAAACGCGTCGGTCAAAGCATCAATGAATTGCTTATGAGAAGCGTTGTTCTCTGTCTCCGGGTCTGGGTTCTCAGCCACAACCTGCTGAAAGGCGTTGTAGACAGTTGTGCGGGCCTCGATGACCGAGCTGAACAAGCTGAAGACGGTTGGCGGGACGCTGCTGATATGTCTCGCTAAAGCTTGCACAATGCCACCGGGCCTTCCACAGTAATTTGGCCGGTTGAATTGATCGCCGTGCTACCATCTTGCAGGCCAAGCAGCTCTACTATGTACTAAGGTAGGTACAAACCAAATATCCGAGTAATTGCATGTCGTGACCTTATTAGCAGTCTCCTCCACGTGAAAGGGAAAAAAAAAAAAAAAAAAAAAAAAAAAAAAAAAAAAAAAACCCACCCAACCCCAAACTTCAATAGTTTGAAACGAGAAGCCAAGCAAGTAAAATCCAATCGAAAAGAACAAGAAGGGACAAAGGGAAAAGGAAAAAGAAGAGAAGATCAGAAAGAAAGCGCTAAGATGAAGGATAGGAAAGGAAGAAAAGAGAGCTACCTTAGGGAGAGGAGAGAGGAAGAGAATATCAGAAACTAATGCTACAAAGGAGATCGATAGGGAAGAAAGGGGAGCAGAAAGAGAAGAGGTAAAATAAAAAGAAGGACACTGTCTGAGCAACTTAATGGTCGCACCTGTCTGGCTGATAGCGATCTTTGGCGTACGGCTTATTTGTCCGCAGGGAGCGCAGTCCATCTCCGCGGTGGCGTTTACTCTTCTTTGGGTGTATGTAGCTGTTCGATCTGTAATAAGAGAAGGATGCTCAACAAGAGATACCCAGGTACTTAACAAGTTAACAGCACCCTTGATGCACTCTTGCGTTATCAGATATCTGTAGACGACGAGGCAAGACAAGGCGGGATCAAAGCGATGTATGAATTCTGCATAGCGTCACTCTTGCCGAGAAGGGACTTAGACATAGACTCTAGCTCAACCTTCTATTAGCTTGCTTTAATGTCCTCACTTAAAACTTGTCACGCTGCGAGGAAAATGCATAAACGTCTGGGTCATCGCTGCCGTGGCATTGACTCGCTTGGGTATCTTTGGCCACACATCCCTCCTTCACATGATAACCTCGTTTGCCACATCCTAATAAGCAAGAGTTAGCTCGACATCCAGGAAGTTTACTATTTGGGGATACGGTCGACATACTCTTTTGAGTTCCTTAAACGGCAAGCACACACAGTTCTGCACGCGGATCTCATCCCCTACCGCACACTCCTTGCCCAGTATGGTGATCGCCTGCACCTTGACCCCGTTCCTGATGATGCTCGTGTTATGGCTTGTAACAGGCGTAGGGGTGCCTTCAACACGGGCCCAAGCGCCGACACGGCTGCTCCAGCCAATGATCGAGTAGAGCACACACGCATCATGTTTGATTTCAGCGTCCTCCAGCACGATTGACTCTTTGACACGCGCACCAGCATCAACGGTTGCGCGAGGACCAATCGATACGTTCGGCCCTAGCTTGGCCGTTGGGTGCACATGCGCCGTGGGGTGGATGAAGACAGGCGGAATGATATTGGCCGAAGGTGCGGCGAGTTCCTCGGAGCCATTTTGCATGGCCTTTTGCAGGTACAGGGCATTGGCGGGAATGGCAGAGCCAGCTGTCTTGATCTGCCGCCAAAAGTCCTTGGTTTCGTAGACGAAGAATTGCTTGTTATCGGCCATGTCGCCAAGGATGTCCTGCTCGAGACGGATCACCTCATTCTTCTGGCTCTCTTCATCGTCATCGATCATAAACGAACTCGCCAGGTTTTCGTGCGACCGGTAAGACCCCAGGCGGGGCCTCTCGGTACGACGCTTAATCGCGCTGCGGATGGAGGGGAAAATGGCGTCGGTGGAGAAGAGGTAGACGCCGCAATTGATGAGATTGGAAATGTAGCTCTCGGGTTTCTCCACGTAGTGCAGCACCCGACGAGTATGCGAGTCCGACACGATGCAGCCAAAGTTGGTGGCGGCTTCCTCGCTAACCCTTGTACCCAGAATGACCGCCTCAGCATCCTTCTCCTGTGCCAGCTTGAGCATTTCGTTGAGCGGGAAGCTGCAGCATACGTCCGAGTTCAGGACGAAGATGTGTTCAGGGCGGCCCTTGAGAATAGCATCGCGAAAATGGTACAGGCCGCCGGCCGTGCCCAGAGCCTGGTATTCGCGAAGGTACTTGATCGAGAGGTGGGGGAATTCTGTCGAGGCATCCTTAATGAAATCGCGGAAGACGGATTCCTCGTAGTAGCCGATCAGGTAGACCTCGTGGATGGACGGTACTTTCTCGATGGCGGTCAGGCAGTGCCAGATGATGGGGTGTCCGGCGACGTCAAAGAGGGGCTGCGCAAAACGGGCAATTAGCGGCGTCGCGTCAAATATTGTGGTTATACACAATCGCCATACCTTGGGGACATCAAGTGAAAGCGGGCGAAAACGGGTGCCGCGAGAGGCGCCGCCAACCTGGACAGTCAGTCAACAATCGATCAGAACCAATTCCCCGCCAACACTCCAACTGACCAGGATCACAGCCTTGGTGGCGCCCGCAAGGCCGTTCGACTTCTCACGTAGGGGAATCTGCAGAGACATCGCGCAAACGATAGTTAACTTCGCGCTGAGGTGCTGCTCTGTAAAGATAAGGGCGATGTCAAGAGAAGGTGGAAGGTAGGGTTCTCTTGGATGCCAGGTGTTCCGGAATTCATTATCACCCCCCTGGATTCGGAAAAGCCATGTGAAGGCAGGTCAGCTAATTGGGGTCACTTTGGGTCTGTGCGTCAGCTGCCCCCTACTCTCAGTGTACGCGGGGCTGGCGGGATAACCCATGATCATTTGAATTCGAGAATTGAACTGAACTTTGAAACTCGCCCAACGACTGTGAGCACCCACCAAGTTCCTGGTTATTAGTGGCATGTTAAATCCAGACTGTTGCATCTTGTTAACATGGACGCATAACTTATAAGATGTCCTGTACTCCCGCTGATCGAACACAGTACCCAACTTCGCTCAGTCATCCTCGTTTCTGTGCCAAATCTCTACCTTTGGGAATCCAATAACCTCTCGGCACCTAGTGTGTCTGCACCCTACCACTGTCTTCTTTTTTGTTGATACCCATTGCATCCTGCAAAATATTTCCTGAAGCTCAAGGTTCGGATATCTTCCTGCTGGTCATGTTCACGCGTTCCCTGCAAACGTTCACCTAAAGTGCGTGCATGAAACGCGGTGCAGCGAACCGCGTAATAGAGCTCCAATCAATTGCCTGCAGCCCCACTCTTCCAGCCCCTTTCGCGTCCGCGTCGCAAACTCATCGAGGTCTCTGCGCCGAGATTGAGGCTGTTAATACTTGCTCAATCTTGTGCCTTTCACCTTAACAGCTGCCATCTTCAGCTGGAGTGCATCCTGGGTTCAGTTGCAATGCACTTTTGAGGTCTCTGCCGAGTATCAAAGGCCTCTCTTCCACTCCTTCAGCCTCTTTACCTTCCTTCTTTTTCTTCAAGCAACCTCCATTCATTGCATCTGCCCTTTTCTTTCCTCCTCCTCTTTCTTCCCGCAGTCTATAAAGTTGGGGTTTCTACTCTTGATCCCGACAAGAACGACATCAATTCTGTGGATGGCTTCCTTGTTGGCAATCCCTTTGCTGTAAACAGTTGAAGCCGAGACTGTCATATTCTGACGACTAGGCGCTGGAAGGTGCATCGAGTTGGTTGCCACTCTGCTCACCCTTCTATCCGGTGTACAACAACGACCTCCTCAACTTTAAGTTCGCTATCGTCGATTCCGGCCGTAGAAACAGCGGAACCCAAAATCTGCCATAATCGACAAACCCCTGTCCGCATACCGAAGTGAAAGTCGGTTGCCAGGTAAGTCTCAAAGGCGCTACGGCTACCACTGCATTCCCATCTCAAATGTTGAATTGACCGACTCCGATGGTCGCCTCATTTCCATCTCCATGCGAGACTCACTTCGCTAACCTTTCACAGGTCACTACTTCAACAGTATGCCTCGGATCAAACAAGAGCCAGGTGCTGGCTCTAGACAACGAAATGGCCAACGCCGATCCATGGCTACCCCAGACTCAGCTGCGGACGCACATTCTGAAGCCCCTAGTGAGCAGGTTCAGAGACTCCGCCAGGTCCGGTCCGCAGCGCGTAAGTCGCTCTTATTCACCAAATACGGGTAGTAAACTGACTTGTTACAGCGAGCATTGACACCTACGCCCGGCCTCCGTCCGCTTCAAGCGCCCAACAGCCCGAGGACGGCGAAGATGAGCTCATGATAATGGAGGTCAGGCTGGGACCCAAGCGGGAGAACGACAACTCCCAGTTCATGGCATCCCAAAGTGTCCAGGGCTCTTTCATTGGACCCAATAGGGCTCTCCGTGACATCGGTCATAGGCTGAAGGACATCAATGATGCTCTTGGTGAGTTACAGGCTCGCGGCATTCAGCATGTCGCAAATCTGCCGGAATTGGTCTTGGTCGGCGACCAATCGTCCGGAAAATCGAGTTTGATGTCAGCCATTGCAGGGCTCAGCCTCCCTCGTAGCAGCGGAACATGCACCCGCTGTCCCATTCATATCCGCGTATCTCGTGCGGCCGAATGGTCGTGCCGCGTCTTCCTCAAGCAGGACTACGAATTCTGTCCGCCTGACCATCCCATAACAGAGCGGGATGTCAAGCAAAACAACCGATTCCCGCCGTGGGTTAAGTTAGACCCAAGCCGCCAAGCACGCCGGGAGTTCAAGACAGTACGGGATCAATCGGACTCCGAGGAGATCGAGACAGTGTTGCGGTGCGCCCAGGTTGCAATTCTGAATCCCAGCACCCACTACAGCTTCTTCATCCCAAAACTGAAGGGTGAGGGTCCCGACAGCACCCGGGAGCAGCACCTCGACCAGGTCAAGAAAAAGGAAGAGAGGGCCGAAGCACAGTTTTCGCCCAACACAGTTGCCCTAGAGGTCAAGGGGCCTGACTTAGCTGACCTCAACTTTTACGATCTTCCTGGTGTATTCATGACTGCGAGACGGGCCGAAGACAGCTTTCTCGAGAAAGTCGTCCAAAATCTGACCAAGGAGTACATTTCCCGCCCTAGCGCCATTATTCTGTGCGCGGTGCCCATGAACCAGGACACCGAAAATTCCCTAGCTCTCAAGCTCGTTCGGGGCTTGCGCGCGGAGGATAGATGTATCGGCATAATGACTAAGGCTGATTTGCTGCCGAAGGAGGATCATGCTGCCGCCGGCTGGCTCGCCATGCTCAGAGGCGACGCGCATCGGACTGGTCATGGCTATTTCATCACTTCACGCCAGGGTAGCGACCTGGAAGAGCAAAATAAGATGGAAGAGGCCTTCTTCAACCGGACAGCAGATGCGACAGGCCAGTGGCCCGAAGCCTTCGACGGGGCTAGAGAGCGATGTGGCGTGGAGAAACTCAAGGCATTCTTGTCGCTCAAGTTAGGCGAGGAGTTTGCAAAGATGTGAGTTCAGTTCCTCTCCATTCCCGACGTTTCATTTATCTAACCTTTCCAGCCTCCCCGAGGTGAAGGGCAATGTCAACAAACGCCTTGGGGAGATCGGCGAACAACTTAAGAAGTACCCCGAGCCGCCGAAGAACCCAGAACTGGAGGTTATGAAGAGCCTCACCCAATTCACCATCCGGGTAAAAGATAGGGTTATGCACCAGGACTTTATGAGTATCTGGGACTCGCGTTTTGGCGAGCCTTTCAAGAGGACCATAATTGGGCTGAAGCCAAAGTTCAACGTGAAAGAGCATGCCAAAGCGTCGAACCCGGTGGTTATTGTCCTCGATGGCGATAGCCCGGCCGTTTCGCCGACTATGCGGAAGCGTCCCGCCCCTGCCACGGACCTCACAGAAGCCACTCCAAAGCGGCATCGCGGGCAACAAGCAAATGGTGTCGTCAAGTCCGAGCCTTCGGACTACCCCATGTTCCCTACGACACCCAGTCATTCCAGAATGACTCCTGTCAACGGTATGACGCCCAGCCGAGGTTCAAGATCCAAGAGTCTCATGGACATCCGCAACCTTATCCGGCGCGCCGCTATTCCAGGCCAGCCCGGCCTCGTTTCTGCCAGCGTTTACGAACCTCTGTACACGGAGGCGGCAAAGTCATGGGCTCCTCACCTCGAGAGTTTCATCAACAATACGTTTGCTTTCCTCCAGGCAGAAATCTTCGCGATTCTGGACTCTACGTTCTCGCATCTGAAGAATCGAGCTGTGTACAAGGAATCAGTGGACCACATGCGGGTCTTCATTGAGACCCAGAAAGCCGAACTACGCCAGCAGCTACTGTTCATCTACAAGCTCGAAGCCCAGCGTCTTTTTACCAAGGATGAGGAGACCCTCCAGCGACACAAAACGGCGGAAATGAAGATTCTAGTTCGCCACCGAAACCACTTCCGCATCGCCGCCCATAATGGCGAAGAGCTCTGTTCCGTCCCTAAGATGGAGGAACTGACCGATGAAGAGCGGCGGCAAGAGGAGATCAAGATGGCTAAGGAACTCAAAAACCTCGGTCCGGATCCCTTCGAACCAGAACTGGCTGTCGCCGCGTACATCCGCGGGTACTATCTGACAGCTGCGAATCGCTTTGTGGACTACGCCTCGATCCACGTCATGTCTGGCCTGCTCCCGCGCGTGGCATCCGTCGTCGAGAGCTACTTGCATGAGAAGCTGGGTCTCACGAGCCACGCAACCACGCAGGAAGTCTTGGAGCGCCTCATGTCGGAGGGCCCCGAGATCGAGCAGAAACGGCGTGACCTGCGCGCTGAGAAGGAAACGCTCGATGGTGCCATGGACATCATTGTCAACCTGGAGCGACGCGAGGCTGCGGCAGCTGCTTCGTCACAATACGGAAATGGTTTTGATGCGTCTCAGGCCGATAGCATGGCGACATTTGACGCGGACCATGCAAACGGGGACAGGGCTACGGTCTTCTCCGGTACGGCGTATGGCGATGCTTGAGCCTCCGACGCCAAAGTTGGCCCATTACGGAGGTGCAGGATTAGGTTCCCCTCCCCGGTGCCATCCTTGTTCCTTTTCTTTTCTCATCTGTGTCTCGCGCCTTAATAATCTACCTGTTGAGTCTCGGTTGATGGCGGACGACACCATGGCATTGGGGTTACTGTTATTGTGGGATTTTGGACATGGCGACGGTCGCCTTTGTTGGCCAGGGGCGGTAATTTTCCTTTGTTTTGGACCATGGGGGTCATTAAAACATGTTGGCCGTCGTGCTACACATCTCAAGGATTGTACCTCACATAAGGTCTGGTCAGGAACGGTTTGGAACGCCTAGAGTCAATTGGTCCGGATCTGTTTTGTCTGAAAAGGGGGCAAAGGTCTTGGCACTGTGGGACTGTGTCCCTAGCAACGAACAGTACGCATACTTACGTATACTCTTGCTCTGCGTCATAATTGAGCTGCTTACAGCGGTATGCTCCTTGTAGCGTCGACAGAGCAGAGATCATTACCAGATGATGTGGACCTGACAATACAAAGATTCTTCACTACCGGATCGAAGCACTCAGAAATAGTGACCGTTTACCCTCCCGAAGACGACCACGGAAACCCCACGCCCTTGTGGCGCCACGGTCGCCCTGCCTTACTGAACACTAGCCGCGCATATCAAATGACATTTGCGATATTTGACCCATCCATTGTCTCTAAGCAGTCGAGGTTATCAAGTAGCTGTTTCGCATGCAAGCCCTTCTCATTGTTCAGCACATCCACACAACATCCTTCACTCGTCATCGCCACTGCTGACCGGGACATCTTGTAGAAGCGCTGTTCGCCGGCCCCCTGTAACTGGCGGGAAGCAGTAGGCAATGCCTGTGTCCATTCTACCAGCGCTCTGAAGCAGGTGCGGGCTCTCAGTCTCCGCCTCGACGGTAATGTCAGTGTCCTCGTCTTCGTCACTGAGGTCTACGTTGAAGAACTTTGCCGGGGCCGATCCTTGGGGTTCCCACTGACGCATACCACGAAGATGCCCGGAGGCGCTGCGCGGCGGCGCGGACGAACTCGAGCATGTTAGCCCGTGCATCGGTGCTCCTTGATCTAGGTATTGCTGCTGATTGCTGGGAGGCGGGTTCAGAAACCTGTGCACATCCATGCTGGGAGAGCTCTGGGTCGTGGAGATAGCGTCGGATGAGAGTAAAATACCGTCTAGCAACCTGGATTGATTTGGTGACGATGAGGGTGGCACGCCTGACTGGTAACTGTGCAGTTGCATCAGTTCAGCGCCCGCGGCCTTCTCCGGACTTCGATTTTCTTGACGATTGCCACTTTGACTCAGAGACTGGCTTTCGATTACCTGTGTTGCAGGCAAGCTCGATGTGACATTCTCAAATAATTGCTACTTTTTGTTAGATTAGACATGGAGGGGATAGGATTATGTCAAGTTGAACTCACCAAGGGCCGCTTGGGCTTTCTCTTCGTGGCCGGCTTCTTTCCTGAAACCGGACTGCGGATGCCTTCAGCACTTTGTGGAGGTTGATCCCCGTGGTCCACATCCTGAGTCGAAACAGCTTGTCCAGCATTAGCTTTCTCCCCGGAAACGACTTTCAATGTTCCCTGGCTTGAAGGGAACGTTGGTGGCGGGGAAAGCGCTCCTCTTGAGGCTCGATGTCGAGAACCGGCGTGCATGGCTCGCCAACCTCGGTTCCTTGTCCCTGATGACCGTGTTCGTCTTTGATTCTTCGCGGTCTGACGTAGTGCTTCGGCACTTGCGCTAAGCGCCTTTTCTTTCTCAGGCACGGATGAACTGCCCTGAGGTTGCGCAATGTTGTTTGGCATGACTTGCTCCGCGTGGCTCCGGGGTAGGGACATGATTCTGGATGAGTCAGCGAACAATGCATAATCCTATGACAGGTGATACGAACTCGAGACTCGTGATCCTGGCGTATCTATATCCATCTCTTTGTTGTAGGTCAAGGTTGGCGTTGTCAAAGCCCATGTGGTTGAACTTCCAAACGCCGATTGGAGGATCATCGGGACGTTCCCTGGCATGGAATGCCAGTGTCCAATGCATCGGCTCTGCTTCCGTTGGAATTATACTCGCATTGACGTGGAAGATGGTACACACCTTTCCAAGCGGCAAGCCGGCTGAGATAGTCTCCCAGATCCCAAAGCCGGGAATCTGTCTTCGATGCGTGATGCTCTCCCGTCCCGGCCCTCCATATGTTGAGCCCATAGTTTCCGTCGTGCTCGTAGTTGAAAGCGACTGTGTAGTACTCCAGAAGACAATTCTGTTCCCATGCTTTGGTTCGTAAGTAGGTTATGCGGAACTTTATGAGGCGTTCGTTTTCGAGAAGCGGGAAGATGTCTTCCCTCTGCGCTCCTGATGTCAGCTCCGTCGTCGAAGAGGAGTGGCTGCCCCTACCAGTATACCAAGAAAGCGATTGACGCCGTAATCCGTTCCTTGTCGCAAGAATATGGTGTTTCCCGGGTCCCTCAGCAATTCCTTGTCATGATGCGGGATACGAGTCCCTGAGATCAAAATGTCCTCGAACGATCTCGAGACAACTTGTTCGATCGGCAACAACTGAAAACATCGGGGCGGGAGAGCACGCCTGCATATTATTAACACCCTTACTTCCCGAGACTTCATACTTGAGATATCGACCTACCGAGCAAAGAGAATCTGACTTATCTGTGTTCTTGTAAGTCCGTGTGCACCGAGCGGTTCCCAGTTGCTCCTTACCACTGCGCCAAAGACCACCTTGCAGAGCTCGAAATCTCTTTTGTACCGGCGCGCGGAGTTTCCACCGGCAGTTGCGGACCATTTAGGCATTGTTGAGATAACACAGGAAAATGTTGGGGTGATGTACTCGATCGAGTCGACTCACACTTCGCATACGCTAAATGCCCGGAGAGCATGCTGTGCACGTTTCAATGCGGGAAAGGGCCAGGGCATGAAAAACGAAGGCCGGAGCAGCCTAAAGCTCGTGGTTTGGTCAGTCACTAAAGGGATAGAGAGGTGTTGAGGCAAGAGCCGATCCAATATATCAAAATGCAGGTGCGACCCTTCCAGTTACATCCCGATAGAGCTTCGCTGGACACTGGTAGGGTTTGAACTGCCTTAGGCATAAAAGGTGCATATGCATAGAGGCTGCTAAGGCACACGCTAAGAATGGACACAACAGAAATGACTGTCTGAATCAATCCTGTCTTTGTCAGCCTCTTCGAAACATTGGTCTCCTATATGCAGTAGTTGTCTTGGAGGTAACGATCCTCAGGCTGCTGTGGAATAGTTCACCGTTCTCCGACCTCACCTCTTCTACCTCGAACCGAAAAGGGGACCTCAAGTTCGTATGTGCCGCTTGCGTGACAGTGGTATGTCATCTATAGTGTCTCTGGCTGCTTTACCTTAACTATAGGCGGCCATATCCCGACCCGGTCGCAGTTGAGTACTTGGGTTGAGGCTAGACCTGGCCGTGTAGTGTAACTCCTGGGAGAGAGGGCACACGACGGAACAACCAACGTAACACCGGACTCGTCGTGATAAGACAATACCAGTCTCGCCCGCCCAATGCTCGGCCTTAGCCTTGAGGGACCTTGAGGGATGGGAAGACGGGGACCTGTGTGTCTGTGAAGTCCCTAAGGTCGGGCGGGGCTGTTGACCTCTAGTCAATGGATTAGTAGTTCGATATCGCGAATCAGCTAGGATTATCCCCAAACCGTCCTGCGAAAGAATATCCCCGGCGAGGTCCGACATAGTTCTACTAGATTTTCGTATGTTTGCTAGTTCCGCGCCTCCTAGATTGGAAGTGCGACGTTGGCTTCCATTTCAGGGCTAAGGTGTTGTTGGTGACGAGCTTGCTACACTAACCCATTCAGGCCATCCGGCCGCCCCGACATGCGTTGCCACAGGCGAGCGAGACTCTCCAATCGCATGAGAATCCTTTGCAAGCTCAGGCGAGCGGTAAAGAATAACTCTGGAAGTGTCGTCGACTTGTCTTCAAAGACCTGCGGTCTCCCGAAAGGCAAAGGGAAACAAGCACGTCCTAAAGTTTAAACAGGGAGAAACTGCCGGTTGCTGGCAACATCCTGAGACTTGCCGGAACATGACAGCTTTCCCCGCGCATGCCCGCATTCAGGACGGCGACGATGGACGGGGAATTCAACGCAAACACAAATGACAAACCCTGAACCCTTGCCTCGGGAACTACTGTTACTGTGGTAGACCCTCTGAAGAAGAAGTGTGCATAGTACAGCCCTCCCGTTTGTAGTTAATGCCCGACCCGGCGACTCCGAGTCGAAGGAGTCTCGGCCTCGATATCACGTGTGGAGAAGTTCCAGGCTGGAGTGCCGAGTTCCCCACCATATCGGCAGGCCGGAGCCTGGCCGGAAATGGCAGTCTGAACCTGAACAGAAAATTACGTTCGGGACGCTGAAAGTTTCTCGGTTGTTTTGTTCAGAACCGAAAGGAGTATCCGGTACACAACATAAGAATTGTACATAGTAGGGAATCTATGCCATTTCATTACACCTTCGGGGACCCTATAGCCATATTATCCATGGGAGCCCGTGCAGGATTCCATTCTCGATGGGTTTCTCTCCCATGGTGTTTGTGATTTGCGATCCCTTCAACATGGTAACGTTATCAACAAGGTATTCCGATTTCACTGGGTCAGGGATGACAGTCACCGTGGCACCGTGGCACACTGTGCACGGGCCCTCATTGCGTGCCTCCCCTTGATCGCCACTGCTGGCACCCAGCGCCTTACCTCAGCAGAAGGCAGGAGCCAACGCTCATCTCAACTTTACCTCCCACCACCAGCACCCGACCCCCCGTCCCATAGTTCCCGCGTGTCCTCCTTCGACAGCACCACGGATACGGGTTGATGCGAAAACCTTGGACGACCTTCGGCTGCCATTTCGTGCTTCGTACTTGTTTTCGTTGACACCAACGTCCTTTGCCTGGTCTAATTTCTTCGCTCTGCGGGCTGTTCATTCGGTCCCTTCCTCTTTTACGGGGTTGTTCTAGATCGCGAAAACGAAAGGAAGGATAGATAAAATGATACCCGGATTTTAAGCCTTTCTTACAAACGGTAACCAGTGGGGGACTCTGCTGGGCTAGACACGCTGGAAACACGGCGCCTTCGTGTCCGGCACGCGTTGGACCGAGTTTGTTGGTGCCACGGTCAGCGACTTTTGGGATTCCAAGTGCGATCTTTCTTTCTCGAACTGGAGCCGCACCAAAATCCCTTATCATACCTCCGACTACCCCCAGCATTCTCGACCCTCAGCCTCACCAACGATCTCGGCGAAGGTGATCACCACCAACCCGCCTCTGGCCAGAACGCCATGGAGTCTCGCCGACCTCGATCGAGCCATAAAGTTTCCATGACCTGGCTCGAGGACGAGGCCACGGTAACACGCCACCGGACGATGCAGTTTGCCGAGGAGTGTATCGAGACGAAGACGGTTACAACCACAACCACAACAAAGCGCTCATACCCACCCCTCTTTCTCCGAGAACCGCGGGATGTCCATTCGCTCGACTCCAAAGAATACCCCCTTGCCGCGCGGCCCACTCCGCCTGAGTTGCGAAGGCTGACATTCAACCTTGACGACGAAATCAAGGGCTGGGTCAATGACGAAGATGTAGATGCTCAGGTTCGCTGCCACCTGCGTTTCTGTCGATTGTTGGTGTGTTTGCTGACATGCCTTTAGCAGGCTCAAGAATTTCAGACAACTGACTATGCCGCGAATATCAAATCTGAGCCCGGTGCCGAAAGCCCGCTGTCGACTTCGTCCCACCCTCCGAATGACGTCCCGGGACCGCACCCGCGAAGGTCGCGTCGGTCAACTGCGAAAGCCGTTTCACCGAGCTATACGCCGATGCCGGCCAGAAGTACCCGTTCGGTCTCAAAACCTACCGCCATGCCACTCCTCGCCTCTGATAAATTGCGCCGGGCTGTAGCACGCGGCACGCGTAAGGAGACCGCCAGGATACTGCGTCACCCCTCGAACTACCTAGCCACGCCCACTACCTCCGACGTCGCTAGCGGCCGTATGGAACGAGTCTCTCGGCTGAGGCCTGTGCCAGCATATGCCGTCGACTCTGGAGCGAGCCAGTCCACTTCCGTTTACGATGCAGATAGCGTTGCAGACAGTGACTCGCAAACGTTTAGCAATGTCGCGACGCCGCCTGTCACGGACGCCGAGCTTCCACCCTTCGAGGACCCCGATGACTCGCTGCCCGACACTACCCATGGGCCGCATTCGAGACGGGGCATCAGCCAGGTAGCCGCTCAGGACGTCAGCCTTCCTAGTCCGCGGATGTCGCCAACATTAGTGGCCACCCAACTACAACCCAGCCAGGCCGAAGATGAAGGCGAAGAAGCCGAGAACGCTTCCTTTTCAACGCAACTTACACGCTCCGGCCAACGACAGTGGATGGACGACAGCCAGGCGACAGACGACACCGAGGTCCCGGGGGCGACGGAGCTGTCCCCTATCCACTCTTCCAACTCTCTCTCTCGGTCAAAGCGCGCCTGGTCCTCATACGTGGACCCCGGTTCCATGCTGGAGAGCTTTAACGCCATGCCAAATGAGCTGAAGACGTGGATGATGTATCAGTTCCTGCGGAGGTGTCCCCGGAAGACTCTTCATGTGGTTGCCGATGTTGTCAACCCCGCCCTCAAGTGCGACTTTCTCAAGCAGCTACCCATCGAACTCAGTCTTCATGTTCTGTCCTACTTGGATCACCGCGACCTTTGCCGCGCGGCTCAGGTATCCAAACATTGGCGGCATATTGTGGATGGCAATGAAAGAGGCTGGAAGGAGCTCTTTGATCGTGATGGATTCACCTTGCCGCCAGGAGAGCTCCAGAGAGCCATTAACGAAGGCTGGGGGTGGCAAGATCCGGTTGGATTCGAGGGCTGTGAGGTTGACTTGAGCAATCAAAGTCGACTGACTTCGAGTGAGACGGAGCTCATTCGGTCCGCGGTCAAGGTGGAGAAATCGGAGGTGCTGCCCAGGACCAGGAATGCGAAGCGGAAGCGCGGCCTGACGCAGATCAATGCCGATAGAGCCAAACGACGTGCTAGTGCCCAAGAGCCGAGAACGGATAGAGGGTCGCCTCTTTCAAAGACGTACAGACTGGAGGGGCCGATGTCCGCCGCCAACGCTGCGGCTATTGCTGTTCCCGATCCGCAGATCGGGCTCCCCAGCCTGCGACAAATGCACCTCTTCAAGTCGCTGTATCGGAGGCACTACATGTTCCGACAAAGCTGGATGAGCGGGAAGGTTAAGCCTGGCCACGTTGCCTTTGCAGCCCATCCCCGCCATGTCATCACCTGCCTGCAATTTGACGACGACAAGATCGTTACAGGCAGCGATGACACCTTAATACACGTTTACGACACCAAAACTGGCAAGCTGCGCACAAAGCTCGAAGGACATGAGGGCGGCGTTTGGGCGCTGCAATACGAGGGGAACACGCTGGTCTCGGGAAGCACGGACCGCTCTGTCCGTGTCTGGGATATCCAAAAGGGTATCTGTACGCAGACATTCTACGGGCACACCAGCACGGTGCGGTGCCTGCAGATTCTTATGCCTGCGGACACGGGCAAGGTTCAAGACGGCAAGCCGGTCATGATGCCGCCAAAGCCTCTCATTATCACAGGCTCCCGTGACAGCCAGTTGCGCGTCTGGCGCCTGCCCGAAGCGGGTTCCCGACGATACATCCAAACCGGCCCCCCGGCTAACGACGACCAATGCCCGTTCTTCATCCGAATCCTTGCCGGGCATACCCATTCAGTCCGCGCCATCTCGGCCCACGGAGACACTCTTGTCTCGGGCAGTTACGATAGCACCGTCCGAGTCTGGCGCATCAGCACCGGTGAGCAGCTGCACGTCCTACATGGCCATGTCCAGAAAGTATACTCTGTGGTGCTTGATCACAAGCGCAACCAGTGTATCTCGGGCTCCATGGACTCGCTGGTCAAGATCTGGGACCTCCGCACGGGAACGTGTCTCCATACTCTCGAAGGTCACAACATGTTGGTTGGTCTCCTGGACTTGCGCGATGAAAAGCTAGTTTCTGCCGCGGCGGACAGCACGTTGAGAATCTGGGACCCGGAGAGTGGCAAGTGTAAGAAGACGCTCGAGGCGCACACAGGGGCTATCACGTGCTTCCAGCACGATGGGCGAAAAGTGATATCCGGAAGCGAGAAAACGGTCAAGATGTGGGATGTCGAAACGGGCGACTGTGTCCAGGACCTCTTAACCGACCTAAGCGGCGTCTGGCAGGTCAAATTTGATGACAGGCGGTGTGTGGCCGCTGTGCAGCGGGGGAGCCTCACCTATGTTGAGGTAAGGATCGAACTTTAGACCTATGAGGTTGCCACGTTAACCAGAGCTCTGCAGATTCTCGATTTCGGTGCGGTCCGTGATGGCAAGCCGCCCGAGGAGTTGGGCAAGCGAAGGCTGCTCAACGAAGCCGAAGTTCAGCGGTTGATCGCCGAGGAGTCATGATAACGCTGAGCCATGAGCCATCCGGGTCCTCGTGCAGGTTTGGGTGCTCCAAGCCGTTTCAGCGTGGCCTCATCTACGGCGATCCTGGGCGCGCAGATTCCGGTGCCGGGATATCTACGCGGTTCTTGCAGCTAGTTTGAAAGCTGCTTATCTTTACGGGCTATTATGTGTTATGAGGAGAGGAACGCTTCGAGAGCAGGACGGAGACGAATTAGGTTCATACAGCTGCTGCTTGATGGTTGCACATTCGGCATTTACATCGTCATCATCAATCGGGATCCTCACCGCGGCAAAAGGAAGGGAAAGTAAGGAGGACGATATATTGGTTTCTTGGGAGCGCTGTGCATAGCGGCATTATCCGGCATTTTCTAGCTGCTCACACATGGCCTGGATCGGTGTTTGAGAGCACCTACCACACATGACGTTAATCGTTCCGGGGGTTAGGACCGGCAGACGGCGGGCCACAGCGTTGCTCGTCTCTATCTATTCCCTCAGATTTGCGGTCAACTATTATGACATTACGTCTGACGGTGCTACCATGGCTGACGAGTGTGTCTGTTTGCTTTCATGCTGTCTTCTATGTCTTCTATGTCAATATGTATAGACTACTAGTAGTACATACAACCATCATCCAGTGTCAACCTGGAAGTTGTCAACAAATTACTCCGTTCAATGAGAATCGATCTTTATCGGAAGTTACCGATGACGTAGTGGGGACAATTGAGACTCCGACTGGAAATGAAGGCCTCAGTGCCAAGACCCTCAACGCATCGTGAATTGTACAGCCTCGCAGCCGCAAACCATACCCTTGCCGGAGCACACGACAGCCGCTTTGAGCTGCGGCGAGGCCAACCAACCTAGCTTCCTCCGTGTCGACCTTTGGTATGCTTAGGCGTGCACTACCTACCTAATGCTCCGGACCTTGCTCAAGGTGATTCGACGGCGGTGACTACTCGCTATGGCACCTCCCCGGGCCAATTCGAGAGGAGCGCAGAGGGGTGGAATCTTGGGCGCAGTTGGGAGGTTTTGGCGTGCAAGTGCCCCCCTGACGGGTTGGACATTTGGAGGCGGTTGAGCTGACTGTCGGTTGCATTGCAGAACACATATGCCCCTGACTACATCGGCTTCCTGCTCCTGTTGATCGGCTATCTTCTCGTACTCTCCCCCGAACCCGACGCCGCCAGCACACACTCCGCAACAAAGATCCTGACCCGTTGACAGATCCAATTCTTGATGGAGCCCTTCCATCGCATGTTCTCCCTCAGTGACCTGCACATATCCTATCCCCATGCCAAAGTGGAGAGAGTACCCTTGTGTAAGCCGTCCTCCCTGATCGCTCTCCGTCGCTCCTATGCTTAGGTGCTAATAACCGCCATTGCTTCCCCTGATGGCAGCGCTCAACTTCCTCTACGCCCTCTTCATCCCCCTCGGCATCATCATCTTAAGCAACATCGTTAGCCACGCCGCGACACACAAACACCACGTCAGCATCCTCGGCCTCGCAATCTCCCTGATCCTCGCCTCCTTCCTCACCGACGTAATCAAGAACATGGTCGGCCGCCCCCGGCCCGACCTCATCGCAAGATGCCTTCCGGCTGCCGGCACGCCACGCGACATCCTCGTGACAATCGACGTCTGCACGCAGACACGCCATCATACGTTGCACGACGGCTGGCGCTCTTTTCCCTCAGGCCACAGCTCCTTTTCATTCGCCGGGCTGGGGTATCTGAGCCTCTTCCTTGCGGGCCAGATGCGAATCTTTGCGCATGCTACGCCGGGGAGCCTGGGGGAGCATACGGAGAAGCTCGTGCGCGGGGATCTGATAAGGGCGCTGGTCTGTCTGGCGCCGCTGCTGGGCGCGACCTTGATTGCCATTAGTCGCTGCCAGGACTACAGGCATGATGTGTATGATGTGTGCGTAGGGGCCTTGCTGGGGTGGACAGTCACGTATTGGAGCTATCGGAGGTACTGGCCGCGAGTTAGTAGTGGGCGATGTGATGAGCCGTATCCGGGCCCGCCTGGTGCCGAGGAGGCTGGAGGGAGGTATGGGCGAGTAAGGGATGAGGAAGAAGGGTTGGGATCTGGGAGAAGTGTGGGTTTTCACCTGGATGTGCTTGATAGATAACCATTTGCTGACCTGAGCTTCTGTTAGGTCGACTGATTGTATGAACGGGTTGAGTGGGCAGCGGGTAGATGACATTTGCAACTAGACGCGCATCGGTTGGATACTGCTTGTGGCAGTTTGTGGGTATTCCCAGCAACAAATGGCAAGGAAGTCGGGGCACGCTGTATGTATTCACAGGCCTCTATCGGTACAACCGGCCCTCGCAGGGCGTCCTGTTCCCGGCCTCCGTCGCAATCCCACGGATCCTGAGACGCTCTACTTCTCTTCAGTTGTCTCATCTTTCGCCAGATCGTGCTGCTTCAATAACGCCGTAATCTCTTCCGCACTCCATAGCTTATGGTAGATTTTGCCGTCCTTGGTCTGCCCCACTGTCGCAAACTCAACTGCGCTGTCGTTAGCCGTTGCCTCGTCAAGAAAACATCTGTTGACCGCAATACTCACTCTTTTCGCTGCTAAGCTTTGTCGCATCCATGGTCTTGCTCAGCACCTTGACAGCCATGCCGCACGCCTCTTCCAACGTGCAGTCCTCCTTGTAGTCCTGCTTCAACAGACTCTGCGCGCTTGCATGATTGGCTCCTGAGCTTGTAGCCTTCCATCCGCCGTAGTTGCCCGAGGGGTTGCTGAGGTACAGTTGGAACTGACGCTGCGGGTCCCAGCCAGCGTAGATGAACGAGACACCAAACGGCCGCAAGCCACCGTGTTGTGTGTAGCCTTGCTTCAGGTCGCAGAGCCGGCGCACCAGTTGCTCGCAGGGAATATCTTCGTTGTAGGTGAGGAGATACCGTTGAGCGGCTTGTCGGGCGTAATTGATGAGGATATTGGCGTCAGCCGTCATGCCGGCGACCGCACAGATCATGTTGCTGCAGAGCCGGGTCAGCGAATGTCAGTGGAGCGGACCAGATGACCCCTAAGCATCTTCGTACTCATTGAGAATGTAGAGCTTCTCAGCCGACGTGTCCTGCTCCAGCAGTTTCGACGTAACCTTGCGCTCAGCTGCGAGGACGATGCCGTCTTTGGCCAGGATCCCAATGGCCGTGCCGGCGTGGGAAATGGCTTCTAACGCGTACTCGACCTGGTACAGACGGCCGTCCGGCGAGAAAATGGTTGTCTGTGCGCTTGGTAAGCTTCATCGTCCGCCTCGCCTTCCAACCTAAGGCCGTGATGTCGATTCGGGATGGAGCAACGACCGACTTACTCGCGAATCATATCGTCTCGACATGTTACCGGCTAGATAAGCGGGGCGCGATACTGAAGGGAAGTATAGGGGCCGGGAAAAGTGCGGTTTTACTCGATCTCGTTTGTCGGTGAAGCTACTGTCTATGAGCAACAGGCGGTTGGAAGCGAGGCTGATTCCAAGAGGTTGATGTTGCTTGCGGTGCAGCTCCAGGCAAGCGCTAACACGCGTACCATAGCTGCCCACCTGCCTTGTACTCTGTAATGTGGGGCTGGCCTGTGCACGAAGTTCCCAAGTACACCTTATCTAATCGCAGCGCATGCCAAGCTCTTCCGTTCCATTTCCAAGAAGCCCGCAGACTCCTCCCCCAACCTCCACGGTCGACACTGAAAACAACAACAACGGCAACAGCAGCAGGAATCTTAACCAATTCCTGTAACAGCAATTCCTCATCAGCGCCGCCTTTACTGATCGTTGCGCGCGTTTCCGTGACCAGCGAATATCAAACCCGCGGGCCCGTTGTTTATGCTGTCGGTTTCCATGCAGCACGCGCCACCCTGGGGCAATTGAAACTTGCATCCGACAGCTCCTTCTCAACGCGCGCTCTTGTTCCTGCCCGCATCGTTGGCGTCACTCGGTGCGCACTAGGCAGGAAGGTTGTTGGGAAACACGGGCGCTAGGGATTGCACGGATAGCTTCAAGACATTTGTCTTCCCATCCTCTCTTTTGAGACTGCGGAACCGCACAGTCCTATCATTTAGTTCTATGCAAGCGTAAACATCCTATCAAGTGACCGTGTGCAACCTACCACGCATGCTTTGAGCAATCCGCAGTAGAGACGCACGGCACAAGGGAGGACCATCTATTTGCGGCTCTCGGCAGGCATCGATCGTCCATTTATTATCTGTCCCGCCCTGACGCGACAACATGTCTGGTAAGCATCACCAACAGCCTTGGGACATCTTGAGTGCAGGCATCAACCCTCAAGAGCCTCGACAACGAGCCGGCGCAATGCCGCGTCGTTGTCGCCAAATTCGTGGCCAGAAGCTGACCAACTCGGTGCCAGAACCCGAACCTCGCCGATCGGTGAGGGCGACGAAGGGCCAGCATAAGGCGCTGGAACAGCTCGACCAGGCCATCGAGACTCCAAAGAAACGCGGCGGCACCAAAAAGAGTAAAAAGGCGGCGCCAGAACCTGAAGAGCCCGAGGAAGAGATCATCCGCTGCGTCTGCGGCGCCACAGAACAGGATGAAGACTCGGGCGAGCCGTGGATCGCATGCGACCAATGCGGCGCCTGGCAGCACAACATCTGCATGGGCATGAGCCAGTACACTGAAGATTTACCAAAGGAGTACTTCTGTGAGCTGTGCCGGCCCGAGAACCACAGGGAGCTGCTCGCCGGTATCGCAAAAGGCGAGAAACCGTGGGAGGCTCGCCGCAAAGCCTACGAGGAGGAGAAGGCCGAGAAGAAGAAGAAAGGTCCGAAGAAGGGCAAGAAAAGGGCCAGCGATCTAAAGGATGAAGCCTCTCAGAAGTCGAAGCAGTCACCACCCCCGCCCCCTTCCGAGCCCAAGAAGGACGTAAAGGGTGCCGGTGCGAAGCGCAAGAATGCCGATGGCGGTCAAGATAAGGAGACCAAGGTAGGCGCTTCCGTTAATAATCCCTTTTCTCAATTGCTCGTTACTGACTCATCATTGTCGTTGCCACCGCAGAAGATGCGTAAAATCAACGAGACACAATCCGTTCCCATTCCTGGATATTCTCCCCCAGCAGACATCGCAGCTAGGATCTCCGAGTTGCCAGGCGAGCGGCAGGGGCCAGCGAAGGCATTGTCGAAGGCACTTACGCACTCTCTTGGTGTCGTTGAAAAGAAAGGCGCTGTTCCATCAGACGGCGTATCCAGTGCAGACCGCGCAGAGCGGTTCGCGCTTCAGATTGAACGCGCCGTTCATGATACTCATCCGACTGCCAGCTCTTATGCCAGCCAAGTCCGGACACTGGCATTCAACCTCAAGAGCAACTCCGAGCTAACTAACCGGCTGCTTGACCGGTCCTTGACTCCACCGATGCTAGCTTCCATGTCGACAGAGGAGCTAGCCTCCAAGGAGCTGCAGAAGGAGACAGCAGAGTTGCGGGCGAAAGCTGAGAAGCAGGCCATCAAGATCACGGAGGACGTCCCACGGGTTCGAAGAACCCATAAAGGGGAGGAGATGGTTGGAGACGACGGGTTCATCGCGAGTGAAGAAGTGCCATCCGCGCCAGCCCCTCGGCCAGGTGCGCCGAAGCAGGAGCCTCGGGAATCGCCAGGATTTCCAGCCCAGGCCGGTCTTGGCCGACCCTCAGCTACTGGCCTGGCCGTCGACACACTACAATCTCCAAGCAGGGCAGACTTTGACCTGAACAGGGTGTTTTCAACCGTCAAGTCGCCAACTCTTCCTCGGGAGCCGACACGCGCTTCCTTTGCCACTGCGCCAACCAGCGGACCGGGAGTCGACCCCGATGTTGACCGCCTCCTCGACGATGGTACTCAGTCACCGCCATATTCACCCAAAGAAGAGAGCGATCCGGATGTGGTATGGCGAGGAACCATCGTCATGAGCACAATTGCAGAAGTACCTGTTGCTGCCAAGCATATTGGGGGGGCCAATCTGAACGAAACGCTTGGTCTCGCCTGGGATGAACTTATTCCGAGAAACCTGACGGTATGCGGGCGGATAGAAGAGCAACAAGCCATTGTCTATCTCTGCAGCTTAAGATATAGTCTGGCGACGGATATCGTCGTGGTCAATCTCGAACCAACCACCCCCGCAGCAAAGGCAGGTATGCAGAAGCTGGTGGACTATTTCGTATCCAAGAAAAGGTACGGCGTGGTGGGGGACAAGGGAGTCGCCAATGTCCGAGATACCTATCTTGTTCCCGTGCTCCCTGGCACGGGCAATCACCCGGAGTTCATGTTGAACCTTGCCGACAATTTCATCCCGGAGACAAGGACGGAGCCCATGATGCTTTGCGTTTTCGTTTTCCGCAATGGGAAGGAGACGATGCAACGCATTCACGGCACAACGGATCCCAACCACGCACCGAGGACTCAACAGAACATCGTTCAGACTCACGACCAGGTTCAGAGCCAGTCGCCCGGAACGCCGACTCCCATCCAAGGAGGATTCTCTAACGCAGGGCGGCAGAAGTCAATCTCAGCCCCAGCTTTCTCCCCCACGTCTCCCCAGGGGCCATTTCAGCAATATCCGTCCCCAAGGACGGTCACTCCGGCTCAGCAACCTCAGCCACTGCAGGTCCCAGCACCGCAATCCGTGAAACCGGCGCCGAGCATCGAAGAGCGGCAACGGCAGGGCGAGGCCATTGCCCGCGACATCCTAGGCCATCTCATGACTAGCCCGACAGTACACTTCCTTCTTCCCCAGGCTCATGTCATGACTCGCAAGGAGTGGGAGATAATCAAGAAGGTTTACGAGAAGGACCCTAGAACCCGGGATGACCTCCCATATCTTAGCGAATGCCTGGAAAAGGAGACCAACCAGGGGCCGCAGCAGCAGGGTCAGCCTCAACCCCAGAGTCAGGCCCCATCGCAGCCGCAGCCGCAGCCACATCCACATCTCCAGCAGCACCCGCAGCAACAGGGAGGCCCTCAAGCGCCACAACTGTTACTATCTCAGCAGACCTATGACCAACATCATCAACAACAGCAGCAGCATTTGCCTCCTCCCCGGACAACGCCCATCCCTCCGCCGCCCATCCCGCCCGTTGCTACGGCTGGGCCGCCGCGGCAAACCCCTATTCCTCCGCCTCCGATCCCGCCGCAGGCGACGACGAACACAATACCCCCCAAAGCATAGCCTGCTGATCACGGGGCTCAAATTGGCGGCGAGTCTGAATCCGAGGTCCTAATTCCTCCACCAAGCCCGAGGCCAGCCCATGCAACTCCACCGCCACTCCAACCCACCGACAGGCTGATAGCGCCATTGTCTTCAAGCCCGGCTCTGCCCAGTCGCTATTTTTTGCAGCATGTCGCACGTGTACATGAATCGATGAGCCTGCCACTCCCCGGCAACCGGTTCCAACCGGGACGAGCTCCCGGGCGGCATGAGCCTAAGAAAAGCTCTGGTCTGGCAAATAACTGCTGGACGCCGGAAGAACCTGTCCCTGTTACTCCGCAGCCGCATAAGCCCGGTGCGAGCAGTGGTGAGCTCGAGCGTGAGTCTCGGGGGCCTGAGCCTACCATGGTCTTGAATCCCACGGTGTCAGAGCAAGAGACTGCTGCTGGTGCTTCTACTTCTACTTCTACTTCTACTTCTACTCAACGAAAGAAAAGCCGTGGGAAATCATGTACGGTCAGTTGAGAATTATTACCAGCTACTATCTGATTGGAGTGGAAACGGGGGGCCTTTCTGGAGCTGATGGGAGGGAGCCCAGTGGCCACTTCAACTTTCTCGTTTGGAATGCCCCTTGCTTTTGCCAGGGCTCTTGCGGGGCTGGGGCACACCACATTTCTTTACAATGGGCAATGGAGTGAGGGCGCGGGCCACGCTTGGGTGTCGGGCCAGTGGTTTGCCCAAACGACAATCAATAGTCTAGGTTTCGAGGGTTCAGTCTCTCTGTTTTAGTCTTAGCAGCTGATGGGTATTCGGCGCTCTTCCTTTTCTAAAGGTGTCACTTCTATCTTTGCGTCGGCTTTGGCGCTGGAAGGGGGACGGGCCGTGGCGGAAGGGTGATGGCCTCACTTTGTTCCCATGTAGCCTACCGAGGTTTCGCTGTCATGTACCTTATGTTGTAGTATTGGAAGCGACGACAGTGAAGGATGGGGGTTCCTAGTGAAGACCGGTGCGGGAGAGGTCTACCGAATGTCGTTCGTTTCTACTCCCATCTGAGCTTGTTAATAGCGTTGCATTGACAGTAGCTTGACAAGCGAATCTGCTTCAACGGTGGTGACGTATTTCTTTATGATCCATTGATCCTGTTCTATGCTCCGCGACTTAGACAGACCACCGACCGTCCAGGTCTCCATGTCCTAGGTATCTCGCCCGGTAATATGCGCCCTGTTAAATGCAGACATGTGGCCAAATGTCCAGCTGCATATCAATCAACACCTCGTTCAGATGCGGTATTTTCTATCGTTTCAGAAGAATTCTGCGCCTATCGCTTCCCACGCGGCCGCGTCTCTCCGTAGCTCGGGTTTCAGTTCATCCTTGGTCCCGGGCTTTACGCCCTTCACATCAGCAGCATGATCAACCTGTGGAACCTGGATGCTGGCCAAGCCCTCTATCATACGCTTCGCCTTGTCCACCACGCTTCGTATCCCCGCCATCTCGCGGCGCTTCGCTTCGAGCTGGTCCTGCATTAGATGAATCAACTGTTCCCGCGCGTGGTGCGGGCGGTACTCGTTGAGCGTGTGATGGAAGTTGAACATCAGCGTCTTGAGGTCTTCAACCTTGTCCGCGGCCTATCATCATCGTTAGGCCTGGCTTTCGTCATAAACGGGGTGAAAGCGGCACGGCTAGGCGGTGGTACTGACATGGTCGGGGTTGTGGCTCATCAGGCCGACAAGTTCGAGGTAGTTGAGCATCAGAGACCGGGTCAATTTCTTGAGAACCAACCCGCGGTCAAGCTCCGTTTCGGTAGCGGGGGCTAGGCGCTGGATACCGGCTTCCTCCAGGCTTAAGAGCGTTTGGGTGAGCTGCGTGGGGATGTTAGCATATGTGCAGAGCAAGCGCGGAGGGGGAGCGGCTGACCGTTTCAGGTTCGCTGAATGCCGTCCATTTTCCGTCGGTCGGCTCTGGCGGCGGTTGGAGGTTGATGAGCGGTTCTGGAACATCTGGGATGCGGGTGATAGAGTCGGCATCAAGGCCCTGTTGTTGCGAGTAATCCTCCTTCAACCTGCTGTAACGGGCGAGGTTCTGCGGGGTGAAGTCGCGCCAGAATGGCGGAGGATCCGGCCAAAACGCCGTCACTTTATTGGTATCATCGTCATGGTTCTCCATTGGACGTCACCCGTTGCCCGTTGGCGCGGGTGCGGAAGGTAGATGGCAATATCGCGATGCGGTGCTGTTGGGAAATCGCCGCGTTGCGGTTTGGACCTTTAAGTCTGGAGAGTTCGAGAGGTTGCCATCCTTTGCCGAGTGCGACTGGGCAAAGTCGGTCGACGAGGCGGGCGATCCTTGTTAGAGGTTGGGACGGCTTCTCGCAAGGTCAACAGCAATGCATGTGCTTTGTCGAATGCAAGCCCACACTTCCAATCTCAATGGAATCCACCCAACCTCAAAGAAGCGGGAACCTTTGCGACTGTGGCACTGGCACATGTGTGACTGAAGCTACGCCTGTCTCTGTGGCTAGGCTGTTGGTGGGGCACCTGAGCTCCCTTAGATGATGACCTCAATGTTCCCAAAACGGCGATTTCTAACTTCATGAACGCTTTTCAGGGTCCTTCAAGTTGACGGCCGCTCTGTTCCATTGGACATTCTAAAGAACACCAGCTAGTCAAACACCAAGAACCGCATCAGCCTCTGTACCTCCCAATCAAGTTCTACTTGCAACTTCCGACACCGCCCTCTCACCACCCAAATCAGTTGCGAAAGCCCCTGGCAGACAACATGTCCGACGTTCGCGCCCTGTTGCGGCAGCAACGAGCGGCGCGCAGGATTGATCACCCACATGCATCGTACTCAGACACGGGGAAACTTGTTTGCACCGTCTGCAACGAGCCCGTCAAAACGGAAGCCCTCTGGGAGGGTCACCTTCGAAGTGCAGCTCACCGACAAAGACTGCAGAGCCTGCATCTAGCATTGGCGAAGAATGGTGGCAATGGATACGCTGGCTTCGTGGAACAACCGTCGCACAAGCGAAAACTCACTGATTCGGACGAGGAGGCGGCCCGTGAAGATGATGATGCGGCTCGAAGGAAACGCAGTAAAGCCGACACGGGCTTCACAGAGCAAAGCCAGGATGACACAGGGACGCCGGCGAAAACGAACGAGGGCAAGACCAGCAAACCCATAACTCCGCCTCTTACCCGCCGAACCTCGGGCGCACCTACCGCCGGTGTCGAGCTGGAAATCCCTTCACGTCCGGCAACGCCGAGCGCAGGCGGGACACCAATGTCCATTTCCACACCCAAGGCGCCATCAATTGGCCGCTCTCCTCTTGTGCCAGAAGACTCCGCGGCGCCACAACAGTCCGCGACGACTGCGCCAGCTCCTTCCGCTCCAGATACACAACCACCTCCAACGAGCAACGCATCAGCATCAGCCGCAAATGTGGCACCAATAGACGAAGACGAATGGGCCGCATTCGAAGCCGATGTCATCCACGGAATAGCAACAACTACTGATACCAACGCCGCCAAGCCGGCCCTGGCAGCAGCAGCAGCACTTCATAGCGACGCAGTCATTTCTGCACCGGTAATGAGCGCTGCAGAGGTAGCAGCCAAGTCAGAAGAAGAAGAGCGCGCAAGGAGGCGAGCCCTGGCGGATATACAACTTGAGGATGAGAAGGAAGAGGCCACCCGGGCGTTAGAGACCGAGTTTGAAGTGATGGAGGAGTTGGAGGCAAGGGCGCGGAAGTTAAGGGAGAGGAGGGAGGCACTCAGGATACACGCTAATGGCGGCGCGTCTGCTGCATCGGGTGGTGGACATGGAGATGAGAGTGAGAAGAAAGGGTTAGCGGCGCTAGGGAAGGAAAATGCCGATGCGGAGGATGAAGAGGAGGACGAAGATGAAGAAATGGATGATGACTGGGATGGTTTCCGGTTCCGCGCGTAGGACCGTGGAACTGCCCTGGACAAGTGAGCCTGGTTTAGTGATTGTCGGAGCATGGCCTCACTTCAGTCTGGGGGTGGCTGGTTACAGTAATCGAGTGTAAATACAGTGGTGTGTCCAGAGACATGGATGCGGCGCCGCAGATGGGTAAACGCCCCTATCCACCTTGTGTCTACTTTCACTTAAACCCTTTTCTCGGGTAGTACTTAGCCTATTGCCCGAGTTACCTTCATAATGAACCCAAGAAACCATCGATATCCTCTTGGTTGAGACCCGACCTCCACACTAGCTACCGCAGCCAGAGGTTGTTCACTATTTCACAGCATCACAACCTGATGCAACAGCTTTCTCGTCCGCAAGCTTGACGGTTTCCGACTGCGCTAAACTGTGAGAAGCCCCTTCGGCTGCCAGTCTAATCATCTGAAAATCCCCCGGGCGGGTACCTATGCTCGCTGCTTTCACTGTCTTCTCTCTAGGCTTGAAACATCAACGATCCCATCCCAGATCTGACCAATGGAAACGGACCACAGCATGTCCAAAGTGCCTACCTCCCCAGATTCAGGACATTATCATCACATCATGAAAACACCAAGAAAAAAGAGACGAAGAAAGGAGACGAAAGAAGAAAAAAGAAGAGAATGAGGGGCAAGGGAGCTATCCATAAGCCCCGTCAACCACCTAAGTCTCTCCCCGTCCAACCTTCTCCCAGAACCTCCTCAACCTCCACACTCTCCCAACACCAGCTCGCTCCTCCGACATTCTAACGCCCTCCTCCCGCTGCCGGACCTGCCCGCGCCAGACGCTCCCGACCCACGCCCGTAGCCCATCCTTGACCCTCTCCCTCTCCACGGCCCTCTTCCTCGCCACCAAGGCGGGCGCCACGACCAACGCCCCGCCCTTGGCAGGATCGGGAGAGGGCAGGCACTCCGGCGGGAGGATGCACCTCTCCACCAGCGCCTCGGCCGACGGGCGGGCAGCGAGCTGGCGCGCTAGCCGGATGGACGCGAGGCTGCGGGCGAGCTTGCGCGAGGTGAAGGCCGTGCGGCTGAGGAAGATGGAGCGGCGAATCAGGTCCAGCAGGGAGGGGCGCGAGGGCGACGTGAGGAGAGGCGGGAGCAGCGCGCGGATGCGTCGGAGACGGGAGCGGTGCAGGTACGGGGACAGAGAGAGGGTTCTGAGTGCGTGGGAGGTCTGCTTGCACGTCAACACTGTTAGCTCTGCGCCCATGTAAGAAGCTTGGGGGCGGCGCTCTGGGAATTTTGTGTTCCGAGGTAAGGTAAGAGGGGTCTGCAGGCATGCGGTCCGGGTGAGGAGGGTTCACTTGGTCGAAGACAGAACAGAAGGGGTGTCACATGACTGCTGCGACGTTTGCATGGCGGGATGAATCAGGGAATCAAGGCTTGATGGAGGATGTTTACGTGGTGAGGGGGCGAGGGGGGAAAGGAGTTGGACGAACCCGGGAGGTTGCAAGCAAGTCACACACTTCGAGGTAACTCAGAATGTGGAGTAGCACCTCGTTTGGCATGTCTAGCAGTTGCTTTCGACGACTGCACTGTTCGGTTTGGGAAGCTGTCCTGCATCGTGTCTCGAGCATCAAGGAGCAACGAGAGCTCGATAGAACGGGGTGAGCTGTTGCTGGGGGTGGCCCCGGAGCGCCTTGCCACTCTCCTTCCACCGTGGCCAGATACGGTTGGGCATCAGTAGGCAACATGGGTGTCGAGGAGTGTGGGATAACCTGGAGGGCTGGGTTCGGGGTAACAGGGCTAATACTCGGCGCCGAAAATTCCTCGGTATCCCTTCCCGGAGGCGTGATCGTCATGCTCGTGGTCTTGGCGATGAGCTGGACAGCAACGGCCGAGTCTAGATCTCTGCCATCATTATCCGTTTCATGGTCCCCGAGGAACCTTTCGCCCTGCACCTCGGCGTGATGCAATGTGGGCAACTCCACTGACGCAACCTGGTCAGGCGGCGCCGCCATCCTCCTCAAAGTGGCGACTTGCGTCTCTCGTTTCCTTATGCCCAGATGAATTGGCAACGACATGCCTTGTCGGCACGACAGCAGCAAAGGATGACGATCACAGCCTTGCAGGTGTGCTCGGTGTGTTGTCACTGCCCCTCCCCGTCCAGCGTGGAGAGAATCGGTGTAAGCCGGGCTTGAGGTAGGAAAACGTGTGCCACGCCAATCTCGGAGGTTGCTGTGCAGCCACTGCAGTGTGTCACTTAAGGCTACACCCTGTTGCCCCGGCACAGTGTGACCAGCTCGGGACCTTAAGTGCTCGCTAATCGCGGATATTCGGATTCGGTGTGCGCGGATGTCGCCGAGCTCTGCCGGGAAAGCGCGTCGTGCACACAGGTGAGACCTTTTGTTTCTCGGCGCGGCTAAACAGGATCGCGTCACACTGGTCAAACAAACAGTAAAGCCGAGGGTTGGCCGCCGATTTGGTCGCGCAATGAAAGCTCAGCAGGCTGGGGGCTGGATGTTGAGATGACGCTGAACTACATGATGTACCGACTCGCAACAAGCGAGGCGTTGCTGTCCCGAGTCACCCGAGTCCGTGATGAAGGTAGGTATGGGTAGTTACGGACAAGTCAGGTGGTTGTTCATCACACACGCTGGTCGAACTGGTGAGTCAGTTGAGCGATGCGACCGCGCCTCGTCCAGACGATGGCGTTGCGTGAATCTGGATACGGAGTATTGATGCTCACAAGCACAAATCTCAACCATATGAAGGCAGCCTCGGGGTCGTCGTTTGATACCAGCCTGCCTTGTTCAGCTGTCAAGTTTAGTTGACTTTGGCACGGTGTGCCTTAGGTGGAATTCCTGTGTCGCTGTCGGGGCTGCCGCTTTTGAAGGCTGGCTTCCTTGGTTTTCCCGAGAGCATGGCGTTCTGCAGGGATCTTTATGGAGAACTGGCGGGGTCCAGCACTTGACTCGGATCTACGCTGTCGCAGCAGGGGCAGCACAACATGGTCTGGTTCACCCCATCAGTCTACACTACCCATTCATGGATTTCCTTTCTACTGCAGGCGTCTTCTCCCTTGGGTCCTGTCAACTTAAACAGCGTCACATCTCACAATTTGTACACGTGCACCAGGCGCTAGTGCGGTCAAAAGCTCCTATTGCACATACCTACACATCACCATGAAGCCACAACTTCGACGAGTTGCTGCTCAAAACTGTCATGTCTTTGCTTCTCCACAAAGCTCACTCCGAACGCGCTTGATGATGTGTGGTGTCCGATCAGTGGGGTTGGCCTCGATGTCTGCGGCCATCACCTCCTTATCACGCTCAATCGTTTCCTATTCCGGATCCAGGAACGGGCGAAGAAGGAGGGCGAAACGGAGAACGTCCGCCTTGGTCTCGGTGAACCGTCTCGCATGCGCATAGCGAGATAGAATACTGGTCCGTGTCTTTGGCGCTGCCGAAACCATCGGCTCTGTCACCGCACAAGCCGGATTGGGTTGCTCTTCCAGATTGTCCTCCTTGCACCGGGCCGAGAGCCATGTGTCGGCTCACTTTCCACCAAGTCTAGCAAACCAGCCAGGGCGGTTTGACTTTTGAGATGCGCCATGAATGGCCGACGACATGACGAGGCTGTCCGGGTCATGTTGGGATTCACTATGGGTAGGGCAGTCCCAAGCCATTGTTGATGCGGCTATCCGGAATCTGGTTGCGATGAAGGTCCTCGGCTCAACGCAGCCAGGAGACGAATGCATAGCGGAAGGCCGGCCGCAGGGGTTTCTGCACAGTGCAAGACACGCCGGGTGAGCGAGCGACCTCCGCCAAATCACGGAGAGGTGGCTTGCTGACTGCGTACCTGTGAATTCGAGTCACGCAAGCGCTTCAGGAGCTCTTGCTGCAAAATCCATGGTTTGCGGAAAATCGATTGACAGACGTTGTCGTGTTCGGCCTGGGACGTGGCCTGCGCTGTGGCCCACCCTCCCAGAGACTTTCGGCCAGCCAATGAAGACGCCCCGCATGGGCCCTTGGAGGCTGTTTCCCAAACACACCCGTCCGTCATCCTCCTTCCCGCCAGGAGCCTTGTCACATCCCTGTCTCTGGATGCTGAGTCGATCGCTTCAGCCCGCCGATTTGAGCTAAAACAGTACCCCTGCCGCCGATATCAACGTCATACCTGCATGGGCAACCATTGTCAAGCTACTGCTCCAGGACGCTCGAAGATAGCGGCAACCAGGTAAGGTATCTTATGGCTTGGTTGATACCTCACAACGTCGGCACAGTTCGACAACGCACACCCACCTAATGAGTGGTTCCGGCATCTGGCGCACCCCCGGTCGCAAGAGTCACAGTCACGACGCCCCACTTCGAATTCAGGCGCAGTCAGAACCACATGATTCGCCAATCGCACAGAGAGCCTCAGCCTCGGCGACTTCGCTAGTCGAATGTGGAAGCCGTGAGACCGCCCGCGATTCCGCTCCAGAACAAACCCATCATCTCTGGGATACTGGCATACTGGAACTCGCACACGCCAGGGCCAGACCCATAAGCCGACTGATCGATCGCTGAAAAGCTTGATGATGAAGCATGGAGCCTAGAGACATCGTCATGACCGGTCTACCGAAGGGGACGGCCCGCTCCGTTTCCGGCTAATAGACCTGCCAGTCATGACATGAAAGGCTCGATCAGCAAATGTCGCCTCAGGCATTTCTCGTAAGAGTTGGGAACGGTGGCTATGCTCGAGAATCAAGCCTTACAGTTTACAACATGTCAACATCCGGCCGCCCTGAACGGCCATGTTTACATCGGCCCCTGCTTCTCTTACTGTGTCCACCCGGCCGCCTCGATGGCCGCCGCAACGACATTGAATCATCGCGCTGCGTCTTGTTTCCCTTTCTTCTCCGAAATTCAAATCCATGTCACCAGTCAGGTCTTGTGGCGGACCACCGTGGCCTATCCACTAACGGGGAGGCGGAAAGCCCGTCACCCCTGGCTCGCAGATGTTTTTCAGCCGATTCTCCGATGTCCCTCTACTAGGTTAGTTCCATAGCCGGCGTCCGTCTCAATCAAACCGCGGCCGAACCCCTCCCTGCCGAGGCGGAAACATCTTTCTCAGACAGTGGCCGCGTGCTGGGGCCCCCCCGGTTGTGAGCCCCGACGTTCAACAGCAAAGCATACCAGTCAGGACGGCTTTGTCCGGGATCTGGGCCGGATCTTGTTTTACCTGTCCTGCTAGGGAAAGGATCTTGCCAGCCGACAGCGATTTGTGATCGTCCAGCTTGCATCACGCCACAGGAAGCAAGATGAAGTGTAAGTCACGGCCCCCAGGGTGGATCGGCCGAATGAGCTGGCTGTTCTACCAAGCCTAATCATCACTGTTCCATCCCGTTCCGGCCAAACCAAAGCCGCAAGCAATAACCTGGGAGGGCAAGGCGGACTTCATGGCAGAATGACTTGCGTTTGTCGATCCTACTGCCCGTCCGTGTTTCTGGCCTTCTCGGCCACGACCCAGCCACACGCAAGAACCAGATCTACACCTGGTCATCAATCGGGCGTGTCGACGATCCCGATACACCTTCCCAACTAGTCGGCATGCAGGGGAGCTGGCGAGCAGAGCGGCCGACGCAAGGTGGCGAGCCGCTGCCTTGCCGTCCCAACCTGTCCATACTCTGCCCCCCCGGTTCATGTACCGTGGACTGCGGCTCCTATCAGGCTCACCTCCTTTCATGGAAGACTCCATGATGTTCTAGAAGTCACTAAGCTTATCAAGGTACGGGTCCCGTCCAGGTTTTCGATCCCATCATCGGCAAACCAGACCGGGGCGACGAGGGTTACGAAACGCCCGAATCAGGAAGCGACAATGTCAGGCGAGGCGAACGGGCTAGTCATGACTTGCCACGTCGCATATCCCGCTCAGTAACGAACCGTCGTCTCTTAGAGCGGGTCGTTGTGGAGTGCAATTTGGGCTTCTCGTCTCTGACTACTGTGACCGAACCACATCGCGAGTATGTAGCGGGGTCATTGCGTCGATGGAACGCACTGGAGGAACGCACCGCAGTTCATGTGAGAGCAACTTGCTGCGAGCGGAGCATGCTGACGGCTCCTGGCCATACCGTCTTGGTCATCGGAGCGGAGCATGGTTGCAGCTGAGGCCTTAGTAGACTCGAAATGGCCCGTCCAGTGGGACCTCTAGCCCGTCAGCTGCCTATGGAGGCCTTCGTACAACCACGATTAGGTTGTAGAGGGATGGGCGGCAGCAGCATGCAGGGGTCGATGGAGTAGCGAGCCCAACTTGTCCCCAGAAACCCTCCTCGTGGGGTTGAAAGCTTCGTAGGGGGGCTCTTTCTCATGATCTCAGAGAGACCATCGGCCATGGGACGGTGACAGGCAGGTATGCTTGCCAAAGAGGCAATACCTGTCAATAACGGAGCCCGGAAGCCATGCAGGGTCAATTGCAGCCGGCAGCCATCAACGCCTCAACAAAGGGCTCTTTTCCGAGTGGTTTACTCTCACCGATCCATTCCGCTGAAGAGAAGGCAAGTCCAATCAAGGTCAGCTCCGGGGGCGAAGGCGGCCGAGTATGCGAAACAGGAACAAACAAATCCGGTGGCCGCCTGTTAATAACCCTGATCTGTCACAGGCAGGCCGAAGTATAGTCACTTCTCTTAACGGAGATTGGAACCCTCTGTGGCGATTCAGATCTTGGCCGTATCTGAAAGTGGCTCATCGGCAACAGACGTGTCGGCATCCAGCAAGGATGGTATTCAAGTTAGTAGGCCAGTACTGCCAAGAACCTAACGCATTTGATTTACAGTTTACACCTACAGTAATACTGTAATAAGGGGCCCAATTTGGGCAGGCAAAGGATAATCCGGTAGACACGGCCCCCTTCCCCTTCCCTCGCCTTACACGAACTGGAGGCTAAAAACAAAGTTTTCTGTTTCGGTCCGGTGGCGGCCGCCCCTCCTTGCCTCGAAAACACCCCCTCTTGACGGCTGGCCCCTCCCCGACCCAGGCCACGGCCAGGCCGACCCAGCCTGGCCCGACAGATGTTGCCATGTGGGCCGACCCGGAAGGGGCCTGGCCGGGGTATCCGCAACGTCGAACGGGTAGATCTTCACTCCCTGATCACCCACCCAAGCCCAAGGGGTATGCTCTTAGACGATGGGGTGACAATGGCACAGGAACATACCAAAGGTACAGGACACGCTACAGGCACCCCGGTATGCATTGGGCTCTGATTCACCTTACAGCGAACAGGTCGTTGCGACGCGGACCAGTGACCGGGGGGGAGACGCGCCTACGCGTATCCGCAGAGAAAGTGCCGCTCAACAAAGGAAGAGGGATGGTCGAGCAGACAGAGCAAGGCGGGCAGTCTCCCGACACGGCTAGCTCACGCTTCGGCCCAATGGCACAGTCACACACGACTCGGATTGGGACAAGCGCACCAGGAACCCGTTCGGCCCCTTAGATCCCACTGGCCGGCAGGTTCCTGACTCGGCTATCCCACCTAGACCCGTTCCGTCTAAGCCCGGCATGTGTGTAGGGCGTGTGCGGGTTCACTTCGCGGTGGGGACCGTTGTAGGTGTGTCTCTCTCTGTGTGTATGTGTGTGTGTGTGTGTGTGTGTGTGTGTGTTTGTGTGTGTCTGCGCTTCGACCCCTGGTTAATGAAGCCCTGAACAACGTGGCTCCTATGACGGCCATCCATCCACGGACACCTGAGAGCGGGTCAGGGAACTTGCTGGTTATTTGCCGGCGAGGGTGGCATCGTGCATGTTACCTGGGCCGGGCAGGCGCGCCATCTTTTCAACGTGTGATCACGAACGTGATTGACGATGGACGTACTGGGCAAACAGATACTTACCTGGCTCCCTCTGCTCAGAGACAAAGCGGGCGTAGGAGAAGGTACCGGCCTGGGACGGGTGAGGAGGCTCTCTTCACCTCACCGTACTTCTTTCCACTGTACCTAGCACCGCTTGGTGAAGAGACTGTCATCACAGCCTGACAGCTCAGTGACCTCCTTGAAGTGGAGGGGAAACACCGCACGCCGAGTATAAGAACCCTCTTCGTCCTCGGTGTCATATTCGAAAGACCTCTACCACACCTCCAACATCCATACCTTTCCTGACACCCACAACCGTTACCCCTGATTCCGACCCGCTCTGTGGAGTGTCAGTACCTTCACCATCTGTCGGGTACTGTCAACTCCCCGTTTCTCTAAGGTGTGCCAAAACGTTTGGTTTCAGGCCACGCAACCTTCCTGCTGTGGTACCCCAAAGTTGCTTGATTACATGTCACCACTTTGACGGCAACAGTCCCAAATAAGGGGGGGAAGGGGGAGGGTTAGGACACTGGACTGACCGCTGACCTCAATTACTCTCTCAACAGACGTCGGTTATACACGGACTTCAACCGAAGAGTCTGACTTCTGCCTCTCTTCTACGTCACTGTATCTCAGCCCCGAAACAACAAACCATTCTATAATCCCATACTCAGCGCCAACCACCCTGGGCAAGACCCCGATAATTGGCACAAGACAAACACCGATCCTTGAAGAGAACAACAACAGCAACAACAACAACTATCAACAACGGTAGCAGCAGAAATCCAAGCGAGGAGTTTTGGGCCAAAGACAGCAGGGGACAAGGCTAGCAAGACACCAACACGACAAAATCAGCAGACCAAAACCAAAAACAAAAAAGAACAAAAAAAAAGAAAACAAGAAATAAAAAAGGAAAAATGTGTTACTTCGACCACACCCTCTGGCGCTGTGGCTACTGGCGCTGGGGCAACTTCCGCGAGCAGTGCAACAAGGAGTACCGCACGGGCGAGACGTGCGGGCTCAAGCTGGTCTACCACACGTACCAGTCGCCCGAGGTGTGCAAGACGTGCGACCAGATCGGCAAGAAGCAGCGGCGCATCAACAAGATGAACGAGGACGTGGACCGCTGGACGCGCGAGGGCAATCGCCGCGCCACCATCGAGAAGACGCTGCAGGACATTGCCGAGCTCAACATGCAGATCGACGAGCTCTGGCGCCAGCACGAGATCCGGCGCAATTCTGTCAACTACTAGTACTACAAGAGAAGGCCTTGTCGCTTGGAAAAAGTTGTGTTTTCAGGCTTTTTTGAGTTTTGGATTGGATGCAGTGTGCTTTCGTGGTCCCCCTTTTCTGTTTTCTTACTTTTTTCTTTCCTCTTGATTCCCCCTTTCAGTTCATTCATTCTCCTATTCCCTCGCTTGAATCTTACACTTTCCCCCTTTTTTTTTTTTTTTTTTTTTGCGATTGGCTTGTCTGGTCAAAGCAGGGGTATGCGCCAAGGGGGCAAAAGGAGAGGGAGGACGGAAGAAGAGGGCGTGGGGAGGAAGGGTGTGAACGAGGTGCGAGTACCGAAACGGTGCGGGCCCTCGGATAAGAACGGAGGGGAGCACGAACCCCCCAGCTGACACGAGGGGTGACTGCCGCTTGATGTGGTGTGTCATCCCTCTTTCCCACGGGGGAGATCCAGCTGCTTCCGCGAGGAGGCAATGTGACACAGGGTCAAGATGACTGGTCCGGGGGGCTGATCGAGACGACGGAGGCTTGGGCAGAAGCCAATGGTTCATTCCCCTCTCTCTTTCCCACCACCTTCTTTGGTCTATCCTACCTCATGGTTCGAGAAGGCGGAACCACAAACCGGATCACTTTAAAGGGAAGGGAGAGCGATGTGGGATTAGTCAGAGAGGCTGCTGCAATGCCAGCTGGGGCGACGACGATGTTAGGGGTTGGGAAGGGACTGATGACAGACCTCTTCTTTGTTTTCCCCATTAGCTTGACGGCCCCGAGTGAGCGTTTCGATGTTTGCTATGAGCAGGAGTTTCACGTTTAGCTAAGGTACCTTACCTAGGTACTAATTATGGTCGGGGAATCGGTGCAAGAGGCCAAAAAGGGACACAGGACTTTTCCTCCAGCAATGGAGCTTTCTTTGATCGGAAACAGGCAGAAGAAAATCAATTGTTCCTGGCATGACGAAAATACAGAGATTCTTTTTCAGCTGCCAAACCCCCGCCACCTTCTTCTGTTCAGCTTTGCGAGGGAGTCTCAGACTGATGCCCAGAATCCAGAGTCGAGAACGGACAGAGAGACAGACATGGGACCGTGGGTGGCCTCATCTGGGGTGCTTTCCCTTCTTCTCCCGCATTCTCCCGGTTCATGCTCAACGCCCGCCGTCCAAATAGCCCCCGTTTCAAGCCGCCCCCCGGGGGGGGGGGGGGGGGGGGGGGGGGATCTGCATAAGGAAGGGTGCGGGTTGGCCGGATTGCCTGTCCATTGCGCAGGAAGTGAATACCAAACTGTAGCGCCGGGAATGGATCCCACTGGTGTCCGTCCAAATACATCGGGTCCATCGGCAGGAAAATGACGCGGGGGGCATACATGGGCCAAGATGGACGGGGCATAGAGATACCACAACAGACATCTTCCGCAGGTCGCCCCCTTGGACGCCTCCGGACGAACCAGCGGGGGAGCTGCTGGCTTTTGCTTATCGGGCGGGTCACCGTAGCACCTGTAGCCGAAGAATCTGTAGCCGATGAGGGGAACAGGACGGACGGCCCGTCTGGACGAATAGCAAGGAGCAAAGAGATGGCTGGGGCGAACGTGGCAGTGTGGGCGGCATAGTGTCTCATGTGGGATCCTTGGCTTAAGAGTGGATGATGCGAAAGAGCGGTGGAATCGTTCGCTCCCCAGAGAGGGAAAAGCTATCCAGAAAGTTCTGCCCAGCTCCTGTTGGCTGTTTCCCAGGGCCATGTCAGAGAAAGCTGGGGAAATACAGTGCCACAGCGCCGAGTGCTGAGCTGACCGCTGTCCTGAGGAAGGGATCGCTGAGTGGTTCCGCAATCTGCTTGTGGTGGGAAAGCGCCCGACGGTCCTCTGGGCGTCCGAGGCGTGTTACACAAGACGTGGCACCGCGGACGAGAAGGCTGAGGGAGCGCGCTGGGGAGCCACAGCGTGGCAAAGGCCCTGGGATGTAGTAGGTAACAGTCCCGCCGGTTCTGGGCATAGTGCCTCTGGTGCTCAACTGAATCGGGCAGCTGCTGGACGCGGAGCCGAGTGAAGACCGCCCTCACCATGGTGTTTGTACTTGTCTTTCCTTGCTGCACATCCTGCTGGTTCCAGCAGGCATGCCGGCTTGTCACGCCTCGGGAATTGCCCCTCGCCCTCTCTTGTGATTTGTGGCACCAGCTTCCTTCTCAAATAGCCATCTGCGAGCTGCAGGCCGCTTAATGGGCCGGCCGGCATGAATGTAAGCCACGCACAGACAGCTCGCTTTGGGTCCTTATCATTCCAGCCAGTCTCGTTGAAGCCAGATAGCGTAGTGGTTTGCAAAGTTGCGTGAACATGCAGTGACGGACCAAAGAGGTCAGCCAAAGACAGCGCTATAAGGGCTGCCAAGTTGTCGTAAGGGCGGAAGGAGCAATAATGACGCTCATGGGGGGGCCTGTGGAAGAAGGATAGAGGCTCTGTTTATACTGAGTCCCACCTGTGGTGGACCTCTGGGAACTCTCGTGCACGTGGCTGCTCCTAGATGGCGTGTGACTTGGAACATGCCTGGCTCAGCACGGTGATCACCATGAAGGAAATAGCAGAACAAGGTTGCTTGGCTAGTTAAAGATAAAATAAGAGCCAGTCACAAACAAAAGGAGGTTCCTTCATCGATTTGAGGAGTAAGGCTGGTACAGAGGCCCCACAGCGCGACTCTCCTATGCCCCCTCAGCTCCACACCAAGAGGACATCAGGATGCGATCATGGCCTTACCATGCAGTTGAGTTTGGGACATGAAGAGAGCGGCGTACGCTTTCCCGGGTATAACATGACATGGCGTGTCCCACAATGCCACCCCGCGCCTTCGCCGCAGTCATCGAAAGGGCAGTAACACCAAACGTCCCGAACGGCCGGAGGTGTGGTGGGACGGAGTCAAATTTACCGATCGACCCGAACGGGCGTCAGCTGGTTTGGATCGCCAAACTCTCCTCCTTTTGGCGCCGCAGGACTAAAGTTTATCGGGCTGTCGGATGACGCTGGTTGAGGCGTGACCATGTGTATTGTCGTTAGATATGAGCTCAGCGCATGGCGGCTGCAGCATCGGCAAAGTTCCCGACGAGAGCCTCGCCGCCGTCGACCTTAATGGGTATGACGCCCTGCTGCATTTCGATGGTGTCGTCGTCCGGAGTGCCCCAATCAACTCGTGCCACAGCAGCAAGATCATCTTGTGAGGCCAGCTTGGAGAGGAGGGTTTGGTATTGAACCGTGTTCGCGTCATGACCGGCATACACGTACGGAACGGAAACCGGCTGGGCGGCCTTGTCTTGCGGAACGATTTCGTAGATGTCAACCATGTTGCTGCGCATGTAGGTCAGCTACTATGCATTATGCTCTCGCGGTAAAGGGGATTCGAGCTAAAGGGGGAAACGGAGGTGCGACGGGTGTCTGGGTGTTGTTGGGGGGGGAAGGAGGGGGCGAGAGCGGTATGCGTACTTCGAGGTGCGTGCCACCACCCGTTGCAGAGCCTCAATCTCTCGTTGGGCCTCTTGGGGGTCTTCCTGGCCCATCATATGCTGTTGGTCGAAGCTTCCATAGTGTATATTGCTGGAATCCTCGAATAGTCGCTGGGCTTCATCGTCCTGTAATGAGGTGAAGATGTCAGTGGTGGGACCGACTGAGGCAGGATAGGGGATGTGACTGGGAATGGAGACGCACCTCCTCGTAGTCGTCGTGGCGGCGGCTGCCGAGACATGAAGAGCAGTTCCCCATGACGTCGGTCTGGCAAGGACGGCAGCGTCCCGCTAAAGCAAAAGAATGTGAAGGCGAAAGACGGCCAGATCAAAGCAAATCGGAAACGAGAACTGATATATCGTACGGCGGTTCCCTCGTGAGGGAAGCTAGCGGGGTCGGCTCATAAGGAAGGATTACCCGGAAAATAAAGAGTGCAGATTAGAACGATCAAGATATTGAAGTTTCGAGCTGCTCAAGTCGCGGTCGTCGCATTGTCTGACCTGCGCTGTCGGGGTTGGCGTTGGATGTTGAAGACTTTTTGGCTCATCAGGTGGCATCTCCTCCAGATTGCCTATCGTCAATTGATTGCGCATTGCGGCTGGGGTCCAAATAGATGCAAGGAACGGGGTGAGGTGGAGTCGGCTAGGCCGGGGTGTCATAACGCACGGGCCAGCTGTTCTACTTCTCCGAATCTCCAGGAGTCCCGACCTGCTTCTGGAAGGATACCGTTAGTTACTAGTTAATCATGACCGTGTAGGAAAAGATATGCTGTGTAAGGTACCGTGTCCTGTCAGTATTAATACATATACTGTACAGTACATTACGTGTCTCATGAATTCGAGGAGCCGCGCGCTCTTTGTTACGTAGTAACACGTATATACCAGCCGCTGACCAAAGCGTACGGTAAATCTGGGAATTAGATTCCGTACTGTCCATGCGTGTTCCGCAACGTATCATTAATGAGCCTGGGTAGAGCACGGTGTAATTAGGTACCTCTGTACTAATATGCCTGTCAGTGTCAGAAGTACTGGTAACTCGCAGTCTTCATAGAACATACAACCGTACCTCAGTGCTTGCACAGATCGCTCGTAGTCTGTAGACTTTGCCATCCGTCTTGCGTCCTATGTAAACCATTCTTGTCTTTGAGCGTGCATTTGGCTTGGCAATCTAGGAGCATGAGGACTGCAAGTTCCCGTTCCTTGAGCGCCTCAAGCTGTATACAATAGCCCTCTACTTATAAGTTATGGCAGTCTACGACTCAAAATCTAAAGAGAGGTCACTGATGTGTCAGTTCCGTTGGGTGGCACCAATTCTGAAGTTCATTCGCTCGAGTTGGTATTGTATTGTACGTTGTACGTCCAGTACTGCACACGAACCGGGAGAATGACCGCAGTGAACGTCATCAAACTGTCAAAGCGGTGAACAATAGGTAGGAACAGATCACATACTAGTGCTACACTACTCCATTACTGACTAGTGATAGTAGTAGACAACTTCAGTCAACCGCTTCCGACCTCCCTAGGCGTGACTATAGTTTATAGCCGACAATGTCAACATTGAACCCCCGATCCCAATAGTAGTGTCGAGTTGGATAGTAAGGTACTAGTAGGAACAGACTGTCCATACCTATGGGAAGGGACAGTCGTAATAATAACTGAACTTGAATGGTGAACTTGCAGTCACCGACATCTCACCACTGCACTGTGACCACGCCGATCTTGTGGGTCCTTCCACATTCTGCCGTAATCTATGCCTCTCATCGAGGTTGGGGACCGGGCAGCACCACTAGGGCCACAGAGCCGTATTTCTACACCGGAAGATATAGGGTATTGAACCTGGGACCAGCCAATGGGCCACGTTGGGGCGCAGATCTTGGTTTTTGAGGCCCCGTGGGTTGCAAGATACTGAGGTAGCTGCTTAATCAGGGTGACTGGATCTAAGCTGCTTGGGAACTTGAAGGTTCCAGGTCGTCGTGATTGAGGAATGATGGTGGGCGATGGCAGCCCTTCCAACACACATCAGGGGTTCGTACTGTCTGGCAGCAAATGTACATGTACAGTACCTATCTATCTATTTCCAGCTGACCGGGTATATTGCGCCCCTGTTGCAGCGACACTCTTACTACTAACTCCGGGACCTGCGTCGGAGACGGACTTTGGGCTGGCTGCCCGTCGTATCACTCCGGACACGCCAGTCACCGTTTCCTCCCCCATCTCGTACTCCTGTTCCCATCCAAACGTGCACTCTCGCTGTTGAAGAATTCAAAGTTATGAAGATTCCGGGGGTAACATGATAGGAGAGAGGCAATGGCCTCGCAAACTTGACTGGGTTACCAATGATATGTAGACTCAACCCTCTCCCCTGAACCCCAATACCTCACTCTCTCTTTGGCCTAGACTCCTCTCAATCCGACTCGTACGCCTCGTCGTCGTAGTAGTCGACGAAGTCCTCACCATTCCCGTCAACATACCACGTGCGGTGCTCCGTCGACATGTGCCCATATATCTCGCCCTCCTCTGTCTGCACGCCACAGTTGAAGCACCAATGGGCGCCGCAGGGACAGCTGATATGGTCACAACCGACCATCTTCTGGGTAGCCACACCACAGGAGGGACACTCCTTAATCACCATCCCCCCCTGTCCACCACCACCACCACCGGCGGTCTGCTCCGCAGCCAGCACGCACTCCTCGCACCGCCACTCCTCCACCTCCTCGGGCGCGCCCCGCGCACATACCCTCTCCGCAAACCTCTTCGCCATACCACACCCGCCGCACCAAGCATACACCCACTCCCCACGCTCGGCAACCGCGTCCCGGAGCCCACCAAGGAACCTCAACCCGCCGGGAAGCGAAGAGACCTTCGACGACGACGTCGGCTGTCTCCTGCAGAACGGACACGACAGCGCCGCGAGGTTGATGATGCGCCCGATCCTGTTCATCCCGTACCAGCCCTGCACGCACTCGGCGCAGACCATCTGCCGGCACCCCCTGCGGCCGCCACACGCGAGGCGCAGGTCGCGCTTGGCGCGGTCGCGGAAGCAGAGCGAGCAGGTGCCCGCCTGCACGCGCCGGGCGGACACCCAGCTGCGCAGCTCGGCGAGGAGGGCGGGCGTGTTGTGCAGGGGTTTGCCGCGGATGGTGAGGAGGGGGGTACTAGTAGTCAGATCATCATCATCGTCATCATCATCGTCGTCGGCGGCGGCGGGTTGTTGTGCTAGAGGTACTACTTGTAGTTTTGGGAGGACCTCGACTTTGTCGGCGAAGAGGGAGCGGTCGATAGTGAGAGTCGAGACGGTGTGGAAGACGGAGCGCTTGGTGAGGGGCGCCGGGATGGCGTTGTCGTCGTTGCGGAGCAGCCAGGCGGTGCCGTTGGAGCGGGCCACGGTGAGAGGCGTGACTTCTTCGGTGGCAATGGTGCTGTCTGGGTTGGTTTCGCAGCCGGGGCACTTGAAGTCTGCTGGGTTCCATGACCCTGGACGGTATGCTTCGGGCCAGATGATGCGGTTGGCACAGCGTGTGCATGTGACGCAGGGAGATTTGGGCAGGCGGCTGGAGCTGGGGTCCTGCGTAGAGACAACGCTCGCCTGCCGGCAGTAGTGGCACTTCGGACGCACGTTCAGCTGGCCCGGGTTGTAGAGCACGTACTGCGCCCGGCAGTCCGCCATGGAGCACTCGGTCCAGGTCGCAAGAGTGCTGCTGTTGTCGGCTTTGGATACATTAGCCGTGGTGCATTCAGCGCGGGCGTCCTTGCTCTCGTACTGCACCGCGCACAGTCCACACACCCCGTCCTCGGCCATGATGGTCACCGATCGAGGAAATTCGCAGCTGCTGCACATCACCACGGGGCCCAGGGGCATCTTGCTCTTGTCAGGGGTCCACCCAACCTTGGCTGTGAGCGTGGTGTCCATGTTCATGTCCAGCAGTTTGTAATTGACAAGGGCCTCGAACAGTCTGCGGTCTTCGGCCTTCAGGACGGTGGTGGTTCCGTCAGCGTGCACATCGGTCTTCAGCTGCGTGTGGTTTTTGTCGGCCTCAAGGAGGAGAGTGAGGCAGGCAGTGTTCCATGTTTCCGGAATCTCTAGCGTGTTCCACTTGTCACGAAAGGCCATTAGCTCGCTGTGTGCGACCTCCTCGAGGGGTTTGATCCCCATCCGAAGGCTGAGAGCCGCTAACAAGGCCGCGGGCCGCGCAGTCACCATCGTGCCCGGCACCACGACATGCAGGAGGACCTGCCAAAATTTGCGCTTGTGTTCGGGTTGCGCCAGCGCCATGGGAATTCTGGGGACTTCCTCCTCTGGGACATCCCTGACATGGGCAGGAAGCTGGTCCTGCGAAGTCACGTAAGTCAGGCGGGTGAGGATGCGGCCGAGGCGACGGAGGATTCGGGGATCGCACGACCGTCCGATCTCCAGGAGCTCGTCGCGGGTGAATTCCATGGACTCATCGGTGTCACCAACACCATCTCCTGCTGCCGGCATGAAGCGGACGGTGGGGTCGAGAAACACGCAAGGATACCGCGCCCCTTCCGGAACCGACTTGATGGTTTCCAGAATCTCGCCCACATAGTCGTATGATTCTTCCAGCCATGCTTTCATGCGCGACTTCTTCGCTTCGTCCCCAATTCTTTCCACTTGGAAACCGAACCGAGCGAGGAGCTTGTCGCGGGCAGGGTTTCGCCGGTCGTTGCAGACGGTGCGCCAAAGTGAACCGAAGACGGGATTGAGAGCGAGGGCAGATACATCCGACTCGATGATCTCGGACAGCTGTTCAATCACAACCGCTTGGTACTCGGGGTCAGCCTTGTATCGCATGGCGAAGCCCATGACCGGGTGTTCACGGCGTGGGATGATCTGGGCCATCGTCTCAAGGGAGAGAGGGGAGTACTCCATGTTCCTCTCCACAATCTCCAGAGCCTTTCTGTCGTGATGCTCGTCAGAAACCAACAGGTACTGGGCGCCGTGCGGGTCCCTTTCCGATCGTATCTGCTCGATGCCACTGACATCGACAAAGCGTACTAGATCAACGATTTTCTCAGTCTTCAGCGTAGCACCTTCTTTGCCGGCGCCCATCCACGCGAGAAGAAGGCAGACCGTCACTTCGGAGATGACATCGGATGTCGGCGTGCGTCCCCTGAAGGCTATGCACGCTCCCCCGGTACGCGCCGAAAGGTACGTGAACATCGAGCTTGTCTGCGGCCCCAAACGATGGGGAAGTGCGATGATGCTGAACACCTGGGCCCGCTTGTCACCTCGGCTCAGCGTGCTGGCGGCAGAAGTCCAGTCGGCAAACCGCTTGCCGGTCTCCCCAAAACTGGCGTTCCTGAGGAGCTCCCTCTGCTCCGTTGCCCATAGCCCGGCCAACGGCTCCGTGTGTGGGGGCGCGTCGGCGAACAGGAGGATGATTGTCTTCGCGTCCCGGCGCATGACCTGATACGCGTGCGCAAGGCCGGACTTTGCCGCCTCTGGGAAGTCATACCCGGAGCCAGAGCTGAGATTGTTGACGAAGGAGAGCAATGTCTCGCGGGAGATCCCCGCCTCCGTATTGCCTTCGCGGCTGTACCAGCCCGACCACTCGGTAACGTGGGCGTTTCTTTTGTCGTAGTCTCGGTAAGCGAGGACGCCAATGCGAGAGAAACATCCTGTGGCAGCTGAAATGCGAATGACGTCTTTCAGCGAGCTGTTCAGTGCCTGCAGGAAGTATTTCATGGAATGGGTTGCGTCGGTGACGACGAGGAGGTCGTAGACTTCAGGGTGTGCAGCCGCCATGTTGCAATATGAGCGCTGCACAAATGAAGAGACGTCGGTGGGAAGCGCAAGGGGAGGGCGCCCCGGGGCAGTCGAAACCGGATCGTGGCCTTCGACAACCAGAGGTAGGTTCTTGGAAGAAAAATAGAAGTCGGAGGGAAGGAGTGCTGAGAGCAACCGTTTTGTTTTATACTTGAGTAGGTAAGGTAGGTACTAGTACCCTTGTATTGTGACTCAGGTATTGTTGGTTGAGGACGGCAAATGACTGGGTATCGGCGTGAGTCAACAAACAGCCCATGCTTGGTCACACAATGCAGTTGGTGCCCGGCTTCGACTCAAAGACAACGTCCTCAACTTAGCGCCGCGATGGCGCCCGCTTGGCGGTCAGAATGCGGCCGCAGCTACCAACAGTGCCTGCACGCCTTGAACAAACCATTCCATCACGAGATGAAAGAGCGTTGGGGGCATTTGCTGACTGGGAGCCCACCAACTGCATGTGTTTGTTTGTTATTAGGTACCTACTTAGGTCCTCTGGTCACAATGAACTCAAAAGACCATTGATATAAATCAATCCTTGTGTTGCAAGTTGGAAAACCCTAACCCCGCGCAAGACTATGGCACGGGCTGTGCGGCCATGTGCTCGTGACAAACAGGTGCGAACCTGCTGATTCCCGGCCAGAAACGTTGGGCATCCCTTATCCCAGGTACCTATAGCATCTCTCCAGTGGCTCAATAACCTTCTGCATCATTTGTCTCCTCCACGATCCGTCACTAGGCAACGTCCTACACCCGGCGAGACACCACTCGACAGCGTCCGTGTAGTCTGCCCCGGCTTCGTCGTTCACCTCCTTCAGCCACTCCAGTGCAGCAATCAGATCCAGTGCAGCCCTGGTATGCTGATCCATTCTCTCACCATCCGGAAAGGCGATTCGGCTGGGATGGGACTCGATAGGACGTCCAAAGCACAACTCCAAGAGCAGAACCCCGAGACACGCAATGCCCGCCACGTCGTGTCCAGTGGCCCTACTACTGATAGTACCTGTGGTGCCGCCTGAGTGTGGCGTTTGCTTTATCTTGGGATCCACCCCATCGAACCGGCTCACAATGAACGGCTGGTCCAACCTCGGCGTTCCCCCTTCCGCGTTCAAGGAGAAGAACACACCTCCCTTCTCCCACGGTGTTTGCAGCCAGGCCGTATCCTTCAGCTGAACAAATGACGAGGCGAGCGTCAGCGAGAGGCGGTAGCGTTGGCGGCGCGTGAGCGGGGGCTTGATCTCGCCTAGGATGATTTGGCCGAGGCTGATATGGGTTTGGCTTGGGGCTAAGCTGCTGTCCGGATAGATGTAGTAGCGGGTGTCGTCGTCTTCGAGCTCGAGATAGCCGATCGAGGGAAGGGAATCTGGGACCTTGGAGATGGTGCGGTGACTGTAACCGAGAGTCTGACAGAGATTGGTAATCGGACTCTCCTGAGGTGTAGGAGCTGGTGTGGTGTGTACAGTAACGGCCTCGCAAGCCTTAGTATGAATGGTGAGAGTCCTGGACACTTTAGCTATCGAGTGGACTCGGATCGTCTAGGGGCAGAGGTCTTACTGCGTCTGTGTCAGGGTGACACCATGTGATTCCAAGACACGCACCGTCTTTCTCTTCTTGCCGACAGCGGAGAGCGCCGTCTCCTTCGGCATGTTACTCCAGCCTGGCGGTGCTGATATCGGCAGCGAGGTTCTCATGTCATTTTGTATAACCAGCGCCTCTGTGGTCGCATTATGAAGCTGCGGGCCGGGAACCTTCAAAGCAAGAGGAAACATCTCCCAGGAGGTGTTAGGGTTGGATTCTTTTACCCCGGAGTCGAGACGAAGGCAAAAGTCCTTGTCGACCGGCTCCCTGTGCTGCAGGATGAGCTGAGCACAGTGGTAATCCCGGCAGCTGCAGTTGAAAGCCGTAATAAAGGCCTTGTAAACCTTATCAGCCTGACTCCAAAACTTGCTCAGCGCGGTGTTGGTTGACCGTGACGAGGCGAGCTGCTGTTGGCGGTTGTCTTCCAGCCCGGACACGACGTCGCTTGATGTCATGAGCTTTTCCAGCCGATCGTTGTGCTTCTGCAAGTCGGCAAAAAGCTGCGTCCTTCTTGGTGCGCCCAGACTGAACTTGACTCGGAATGTCTGATATGCCCGGTTTGACCGATCGAAAGACTGCCGCAGTTTGGTGGCTGTGGGGATTTTCGATTTGGGCCCCTTAGTCTCATGGACCTTTGACTGAACGGCTTCACTCTCGATGGCCAGTTCTTCATTTAGTTCCTGCATAACCCGCTGCATCTCCGACAGGATCTCGAGATATAGGCCATAGGCGTCTTTCAGTCTCCATTCCAATGCCGTTTGGAGCTCCACGTCTTTCCAACTGTCACCTGCTGGATCGTTGATCAGTCGCTGCAACTGGGCATCGTCCTGAACGAGAGGGAGAAGAAGCTGCTTCAGATTTCGGACGAAGCTCAGCCGGTGGTATTTGAGCTCGCTGATGCTGCGCTGGTACTCGAGTCGTATCTCGTACCAAAAGCCCATCACTCGCGCCACATCACGGTATCGCTCCAGTGCCCAAATGGCGATTGGGAAAGCGCCGAGAACCAGTCCCGCGACCTCAATACCAGACATGGTGATTTCGCAGCAGCGCGCGAGTACTGAGCTGAGGATGCGAAGTGGGGTTGCAATGTTGTTGCATACACAAGAGTGGGATGGCGCGGGATCGTCAGCTCCGACGAGGAAGCGGTTTTCAGTGGCACAACCAAACATGAGGCTGTGCAATCATGTCTGTCGCAGTCAATTGAGGTAATGCATCGTACTAGTAGTATTGTACATGTGTGACCTTACTGTGCCACGGAGGTACTTCCGGGGGGCGATTGATGGGTCATTTCATTTCCCCTTTTGCATCGTGAGGGGAACTCCTCTCAGCCGCTCATGCATGAAAAATCGCGGGGCTCTCCTCTGTCCGCGACGGCCGCGACTCCCGAGCTCGACCCGAGTTTGGCATCGAGCCACGACGAAAAGAAAGCGAGCGAGCGCACAACTCAGCTCAGCTGCAAGCTGGGCACCGTGCCTATGGAGACCCCCGAGCTCGTCAGTAAGGGTGTCTCGGGATCTGTGGCCGATAAAACGGGTAGAGTCGAGAAATGCTTCATCAATATAATCCGGGAGCTGAGAGAGAATCCGACCCTGCACAGCAAAGCCGATGCCGTAAGTGTCCAGCGCGGTATCTAAATCACAAGACGGTTAAACTGACCATAAATATTAACTCTTAGGCGGCTAACTTGACTGAGACCGTCACTGATGTCCTGGACAGATTCCGTCTCTGGGCGGGCAATATCGGAGCAAGAAATGCACCGGATTCTCCCTTCTCGCTTGAGAGTCGTCTTGCGGCTGCCAGCGAGGTTTTGGAACAGGTTGAGGATCTGCTCAACGACTTGATGGATGCTCTTAGTGATTGTAAGCAGCCGAGTTCCCCTTTGATTTTTCAGTTTCCTTCAAGAGACCGCCGCGCGGCATGGCCTTTTCAAAGTCCTTACTGTACTTCTGTTCAACTTTGATAGTTCTGGCCCTCCAAGCTACCCCGAAGATCTTTGGTCGCTTCGATGATCTCTCAGCTGGCAACTTCTCCAGGTACAGGGCACAAGCTCATGATATGCCCTAGTGTTCGAGATTGTTGTAGGGAATCGTGAGAATAGGTCAATATACTGCGATCCTTCCCATTCCCCTGGGGACTCCAAGGAGGATGACCGGCAGAAGTACGAGTCCGAAGACCTATTAGACGTCGCCTCCGAATGCATCCGGAGTCTTCTTCGCATCTCGATTCTTATCCGCAAGGCAACGCCCCGCGACCGATTTGCCAAAGCTCTTCAAGTTGTTGGCAGCAACGGCTACGGGTTCATGGACCAGTTCGACATCAACCATGTTTTGGAGCGTTATCCCAAGCTTGGGAAGCCCGAGTCACGGTGGCTATGTGAGCGTCTTGGACGAGCAATCACGAAGCGCCGCCAGTTTCTTCGATATGCACGAAGACACAAATCGCGAGTCGCTGGAGACCAAGAGTGGACCGAATCGCGCGAGGAAGAGGAAATGATGGAATCCATCATTGCGCACAACGCTTTTGTTGTGGCTCAGGATACTACAAATAAGTCAACATACTCGACAGCCGCTGTCACCGCGTTCGGTAACGCTTCGGACGCGGCGCACACACGCCCTTCGACCAAAGCATCCACGGTGGACCCGACCATGCTCCTGACTTTTAGGGTGGGCCTGGTAGAAGACGAGGACAAAGTATCCTATGTCTCGGTGAGCTCGTCGTTCCATATGGCACCGAACGGCGACGCTACCCTTCATCTTCCTTCCCTTGCCAAGGTCAGCAAGGGCGAGGCCATATTTGAGTGTCCGTTTTGCTTCGGCATTCAGAGCGCATCGAACGAATGGGCCTGGCGGCAACACGCTTTCCAAGACCTCAAAGCATACGTGTGCACCTTCAGCGGCGTCGAATGCGACTCGCAGCTGTTTGGTGACAGTCGGGCCTGGTTTGACCATGAGATGCAGTGCCACCGGAGGAAATGGATCTGCATCATCTGCCAGGAAGGCCCCTTCAACACCTCAAAACGGATGGAGGGGCACATCAAGATCAAACACGGTGATGTCTTGGCTCGGAAGGAGCAACTGCGGATGATTGCGGATGCAAGCCAGAGGGCAGTTGATGCCCTGCCAGCCCAGGACTGCCCGTTCTGTGACGAGTGGGCGGAGTCGCTCAGAGTAGAAACTCCGGCTCCTGACGGTGTAGATGCCTCTGCGGTGGTGGTGACGGTGGATCCCACACAGTTTCGCCGACACGTCGCACTTCATCATGAACAGCTGGCACTGTTCGCCTTGCCGAGGATGACCGACGACGAGGAGGAGGACGATGGCGGTCGACGCGGAAGTATTTCAAGTACTTATCGACTTTCCTCCGATCTCAGCCAGCGAGCGAGCTTGAATCCAGATCGTGAAGAGAGTTTGGGTCCGGGTCCCGAGAAGGGCTTCGATCTCGAGGGCACAGACTCCTCGTCCTCAGCTGCGGCGCCGTCAACTGTTTGGGATGATTTCGCCGACCTAAGGGCAAGGATAGATCGCCTTGACTTGACAGGCAAGAGCCGCAAGACACCATTGACGACAGGGACATCAAGGTCCAAATCGTCTGGCGAGCGCCCGAGAACTGCCACCGCAATTCCTGTCCCTGATCCACCACTTCTGCATATTGCCACCGCATTAGGAAACCTTGATAAGGTTGCACGAGAGTTTGACAGAGAAGGCTATGAGTACACGAAGCCGAGTGATCTTGTCAGATATCTCCTTAAGCACGGTCAAGAGGAACCCACGCCCGCAGACACCCTCATCGGTGCCCCCGTCCACCATCCCCTGTTTTCCAAGCGGTGAGACAAGGCCCCCTCTTCCCCAAGATATATCACCGGCTTTTTACTGACACGTAATACAGGACTAGAGATATCCAGGCTCAAGAAGGCATCCCATTCCCCGGGTTACCATTGAATCCATGGGACGGGCCTCCGACCGGCGGGAACTCGACTCCGCTCCGCGAAACCATCCCTGATTCGCCTACCGATGGGTTCCCCGAGTTGACACAGCTGCCCGCCCTAGAGAGCTTGCCGCAGACTCGGGCGGGGACGTTGCATTCCAAACTGACGTCAGACGGCACCGGCAATCCCTTGCTTGACATACCAGCCGTAGTCTCCAAGACCCCCCGGCCAAGTCCGGAAACTGAGGAAAGAAAGGAGACGACTGAGAGGAAGAGGACCAAGACAGGATGTATCAGTGAGTCATTTAGTGCCGCATATGCTCTTCCCCTGCAGGGTCTTATAACTTAACGCTCTATCTTCCTTAGCCTGCCGAAAGCGGCGGATCAAGTGTGACGAAGGGAAACCTACTTGCAACATCTGCATTAAGTCGAATAGAGAATGCGAGGGCTACAGCACGCGCCTCACCTTTAAGGAACCTCTGGGAGCGTTTCCTCTAGCAGCAGACCCCCTGCATTCTGATTCAGGCCCAGCAGAACGCACGGTGGGTGGATTGCAGTTGTCTGCGTTACTTGAGAACCAGTCCAAGGGGAATCGTCCAATAGTCGCGTCGGTCGAAGACGTTGACGAGCCGGGAAACGTCGTCGAGGAAACCGCCCGTTACGCTTATGAGTCAGGTTCTTCGGCCGCAAAAAGCGCCGTTGACGACATTGGCTTCGGCTCAGGCTCGCAAAATACCCGTATGAAACCCAACACGGAAGCGGAGACGAAAGCGACTTCTGCAATCCGAAGCAGACCTGCGAAAACGGTTCTCAAGAGCCCGGAACGCCCCCGTTCTGCCAGCCCGGAACGCAACGGTGCTACCATACCTGCTCCGCCGCGCCTGAAAGGCATCCTAAAGCCCCCAAAAGAGAAGTTCCCCGAAGATCCGCAGCCCATTCGAGAGGGCGTGGCACCTAGGAAACATCCCAGCAGTAGCGGCGCCGCTCCAGCAGGCAAAAGGTGGACCAAAATCAGTCGTAAAATGGTCAGCCCTGCGGCCCTGAAAAACGGGAAGGAGCGCTTTGAGGTTCGGGATGATTTTGTGATTGTGCTGCGTATGCTAAGCAAAGAGGAGGTCATGGAATACGCGGAGGCCACCACGAGATTGAGAGGTAAGAGCCTGTCTGTGTCATCCTGCTGCGACACTACCAGTACGCTTGAGTCTAATACTAGTGGACGCTTAGAGAAGCGAAGGCAAGAGCATTCGGAAAGGGCAGTGCGGGAATGGGATATCGATATAAGGAATGTCCCAGAAGAGGGCACAGCGCGGGTTCCTCAGCATAAAATCGAAACTGCGGAGTCGGACGGCTGAAATCTATAGCGATTTGGGGCAGGTACTACTGAGGAAATTTCAAGAACAGGTGGAACTTCCATGTCCCTAATAGTTAAGGCTGGTCTGTCAAACTCACATACTTCCGAGCCATCGTGGTAAAGCCGAGAAAGGAAATGCAATTATTCGGTGACCTAGCTGTCCAACTACCTAGGTATGTGTTTATACAAAGGAATCCTTGACTCCACTGAGGCTGACCTACAATTTAATGAAAGATCGCGACTTCTCGATCTATACGAAGTATCAATGTAAACGTCATCCCGTCTCTCCCCTTTGGCCCGCTAGAACCTCTCCAGCATCGGATCCTCAGCAAGGTACTTCCGCACCGCTTCCATCCCCCGGATCGTCGTCCCGAAACTAACCCAGTAGCCGTCCTCGCTCTTGGACGTGATAAACGACACGTCTAGGCTCACTGTTAATCACCCATTCCCGTCCTGGTCTCGAAGGGTGGTAGGGGCGGTTTAGACTCACATCTCGCCGGTACGCCGGGCACCTGGCCATCTCCGTGCACGACCAAGCCAACGCGCCTCCCCTGCCTGGCCTCCCTAGCGTCCTCGGCCAGCGCGGGGCCGAAGTCGAGGTCGCGCCAGGCGGGCGCCCAGTTGGTGATGTGGTAGCTGCGCTCCCACGGCTCGCAGATGTGCAGCGGCTGGTCCCGGCGGTGCTGCTCGCGGGACACGGCGCAGAGCACATCGATGGTGTCCTCGTCGCCGAGGACGTCGGCGACGGCGGCGCGGTTGAGCCGGGCAATCTCCGACGCCGGCATGGCCGGGTCGTAGCGGAAGCGCGACGTGGCATAGATGAGGCCGTTGTGGAGGTAGCCTGCTTGGGCCTGCGGCGTGGAGAGCGCGGGGATGCGGCCGCGGAGATTGATGGTTTGTGTCAGGCTGAGGGTCGGCTTCTTGTTGGAGTAGAGGCGGACGAGCTGCGGGACAAAGCGTGGTTTTGGTAAGTAGTACAGGGTGGGGAGCGGGAGGGAGCGGAGAGGGCAGGGCCGGGGCAGCGACGACGGACCTTGGTCATGATGGCCGAAATGATATCGCCATTGGTCAGCTCTGCACTGGCGCCGTCCTTCTCGCTGAGCCCTGCGGTGTACCGCTCGCGGAGGGATTGGAGCACAGGCAACGGGAAAAAGACGGTGGCCTTCTCTTCCTTGGGCTCGAGAATCATCTCCCAGATGTAGCCAGGGAGAATGAAGAGTCTCTCAAAGGGACCGCGGACGCGGTGCCGGCCCTTCTTGAAGGTCTCGGATTTGGGATACTCGGCGAAGGGCTTCTGGCCGGGGAGGATGTCTTCGTTGTACCCCACCATCGGCGGAGGTGCCTTGTGCTCGAGCAGACCCAGCCAGGCCTTGAGTATGTTGGCCAGACCGAGCTGGTCGCCTAGGATGTGCGGGTGGCTGGTGGAGATGACGGTGGCGTCGGCGAAGAGAGACAGGTGCACCAGGAGCAGCGGCGCGTCGGGTTCCGCGTCGAGGCTGATGGGCCAGTGCTGGGGACGGAAGCGGGCGTCAAAGACCTCGACCGACGGGAGCACAGCCACGCCGCCTTCCGGCTTGGCGGTCTTGAGCTGCAGCTCGGGGGCCGCCTCGTCGATGGGGGAGGCGCTGTGGTCCACCGACCAGCGGAAGAGCTCGTAGTTGTCGTCGAAGACCTTGGGCACGTGGTAGACGGGACGCCGCTTGTTCTTGCCCATGACTATGCGGGCACCCAACTTGCGCCAATGATCTCGGATCAGACCCGTCAAGGCATCGCGCAGCTTGACCTCGTCGAGTCGGTCGTCGAGGAGGAAAAAGGTCCGCACTCGGGTGTTGCGGAAGGCGCCGACGTTATCGAGCGCCGAGATGGGGATGACCTCCATGGTTGCCTAGATAGTACCCAGGTCTTACCTACATGTATGTATTGTACAATAAACCTTATGGAATTTGTGTTGTATTAATGGACTTGTCCTCCGTATCCCCGCGAACACTGGAGGGACATGCTGCTTCTTTTGTAGACGAGAGACAAGCTCGAACTGCAGACGCTAATACAGACCTTAATCCTCACCCTTGCTTGAAGACCAGCGGCAACGGTCAGCACTAGCTCCATCGCTCCACCTGATAGTGGATAACAATAACAGGGCGCGCTTGGCGGACGCCTGGAAGTTCTGGAACCGGACTAGTACGTAAGGTATTCAAACTTTCGAATCCTGCGGGCTAGGTCCAGTGCGATCCGGGTCTTACCAGGGTTACCGGGAGAGATTAATACCACAGTAATCTCGCTTGATGTAAACATCGGCATGTACGGAGTACACCTCCTCCAGCATATTACACGTTAGCGTGGTACTTGCCCCACCCGACTAACCAGAGCTGGCAAAACCCCTGCAGGAGTCAAGAGAGAGTCAAGATACCACCATACACATACAATTTTCTACTGCATACAGAGTACCTAGTACATAATTCTCCCTCCTTCATTTGCAATGACCTGTCTGAGCCGTCGGGGCATTGAGTGAGCTAGTTGCCGTAAGAATTCTATGGGCACTGTATCCCAAGCCTCCTGAATAGCCCGGCGAAGCGGAGCCCGGGTTAACCGCTGAATATCATAGTTTTCCTCGATCCAATTCTTCATCCAGAACCATACATTTTCTATAGGGCTAAGGTCTGGGCTCCGTGCGGGCCATACAATGTAGTCAATCCCAAGTGCTGTCAGTAATGCCTTGGTTACGCGAGCTGCGTGGGGTGCTGCGTTATCCTGTTGGAACCACATGTCTTCAAACTCTATATAAAATGTATGGACCAAAGGGATGATGAACCGTTGATACTTCTCTGCAGTGATACCACCGTACTCCTTCTCCCAGAAGAAGCTAGGTCCTTTGCGACAGCCGGCGAATGAGCCCCAAAACATCCACCCGTGTGGCTTAGTTCGTATGAGTGCCCAGGTCTCTGGATCTTCCGTGTCGTGAATTGTGATCCATTGCTTCCACATTGGATTGTTGGTCGCCCACGTTTCATCGGAGAAGAGGACATTCTCCCAGTCTTCTTGGTACGGGCGTAATGAAAGCTGTTCGTATGCGAAGGCGAGGCGATCGGCTTTGTGTTTATCGGTAAGCTGAATGCGACGGGGTCGAATCGTCCGTTTGTATCCAAGGGCTTCGAGTGCCGTTGAGATAGCTCGCTCTCCGAAGAGCTCGAAACCTGGAATATAGTACCGCAAATCAGCCCAAGGAAGCTTGCGGTTCAGCGGATCGGACCGTAGGAACTCGATCAGTTCGTTCTTTTGCGGGGACTTGACGACAGGCCGGGGCCCAACCCTTCCTTTTTTCCTTGGGGTCAAAGGACCCTGCAGGGCAAGCTGCACTTGCCGTTGTGTTGTGCCCGTAGCCTTCGCAATAGTGGAATAGTCCCAGCCGGCATGCTTGTGTAAGGTTCGAATTTCAATCTATTAGAGAGAGAGAGAGTTAGTAAGATAGGTAGGTGGGTAGGTAATCTAGTAGGCAAGGTGCCTACCTTCTTATCACGTGATAGGTCCTGGGACCTAGTGGCCTGTTGGAACCAGTGTTTTGTACGGTTGTTGGCCTTATTTGCATGTAGTCGGTAAAAACGCTCTGCGCAGGGCGACTTGTGTAGGTCTTGGTTGTGGTTGATAATAGTGTCGATGTCCATGGTGTTCCTGATGCGCATGTAAGTCGAAGATTATGGATTTTTAGTGGGTCGGCTGAACGGATTTTGAAGGAGGTCACTTTTCTATGGAAAGTACTAGAAAAGTGACTTGTATGCTGATTTTGACGTAACTGTATGCTGAAAATGGGATAGTGGGTGGGGCAAGTACCACGCTAACGTGTAATATGCTGGAGGAGGTGTACACTCCCACATACCTAGGTAGTTATCACATACTACCTTACATATTAACCTACAGGGGTTGCGAACAGGCAACTGCGTAGCCCCGTCGAAAAGGAAGTACTATGTAATGGATGGAGGAATTACTAATGCTGGATTTTGGCTTCGATCTGGATTAAATCCTCACTGTTTTTCAATGGTCCTACGATACCTACTTCTCTGGGACGGAGATGGATACCCAAGGTAGGCACGCAGATAGTAACGAACGCGAATTATGATAGTATGTTACAGTGACATCGGATCTTACCAGGTGGCAGGACGCACACATACGGTAGCGAACGTAAGGCCTTGGATTGGATTGATGTTGAAAGATAAGGTAAAGGTTCGGAGGTGGGATACCTCCGAGGCTCCGACCGAACTAAGCTAACTTAGGTTAGCTGCAGGTACGTGACCCTAGTGGGTCAGGTACCGGTAGTGCCGGCGGCGAGAGACCAGCAAGGCAAGCCGGCCATACGAAGAATCATCAAACTCTCCATGTGTACCTCCGTATAGCCCGCACCACCCGTCGGATTGGAGAGTCTGATTCTACGAGGTCTCATCTACATACCTACTCTACCACCTTACCTTTGTGCCAAGCCCAAGACGACGTGGTGTTTTCCGGTCATACAATTGGCAATAGAGGGTCCAGCCGCGACCACTGTATCGTCTTCACCACGATCCTCGTAACTGGTCGTAATTCTCAATTTCCCAGTCCGCTTATCACCCGCATCCTATTCCGACAGCCGACTCGAACATAACGCATGTCGGGCGAGTGGAGGCCATGACACGCTCTTTCCGACTCCGTCACTCCCGCGGTGAACCTCCAGCCGCGGAGCATGATGAGCATGACGAGGCGCCTCCATTCGGCGCACTGTCGTGGCTCTCCCTCCTATCGCGAGCCACTTGCATAAGTAAGAAGTGCATCCACTCCAACCGATCCTGTCACATACGGTATATCATCTACCACTGTACTAACCCCAACCCACAGCCGGCCATCTCGCCTTCAAAGCGATCACGGCCCTCCCACCCTCCCGGCGCGCAGGCCTGTCCTTCCACGAGTATGTCGCGTACGAAGGCATGCGCGACTACCAGTGCGGCCTGGACGCGGTCGGCATCCAGCACCTGCTCGCGCCCACCACCACGACGTGCCGCCGGTACGCCCGGCGCCACAAGATCCCGTACTCGGAGATCCGGCTTCCGGACGGCACCGTCGCGGCCTGGCTCGGCCCGCGGAATCACCGTCATCCCTCATCATCACCCCCGAGCAGCAGCAGCAGCAGCAGCAGCAGCAGCAGTAAGGGAGGAGGCGTCCGCGTCCGCGTGCTTTTCCACGGCGGCGGGTACATGTCGCCGGCGCTTCCGGACCACCTGGACATGGCGTTCGGGTTCCCAGCGGGCCAGACGCCTGAAGCAGGCGTCGCGGTCGTGGTGCTCGAGTACGCGCTCGCGTCGGAGCGGCGGAACCACTACCCTGCGCAGCTGGCGCAGGCCGCGTGTCTGTTAGAGCATCTCCTGCGCGTCGAGAAGGTGCCGCCGGCGCGCGTCACGCTGCTCGGCGACTCGGCCGGCGGGCACCTACTGCTCGGCCTGCTGCTGCACGTGCGCCACCCCAACCCCGACCCGGCAGTGCCGGCCGTTGCCGTGGAGGAGGACGGCCGCTTCGCTGGTGCGGCGCTCGTCTCGCCGTGGGTGGAGCTGGGGAAGCCCTCTTTTTCTTTGTCTTCGGCGTCCGGGATGGGCGAGAGTAGTAGTAGTGGTGGTGGTGGTGGTGGTGGTGGGAAGAGGGACATCGTCACGCCGGAGTCGCTGGCGTACTGGGCGCGGAACCTGCTGGGCGGTGCCGAGGCGGACCCGTGGAATAGCCCGCTGTTGGCGCCGCGCGAGTGGTGGGCCGACCTCCCTGTGGATGAGGTGCTGGTCACGTACGGCGGGGCGGAGCTGTTCCGCGACGATGTGGCGCGGTTGGGCGAGATTTTGAGGAGCGAGCATCCGCGCACGACAACGGTTGCCGCCTGCGAGGGGGAGATCCATGTGCATATGGTGATGAATCGGTTTCTGAAGATTAGGAAGCCATGTCAGAGCGAGGAGGTGTTTGTAAGATGGTTGGCGGGGCGATCGGGAGGTTAGCATCAGGTACGCAACGATCATGGGCGTTTGAATCACAGGGTGTAACCGGCGGAAAATCATCAAGGTGGATTTTCTAAAATTGCATTCTGGGATTGCTTTGAAGAGCAGGAGTTAATGGAACTACCTAATAGTTAATAGCTAGTACTAGTATGACGCACAACCAGCTTCGAGACAACGGAAACACATGGTGGTGTCATGTCTGGATTCCGAGTCATGTCTGGATTCCCATGTTGATCACTTAGCGACGCGGGTCGATGGCATGGTGAAACTGGAACTTGGTGGCCTGGCCCTTGCCGACGTAGAAGATGTGGTTGCCGTTGGGAGCGGCAACAACGGTGATCTGACTGCCAGGCTCGACCGGGCTAGCGGCGTGGGCCACAGCAGACGACGGTCCCCAGCTGCCGTTGCTCTTGACTATGACACGGAGCTGGTCGCTGTTGTCGACATAGTACAGGTACGCCTTGCGATCGGCGTCACTGTAGCTGACGGCCAGCGACGTGTTGGGCTTGGCATCGCCCGAGTTGTCGAGCTCTTCGTCTGTGAGTGCGTGCACCAGTGATGCGAGTGTCAGCCATCGATGTTCTCTCTAGGTTGCTAGGGTGGGAGGGGAGGAGGGACAGGATGGTGGAACGCACTAGAGACATGAGCAGGGTTGGGAGAGTACTCCCACAGCCTCTTGGTGCCGTCGGACTGGTAGATGACGTAGCGTTTGTCTTCGGCCCCGGCGTAGTATGCGGCCAAGGACGAGCCAGGGAGGATCCTGGTCGTTTCGCTGTAGTTGCCAGGGGCGTCGTCGCCGAGGAAGACCTCGTTAATGGTAGTGTTGAATTTGTCCTCGCCACTGGAATTGTGTCTGTCAGCCCGTGTTCTTCCTGGCGATGATGATCACTTCCTAGAGTCTTTTCTTGGGGACTCACGTCAGGAAGAAGATCCAGGCGGTGCTGCCCGACGAGGTCGCGGCAATGGTGAGGTTGTTGGGCTGCGTCGCGGCGAGAGGCTGGTAGACGGGGCTGATGATGGACACATCGTTCTGGTTCGGGGGGTCACAGTGACAACCGTCCCCCGTGGTCGCCGGAGCTGCCTTCTTGGTGAAGCCCACGACAATGTCGAGGCCGGTCACGCTGGTGGCGGCAACCTGGCCCGGGTTGAGGATGATGCCGGCCTGGGCATCGTCGCCGGCCGCATACGTGGCCTTTTCGTCGTCCGCATTGCGTTCGTTGCGCAGCTGCACGCCGAGATTGTGCTTCTTGGTGTTGTAGAACAGCTGAAGCTGCTGCTCCTGTGGAGCGTTGGTGTTGAGTGAGACGGCGACTCCGCTGGCGGACATGGTGACGGCTGTGGAATAATGGGTGGAACGGACAGTGTAGCTGGGTAAAGTCTGTAGGTTGGGAGTCAATGCTGATGATGGTGGTTGCTGGATTGCGAACTCCACGATGAAGGGGCCGGCGGCGCTCGATTTATACGAATATCCAAGCCAGACCGCTCATCCCCTTCTCCTCTCCGCCGGTCATCTCAAACACGGAGACCTCGTCGTCGTCACCACACGGCAACCGAATGATGCCAATCCCCCGCACGATGGCGCTCTTCATGAACGCTGAACCACGGAAGCCAGCTCGAGGTTTGCTGCCGATCATCTCCTCAAGCTCTGCGCGTGCGTCGCGAGCTGAGCTAGTATTGAATGTTGTCTTGGTCGCCAGGCCTATCGGGATACCGAAAGACATAGACAACGCAGCAACCAAAGTCCGCCGAGCAGCTGTCGTGCTTTGTATCACTTTGAGAGTAGACCCTCCTCTGTGCCCCTGGTCCATAGAATCCTCATAAGCTGCGTTTTCGTGCTACCTTTCAGCTCTCGTCCTGCAGCTGTCGACCTGCGGGCGTCCGCAGGGTTGTCGCGGAGCAGTACTCCATCACGGTCCATCTGCCAAGTTCCAAAGGTGCGACTGACGATGGAATACGGCAGTGCTGGTCACTTGGTGGGCTGTAAACCTGAGTATATATGTGAGTGCTTGATTGTAATGTGTGTTCATGGCGGTTGTGAGAAGGCAAGGAACAACACCAGACTGTCGTATCTTCTTTAGGTGATGTGATAGGTGCGTTACGTAGAGGCAGGGGAGAGTAAGGGGATGCCCCAGCAGAATCATCGACCAAAAGCAACTCAGCCAAGGGAGATCTTTGCACAGACGCGATTGACGCGACCGATTAACTCTTTGGCTATGACCATCACCGTAGCTGAGTAACTTCCAAGGAGGATCTTGCCAGCGGCAAGGGCGGCCATTATCGTAACACCTGTACCTTCCAAGTTCAGGTAAGTTGTGTTATTGGTCAAGCTGGCCGGCAGAGTGTTCGGCATACATGGTTGCGTGGTGCCACCTTCCACTCCTGAAGAATGGCTCGCTCTTGCATGGAAACTCGCTCATCTCGACCGACTATGACCTAACAAAAAGGCCTAGATCACGAGCTGGCGGCGAAGGTCTACTTGAATGACTCAACTAGTGCCCATGCCGATTCGCGAGTGGCCTCAGCGAGACATTTGTTCACCATGAAGGGTTTGCAAGAGGTCCTCGGCATCTACCACACCGCCCGCGGCCTCAGGTTGAACCACGAGAATCCGTTGCCTGCTGGTGAAATATGAGGTCACACCGGCTGCATTGCTTGCTTGAGGAGGAGACTGGGCCGCTGGAACATGCGGTCCTCGTGGACGAAGACGGCCTGAGTGCTAGGGACCAGGTAGGTAGTCTTCTCACCTGCTTTCTGCGTATCGGTACTTCTAGGTTTGATTGGCTTGTGATCTCTGCCTCAAAATCCAGCTGCTGAGTTTGCATTGAGTCAAGTTGGTTACCATGGTCACAGGGAAAATATAGACATAGAGTTAATAGAGCTGATGTTCGGTAGTCTGCTGCAATCAATCTATCCCATTTGTCACATGGGGATATGTTCCGAGCCGTCCCGGAGCTTTAACTTGTCATGCTCCCGCTACCTGGGCACACCACGGCCAGGCCTTAAACTCTATTTGCTCAGCCGTATCTTTAAAGTGAGCAGAATGTAAGCAAGGACGCAACCACACCTTGCTCAAACGTGCTCAGGTTTGCTTCGTTCTGCGGGTCGCTGCGCTAATTACCGGAAAGTTCAAGCTGCCACCGGGCCTTATAATAATGATAGAACCCCATGATGAGTGCGCATTTAGGCCGCATGTCTGTCATGCAAACCCTCACAACAAACAAACCACAAACTCGCATTCAGACTCACTCCAACATGTTGTTCCTCAGCCTAGCCTATCTCTCCCTCATAGCAGCCTGGCTCCCGCTGCTCGCGCACGCTACGCCACACCCCAAACCCTCCCCTCGACGCAACATAGCCGGCGTGTCGGTCATCGACACCCCTATTGTCCGCGCTGCCCAGCAGTTTGCCCGGGACCATTCCGACGACAGGCTGTACAACCACGTTATGCGAGCCTGGCTCTTTGGAACCCTGCTGCTCGCCCACAACGAAACGCTCCGCGCATCAGTCGACGAAGAGGTCCAGGCTGTCGGACTGATGCTGCACGACCTCGGCGCCAACCACAGCCTCGATTCACCCTTCGTGACCCTGGACCGGCGCTTTGAGGTCGACGGCGCGTTTGCTGCCAGGGGTTTCATCCGATCACACCGGGACGGCAGACACTGGGACGACCGGAGGGTGCAGCTGGTCTGGGACGGGATCGCGCTGCACGCGGAACCGAAGTTTGCCCTCTTCAAGGAGCCCGATGTCGTGGCCATCTACTGGGGCAACGATCTGGACTTTTCGGGACCGGCTCACGGGGTGACCGACGCCGAGTATGCCGCTGTGGTAGCGGAGTTCCCAAAGCCCGTCAACCAGACGGAGATGGTTATTGAGGGCATTACTTGGTACTGTCGCCATAAGCCTCTGTCCACTTACGGTAAGTCCTCACCAGGGGTAATCACTCCGTTAAGTCTTTCTTTGTGAGACTGACTTCGCCACAAGATACCTTCATGCAGCCGTACGGGGAGATGTTCGTGCCGGGCTACTCGGCCGTGGGTCACCGTGCCATCGACGGCGCTTTAGGACGCTGAGAAAAGTGGTCAGGTGGCAGTAATAGCGTTTGATTGTTACGATGGTGACTAGTACTAGGATCTGATTTCAGGCATCTGGATTTCAGGCATCTGGATTTCAGGCATCTGGATTTCAGGCATCTGGATTTCAGGCATCTGATTGATATGCTCCCTTACAGGCCCATAACCCAAGCACCTCAGTTTACCTGTCCCTTGGTTATCGGACCTACGACCGGTTAGTTAGATTCAGGGCATAGTGCCCGGTCAGACAGCTAATAGTTCATCTTGATCGGCCAATAGCCCTATTGTTTAGCTTCATTCGCAAGGTAGTACTCTTGCATATCAGACTTTGTCGTCAGCCGCTCCTAGTAACGCACGGCCCTAGCGATGCGGTACCCACTAGCGGGTAATATTACAAGCTGCGACGAACGTGGAATGAGAACAACATGAGGGGGGACTGCGGAGATGGCCGCATCCTTGTCAATGGTAGGGGATGATGTGTAGTACAAGCATGTGGCGTCAACACAGCCTCGTTGGGCAATCTGCCTATTGGGATATCCAATGCCACATGGGAGGTCTTCATTGGCGGCTTATCGTTGCTCGCTGTTTGGAGACTTCGCTCTCGCAAACCTAACCAGGCTCTACCGGCTCAATTATGCCAACTCGTGAAGCGTCGAACGATCTGACAACCACAATATATTATCTTTCTTCCTGCACACTTTGCAGTTTGTCGGGCTGCATCCCCTATCATCATGGACCCGTTGAGTGCGCTGAGCATTGCCGCGGCAGGGGTGCAGTTTGTCGATGTCGGAACCAGGCTGCTTTCAGACGTGGTTGAGATATGCAAATCTGCAACTGGACAGACGGAGAGGGTCCTTACTCTGAGAAGACTCGCCAGCGACCTCGATGCACTTACCTCCCGTATTGAAGAAAAGGGGTCGCAGATACAACTGAATTCGCTGCCGGGATCTCCGGATTGTATGTTTCTGGAGGCGTGCCGGCAGTGCAAGGAAGTTAGCAAGGAACTAGCCGACATTATGCAGGCGCTGGGATTGAGGCCTGTGGCACACCGGTCGACATTCAAGCTGGAGTTCAAGTTCAGATCGGCCGCGGTAAAACTGGCAGCAGCAGGCAGACATATCGTATCCGAAAGCAAGATCAAGGACCTGACCAGCAAACTCATGGCGCTTCAGGCGCAGATGCAGACAGCAGCGCTCTTTGCACTGTGGTATGCACGTTCCGCTATTATAGCAACGCTGAGGCAGGGCAGCTGATGTTGACTGTAACCTACCAGGGAGAAAGCACAGAACGAAGGCATGACCCTCTGCCAGGCGACCCAGCAGCAGGCCGACATGATCTCGAAAATTGAGCGTGTGGACTCGACAACCAGAAATATGGCTGCCCTACTCAACGACGTGGTCGCAGGGGACAGATCCCTTGAATCAGCTACGGAAACCTTTGGGGCGTTCTGGTCATCGTCGTCGACGCGTCTCGACCTGATCCGCGCCATGTGGTCGGCGGACTGGTCGCCGCGAACAAGCCAGCTTTCCGCGACCGATTCTCACTTTGCGCAAGCGGCCGGACTGCAAATCATCAACAGCCTCGCTTTCCATTCCATCAAAGACCGCGAGAAGTCAATCCCACAGGCGTACCGCGACACGTTTGAATGGGCATTCGAGCCACAGTCGGGTTCCGATGGAGCGCTGGCATGGTCTCACTTCCCTACGTGGCTTGAGGCGGACACTCAGGAGATATACTGGATAACGGGAAAGCCTGGATCTGGGAAGTCAAGTCTTTACGACCCATCAAAGCCTAGTAGAGCACCTTTCCGTCTGGGCCGGATCGCATCAACTGCTTACCGCGTCCTTCTATTTCTGGAATGCCGGGAACGACCTGCAAAAGTCCCACGAGGGCCTACTTCGCACACTCCTCATTCAGTGCCTACGACAAATGCCCGATCTCATGCCGCGAGTCTTCGAGAGGCGGTGGGCCTACATGCAAATGGTTGGCACCGATGCTGAGCATCTCTTGCCGCCATGGGAATGGGACGAGCTCCTATCCTGTTTCAAAAGCCTGGCTTCCTATGCACGGAGCGAGTTCCGACTGGTTCTGTTCATTGACGGGCTGGACGAGTTCTCCGGGCAGCATGAAAAGCTCGTCGAGCTCGTCAAAGAGCTCAGCGGGTGGGAACGTCTGAAACTCTGTGTCAGCAGCCGTCCCTGGAACATATTCAGCGATGCTTTCCACAGAAACCCAAGTCTCAGGCTTCAGGACCTAACCGAGCACGACATTAGCCGCTATGTCACAGGCCGTTTCACATCGGAGCCGGCGTTCAACGAACTCCGGTCTCTGCATCCAGCAGAAGCCGCTAGACTTCTCCAGGAAATCTGCGCGAGAGCGGACGGCGTTTTTCTGTGGGTTAATGTTGTTGTTCAAGCGCTAATTGCGCGTCTAAGTGACGGCGACAATATAGCAGAGTTGCACAGGATGCTCGGCGAGTTACCGCAGGACCTCGAGAATCTCTTCGATGCCAGCAGACGATAGATCAACCCCAGGCACATCAGCCAGTCAGCACGGTATTTTCTCCTCGTGCTAGCCTCATCCTCCTGGTTCGATATCGATATGATCCGTATGAAGATGACGGCCGTGACTCTGCTATTGGCCGATGAGGATGAAGGGAGCTCATACCACCATGACTTTCCCCGGCTCATACAAAGCGGAGAAGCCCAGATGGTTGCCACAATGCGTCGTCGACTGGCCAGCCGAACCATGGGACTTCTGGAGATCTCGCCGTCTGGAGCAGTTCAGTTTCTGCACCGGGCCGTGCTCGACTGGGCTAGGCAGGAGTCGCAGGACGATCATCTCACCAACTTCAAGCGCGACGTCTCCGCAGACTTTAACCCACACATAGAGCTTCTGAAGGCGCAAACCACGAAACTGAAGGCTGCAACAGTTCACAACCAGGCCAGTGACCTGCTGGGGATGGGAATCTGGACTGACGTTCCATACTGCCTCGACCTCGCGGCATGGGTGGAGCATAACGCGTCCGAGCCAGCCGAACCAGGGACCATGGCCAGGCTAATACGGATGCTTGAGAGGTTGGACACAGTCATCGGGCAAATTGGCATGCAGCGAAATTATGACGACAACCACGAATTCCAAAACCTAAACCGCAGGCGCCGTTACGGGTCGTGGATACCACCTGAATCCAGTCGTTTCAACCAGCATACAGTTCTCCGTCTAGCCGCACAGTTTTCGCTCTATTCATATGTGGTGGCTAAGTTGAACAATGCAGTCTCAAACGCCGACAAAGATCGTTTGATCCCGATCCTGCTTAGAGACGCCATACTCGGTTATCTCCGCAGCAATTATACACGCCAACAGGATCTGAATAAGCTGACGAACAAGCCGCAGATCAAACTTGTGTCCCACCTCTTATCGATGACACAACGCACCCCCCAGAACCGTCACGTAGTTGAGGAAGTATTAGAGGAGGCACGTTACCGGTTGCAGCAGCCGGATATCATGAATCACAATTCTGTCTTAGAAGTTGTACGCCTCCTTGAAAGGGAGCTCCGATCTCCTATGTGAATGTGGGGATGGTGCTTCATAAGGTTTCGTCTTGGGCGGCGGACGTCACAGTCGCCATTCACAACTGGCAAGTATTTATTACTCCGTACTAGCTCCTCGTTCGTTTTTCAGGTGGAGAACTAACATCCAGACTCACTAGATGCGTTCGATCTACAGGGAGCAATTCTGAGATTATCTTCTGGATCTCCCCGTCGCCTCCTTTGGTCCACCACGGCCATGAAGCAAGAACTGAATAGACGCCCGAACAGCCCGCCGCCCCCCCAAAACACACCCCCCCGCCAGAAATGGCAAGCCAGCACCTTTACCGGAACTGCTTGTCATAATCAACTAGGGTAAACCTGTACCGGACGTCGTTGTTATGCAGGCGCTCCACTAGTACGCAAACAGTCAGCTCTGTCTCTCTCTTTTTGACGCACGGGGAAAGAGGAAGCGAAGAGAATGAATAGGTACTACTCACGCGCCTCCCCAACCCCCTTCTCCCCAACCGGAATCGTCTCCACCCAGCTCTTGATCCCCCTCTCGGCCGCGAGCCGCAACATGTCCAGCGTCTCCCGCCTACTGCCCAGATGCGCGGCCCCGATCAAGCAACCGTTGGCGAGCAACGACATGGGCCGCACGCGCCACCCGTCGCCCTCGGGCAGGCCGACACTGATGAAGCGGCCGTGCACCTTCAGCAGCGACAGGTAGGCGGCCAGGTCGAACCCGTCGTCGTCGGCGCTGGCCGTGCACAGGAGCATGTCGAAGGTCATTTCAAGCTCCGGCCCGGTGTTCCACCCCTTTTCCTGCGTCGCGAGGAACCCGTCGGCGCCCATGGCCAGCGCGTCGGCCTTCTTGCTCGTCCCGCGCGAGATGGCCCAGACGGAGGCGCCGAGCGCTTTGGCGAAGAGGATCCCGAAGTGGCCGATGCCGCCGCTGGATTTTGGGGGGACTGGATTTAGTAGGGCGGGGTGTGTGGCAGAGAGAGAAGGGAGTAATTGGGGGAAAGTACGTACATGCCGATGATGCCCACCTTCTTGCCCGGGCCGACGCCGTTGCGAACGAGCGGCGAGTAGGCGGTCAGACCGGCGCAGAGCATCGGAGCGGCCAGCTCCGAGGGGAGGGCGTCCGGGATCGGGAAGGTGAAGTGCTCGTGCGCGCGGATGTGGGAGGAGTAGCCGCCGTGGGCGAGCGTCCCGTCGGGGTAGAAGGAGTTGTACGTGTCTGATGATGGAACACCGTTTGATTAATCCTTTCAGTGACCAGTAACCCTCACTTCATACTATAGTACTTGGTAGCATGGAGCTAGTACTCACCTTGCTGCTTCTTGCAGTACGTCTCGTTGCCCTCCTTGCATTGCGCGCAGTCCAGGCAGGCCGAGATCTGGGCGCCTACGCCGACGCGGTCGCCGACTTTGACAGTCGTCACCTTGGGGCCGACTTTGACTGCAGTGCCAACAATCTCTGCGGGTTTGTTGTCGTGTCAGTGTTACTGTGCTCCCCCCTTTTATCACTCGACAGTCTGCTACGCATATCACTCACCATGCCCGGGGATGATGGGCCAGTTCTTGTTGCCCCAGCCGCCCGTCGCCGTGTGCAGGTCTGAGCCGCACACGCCACAGCAGGTAATCTTGACATCGATGTCGTAGTCACCAAAGGGCTTCGGCTTGAACTAGAGTTAAGAGGGCTCGTCAATGTACTGCCAGGACTTAGGGATTCAGAGTTTTCCGCAACAAACCTCGATTCTTCGCGGCTGAGTCCATTGGTCGGCAGCCGGAATGGCAAATCCTTCGAATGTGTCAGGATACATTGTTGCGAGTCTTGGGATCGTGTGAAGAAACTTGGGATTTCAAGTGCCGCTCAGCACAGATGCCTGGATGGTCCCTCCGGGCAATGGTACTCGAGTCTCCTGTAGTACACATGACTTTATGCCGGGACAACAGTGATCCATCTATCAGCTTGTCATGTGGCCGATGTCATGTGGATGGCTTACCACTAGGCTCTAGCTAACTTCAATGGAGGCTAGCTAACTTCAATGGAGGCGAGCTCTCTCTCTCTCTCTCTCCCCCCGAGTCTCGGCCCGTGACTTCGCTGGCGGCCGTAACATGCCGCCTCCACCCGCTTCGCCCTGGGACGAGGCGGAACGGAGATGCCGCCCAACCCCGCCGAAACGCCTCGGAGCCAAGCTAGTAGTTGGGGATCACACGAGTGCGTCGGTACTGTACTAGTAATTCTCTTGCCGATAGCCTTGGCAATCGTTCCTCCCAGAGTATCGGGTCTCGGCTATGTGTCATGCATGCAGCTGTACTGAACCCACGTGGCAAGTATCCGTGCAGCCGGGTCCGAACCAAAAGTGTTGTAGACTGAGGAGAAAATAGCCGAGCCGAAATACTCTCAGACCTAAAGGTTCGAGACTCACATAGCTCACGGTTGGCATCCTGTCAACGGTTGCAAACACAAACGAAGGCAAGAACACCCTCGATTAAAGTTGGCAACCTCTAGGGACTTTCGTAGATCTTTGTAGATGGTCGAAGCCTTCCCAACATTTCGTGCCATATGCATTACTACAGTATGAGTAGTCACACTACGATGTAAGCCCAGCACCCTTCATAGCCGCAGCTTGTGCCACGAGCTCTTTAGCCGTCTGCCTAAAGCTCCTATATCGCAACCCCAGCTCGCGCGCCGCCGTCTCGCCATCCACACCATGACTCTCATCAATCGTCTGTTCCTCCTCCCGTACACCCCTCGCCTTCGCCCAGTCAAACTCCTCCAACACAATCCTCGCCGCAAGGCCATACGAGAACCGCTCCGGCGCAGCGGGCAGGAACCTCTTCCCGCCCGCCCCGGGCCGCAGCAGCGCTTCGACATGCGCCTGCGCCACGTCGCGCACGTCCACCCAGAACGGCACACGCGCAACGGGCAGCGGCCTCTGCCCGCTCGCGACCTTCCACAGCATGGCGTTGGACTCGTTGAGCCTGTCGACGCTCTCGACGGGGTGCACGACGGGGCCGAAGGTCATGGGCGGGCAGAGGGTGGCGAGGTCGAAGTGCGGCGCGCGGTCGCGGACAAAGTCCCAGGCGGCGAGCTCGGCGAATTTCTTGGAGCCGCGGTAGGCGATCACGGCCGAGGTGGCCGCGTCCGCGGCCTCGGCGTAGCTGAGCGGGTTCCAGTCGGCCGCCGTGTAGGTGAAGTAAGGCGGCGCGGCGCGGTTGGCGTCCATGACGGCGGCGAAGGAGGAGGTGAGCACCACGCGGCGGACCGAGGGGGCGCGGGAGGCGGCGGTCAGGATCGCGCGGACGCCGGCTATCGCGGGGAGGATGAGTTCCTTTTCGTTGTCGGTTGTATTGTAGGTCAGTGGCTGGGGTGAGTTGGTGAGTATAGTACTAGTAGTAGTGTGTAGAAGGGGGATGTAAGTAGTAGTATGTATGAGAGACATACGCTTGCGGTGTGAATCACGCCGTCCACGCCCTTGACGGCATCCTCGAATATGCTGGCCTCATCGGCCTCGCTGACCCCGTCGAAGTCCCTGATCTGAACGAAATCGAGTTGTCCGGCGTACTGGGGCCGGGCTTTGACCATGGCCTCCCCCTTTGCTAGCGACCGCGTCGCACCGCGGACTCTGATGCCCCGGCTGAGGAGCTGGTCGACGACATGAGCACCAATGAAGCCGGTCGCACCGGTGACCAGAACGTATTGTCTGTTGCTGTGAATTAGCATGGGAAGCATTGTACGGGACGGGAGGTCCATACACACATTGTCTGCGTCATCTCAACTATGGGCTCTTTTCACACCACCCTCTCCGAGACTCCGCCTTCAGCTCACAGTCTGGAGCGTTTTTCGTTCGGACTCAAAATTTGGCATAGGTCCCGTAGGAGAGTTCGATAACGAAAAAGGTATTAGGTCTGTCCTCCAAACTGCACCCAACCTCAGACTATCAAAGTCCTGATCTCGAACAGCTGGAACATGGTCGTCCGAGCGGGCGGTACCTACTCCGTCCCTCCCCGCGCTGGTGTGCCGCTTCCCCGCTGCGAAACATGCAACCGGGCGAGTGCCCTGGTTCCGCGGCGGAGGTCCTGCCGCCCACACCCGTCTGCAACACCATGATGCATGCAACCTCAGGGGCGCTATCGGCCAGGGGATGGGCATCCCGTCCTTTTGTGGACCGACATGGGATGCCGTGGAGACGGACTAAGGAGAGACCGGCCCACATAGTTAGCACCACCCGACGTTCTCCCCATCTTCGTCCCCAATTCCCCATGGGGAGAAGAAGAACTCCATCGTCTCCGTTTCTCCACGCGCGTTGCCGAGCGCGCTAGACGTTGAAGTTCTTTGGACCGTATTCCCGGAATGCGGAGGTGAGGAGCGAAGAGCTGAGAACCAAGGGAAACAGACATCAGAAGTCGTTCGTCGAGTCCGTCGAGGACCGGCAGCCGTGGACGCGTCCTTGTTTGGCCCGTCTATATGAACGCGGCTTCTCCTGCTCTCCAGCAGACGCCATCAACAAATCGGCCACCATCACTTTTGCCGTCGCCTGCTAGTTTTGCCTGCCGTCTTCCTACCATGGGCTTCTTCAACAGCCTGAGCGGCAACTGGCTGGTTGCCGCCATCACCGTGGTCAATGCGGGTAAGAAACCCTTTTTCTAAGGGTCAACTTTGTCCAGCTCCACTGGCTGACAGACAGAAGTCTCCATGTCATGGTTCGGCTATGACCAGGGCGTCTTCTCGGGCGTGCTGATCTCGGCCGACTTCAAGCACTGGTTCCCCGAGACCAAGCAGGCCAACATCTCGGGCATCACGTCCAGCTGTTTCTCGCTCGGCGCCTTCTGCGGCGCCATCTTTGCCTTCACGCTCGGCGACAAGCTCGGCCGCAAAAAGACCATCGCGCTCGGGCTTGTCGCCAATGCCGTGGGTGCGGTTCTTCAGATCGTCTCGTGGCATCTGCCACAGATGATCATCGGCCGTGTCATCAACGGCTTCGGCATGGGTAAGTGTTTTTCTGCTGACCTTGTTTCCCGCCTACCTGGTTTTTGCCTTGGCCTCGCCCTAACGACCTCTCGCCCTCCCAGGTCTCACGTCGTCCACCTGCCCCGTCTACCAGGCCGAGTGCTCCCGCCCCGCCGTCCGCGGCAAGCTGGTCGTCGTACAAAGCGTGTGCAACACCGCGGCTTTCTGCCTGGCCAACTGGATGAACTACGGCCTGTATTTCTCGGGCGGCCCGCTGCAGTGGCGCTTCCCGCTGGGATTCCAGCTCATCTTCCCGGTTTTCGTCACCATCGCTCTGCTGTTCGTTCCGGAATCGCCCCGCTGGCTGCTGCTCCGGGATCGCCACGAGGAAGCGCTCGAGATCATCGCCCGGCTGGAGGGCAAGGGAGTCAGCATCCACAACGAGGCGGTCACGGCCGAGTTCCTGTCCATCCGCACGGCCATCCACAACGAGCGCAAGGATCGAGCGCCCTTCATGGATGTCATCACGTTCAAGGACAAGCAGCAGAACCTCAGGCGCCTGTTCCTGTCGATGGGCACGCAGTTCATGCAGCAGTTCTCGGGCGTCAACGCGCTGGGCTATTATCTGCCCACGCTTCTGCAGCAGAGCGTCGGCTTGGACGAGCAGACCGCGCGGCTCATGACGGGCGTCAACGGCACCATCTACCTGGGCGCTGCGCTCTGCTGCATCCTGATCATTGACCGGTTTGGACGCAGAAAGTGAGTTGTCTATTGTCAAATATCAGCTGCCTTGCTGCACTAGTAATAAACTAACCCATGTGTCTCAGAATGATGCTCTACGGTGCCACCACCATGGGTGCCTGCTATCTCATCGCATCCATGTGCCTCCGCGCCGCGCAGGCGGGCGACGCCGACAAGAAGCAGATGGGCAACGTCACCACGGCCATGTTCTTCCTATACTACTTCTTCTACGGCACCAGCTTCGCCAAGGTGCCCTGGGTGTACAACTCGGAGGTCAACTCGCTCGGCTGGCGGACGCGCGGCGCGGCGGCGGCCACGGCGACCAACTGGATGGGCGGCTTTATCGTCACGCAGTTCACCAAGGTCGGCGTCGACAACCTCCGCTGGGGGTTCTACCTCATGTTCGCCCTCTTCTGCTGGGCCTACTTCCCCGTTGTGTTCTTCCTGTACCCGGAGACGTCGCGCCGCACGCTCGAGGACATGGACGAGCTCTTCATGTCCTACCCGGGCGCCCTTGTCTTCAACAAGCCCGAGCTGACGCAGCGCCGCCGGCCCCAGGCTTTCAAGGACGCCGAGCAGAGACGCATTGCCGACGGCGCGGCAACTGATGAGATTGGCGGCGCTGTGCTGGACAAGAAGGACCTCGAAAATGTCAAGTCGGCGCACATCGAACGGGAGACAGCTGATGTTTGATGTTTTTTATGGGTCGGTGTGTAATACGGTAAAAAGGATATGTCAATAATGTGACGGGGATGATGCCTGATGCTGATGCTGGTTGGTGCCAGACGAAGTGGAGAGCGGTGAACGCAATTTCGCAGCTTCATATGCCGATTAATTGGGACCAAAGTGGAATTTAATGGAGAGGATGTCATTGAGATCTGTTGTTCAATTGAGGTCTGAGAAGTGAAATGGGTGCGCTGCGATCGAGCCATTTCTTCCTTTATTATAGGCCAACCGTTCCATCAAGGCGACGCGATCAAAAGAATACCTATCCGTGGTGGTTCAGCCGAGTCATGATGATAATCCCTTTGCATGCATGAAATACACCCCTGTAACCTCCTGCATGAATACCGCCTCGGCAAATGACTTGCCGTTTATTAGCGTCCGTCTGCCCTGTGGACCGCCGAGGAGCCTTCTCGCTCCTCTTCCTTCTCCACAAACCAGGCCAAAAGAGCAGATGAGCAGATGAGCAGATGAGCGCGGACAGGCGGCCCGCAGATGGCCTCGGGTCAGGTATCCGCAATCACCACATCATGAGCTTCAACCGCAGGAGAGTAGCGCTGGCCTGCACCTTCTGTCGGCACAGGTAATGCTTTTTGGCGCTTGGTGCCTCGACTCGATCTTTCAGAATACTAACCGACGACCCCGCAGGAAGCGCCGCTGCGATGCCGGTCGCCCGGCCTGCCGGAACTGCATAGAAGCAGACGTCGACTGCCGCTACGATGACACGCCGTCGCAACGCATCGACTCCAGCGGCGGCAGTCGCGAAATCATCAGCCGGTTACAGGAGATTGAGGCCATGCTGCAGCACCACCTGCCGGGCATCAGTGCACTTGTGTCGGGAATCCAGGCCATCGTCTCTCAATCGCCCGGTGGCATAGCCGCCACGTCGCCGGCCAGCCAAGCGTCGACGCTCCAGGCGGCGCGAATCCTGTCGCACGATCTTGCCGGTGCCGCTTCATCACCGTCGTGGACGTTGCCCTCCCTGGGCATCGAGCCGCACCACCAACTGACCGCGGTCGCCGACCCGGAACTGGCACCGCTCACCATCCCCGTCGGCCACAAGACTTCCTCCAACTACCTGCTCCGCCTGCCAGCCATGAAGCAGCTGATCGGCGAGTATCCGGAGGACCTGTTCTTTTTGCTGGAGTCCCGGAACACCTTGCCCACAGAACTCCCCGTGCAACCCGCCGTGACGCCCCTGACTTCGGCCGAGCTGGACAAGGAGTATCTGGATTGTCTTCTGTCCGCCTTCTTCTCCCACGCTTACCAATGCCACCCCATCCTCGACAAGGATGAGTTCCACCGCATCTACCAAGACTTTCTCAAGAACTACTTTGCCGACCCGTGCAGTATCGAGTCGGTCCTCTGTCTCGTGGTGTTCGCCATCGGAGCAGCAACGCTGGCGCCTCGTGGCGCGCAAGGCTTTCAGACTTCTCCACCGGGCATGGTGTACATGCAGGCGGCCTTGCCAACCTTGGTCACCATGTCGTCGTGGTCCGTCAGTTACAACCTGCTGCTACCGCAGGCCTTGGTGCTGGCGAGCGTATATTTCGCCTACATTATCCGGCCCCTCCAGAGCTGGCGGCTAGTTTATTCCGCCTCCTCACTTCTCCAATTCAAGCTTTGTCGGTATGGAGAACCACGCCCCATATCCACCCTAGCTTGACCACTGACATGTATTCCGACAGACTGTCGACCCGTGAAGACGATCCAGCCTCGAAAGAGACAATTCTGCGCATATTCTGGTCGTGTTTCCTAGTCGAATGTGACCGCCTAGCCGAGCTGGAACTGCCACAGAGCGGTCTCCAGCAGCTGATCGACCAGACGAGTCTCCCCAGTTTCACCTCCGTCGACTCGGCCTCATCAACCGCGTACTTGGCTGAGATCTCCATCCGGCGCTTGCTCAACCGGGTGCACAACTCGCTGTACCCCCGAAAACAGAACCCACTCTCCTTGTCGTCTACCTCGCTGACTGCCCTCGACGACTTCTCCGCCACAGAGATCGCGTCCGCCACATCCGTGTGCGGCGAACTCCAGCGGCAGCTCACCTTATGGTATGAGTCCATCCCGGCGCCCTTCCGGCCCTCGCTCGGGACAGAGGCCACCGGAAGCGACCGCGAGACGGTGCTGCGCATCCGGTACTACGCAGCCAGGCACATCATCCACCGCCCCTTCCTGCTGTACATTGTCACACATGATCTGCAGCACGTGTCCGATCCCGGTATCCTGGAGAAGGCCGGCGTCTGCATTGAGAGCTGCAGGGCGTACTTGCACAACACCACTAAGATCCTTGTGAAACAGAGCCAGTACACCTGGACCTTCTCGCTGTCGTGAGTTCTCAGCCTCGGAAATCCCTTCTCACTTGCCCACACTGACTGGCTTGGCTTTGTGGATAGATCGTTAGGGGCCATCGTGGTCCTCACCCTGGCCTCCCGCAGCCCCGCCCTCGCCGGCCTAGTTCCCGACATTGATGAGCTGCAAAGCTTGGCCATCGACAACGTGAAACCGTGGGCGTACCGCGGCTCGAGTCTGGAGGTGGTGGTGTCTATTATGGAAGAGATGCAGAGGAAGCAGAGGCTGATGATGGCTTGTGTCTGAGTTCTCGTTGGAGGTAGACAACCGACTACATACGATGATGAAACGAAAACGTGTCATTTTGCATTGCAAGGAAGCGCTCCGTTTTCGTATTTGGATAATCAGGTGCTATTCCACATTGCTGTCTTGAATGAGGCATACTTAAAGCCTAAGGTACCTGACCTAGTAGGTAGACGATGCGATGAAGCAGCAGAACGAGGAGAACATCGGCTGCTCAGCATATCGAAGTTCGATGCACAAGACAGGACAAACTGGACGACGTAGCTGAACATCGTGAGCCAAACAAGCGGGTCGCCCCAGGTCACTTCGTTGCCTCCTGTGCTGAGGCTGCCCAGCAACATGACGATGGGTAGGACGACTGTGAGCGAGCGGGCATAGTCTACCCGGTAGTTGTAGTCTTCTTTAGCGGGCTGCGACGGAAGGTCGCGAGAGACGGCACAAGGTACCAGACCAAGCACACAAGCGGTGGCCGGACGAAAAAAAAACCCATCTTTCAACCAAACAAATGTTGAGAGACCACCCACAAGGCCGCCAAGCCCGGTGTCGAAACCCAATGGTATTGATATCGGATGCCGAAGACGACACCAGATACTCGCAAGCCACGTCGTCGCCCGTAGTTATTCCCCCATCTTCCAGCTAACGGCTGTGTTCCTGTTATTCCAACCTCGTATGCCGTGACAATCTAAGGAAATGGTTGTTGACTGACGAGAAACATGTCGAGAGTACGGTAGCAACGATTGTCGGGTCTACGAACTTAAGGGTCGGGCCTCATGCTGCTGGACTTGTGTGTGTCAGGGGCATTTGCTGAAAGTTCTAAACTGTGATAGTTATGGTCGCCGGTCGGCATGACGGTGGTAGAGCGTCACACATGGTTTGGTGCTATCGGGGAAGAAAGGGAACAGAAAACTTCCTAGTTGATCAATCATGATGTCCCAAAAGAACTGCTCTATCAGAAGTTTTCGGGGCATTTGACTCGGCAAACTTAATCATTTTGGTTGAAACCGTTTGCTTTTGGCATGGCATAACCTAAACCGACCACTTCAGTTTCGAAAACCTTGCCTTCCTGTTAGGGTACCTTCAACTGCTCTCCCGAATTTATCCTGCCACATCTTTCTTAAAGCTGCAAACCCTTCTCGCAGCGACTCAACATCCATCTCGAAAGACCACCTTTTCCATTTTTGTTTCGACAGAATTGTGACCTCAACGGAACAATGGAGTCCGTCGATGACGATATAATCTTCGTCCGCGACTCAATCCGATATGCTGCCATTGGCGCTATCCCTGTATGCGCGCCTCCACTCACCCTTCGCTTATGACTTTCCATACTGATTGGCTTCACAGTTCAATCCTCAGCCGGGCCTCCGGTGCGCAGATGAACTTGTGCCACATTCATTGGTGACCGTTGTCATGGTTGAGCGTGGAGCACGCTTGACCCAGGAATGGCTCGAGGAACGACTCGACGACATGGAGCAGGGCTGCGACGGGGTGCTAATTACTGTACCAATCCGAAGCCTCCAATTCCCGCTGCTGCAGCCTGCCTGCTAGGAATTAGAGCCAAATGGCTGGGCATTCGGAGCGGTTGGAACCTCGCGAGCCGTCTTCCGCCCGGACCCTACCTATACGTAGACAAAACTCTCAAGCCTGTGTACCGGCTCTATGACGACAGCCATGGCGCTTTTCTCACAGTATTGAGGCCGAAACCTAGCCGGTGGTTTCCGTGGGTCACCGCAACCCTACAAGTTCTAAGCTTACCAAGAAGCAGGGACATGCAGCTCCGAGTCGCTGGTATTTCGTATGATTGCTGCAGTGTTGCTGTACCCGCAAGATATTCCAAGGAATGGGACCACTCCGCGCGGGGGTTGCGGGTCGTGGTGAAAGATGTGTTCCGTATCAAGGGGTTGAAAACGTCCCTCAACAACAGGGCTTATTACGAGATCAGCGAACCCGCAGAGTTTACGGCTTCGGTGATAGCGACTCCAGCTTGCGATGGCGCACATATTCTGGGCATGACGAAACTGAGCTGGATGATCGCGCGTGAAGAGCCACTTGATGCGGTGGACTTTCCCACCGCTTTCAATCCCCGAGGGGGTGGTTATGAATCCCCCGCTGGTAGCAGCAGTGGCACTGCTGCAGCGGTGGCTGCCTACGAGTGGGTGGATTGCGGCATCGGTACCGACACCAGCGGCGGTGGACGGCGACCGGCCGTGGCCAACGGTATCTGGCAGTTTCGTCCATCACACAATTAGCTCAGTCGTCACAGCGGCATTGTTCTATCTACTCATTATTCGATACGCCGTGTATCTTCTCAAGAGAGCTCCGACACCTCCAGTCGGCGTTGAACTCCTGGATTTCGCATAGCCATGACAGGGACATCGCAAATCACAACGTGAAGATCAAACACGAAATCGACGACGATGACTGCCTTGTAATTACCAGCACGCAGGACAGGAGACCTTCCTACGAAATCGTGTACCTGGTCGACCATCTACCAGTGGAAAACAAGGAGCAGATGGCCTTGATTCATGGGTTTCTCATCGACGCCGTAGCTCGTCTCCCTGCAACGATCAGGAAATCATCTATCCGGGAGTCTTGGAGATGTAGTCACCCCCAGGGAACCTCTGACGACATCGACGAGTATCTCAGAGACGTCATCACGCGTACCTATTACTACGCCTTCTATCACTCCACCGATGGCTTCCGTGAGGAGTATGCCAAACGTCACGGCGGCAGGACTCCTTATGTGATCCCCTTCGTACAGCGTCGATGGGAAAAGGGAGCAGCCGTAACGGCCGCGCAGCATCGGGAAGCGGAAGACAAACTGATGGTATACCGAGATTGGCTGATGCGCACAATCTTTTACCACGACACTCCGCAAGAGCAACAGAAGCAAGTTTTCGGCATCCTCCCCATCTCGAATGTGGCACCCAACTATCGCGATATGCCATCTCCTTCCCCCGAGGAACAGTCCGCGCTCGACGAGATGTTCCTGCCGCCGATTCTGGGAGCGCCGGACATCACAGTTCCCATTGGCGACGTGCCATATGAATCCAGAATCACGGGACAGACGGAGTATTTGCCTGTTGTAGTGGATCTGATGGCAGCTCCGGACAAGGACTGGCTGATGACGGCCGTGGAGAAGATCATGAAGCTGTCGGGGAGGCCGACGGCGGTCTAAGACAGGGAAGCGGATGTTTGCTTGATCCGGGATACGTGAGAGCAAGGACGGTCAGGCGGTCAGACAAGGAGATAGACTTTAGGCACGGCCCGTCTATCATCGCAATGTGAAACAGTACTGCTTTCCCCACACGAGAAGGACTGTTTTCCTTCTTCTTCCTTGCGGTGACAACAGCGTGTCCTCGCTTTAGTTCCAAAGACTAACCCCAAAGAGACAATCACAGCTCGCCACCCGTCGGCTGCGCAATGATCTGCTGGCCGATATCACTCCGCCAGAAGCTCCCGGTCGGGTACGTGTACTTCTCCAGCGCCTCGTCGGTATACCCGATCGAATAGCCCGGCTCGAGCGGGGTGACGTAGTGGGCGTCGACAATCTGCGACGGGTGCCGGAGATTCTCGCGGTGGCTGTCGGCGAACTCGAGCATGGAGCGCTTGCCGCTGACGGCGATGTAGTCGATCAGGCTCAGGTGCGACGTCAGCTCGGTCAGGCCCATGGCGCCGTTGTGCGGCACGCAGGGCACGTTGAACTTGAGCGCCATGAGCATCACGGCCAGGCACTCGTTGACGCTGCCGAGGCGGACCGCGTCGATCTGCGCCACGTCGGTGGCCTCCGCCTGCAGGAGCTGCTTGAAAGTCACGCGGTTCTGGGCGGCTTCGCCGGTTGCCACGCCGACACCGTAGGGCTTCAGGGCTTTGCGGATGGCTGCGTGGCCGAGGACGTCGTCAGGATTGGTGGGTTCTAGGATCCCTTTAGTGAGTTTGTGTTTCCTGGACAGGATGAAGTGAAGAGGGTTCACAGACCTTCGATGAAAACAGGCTTGAACTCAACCAGCTGCTTCATGTAGTCGATCGCTTCTGGCACACTCCAGACCTTGCATCGAGTCAGCCAGCCTGGCAAAATCTGCGAGTGCTCAAAAGGAGGCAAACCCTACCTGGTTGGCATCGATCATGATCTGATACCCATTATCATACCCCAGAACGTCCCGCACAGCCTTCAGTCTCGCCCTATCCGCCTCAAGGCTGGTCCCAACCTTGAACTTGAAGACGGTAAACCCCTGCGCAATCGTCTCCTGCAGCACCTCCTTCATCTTATCCCCGCTGAAGGCGAGCCATCCCGGACTGGTTGTGTACGCCGGAACGGCCTTATTCTCCAGTGCCTCCTGCAACCTCTCGTCCTTGCCTTTCTGGGTCCTCTGCAACATCTCCAGCGCCTCCTCCGGGGTGATGACATCGGTGATGTAGCGGAAGTCAATACACCGGACCACCTCCTCGGGGCTCATGTCGCACACGATGCGCCAGACGGGCTTGCGCACGATCTTGCCCCACAGGTCCCACACGGCGTTGAGCACGCCGGCGACGGCGAGGTGGGTGACGGACTTCTCCGGGCCGACCCAGCGGTACTGCGAGTCCGAGACCATGTAGCGCCACGTCTTGCCCATGTTGCGCGTCAGCTGGGCCATGGTCTTGTGCACCACGCGCCGGGCGAAGATGTCGAGCGCGAGGCAGATCAGCTCGCTGCCGCGGCCGTTGCTGAAGGCGATGCCCTCGCCCACGAGCCCCGGCCGGTTGGTCAGCAGGCGCACGTACGGATGCGAGCCGTTGGTGCCGACGTGCATGGCGTCCGAGCCGACGCCGTCCAGGCTGGTCGGGAACCGCAGGTCGGTCACCTCGAAGCCGACGATCTCGACATCGTCGACCGTGATGCTGTCGGGTATTGAGCCCATGGCTGCTGGCGGTTAGTGTCGAGGTTGAGAGGGTTGAAGCGGGTTGGTGTTGCAGCCTTTCAGGTCCTAGCACGTCCGAGCCTGATGAAGGTCTAAATCTCAAGATGATGTTCCAACTGGCAGATGAGGGCAAAGAAAAGGAAGGTCTTTGTAGAGAGGCCAGCAGGGTTCGGTGTGATGTCGGGCAGACGGGGTAATAGGGGCCGCTAGCTGGCAAGTCAGGAGTCGCGAACTTCAACTCAGAACCCACTCCGGCGTCGTCTGCCGACCCAAACCGTGGGGAACCACCCACGAGGCCGTGAGAACCCCGCGAACCGCATTCTCCGCACTCTGGCGCATCCCGCGGCGCTAGTGGCTTGGATGTGGTGTCGTGGTGGTTTTGGGGTGGTTTGACAACAGCGGGCCCCTAACAAGACCAGAACCACTGGCTTATTCCCGAGCGGGCTGTATCCTGCCGCCCTTCCCCCCTTGCCGCCCCGGCCCCCACACCAACACCAACACCCCGCCCTTGCGGACGCTCTTCCCCACTGCTCCCACTTGTGCCGTCTTTCCCCGACGACACAACGACATGATATTGGCTTCACACCAATCTCGCGCATCAAGTCACAGAGCGCGCCACTGGTGCCACCTCTCGAATCACGAGCAATAAGGCAAGATGACAGGCGCTGGCTGTACGATACCGCGGCAGCGATGCCGGCGTATAGGAAGAAGGATGGCCCGTCACGCGGCCGCTTGCGGAGAAAGATGATCTTGACTCTCGTCGCATCCCCTTCAAACCCGTGAACAAGACTTTTGGTTCGAAGCCCTTTTCACCTTTAGCATCACCCTCTCTCAACCGGTGTCCAGTCCCTCTCAGCCTCCGACACAACAACACCCAACATGCCCCAACCGACCCCGCCTCCCTCCCTTCCCGAGGGCATCTGGGCGCCAACCCAAGTCTTCTTCCACGATTATGACGCCGACACCACCTCCCTCGACCTCGAGACCATCGCCCTCCACGCCGTGCGCCTCGCGCGCGCGGGCGTAGCCGGCCTCGTGACGAACGGCTCCAACGGCGAGGCCGTCCACCTGACCGCGCCCGAGCGCGCCCAAGTCACGCGGACGACCCGCGCCGCCCTCGACGCCGCCGGCTTCGCCCACCTCCCCGTCATGGCGGGCGCGTCCGACCAGTCGCTGCAGGGCACGCTCGCGCTGATCGAGGACGCGCGCCAGGCCGGCGCGGCGGCCGTGCTGTTGCTGGTGCCGAGCTTCTTCCGCTGGGCGATGGACGCGGCGGCGATCGAGAACTACTTCGTGGCGGTGGCGGACCGGAGCAGCGTGCCGGTCGTGATATACAACTACCCGGGGGCGGTGGCGGGGCTGGACCTGGACTCGGATATGCTCGTCAGGCTGGCGCAGCATCCGAATATTGTCGGGACGAAGTTCACGTGTGGGAACATTGGGAAGCTGGCGAGGGTGGCGGCGGCCGTGAATGGCGCTGCGGGGAGAGCGGAGTATAGGTGTTTCTCGGGCGTGGCCGACGCCATAACGCCCGCGCTTGCGGTCGGTGGGCATGGCGGCATTGTGGGTGCCGCGAATGTGTTTCCACGCGCCTGTGTCGAGGTGTATGACTTGTTCATGGAGGGGAAGTGGGAGGAGGCGAGGATCAAGCAGCAGCGGCTCGCGCTGGCCGACTGGGCATTGACGAAGAGGGCAATTCCGGGGTTCAAGGCGATATTAAGCAAGTTTCACGGGTACGGAGGGATCCCTAGGCTGCCGGTGCAGTCATTGTCAAAAGAGGCGGAAGAACTGCTGTTTTCGGAGGTTGAGGAGATGATGAAAGTGGAGCAACAGCTCAAGGATTTTGGGAGGCCAACACAGTCATGATGTTATCACTTGACTGCCGTGGAGCAAAGAAATAAGGTAGTTCGGAGAAGGGAATACCCATCGCCATGGCGGCCTAGCTCGTGTCGATTCGGGGAGGGCGATGAGACATGAAATGGAACAAACAATCCCACGTCAAGCGTAATGTTGAACGTCAATACAACATAACCGGTCGCCAGAGAAGCGCAATATACACAGGGCCACCAAGCTAGCGGCAAACGTTAATGTGGGCAACTTGAAGTGTACAATACAAATCAGACACAACCCCCTTTTTGGGACAGGGCTTTCGAAACCGAGGACAACTTCGCCTTCGGCCCGCCAACAGAAGAGAAGCAAACCACAAGCAGGGCAGTCTGCAGTAAAATGCAACTGCTCACCAACGTCGATCGCCCAGGTATCCAACCAACCGCAACAAATCCACACAAAAAGACCACCAACTCCCAACACCTCCACCAATCCACACAGAAGAAAAAATAGAAATCACGCACAGTGCATGGTTAGTTATTGCCACAGAACCCCGCTTTGCGCCCCCTCCTGCCCCGTCTTGACAACCCCGAGGTACTGCTTCAGCCAACACTGCGCCGAGGTCCCCGGCCGAAAGACGGCGCCCACGCACTCCGCCTCTTTCGCGCACGCGTCCAGGCAGCCGGCGAGGCTATCGATCGTGCTCGCGTTCTGCAACCCGAGAGTGCCATCCCCGTTGGGGTACTCCGCGTTGCATTGGATGCGGAAGACTTTCTGCGCGGATGTGTAGTTGAGGTTGTTGGAGCCGGGACAAGTCGGGTCGGGCACGGGTGGAATGGCTTGTGCGGAGGTGCTGTTGGATGGGTGGGTGGTGGTTAGCATCTGCAACGGTGACAAACAGAGGGAGGGACCGGAGGGTTGGTGAGCTTTTATGTACCTTGGATCACCCAACGCCGTTCTGATCGACCCGGACGCGACGCCTCCCAGAATCCCCGCCAGCACGATAATGATTGCCAACGCGATCACGATCACCCAAAAGATCGGCCTCTTCCACAGCGGTACGCGGTCCTCGGGCGGGAGCGAGCCTTCGGGCTCGTCGACCTCGCTCCACGCTTCGCGGAGCGAGTGGACGCCGGACCTGCGCGGTAGCGGCAGCGGCGGCACGAGCGGGGGCGCCGATAGCGGCGAGAGGGCCGAGGTTGAGACCTGTGTGGTCCCTGTGGTGGGAGGAGTCAACGGGGCGGGCTCTGGCTGCGTGGGCGCGACCTCCGGGTAGCTCTTCTCGTGCTTGCTCGTGTCGTGGTCGTCGGGTACGACTTCAGGATAGCTCTGCATACTCGGGTCGCCATTGGTCGGGATCAGGCCATCGTGGTACACCCGCGCTGGCGGCTTCTTGCTCCTCTTTGCCATGGTTGTCGCTCGTCGCGCTCCGCGTCCGGGTCGCGCATGCGAGGGGAAGCGAGCTGTCAATTCCCCTGGGGGGCAGCAATTGAGAATTGAAAGTTCAAAACCGACCTCCTAGACGGACGGAGGGGAGACACATCGTGACGCCCCCGATAAGCGTTTACACTACACCACAAAAACTTGAAATCCCCGAACCCCCCGGAGCTAACGTTATTGCGTGCGGGGGTTCGGGAAGGATGGAAAGCAAAGCCAGGTCCTTCATTATGACGGTGGGTACGTGGGTTGCGGCACCAAAGCTCCGGTGCAACCCTCCCTCCTCGTGGCCTGTCGCCAACGCGCGCTTGTTCGCCAGAGCATTTCAAAATTGCAAGCGACGGCCCCGCCCAATGCGTGGCTCACAGGAGGACCTTTCCGGTGCTGCGCCGCTCTATCGAGGCTCATCCGGGGGAGACCTGCCTGTTTGAGGCGAATCCACAGATTCGGTTAGGGGGGTGATGCAACGATGCGCCTGCATTAGCGCCGGTCGATCTCCTGCTGCAGCGAACGCGGCCGACGAGCACAGGATCTGGGCAGTTATTTGGGTGCCTAATAAACGCGGGATTTAGCTGGCGTCAATTGCAGTCTCCTTTCCATCCAAGAGGTGTTTCAACCCACGGATATCGTATGTCTCTAAATAGGATCGCGAGATATCAGTCGTCCACTCAGTGCCATTAGAATGTCGGTGAACCAGATGGCCGACGACACACGACTGCTCTGCCTGGTAACCGAGGCTAGTGTATTGAAGGGCCCCTGCCCCCCGCGCTCGGTGGAAGTCCATACGGACAGGGATACGGGCAATAGGAGATGCAGTGCTCGTTCCAGGCTGAAGCTTAAATTCAAAGCGTTCGTTAATAAATCAATCCATCTATGAAGTCTGCTTTGTACGTTCTTCACCATCTAAAGAGGGATGCTATACCAGCTCAAACACTTTCATCTTTTCCATCTTGGCCAGAAGAGACTTTGGACCAGACTAGCCGCACTAACGAACGTCCGAGGAGCACGTGGGAGACTTCCGGCTAGTGAGTCCATAATAAGCCACCCGTTAGGCGGTCGTGCCGAACTTCGCCAGGTACTCCTCGTGCAGCTTCTTTTGCTTCTCCCACTCCTTCTTCAGCTTCTTCACCTGGCTCTTGGGCACTTCGCTGCCGTCCGCCAACTTGGTCGGTAGACCCTCGGCATCCCATGCCTGATACTTCCCATCGCCCTTGAACATCTCATGCGGAGGGACTTTGGCCTTCGCCCACTTCTCTTCCTCTGCCTTCTCTCTGGCTTTCCGTGCTGTTTTGAGTTCCGTCAACGACAGTTCTCTCGAATCTCAACATGGATCACATACCTTCTTCCTTCAACCTAGCCTTCTCAGCTAGCAAGGCGGCCTTCTCTTCGCGTGCAGCAATCAGTTTAGAGGCTGGTACAAACTTGATGAGACTGGGCTTGTCTGTCTGGTCGTCAAGCTGGACGCCCAAATCGGTGAGGTCATAATCGCGGATCCGATCACTTAGCGCAAGGACTGCCTGCTTCGCGTTGGTATCGAGGCCCGACAGAATCGCGCGTAGCTCGTCACGCAGGCGGGAGGTTGCGCGAAGATAGGGAAGAGCCAGCTTTTCCAGGTCCCGTTCTCCGCTCTTCTCGAGCTCGACAAACTCGGTCTCTGGTGTCTGTTGCTGGAGCAGGCTGCGAATTGACGGTTCGGACAGGTTCAATGCCTCGATATCGGCTTTGACCTTCTCATATGCCGCCGCGTAAGGCTTCACGGCGGTCAGGGGTTCGAGGTTGGCAGTGGAGGCGGCATCTGCAGACGACCATCCAAGGCCATCATATGGGGGCCCAGCGGCGGCATCAAGACCGAAAATGCCTACGATCTTGGTAACCCACCGAGCAACTGACTCGAGAGCATGTAAACTCGGCTCAGTAGACTTGTCGTTCATGTAAATGTTGGCGTCCCTAACGAGCCGAAGAATAATCTGCATGGCGCCGGGTGTATCGAAAGAGTTCCGGAGGGCCGCGTCTAAATCCTTCTTGGCCTGCTCGAGCTCGTCGATCAGGCCCTTGGCCTTGGTGTCATCCAGAGACAGATCTTTGATTCCATCTGCGGTTGACCCAGCCTCCGCCAATTTCGCCTTGATGTTGGTGAAGAAGTTCTGTCTTCATTAGCAACAATCGAGCCGTCGCCCGGCTGGGGACCTACATCAATCGTGCTTTCCCAGTTGTCCGCCTGCTTCCTCATGTCCTGTGAGATCTCGACTCCGTCATTCCAGCGGCCCATCAGAAACACAATGCGCATGTTGCGAGCGGTGTATGTCGTCGCGAGGGCATCTTGTATTGTCTGGAAGTTTTTGAGACTCTTCGACATCTTGCTCCCTACAACCGGTGTCAACTTTAACCTATTATTGCCACTTGCTAGACATACCTGCGATTGAGAGGTGTCCCATGTGCTGTGCCAGGTATCAGTGAGTTGTTAGTCTAGCAAGCTGAGCGCGGTGAACCTTACCAGGAAATACTTGACCCAGGTGTGTTCGCCTTTGCCGGATTGGTGGAAGTATGCCTCGCTCTGAGCCAACTCGTTGTCGTGGTGGGGGAAAGCCAAATCAATACCACCAGAGTGGATGTCCATCTGTTCACCGAGCTTGTCTGAAGCCATGACCGAGCATTCAATGTGCCAACCGGGGCGACCAGCGCCCCAAGGACTAGGCCAGTACGGCTCACCAGGCTTCGACCGTTTCCACCTGTGATGTCCTCAGATTAGAGAGTCTTCCCCCAACGAACCGTGAGGCAGGGAGAAACGAACAAGGCAAAGTCTCCGGACCGCTTCTTCCCCTCTAAGCTTTTGGACAGGGACCCCTCGCCCTCCTCCTGCAATGCCTGGTCGTTTTTGCTCTCGGGCCGTAGTCGAGCGTACGTGTTACCTGCTCTCTCAAATGCCGCAATATCGAAGTAGACGGAACCATTGGCCTCATATGCAAACCCCTTGTCCACGATCTGCTGAACGAAGGCCACAATCTGCGGGACGTACTCCGTGACCCGAGTCACAGCATCTGGAGGGAGCACATTCAAAGCTTCCATGTCGTCGTTGAAAGCTTTCTCCATTGCCTTCGTGAGATCTGTGAATATGGTCTGGTCGCTAGTGTCGATTGTCTCCTTGTATAGGGAGTCAAGATACGGAAGGAGAACCTCTTCGGCGCCGTCAAATCCGGATCCATCTCTCAGAGACTTTGCCGCTGAGTCCGTGTTGCTGAGGTGCATCTTGAGCTTCGCCTCAGCGTCACCAGGTTTGCCCTCCCCTGAGAGTGTGCCGCCAGCGAGGACGCTGCCGTACGCAGCGTCTCTCCTTTCATGGTAGTTGTGCTCATCTAGCGCCGATTGACCTGCTCCGGTTAAGAGAGGAAGGTTGCTACTGGCATAAGCCTGGAAAGCCTTGAAAACGAGCTGTCGTATTTGATCCGGTGTGTAGAGCTTCTCCTTTTCGAGCTCGAGCAGTCGCTTTCTGCGTGCTTTGATGATGATCTACATGGGGTCAGCTCGCCATCAGCGACGGCGCCCATAGTTGTCAAAGCTAACCTTGTCATCCACATCTGTGTAGTTCATCTGTCTTGCGGTCAACCCTTGTCTCCGTTTGAGTGCTCACATAAACCCACTCACCACAAACTTCACCTTGAAGCCAAAGTGGTGCATTAGGATACGGCGGATGATGTCGGTTGAGACATAGTTACGAGCATGACCCAGATGGCTCAAATCGTAAGTTGTAGGCCCGCAAGCGTACCAAGAGACTTTGCCTTCCTCCCTCGGTACGAAGGGCACAGGCGTGCCGGGCTTCAGCGAGTTGTGGACTGTGATGGGCGCCATTGAAAATGCCCGCGAAATCCGGGGTGCTGTGGAAAATGGTCGGAAAGAATGGAAGAAGAGAGTCCTGATTCCAGTAAGTGAGCGCATTCAGCCGTTGGCAGGGATCTTAAAGCGTCCTAGGCGACCTATTAAAAGGTCAGCGTGGCAGTTTGGGATGAGTCAAAATCTACGGTTGGTTCCGGCCATTGTTGGAGGAGCGGCCCGAGCGGGGCCCTCGTTCCCCACCGATGGCGTGCGTGGTGGACCAAGCTCGCCAAGCCTGCCAAGCCATGACCATAAAGGGATCCCGGTTCACGCCTCCTCGACGGCTTCTCGTTGGCGTATGGTCCCGTTCTCCGTGAGCATTGGCAACTGTCAAGCTTCCTCAATTTGACATGGCGGCATAGAACTCGCCATTGTTGATTGTCAAGCACGCTATCAATTCACAGTCCAGCAAGACAGACGACCCACAACGGAACGAGCTACGGCCTCCATTTAACGCAGTGCGCTCAACCAGTTGCGCGTTGCCCGTTCCCTCTCCCCCGAAAACGACGATGCAGCGCGATGCCGAACACATATCCTAGCGGCCCTGTAACCCCCCGGTGCTGCAACAATAGAAATGGCCAGAATTGCGCATGTCTAGCCCTCCTCTTTTCCTGAAGGCCAGTGGCCATTCACCGCCCTGCGTCCGTATGCCCTAGCAGACCCTTGAGTCTCTCCACAACCGCCGACCCAAAATCCTTCTCATCATCTAGGAACTGTATCCCGAATCTCTGACACACTATCTGTACATTTCCACGCTTTCTGTATTTCGGATGGCACGAAACAATGGCCTTGCCTGCGCGTGCACATAGGCCCAGCTCCAGCAGACTGACTGGGGCATCGGTCGCTGGGCCAAAATACACGACGATCAGATCGGCTTGCTCCTGCATGTCGAGTTCCCATATCACCTGCTCTCGAAACGGGGTGAAGGTCGGATCCTCCCTCCAAGAGCTATCCCAGTCGGGTCGGAGCGGATTGAAGATTGTCACGGGTAGGTGGGACATAGCGTCGGCGAGGGTCTCTCGCCAGTCCGACCCCGCTGTTCGGCTGGTGGTACCTGCGAGGAAGACTGATCTCCGGCCAGTAATGACCGGACGGGACGGCGCGTGGATGACCTGTGCCTTTCGGACGGGACAGCCTGCCATGGTTCGAGTGCTGTGTGGATCTACTTTCTCTCGGTGGCTCAAGGCGGGAGGTAGAAGACGGCTGGCTGGACAGAGTGTTGACAAATACTCTATGCACAAGAGGGAACTCGTAGCTTGATCAAGAAAAAGGCCGGGTTGGAAGCAAATGTGCTAGGTGTGTGATACGATACGATAGGACCGGCAAGTGTGCGGCTCCATACGGCCCGCAATGCTACAGTGGCACAGAGACACATGCCGCAGATGGGGTTAGGTTGGCCTGGGTATACATCATCCTCATCATCCTAGCACCGAAGCAGACTTCTGACGTAGCGGACTTATCCTTGATGAGTGCGGCATTAAGTCATAGAGTGTGATTAGATGTCATTCCCCCTTGAGTGTTGAGATAATCATTGTGTTGCCTGCTGTCAAGTGGTCCATCAGCATTGACGTCCATTTAAGGTTGGGATCTAGAACCGGGCACAGACCATAGTGCACGCCCCACAGCATGCTGCATGTCGCGTGTTTCGCACCTCGCCCTTGAGATATCGCGTCGCAGAGTGATATCGGCGGTACTACGCTCCAGAGAAAAGAGCTCGAGAAGAGAGAAGGGCTCCAATACCGCATTCATGATGGACACAACCGTTACTCCGACTATTCAACCTTCTACACAGTCGCCGGCCTCGCCGGGCCCGACCACAGCGATCAATCAGAATGTGGCTTCCAAGGACCTGTCTCAGGCTCAGCAGGGCACTAGTAGTGCTTCCGACTCAGCCGCATCGCATGAGACACGACCTCGCCCGGTTTTCAAAATGAAAAGGACGGGCCATAGTGGTCCCCTCCCTTTTTCGCTTACTCCTGGTCTCCAGGGTTTGCAAACTTTGAACGGCAACCGCGGCACACCTTCTCCTTCCTTCCCAGTGTCACCCGTACCAACCCCCGGAATTCCGAGCGCGGGTTATGGTAACGGCCCGACCTCGAAACTCCTGTCACAAATGGAAAGAGCACCAACAGAGGGGACAAAATTTTCAGAATTGAATCCTCCCACGGTGACACCGAGCCAACAAGACATTATCGTAACTCAATCGGAGGGGAGCGTGGATGCTTCCGGTGCCGCGCAAAGACGAGAGCCATCGAAAGCTGGTTCTCGTGACGGAAGGGTGAGTATACTTATACATGGCTTAGGCTTTCTTGCTCTGGTCCAAATTGTTGAACCTAACAATTGCAGAGCTCGGAGCAATCATTCAGCCCACCCGAAAGCACCCCCGCAACGGGGAAGATGAAGACCACTGGATTAAGTGACCAGACCCTCCTGCAAAACAACTCAAACAATACCACCACAGAGATACCCTCATCCATCCCGACTGATGTGCAGAATATCTTCGACTCGGCGCTTGACGCTCAGCCGTATAAGCACTGGATAGGTGCGTCCGACGTTTCCGACTACCACATGACTTCACCCTGCAGATTCCTGCAGTTCCCGCTAACCAAGCCGTGCAGATGAATCCGGACAGCACCATTCAACTGCTGGCGGTCTGCTGCCACCGGGGTATCAGCAGTCAGGTGATCCGGTCTTCCCTTGGGTGTGCCCGGTCAGGTCATGCAGGAAATTGCTTTCTTCTTTAGTCGGACTGGGAAAACACTTTTGTGTGAGCTGGAATACGGTTTCGACTCTTCACAGGCATTGTGCTAACGTTACGTAGAACACTCATCGCGCCACTCGCTTCAACGATAACCTTGACGGTACGCTCACTGACCTCGGCACCTATTGTGATCCCACTAAGAGCTATGGAAAGAATATGGGCGGATGGGCCAAGCCGCCTATTGTCGTGTCTAAGCGCACCATGACTTTGGTAGAGTCCCCAATGGTTGAACCCAGCATTCATACAACAGGGACTGTGAAGGCGACAGGTCCGGTGACAGTAACGCAGAGGGGAGGCCCACGCCGATCATCAGCCTTGCTAAAGAAGGCAGACTCTGAGGAGAGCGATTATACAGTGACCGACGACGAGTCCGTTACTGCAAGCGGCGCTGCAACGGACGTACCTCAGCTGTCATTGTCCCCGACAGCCCCAAGCCGGCTTCTCAAGATGGCAAACCCGGATAGGCCATACGACATGTTTGCTGGTGAGTCCCAATTTCCAGCCATGGAGCATGGCCGATGTTCTGATTGTCCCGCTACAGATGGATCTGGCCGTCTCGTTCGGGCGATGGGTGCACTGATACCCGACGGATACAAGCAGGATACCACCATACCATCGCGCCCTTGGATCTGCCCCGTTCGATCGTGCCGTTGGTTATTCAAGGCTCTGCATGATCTCGGACATCACTTCAAGGTATAATGAGTTAGTCTGGTTCTGTGGAGACAGCGGCGTGTGCTGACGATGCCCAAGCATAAGCACCGTGGCTGCGAATTAAACGATAACCTGGATGGGACGCTTTGTGTCTTGCGGGAGAAGGGTGGTCGCTCTCCGCCTGGCATCATCTCGCGGAATCCCATGGATTCCGAACCGATTGGAAAGCCCAAGCAGCCGGTCTATCGCAAAAAAACGGTGCTCTGGGTCGAGGCAGTCAAGGGTGATGCCTCTGAGGGTTCTCTTCCAAGGAAGGTTGACCACATCGCTCCCGATCGCGACGCCCTTGATGTTGTTTCCGATATTGGCTTGGAGACCGCAACAGATGGCCGGCTGTATGATCACTGGTGGGCGGGTGAATCAGGCCAGCTGGTACATATGGCCGGCGCCTTGATACCGGTAGGCTACAAGCTTGACGATACCTATTCAGATCGCCAGTGGGTTTGTCCCATTCGATCATGCAGGCTTGCTTGCAAATCAAAGAGGAGTCTAGGCTACCATTTTCAGGTGAGTTGGTGTTACACTATACCACAGCTAGTGTGATTAAGCTGATACCAATCGCCTGTCGTTAGATAACTCATAAAAGCTGCACTTTGAACGACAACGGCGATGGGACTTTCTCAGTCGTCGGCTACTCAGCCTCCGATATCGCTCCCCGTGTTGTTTCCAGGAAACCACTAGATCCGAGCGAGGGTCCTATACCAGAGCCTCAGTTTCCAGTATGGAGCGCCGAAGGCTGCAACGCTGCGCGGCAGAAGCGCTTGGTTGTGCAATCCCCAGCCGGGCCCTCAAGCGCTGACGAGAGTGCATCTGTCATCACCGGCTCCTCCACTGCCATCTCCGGCGATGCAGATCGCCTGTGGAGCTACATTCGCTCTCGAGTTGGCTTCCGACTCCCTTCCTCCGCACCGTCAGGCCTGGAGTTACTCCTCCGGCAATCCAAGCTGCGGGACCTGAATTTGGCCCGTTTCACACCGCCGAGTGCGCTCACTCCCAAACAATACGCCGCCATGATCATCCAAATTGTCGGAGAAGAGAACCCCAAACGCTGCAGCGAATGTCGGCGCCATCCTGATCCGCTTCACAGCTGCGTCGGCCTTTCAGTAGATGCAGCGAAAAATGTTTACGGCCTATTAACCACCTCCGCGCGCGCATGTGCGAACTGCCTATTCCGCAAGCGGGATAACCAATGCAGCCTCAGGAGGTATACCTCTCTCCTTCTCACCGCCTCTGAGGATCGTTATGCAGCACACGCGCCCCACGATACTTTTGAGGAGCCGGGCGAGGACATTTTCGGCCGCAGGCGGTCTACGCGGCTCTCGCTAGTGCATGACGATGACGACGCGGATTCAAGGGGTGAAAGCATGGCCGATCCGGCTCCTAGGTCAAGGCCGAGACGATCAGTCCTTGGAAGACGTTCTGCTGCCGCATGGAAGACTGACCCGCCCACCGAAGCTGATCTGCACATGGAGAGCTGGGAGATTGCCGACCGGCGGATCAACGTAGCTGACGAGCGTATGATTTCCCCTAACCTGTCAGCGTTCTGTTGCTACCGTACTGATGACTTTCTAGCGCTGGCGTTCTCCTCCGCCTACCTCACCGCCAACCAGACAGTCCAAGTCACCTCCAACGCAACCTTCGTGGCAACCACCATCCCTTCTGGCCGCGTGGAGCAGTTCCCTGCCGATAGCACTAAGACCCGCATCTGCACGCTCTCCAGCGGTAAGCTGCGCGTCCAGGTGGGCAGCGAGCCGGAATTTGCCATTGGCTCCCAAGGGATCTTCAAGATTGACCCCGGTGTGGCTTGCTCGGTAAGCAATAGGTGCTATCTTGATGTGGTACTCCATATCACCTCATTGAGTGCGGCGTAGCCGTTGAGCATGCTTCGTGGGCAAGGAGAAACGCAATGATATCTAAGGTAGTTGTAGTAATTATAGCAGCGAGGTCTGAACTAGATTGGAACTGGCCAAGACCACATCTAAAGTTCAGGCAATAAGCCGAGCAGATGTTCCAATGCCATGTCACTTAATGTAATGTAACCAGAGACCTTCAAGAAGCTATCTGTAAGCTACGTCAAGGCAGGCATTGCGCTCTATAGGTGTCTGGAATAGCTGTTTCCTAGGTGTTTCTCTTAGGAGGGTTTGTACACTAGGCCCGTAACCGTGCATTGAAGCTGTTCGATAGGTGTCAACTAACACCTAGATAATGGAACTCGTATCCAGGCTCGAGGATTAGCCTGACAGTTATCCCAACCCCTCAATTACCACGGTATGTGTTTCGGCCGCTGAGGGACAACCACACGCAAGAATACCTTACTCTAAGAACTCACTTCCCGCACACGCAGCCAACATGACGAGGATAGCAGGCATGTGACTCCAATGCGAAGTATTTGACCTTCTATATTCGACATCATCTGAGCCTTTATAACTTACAGCCCACTACCTCTTACGCTTGACACTCTTCACGAGACCCAGTAGTCGCCCCTTCAACCCCCCAATCACCACGCCCAACCCAACCTCGGGCCCCTCATCAGCCGCCACAAACCGTCTTACGAGTATATTAAACATCCCGCCAAACGCCAGCGCAATCGCCGTCGAGGTGAAGATGATGACGTTGTACGGCATACTGAAATCAGGCGTCGGCAAGCTGCAGAGTAGGGACGTCGTCCGGAGGTAATACGCTGCTTTGGCCCGGTCACCCTCGATGCTGCTCGAGTTGCTCCCCGTGGTCTTCGGATCCAAAACGGTGATAACCGCCGCCGCAACGTCGAACCCGCGGTTCGCGTCTGGCGGGTACTCGGTATACCGCAGGATGGACTTCTCAAAGTCGTACGTGAGAAAGACGGTCGACGCCGGCGGCACGCGCATGCGCACCTCGAGCTGCGTGCCGCGCGCGCGGTCGAGCGCCGGTCGGTAATACACCTGCTTGACGAGCGACTTATCCGGCTGGGAGTGGCCCGCAATGCGGGCTTCCATGGTATGCAGGTAGATGCGCATGAACCAGGGCAGGGTTTCCATGTAGATGAATTCCACCTCGGTGTCGGGTGATGGGTTACGGAGGATGGTCCGGACACCGCCACGTTCTTGGCCGTGGCCCGTAAAACTGCGCTCGGCGTAGAGTAGGGGAGTTTCGGGGGGTACAACCTGAACCGAGGGGGATAGGCCTCCGTCATTTGGGGGAGGCAGGATCATCTCAAAGTCGGCTGACGGAGGGATCTCGAAGCAGCGAGAGAGTTGGTCGGGATTCTTCTTCTCGCGCACGCCTTCGGATACGAAGACGCTACGATTGTCCGGGACATGGAGACAGACTGGCGGGACAGCGGGGTCTGTCAGGGGGCAGGTGCCCTTCAGAGTCTTGCCAAAGATTTGGGAGAGGGTCCAGTCCCGGTTGGCAGTGTGATCCGCAGGGAAGCACGTGTCGTGGGCGTGGTACGGTTTCGAGGTGTCGCATGGCAGTTCGTGGGACGGCGCAGGTCTGGGGATCGGGTTATCTAAGAGATCGTGAGCATGACGGCACAACGAGCAACCGCGGAATGGTTCGTACCTCGCGGTCGTTTGGACCGATCAATATCGAGCACCATGTCGATGGTCTGCTCAATTTGAAGAGCACAGCCTCCATTTGGCGGGCATACCGGCCGGATATCAATGGCCATGGTCTGCCAGGATGCATCAAACAGCTTGTGACCATCCAATAGGGTCGCAACGCCGGCCTTTCCCTTGCATGGCAAGAGCTTCAAAAAGGGGGTCAGATTCTCGGTGCAGACCACCTCGTGCGGCAGCACGCCGTATAGCAGTTGCAGATTCGCATCGCTGGGATGGTCGCCTTCGGGCTGGAACGACATGACAGGTCTCGTCGTCCGGGTGCCGTCGATGAAGTTGAGAGAGGCGCAAAAGAGGCCGGATAAGGCATTCGTAAGGGTCAGCCATTTGCGGTCGGCCCTGCGTCCCAGGCAGTTAGCGCTGGGATGTTGCATAAGGGCATATCATACAGAGAGATCGAAGAATCTTACTCATCGTCTGTATCAGCCTCGAGCCATGCCCACAGCTCAACGCCTGTCCCGCCCTCGCGCGCTCCCTGCCATGGCCTAGCGCCCCAGCTCTCGGCATCCCATCTTCCCAGACTGAACCTCAGATGCAACTCGCGCGTACCGGCGTGTTGCAAAATCTGGCCGAGCGACCGAGGAAAGAATCTGAAGTTTCCCTTCTCGAATTCGGAGACGGTAGTGTTGGAGCGAAAGTTGAAGCTCGCTAGCAGAGCCGATTGAGGCAGCGGCCTCAACACCAGCTGTTCATGGTAATCGGTGGCGGATGCGGCCTGGGGAAATGCACATAAGGAGAGTAAAGAAAGCCAAAGGAAGGGAAAGAATTGACGCATCTTGCTCACCACGGCCTGGCCATTGGCGCATGAAACCGCGAGAGCAAAGAGTGTCGATTTAACCTGACAGAACTCGGGTGTCTTGGCAGCCGCGGGATGCCTGTCACGAAGATGACACCGGGCCACCAAGAGCAGCAGGGGTTGCAGAACCGAGCAAGGGGCCAATTTGGGTCCCACCATAGCCCCACTTCCCCAACTCCATTCCTTTTCGCGTTTTCAGCCTTGCAGCACGGCTGACAACTTTCTTTTCAACCTCGAGATTCCCAAAGCTAAACGTCTCATCCACCTGCCTGTCACCCACACAGGAACCGGGCATTATTAGACGCGCCTTCAGCCCATATCAGCACATACGAAACAGCGCGTTACAGCCAGCACCATGGCGGCCGAGCAAAGAAAGCTGCTCGGTAAGTTAGCAGTGGCTACGTCCTGCTTTCACTGTCCACAGTGCTAAACTGATTGTCCCTTTCACAGAGCAGCTCATGGGCGGCGGCATGGCCTCCCGCACCGCACAGCTTCCCCTGACCGACCCCAAAGTCTGCCGCTCCTACCTCGTCGGCACCTGTCCGCACGACCTCTTCACCAATACCAAGGCCGACTTGGGCGCGTGTCCGCGGGTGCACTCGGAGGCGCTCAAAGCCGAGTACGAGGCCCTGCCAGAGGCGGAGAAGAAAAAGTATGGCTTCGAATATGACTACATGCGAGATTTGCAGAACCGCATCGATGCATGCAATCGCAACATCGACACACTCCAGCGCCGGCTCGAAAAGACGCCCGACGAAGTCCGCCAAACCAACGCTCTCCTGAAGACCATCTCGGACCTCGGCTCCACCATCGCCAACGGTCTACTCGAAGTCGAGATCCTAGCCGAGATGGGCGAGGTCAGCCGGGCGTACGACGAGTACTACAAGGTGCGGCACGCGCAGGCGGCAAAGGCGGAGCGGGAGAAGGAGCTGAAGGCGCTGTCGGAGACATCTGGCCCATCTGGGCACCAGAAGTTGCAGGTGTGCGATGTATGTGGCGCCTACCTGAGCCGCCTCGATAACGACCGGCGACTGGCGGATCACTTCTTCGGCAAGATGCACTTGGGCTTCGCGCAGATGCGCAAGGCGTATGATGCGTTCCCCAAGGAGATGAGGGGCCGGCAGCGGGCACCGATGCCGATGGGCGGTGGCGGGGATGAGGATATGGGCGGTGTGCCTACGGGCCCGGGAGGGGGTTACAATGACGGGGGATGGGGCAAGGGGCCGAGGGGCCCGAGGAGTGGTGGGGGTTACCGTGGATCGAGGGGCGGGAGGCGTGGGTGGTAGTCACCAAACCTCCACTGTGGGCTTTGCATTGGTATGGCGTCTGGCGTTCATGTGCGTGAAGAGGTCAACGGTGGGATATCTCGGTTCGGATTGCTGCGTTATTTGGATATAGAGCGTGTGTACTCAACTTTACCCGCTCTGCCACCCGGGTTGATGCCATATGCTATAATAAGCCGGTTCCACCAATACGCCTCTGGATGCAATACTTGCCTGATTCTTATATTCATTAAACATGGCGCGTCCAAAAAGTATGGTGTTCCTGTTGAGAGAACAACAAGCAGTGTCCGCAGTAGCAAGGGAACGATAGATTGGAGGGTACAGCTTCACTCAAGCTAGTATCCCTCGAAAAGGTGGTCCCTATATGACCCGTATATTACAACAATCTAAATCCCCCGCCGCCTCGGCAGCCACCCCGCCAACACAGTCGCGTCAGCCTATGACGTCGACTGGCTGGCATCCATCGCCGCCACCTCTTCATCCCACTTGCCCACCGGGGAGGCGAGGGGGAAGTCGGCAATGGCGGGCGGCTTCGCAGCCCACGTGGCCTTGGCTTCCCTCGGTGCGGCGGTCGACGAGGGCAGAGCGGGGAAGTCCTCGGGCCTGAGGTCCGCCTTCTTTTGCGGCACCGGCGCCGGCGCGGGACCGGCATCCTGGCCCCGGCCGCGGCTCCGCGAAGCACGCGCTCGGTCGCCGTCACCGTCGCCGTCGCCGTGCGCGTCGAATAGCGGACGACTGCCGCCGCGGCCCCCTCTCCCTCTCCCGCCGCGCCCCCGGCCATTACCTCTCCCGCCGCCCGGCAGGCCGCCATCATCCAGCTCGACGCCTTCCCCTGGTACGGCAAACCGACTGCCGCCCAACCCCCCACGCGAGGCCCTCGTCCCTCTAACCCCGCCATGCGCCCCTCTGAAGGCCCCCCTCCCGCCATCGTCGTCCTGTGGGCCTTCCTTCCCAATATCCCACCCGCCCTCCTTGGCGCCCATGGCCTTGAGCTTGCGCTCCCGGTTCCGGGCCCGCTCCTCCTCCAGCTTGCGCCTCTCCTCCTCGGCCGCCTTGCGCCGCTCGGCCTCCTGGGCCTTGCGTCGGCGCGCCTCTTCCAGTCCCTTGGCGAGCGCGGCCGCGTGCTCGCTCTCGTCGCGTTGCGCCTCCTCGAAGCGCCGCGTCTTCTCGGCCGCCAGCAGGCGCATCTTCTCCATCCGCGCCGCGAGCTCCTCCTCGGTTAGCTTCGTCCGCGGGTTGGCGCCCGAGTTGAGCCGCGCGGTGGTGGCGGTGGTGGCGGCGGTGGTGGCAGTGGCGTTGCGCGTCGACGACGGCTCGCGCGGGGCGTTGGGCGGCGGCTTCTTGGTTGCTGCGTCGCTGGGGTCGCCGGCGCGCGATTCCGATGCTGAGGCCGGCTCGCTTGGTGGGTGGTCCGAGGAGGGCTTCGACTTCTTGTTGTTGTTTCGGGGCGGGCGAGGTGCTTTGTCCGGCCGTGGGCTCGGGGCGTGTCGGGATTGGGCTAGGGATTTGGGCGGCTGGTGTGCTGTGGTCGGGGCAGGCTGTGGCGCGGCCGGTGCCGCTTCTGGTTCCGGAGATACGCCATGACTGGGCGCTTGGTCTGGTACCGAGAGGGTGATGACTTCCTCCACGGGCTCGATGTCGTCAGAGAAGAGATCGTCGTCGGTGCGGCCGCCGAATTGCTCGTGGTCCATCATTGCTGTGTGAATGGTGGATGCAGGTGTGAATGTAAATCTACGTATATAGGTAAGCACTAGAAGTTATTTGGTGGTGTCGGCAGGAACAAATGAGGGTGGTCGGTATATATGGTCCAAGCGATGCGATTGCTGGGTCAACTTGGAGGTTGATAACTTGATGAAGCGTGTTGCGGGGAGGCCTTGCCCGTGGGTCTTCGCGGGGCAGTCTGCAGTAGGGTTTCGTACTTGCGAAGGAAAGTCGGTAACAGGAAATAGCCGATTTGGGCGGTAATTGAATTACCTTGGCATGGCAGCCAAGCCTAATTAGGAAGGCGGCTAACATTCTGCCCTTCCAACTTAGGCGTAGCTTCTTCCAGCTGAACAGCAAAACCTCACTTATAACATACAACACTATTCTCAACACTACATACTATATTACCAGGCCTTTATTATAGCTTTATAACTTACCTCTCCATACAAAATTTGGTGGGCGTTAGGGTCTTTGAACTAATGAAATCTCTGGGATGTCCAAATCTACCCTGCAGGCCTACTTTGCTGTAATATTGCCAGCCGTTTGTGGCAAGGGTAAATTGCACGATCTGGATGAAATTGCACAATTTGTAATCTTCATTCCGAACCCTAGTCTGCAGTGCCAAAGTGGAGAGGTACTTACGTAAGCATTGTGGGTAACCTCGAACCGCTGGATTGGAGATGAAACTCGGTTGAAAGTTGGATGAAAAGGTGAAGTTCTGAACGGGGCTCGTGCAGGCTGGCATTGGCTTGATATACCCGTGCCCAGATGCCTTACTCTAAACGATTAAATCATCACCCATGATTGTGCCACCTTCTCGATAGGTGTGAGGTATTACGAGTAACTAGCAGGTATGTAGCCCTCACACACCTAGGGCATTCACCCGGGCGATTGGCATTCGCACTGTGCGGATCGCATGTCATTGCCCCTTCCATCTTAGGTGATAGTCAACAGTGCGGAGTTTGCTTCACTGTGTAGCCCTTGCAGGACGACGACAACTCCCAATTTCAATCTGTCGCCGAGATTCTCTCTGCCGTTATCTCTCGAGATCAGTGGCAGTACAAGCGAATTATGATCTCGGGGCTTTGCTACTCCCAACTCTCTTGAGCATGTCCAAACGGGAGCCGGGACCATGCCGAGTGCAGTACCTCGATCTCAAACCTTGGTATGAATTGTTCATTTAGTTGTGGCCATTACTAGTAGTTTTCAATCACGGCCTTGCTGATTGAAACTATTCCAGCTGTCAAACACAAGAGTGACGCAGCTGGCATCACTTTTCAGTTTCTCATGTCTAGCCGTATCTGCTTGCATAGTATGCCTCCTAGCAGTCGAGCAAGGTGATCCTTCTCTGAAGGTTGAGTTTCAAATGAGGGCCAATATTCAATAGTAACAGATGGTCACAACCTCTCCGTCTTTTTCAACCTCCCTTCGCCTCAGTCAGACTCCTCCACCTCCTCCTTGCCACTGCCAGCCTTATTCTTCAGCAAGCCGCCAACATTCAACTGCCACCACAACCACAACTCCTTCCCCGGCGTGCGGTCCGAATGACGAAACATCTTACCCTCGCCTCGCTGGGGCACGAACTCAAGCTTCTCCCCCTTCGCAAACCTACCGACATGCTCCACGACGCGGTCAATCGACATCTCCAAGCACTTGGTATACAGCGTCTCCTCGCTATCACGGGGCTCGACGAGGGGGAACACCCGGTCCAGCACGTCCCCGCCGTCCAGCGCGGCCGTCAGCTGATGCAGCGTCGCCGCCACCTTGTCCACGCGGCCGTCGTGCAGCGCAAAGAAGATGCAGTGGTTGCCCTTGTACTCGGGCAGGTGGCCCGTGTGCAGGTTGATCATCAGCCCGCCGCGCGCAATCAGCTTCTTGCCGATCAGCTTGGTCCCGGACACGATGGTGATCTCGGGCTGCCATTGCTCGACGGCGTTCCAGACGGCTGCGCAGTTGACTGTGTCGACGACCAGATCTGGCGCGGGGGAAACGTGGCCCGCCGGGATGAGCTTGTCGAAGTAGGCGCTGCGCTGGCGGGAGTGGCCGAGTAGCTGTCGCCGAAGGCCGTGGTAGCGCTGCCAGTAGGCGTCCAGGGTGCGGCCCTTGGACACGAGGTGTCGGATCTGGCCTGCGTCGGGTTCTACGATGCAGCGGTAGCCTGGGAAGGCCTGGTCGAGGCGGTAGCGGAGGTAGCGGTGGTTCGGCCCGTCGGAGCAGAGCAGGAGGAGCTTGAGCGGGGATTGCTGCTGGGATCTGCCGTTGCCGAGGATGGGCGAGGGACTCGGCGTCCGGGACCGGTAGGTCGCCGCGGGTGGGAGCTTGCCGCGGTCCGGGTGGAAGAGCACATGGATCGGGTCGTGCTCGCCGAGGAAGGATCGCAGCACCGCACGCGCAATCGCCGGGGCTTGCGCAAAGCCGCCCGTGTTGTTGCCGCCGGTGATGATCAGCTGGCCGCCGCTTGCGGTGGGAATCTTCTCGAACAGGCCTAGCCCTGTGGGCGTGAAAGGGCGGACGCAGTATTTGCGATGCCCACCTGGGTACATGGCTTCGGGCCCGCGTTCCTTCGCGGCGGCATATCCCTGCGGGAAGTAGATCCGTGCCACTTCCTCCAACTCCTCGTACAGAGCCGTGAGCTCCGGGCTATCGTGCGCAGGATGGTCGAGACCGACGTAGCCGTACCCGCCTCCGAAGATCAGGATGTCTTCGCCGGTTTGCTGGTCCTTGGCCACGGTGACGTTGATATCTTCCACCTTGTGGCCGCGCCGATGGATCTTCATGGAATTCCGCAGCTGCGGCTCCACGTTGGGGATCTGCAGCCATATCCCGAGGACGCCCTGCACGAGGTTCTCGCTGGCTGTTCCATGCAGCAGTGCGCTGCCCGTCGTGCCGGGGCTCACCACGTAGTGGTCGGCTTCCAACTTCCCTTTCCGGGACTTCAGCGCGGTCACTTCGCCGTTGGGGTTCTGCTGGATGCTCTGCACTTCGCACTCCCAGACGAATTCTCCGCCCGAAGCGGTGATGTGATTGATCAGTTTGGCCACGAAGAGGTGCACGTTGACGGTAAACCCATCCACGACAAGTCCACCCGCGAGATGGTCCGAATCGGCTGCAGGGCGGAATCGGGGATGCGCGTTGAGGAATTCTTGGGGAGAAGGGGCCTCCAGAAGAGCACCGAGGTTCTTGTGAAGCTCAACCGACTTATCCAAGGCCGTTGACTCCACGTATAGCCGTATGATGTCGTCATGGAATCCCGTGTCTTCAAACAGCCGAGGAGCGCTGCGCATGAGCTCCCTCCAGAGCTTCCCGGCCTCGCGGTTCACCTGGTGAATGTTCTTCTTGAAAGTCGCGGCCATCCAGGGCGGAACTCTCTCGAAGGCCTCCACCCAGGCATGCTCGGCGGGAGAAAGCTCCTTGGGGTTCTTCACACTCCAACCGCCGTCACGGACGGATTTCCGGAAGATTGACTGCATGTCCTGGTAGAGCTCGCTATGTTGCTCGTTGTAGTTATCTGCCTCGGTGTTGGTGAACATGCGGGCGTTGTGGCCGCCGCTCGTGACGCCAAGGGACATCCAGTCGCCGGGTTGGGTGGAACGAGGGTCTGGACCTTGATCCACGACGCGTACGTGGTAGCCACGGTCAACTAGGAGCTGGGCGGTCATCAGGTTCAGGATGCCAGCGCCAACGAGCACAACAGTTGTCTTGTCGGCATGGCGCTTCGTTCCGTTGACGGTTGCCCGACCCGATCCGGCCTTGGCGCGGGCGCGGGCATAGAGCATTTCTGCGTCTCGTAGGATCGTTTCCTCCCATCCTTGATCTGAGATGCCAGGTTCTCTCTTGGGAAACGGGGCAATCTCAGCTACACGGCCCCTGGCATATTGCAGCAAGCGTGGGATGCTGGCCACGTCTTGGACCAGCATGGATTTGGGAATCTGGGATGCTTGGCTGAGCCACCGGTCCATGAGGTAACCGGTCACTTCGTCGCCATTGCATATCCACACATCCACCGTCAGAGGACTGGTCAATGGGATGGAGAGGTCGGAGCTGACGTCGCTGAAATGGATGTACGAGGGTGGCTTTGACCCTGCACGGAAGGAAGGGAGATTCGTAGTGACAAGAAACTTCATTGTTTCGGAGGATAAATGGTTGATGCTCCGAGGTCTTCGCCAAGAAGGAGGAATCTAGAGTGGGTGAAGTCAACATTGAGAAAGACACATCTTTCGGTGGATTGTCAGGGCCCGCCTATATACCATGGCCCAGGTTGCTCAAGAGTGAGACAAATTTTAAGGCACCTTCGCACTCGACCGCCACCTCCTGCTTCCAGAACCCATTCTCGGAAGTCCAAGAGCCAAGCATGTCATCAGCGCTGCAATGATACAAACAACCCGGTTGATTGCGGTCCGCAGCCGTGTGGACGCGGGTCTCAGTAAGCTGGAAAGGCGTGGCATAGTCTTGGGGTGTATGTATTCGATGGCACGTCGAGAATGGACCGAATGGTTACACACGCCTCGCGTTGTTGGTCGTCACGGTACTCTCACGTCTAAGTTCTCCCTCGTCCTTGGGGCCCACCAGGCAGCCGGATGGGGAAGGAGAGGTCACCTGGTCATCCTCTGGATCTATTCCATCGACGCTAGCTTTGAGGACCTATACGGATCGCGCATGGGCCCAGTGGTCAACCATAGTCAGCGTGTTGATTAGGCTGGATGACGCGGCCGGGAACCCGATCAGCCGCAGCGTATGCTCGTCGAAAGTACCTTATCGGGTAGTGCATTGTGGTAGTCGTCGGATGTGTATTGTTGGGACCCCGACGAGCACCCCTGCTGTCTGCAGCATATACTTTGCAAAGAAACATCAGCTGATGTAGGGCTTGTGTGACGACCCAAGCCTAATGTACATATGTGCAATATAAGACGCACCTCATGCGTACGCCTTTCTTACACGGTCTGCTGACAGCGGTGACACATAGCCTACCTCCTATACCAGCATCAAATATTACGGAATTCGGAATTGGGCTTTGCTAACCAGAGTCCAATACCAGACTCTGCTTCTACGTAGCTGGATTACTGTTACTAATAGTGTCCAGGAGAGCTGAGATTCCCGCGGTATTCCAACCTTCGCATCTTGGTGCCTAACAGTTGCGGCAAGGAATCCCATCCTATCCACTTACTCCAGTGTTCCATACACCAGACCAACTATATAGAACTACTAAGCTAATTGCTTGCATTCTGCAGCGGTTCCTGACGGATCTTCGCAGACGTTCCGGGTCCACCGCCGGCCTTTGGACATCCCGAACAATTACCGCCTGCAAGACGCAAACAGAGTCAGTAACTTCCAAGAGGTACCGTACATCCACAGTCTTTATTTTACGTAATTCGTAGATTGCAGAATCTGGGGCTCCGTGTGCAACTCGCAACGTGCGGGCCGTTACATAGACCACGCAGTTCGACAGCAATCTTTCATTGGCTTCCCGTGATGGATTGTGGAAGACGGGCGAGTGTCACGTCGGGGGCTGGCCCAGATCGATCTGCCCGATGAGCGGAAATGAAACCTTCCATAGTCCGGTAAGGCGGAGTTCCGCCTGGGTGCTTTGGCAGCACCCTGTATCACCTACTGTATGTACTGTAAGGGTCCGCAACGGTGCGGCATCCGGAAGGGTTGGAATACAACGTCCGGTTGGTATTGTCAGCTTCTACCACATATAATCCACTGCGTGGTAGCACCGGAGGATTACTGCACCCCGGTTATAAGCCCCTTTACGTAAAAATAAGCTTGAGAGGGTTGTATCACAGTATCACTGCACACTGCAGTGTATGAACCCTGCCTACCCCTCGCCCCCCTCGGTTGCATGGATCCGATTCGGAAAGAAAGTTTAGTAAGGTTAAGGTAACTAGCGGCGGCGGATAACCACGGGAACTCCCGAGAACTGGTAGAAGCCGCCACCTGGTGGCTTAGTATACCGAACCCTCGCCGGGAATGGACGGTCCGGTCTTTGTTGTTGGAAGTTGGAACTTCCTTTTTGGGACACACCGCCTTCGTTTGCCATTCGCCTCGATTCTGATGCAACTGTTGGTTAGTACCTTAGTAATTACTATTTCCGTGTCTTGCTCCGATCGACGGGGGCTGAGAAAAAAAAAAGGAGGACGAAACTCTGCTGTCGTCCATCCACTTCTCAATCCATTTTCCATGTCCAGTCCGGGTCTAATTTCTATTGTTCGAAATACACTCTCCCTTCCCGCGGCTGGCGCCTTTGTGCGGGGCGTGCCCTCCTTTGCTCCAACAGCATTGACTCATTCAACGGGTTCGACTCGTCACCACCGAAACGCCACTCGAACCGGCAACCCAGTGGACATTGGTCTTGCAGAACAGGATGGCCATGCCCACCATGACCACCGCACAGCAAGAGCCGCAAGCAAGCAACACGGGCGACGAGATCGACTGGAGGGGCCCGGATGATCCAGATTGCCCCTACAACTGGCCAATGCGGAAGCGCATCTACATGACTAGCATTCCGGCCTTGCTCTGCGTCAACGTGTAAATACCTTACCTTACTATGTTCTCATCGTCCCTCCCAATCAAGAAAATCCCGTCCCTTGTTCTAATCATCCCTGCAGGTCTTTTGCTTCGTCCGTGTACACGTCCGGCGCTAGCGATATAGAACGGACATTCGGAGTCACCCGGACTGAAGCCCTGCTCGGCCTTTCTCTCTTCCTCTGGGCGCTCGGTCTCGGGGCCATTATCGCTGCGCCGGTCAGCGAGTACTATGGGCGCAGGATCGTCTACCTGACCACAGTTCCGGTGTTTGGCCTATTCATCCTCGGCTCGGGGCTGGCGCAGAACTTCGCGACATTGATCGTCTGTCGCACCCTCGCCGGCTTCTTTGGCAGTGCTGTGGTCTCCGTGGGTGGAGGCACGAATGCGGACCTCTGGCCGCCCAAGCTCGCGGGTTTCGTCTATCCTTTCTACTTTGTGTCCCCTTTTCTTGGACCGGCCTTTGGTGAGTAGTATTGTATTCTAGCGCCCCCATGGGTATTTCCCATATTGACCTGTCCAGGGCCTGTGATCGGCGGTTACTTGGTCGAGGCGAAAGGCTTCCGTTGGCTCGAATGGGTCATCCTCTTCATGTTGGCCTTCGTCTACCTGTATTCCCTTCCCCAGTCCGAAACCTACAAGAAAACCATCCTCCAAAAGCGAACGCGGTCCGAAAAACGGTCCAATGCACCACCAGCGACCAAGAAGTTCGCACTCCCGTCCGGTGCCCTCATCCAGCGCATCGTGCTCAAACCGTTCAAGATGCTCTTCGTCGAGTCCATCGTGCTCTTCATGACCATCTACATGGCCTTCAACTTCGCCGTGTTCTACAGCTTCTTCGCCGCCTTCCCGTACATCTTTGGGGGCGGCGGAGGGAAGTACAACTTCTCGTCCGGCCAGCAGGGCCTGACCTTCATCTCCATCGCGCTGGGCTGCGTCATCGGCTTCGTCGCCGTCGTCTACATCGACCGCCGCACATACCCGGCGTTGGAGGCCAAGTATGGCGTCGGCGCCGTGCCCCCGGAGTACCGTCTCTACGGCGCCATGGTCGGCTGCGCGCTCAACCCGGCTAGTCTGTTCTGGTTCGGGTGGAGCGCCAACGCGGGCGCGTTCTGGCCGAGCCCGGTGGTCGCAGCCGTGCCGTTTGCCGTGGGCAACATCATGGTGTATAGCAGCGGTGCGCTGTACATCATGAACTCCTATGGGTCGCTGCATGGTGCGAGCGCCCTCAGCGCCAACAGCCTTCTCCGATATGCTGGCGGAGGTGCGTTCCCTCTGTTTACGGTGCAGATGTTTTCGTCCTTGGGAATCGGGTGGGCGAGTAGCCTGCTGGGCTTTGTGTCGGTGGCGCTGGTGCCGGTGCCCTTTGTGTTGTACAAGTACGGCGACAGGATCAGGACGAACTCGCAGTATATCACGGTCAAGGAGCCCGTATTGGCGAATCACAATTCGTCAGGGGAGACGACAAGCGGAGAAGAGACCGGAGGTTAGAGAGACATACAAGATCTTTGCTCAGCGCATCTCTTTTAGGCACTAGTAGGGTAAGATAGTATCTAGACTTAGAGTAGTCTTGGCTTCAACGGCAACTACTACTAACCTTAGAGTGAGTTCTATATAATGAATATTCCAATCCTTGCTGCACTTTCTGAAGGAGGTGCCGGTCAGTGCGGCAGATTCGGAACTGCTGGGCACTGCCTGGTGGATGGATCACGGCGAAAGACGGCACCCCCTATTTTCTCCCTTCTACCATCCACATCATTCATGACCCATATGCCTTGCAGAGGAGCTACGGCACGCTCCTACCGGCAACTACTGCAGGATACTAGTATATCGCCGACCACAGCCCATTCGCACGGCCCGGCCCACCTTCCCTTATGTTGCATTACAGAGTGATGCCCCTGGCCGCATGCAGAGCCAAGGAGTCAAGGCCATGATTTCATGCAGCATCTTGGATGTCAACATTTCTCCCACCGACTAACCCCCACAGCGGCCCCGCCCCGAGTTCGCTCCTGCTGACGTGAGATTGAAGTACTCGCGGCGGTACACCGGCGAGGGTCAATAACTTACGTTACGAGCCGCTCTCACCCATTGGCCGGAGTATCCATAAGCGGAAACTGTGCGTTGTCATATGTCTCCTCTCCATGGATTACGATGGTTCTAGGTTGAGGTCGGATGGCGAAAGTAACTCCAAGCTGATATTCCACGTCGGCACTTCCTCCTCCGAGATGCTCCCGACGATCTGACATGACTAAGATAGAGTGAGATGGTGCCATTGTGGGGAGGCGACGCACAGATCGAGGGCTAAGACGAGTACCCCTGTGTGCTCCAAGTCAACTTGTACTTCCTCTTACTCGTAATTCAATGACCAGAAGACATAATGTCTTCATACATGACTCGGTGCTCCCATAGACCGGAACTGGCGTTAGCACTCACCAGAACTCCCCGCATCATTGTGCAGAGGAACGGAACCAAGCAGCTGCCCAACCCTACTACTCCAACCCCCTTTCCCTAAACAAACCCAGCCAGTAGAGTCGGACATAATCACCAGATCCCAAAAATGGACTCTCTACCACCACCAACCCCAATCCGCCTCGCCATCCTGCTAACAGACGAGCCACTACCAAGCATAGCCGCCAAACTAGGCGGGTTCGACAGCATCTTCACCTCGCTGCTCCGCGCGGGATGCGAGAGCCTCGACCCACCCCAACCCCTGACCTCCCAACTCACGCTGACCGCCCACAACGTGGTGGGTGCCGCTGCCGCCGGCGACGACGAGGCTTATCCGGATCCAGCCACCATCGACGCCGTGCTGATCACGGGGTCCAGATACGCGGCCTACGCGGACGACGAATGGATCGTCCGCCTGACGTACTACACGCGCCGCCTGCTCGACGGGGGCCGTGTGCGTGTCATTGGCGTGTGCTTTGGGCATCAGATCGTTGCCCGCGCGCTCGGTGCCCCGGTTGCGCGCTCGTCGGCTGGGTGGGAGTTGTCTGTGACTGAGTTGGAGCTCACTGAGGAGGGGAAGCGGGTGTTTGGGGTGAATAGTTTGGTGAGTTATATATATAATTTTTTTTCTTTTTTTTGCCCTGTCTTTAGTACTGTGGCAAGTTCCCTTTCCTCGGGAGTGGAACATGGGTGGCAGAAGGAAAGGGGGTTGGAAACCCCGACCTCCTGAGATGTTGGAACTACTCTAAAGATCTTTGTCTCTTTATGGTGAGTATGGCTTTCAAGCCCTCCCACATATAAGCCAGTTCTCTGGCTTAGCTGGGCACATCACCTTCTTCGCCTTCTTCCATCACTTACTGTTACATTACTTTCTCCGCCCCTGACCTCTGCACACTGCACCATCAGATCAACCAAATAACTCACCATTCTGGCCCGCCGTGTTTGATAGAAAATCTACCAAACCCACCGCGACGCCATCCTCGCCTACCCGCCCGGCGTCATACCGCTAGCCCGCACCGAGCTGTGTCCAAAACAGGGCATGTATGTGCCCCGCCGGCTCATCACCGTTCAGGGCCATCCAGAATTCTCTCAATTCATGATGACCGAGATGCTGCGTGTCCGCCACGCAGCCGGTACCATACCGGACGGGGCCTTCGAGGATGCCATGAGGAGGGTAGCTGATGATCACGACGGGGTTGTTGTTGCGAGGGCGTTTTTGCGGTTCTTGAGGGAGTGACTTGGTGGGTGGCTGTGTGCTGCGCTACATACAACTTAAATAGGTGACCGATTTCTTTGAGGCAGCAAAGCTGCTTGTATGCAAAAAAAAGAAAAAGGATGTGCAACTGCGAATCGAACATGTGGTCCCACAATCTCCACAGCAGAGCTGCGCACGCGGAGGAAGTTAGACGATCTCTCACAGCTCAACCACCATGCCACGAAAAGTTTCGTGGGAAGTGTGCGGTTGCGGGGGGTGCTGGAAGGAGAGCCCACCACGGGACCTTATATACCCCTATCTTACCTATCTTTACCATCAAATGTGCTACACGTTGTGGAGCGCTAGTAGCTGCTTGCCATCCAACCCTTCATCGAGCCGGGATAGCCTCTTCCAGACAGGGTCCTGAGGCCTGATACCTGGGGTCGTGGACGCTTTGAGAAGAACTCGTATTACCTGAAGGATTGCCATAATATAAGCTCCCTCCAAAGCCGTTAAGCCTTTCGTTACTTGGTAATCACCTACCATAACTACCTGACTTAGGTAGTTGAGCTCGTACCAACGTGTGCCATGTTACCGGAACCGAATCTCACTCGGTGTCCCACTCATAGAGCCAATCGTCTGAGTCGACAGCATGAGACCCTCCCCCAAAAGCCCTACATTGCAGCATATAATGCCAATAATCATGGTACCCCGGACGCAGCCAGTACCCAGCCAGGCCATCACCGTCCAACGGCCTCCACGCTCTTAGCTCATCAAACAGCACCCCGTCTCGCACCCAGCACCACCTCCCTTCGCGCTCCTCAACACGCTCTCTCCGTAGCGCCTCCGGGTAGTAGTAGCAGCAATCCCCGCGCGCATAGTAAACGCTGGGATCGACATGATGACGCTCCCGCCAATGACGTGCCGAGAGGGGGTGAAAAGCCTTCGATTGCAGGGCAAGACTGAACTCCTTCTCCTCCGGCGCCGGGCCCATCGCGCGGAACATGTCCTCCACGGGACCCAGCACGGCCCTCTCGAACAGGGACATCATGTCCCGCCGGCTCTCCATCACGGGCGGGCTTACGTCGGCCAGCAGAGCGACGTAGACGTTGCGCGCGTCTGGGAACGTCCGCGGGATCAGCTCGCAGAGGTCGTGGAATGCCGTGTTAGTGGACTCGAGAGGCGAGCCCGAGGCGGCCTGTGCTCGCTCGTAGACGGCGGACATGATTTTGGAGTTGATGGTCTTGCGGTGGTCAAAAAGGTCCCATATCAGTTCGAGCGCGGGGATGCGCGCTAGGTGATGCGGCGGCAGCAGACGGGGGAGGTCCAGCAGGAGGGGCAGGCTGGAGATGTGAAAGGCGTTGGTCCGGTACAGGATGTCGATGCCATCGATATAGCTGTGTCCGAGTAAGATTGGTCAGTCCAAATGGAAATAGATGGTCTTTGGAAAACTTGAAAGGGGCTAGTGGGACGCTTTTCACATACGCCTGTCGACACGCCAACAACCAGCCCATAATACCAATGAAACACTCATCGTCTGCCATGGGACGGTCGGAATGCACTACTATGGGTTCACAGCGACATAGCGTACCCCATTCCGAAGGATCTCTCTCAAAACTTGGCGCAGTGATACAACCGTCCTTCCATGGCTCGAGCCTCAATCGTGGTGGGAATGGTCCAGGGTCGCCTGCCCAGATCGGATCGGCTTCGACCACACGGCGATGGCACACGCAACTAAACCACTGCCATCGCTTTGGCTGGCTGGTGTCGCGGACGAGATCGGATCCCAAGCCGCAGTGGCGGCGGCGACTGGCTCGTGCCCCCTTCTCGTCCGCACGTGGCGACAGGAACGTTCTCATTCTTCTGCCCATGCTGAGTTGTGACTTGCGGACGAGTGGGTGATCGTAGGTGAGGTCAACGTGTAAAGTGCGGCTGCCGAATGCCTGGGCCAAGATCCGTTGCCGGACCTCCAGCGGCAACGTCCCGAAGAGCCCGTAGTTTGGTCCCATGCAGTTTGCTGTGGTTGCCGGGAGGATGGGCCAATCTGCGCGGTACGGCGGCTCCGGCGTGGCATGGCCGTCTTCAGCTTTCGGCGGATTGTCCGTAGAGATTTTGTGTTTCAGCCATCGCTTAAAGGCAGTCGTTGCCATGATAACCGAAGGTGTCGCGTTGCGCACCAATGGCCAACCTAGACTCGCTTGTTTGTTGGTGAGGTGACGTTCATTACTGCAGGCGACCGGGATAATTCCTAGAAAGGTTTTAATGTCACCTTCTCTACCTCTAACAGGGTCCACGTGGGGTTATATCAGCTCCGAAATCACACGAATGTTGGAAAAGACAGCGCCACGCACTGGTAGTCTGGTTTCCAGATAAATTTCTTGACGGATGATATGTTGCAGCGGCAAGTTCCGAACATGGTCAACTTTAGTCTTCTAGGGGCCAGGGCAGTCACAAACAAGAGGAAGTGAGTCTCTATTCCCTTTGTGATGCTTGAGACCGATATCCAGCCTGCTCTACCAATCTGACCAGTCGCTAGTGTAAGGTAGGCGGGCACTTCATACTTGTGGTTCAGCTCGAGATTTCGCTGAGCCCGAGTAGTAACTGTGTCAGAGGCATAATAAAGACTCTTTCTTCGGGCCTTTGAACATTATCTTATCCTAGACAATGCGCTTTGTGTAGCCCCGACTAAAGCGCTGGACGGATAAAGAGCAAAATGCGACTTCTTTGTTTTTCACCAGCGATAGGAAGCCGTGAATGGCATCAAAGGTGTTGGGGGGGGGGGGGGTGTTTTGGGGTTGGGGGTTCGTATTCTGCATAACAAGCTCATTGTCCTCAGCAACAATTGAGACACCTGCATTGTTTTACGCAAAGGCACAACTATCCAGAAAAGAAAGTGTAGGTCCCGCTGAGGTTCGTCGCAGATATAAAACGCGACTGGTCCGTCCCAACCTGGAATGTACCGAATCCGGCCTGGTATCAAACCTTGAGCAAATCTCTATCACACAATGGCTATCACTCGCACCACCACCCTCACTGCGGTCCTCTGTGCCCTCAGCGGCGTTGCCCGCGGGCACATGGTCATGAACACGCCCACGCCGTACAACTACCACGGGGCCAGCAAGCTCGTACAAGTCAACCCTCTTGGCGAGTCCTTCCCCTTCCCCTGCCAAGGGGCCTTCGACGTCGTCTCCACCACGCAAATCACGGCCGGCACCACGCAGCTCGTCAACTTCACCGGCGGCGCCCAGCACGGCGGCGGCTCGTGCCAGTTCGGCCTCACCTACGCCAACCCGCCGTCCACGGACAAGTCCAAGTTCAAGACGATCTACACTCTAATCGGCGGATGCCCGGTCGACGCCGCGGGCAACCTGCCCGTGACCGGCACGGACCAGGACGGGCGCGCCGACTCGGTGCACTGCGGCAACGACTCCGGCAAGGAATGCATCCGCCAGTTCGAGATCCCCATCCCGAAAGAGCTGCCCAACGGCGACGCCACGTTTGTCTGGTCGTGGTTCAACGAGATCGGCAACCGCGAGATGTACATGAACTGCGCGCCCGTCACCATCACGGGCGGCAGCGGCGACGACACGTCGTTCCTCGATGGGCTGGAGGACATGTTCGTGGCCAATATCCCCGGGGAGTGCACCACCGGCCCCGGCATCTTGAATATCCCCAACCCAGGTAAGTACGGGAAGGTGCTGAAGCAGCCGACGCCCGGCAGCGAGGGCAGCTGTCCCAAGGCGGCGGGCATTCCGACGTTTGAGGGCGACAATGGCAGTGGCAGTGGCAGTGGCAGTGGCAGTGGCAACGGTGGTGGGAGCGACTCGTCGGTTATTATTCGGCCGCCGTCGTCTTCCAGCACGTCTGCCACCTCTGCTCCTGCTGCTTCGAGTCCCGCCTCGGCTCAGCCCAACCCAGTTGAGACGTCCACTTCTGATGATGGCGGCGTTTCATCAAATGTTCGTTCCCCTCTTCCCACTGCAGGTACCACCACCAGTACTGAAACTGGTGCTACCTCGGGGGGTGCTGCTTCCTCTACTACTACTATAGCCCCCATTCCCACTCCTACCGCTGGATCTGACTCCGGTGTTGGCATTGGCCGTCTGCCATGCTCAGGTGAAGAAGGATCCCTCGTTTGCTTCAGCCCAACTTCGTTCGGTCTCTGCGCCAACGGCATGGCGATCCCGCAGCCTGTGGCCCCCGGCACGACTTGCACCAATGGCAAGATTGTTCGCCGGGGACTTTGGAGCGCCAAGTTCACCACCGTGCTGATGAACAGGCATGGCGATGATGCATTTTAAGCTCGCCAACGAGAGGCTCTTACTACTAGTAGTAGTACGGACAAGTACATAAGAGTGCCACAGTACTAGTACTACCTGTACTATTATCCCCCAAAGCTTCTTCTTTTCCTTGACTTCACCTTCGGAAGCCGCAGATAGACTGAAATCAAAAGAGCAAGATTGTTGGTAATCCTAGAGAGTGTGTACCTAGGCTCTAAAGTACTAAACGTAATACAGAACATACTATGGCACCCGCCGGGAATGGCGCCCCTCCCGATCGGGTAGGGCCCCGCGTCCAATTATTATAGCCCAGGGAGGACCAATGAGAACAGGAACGATAGGAACGGACATCGTTCTAGACGTTCCAGGGAGGAACGGCGAGCACAGGTACTGTTCCAGGTCTTCCAGGTACGGAGGTGCCTGTCGAGGGAGCTGTATATAGATCCATCATTCTGTCACTTATTCATATAGCTAGCTTCCTCAGTTAGCAATCCAAGCAATAGGTCTTACTCTATTATATAGACATTACAGGCGGCATTGTTGTGAACCTTTTGGCTTCACCGAACCATTATACCTTGTGTTATCACCTTGAACCAAGACTGTCCCTTTCAGAGGATAGGGGCCGCTACCGGGTTCGTCACACCCTTTCCCCTTTTTCAGGCACTTATTTTGCGAAGTTCCATAGGTAGCCAAATAGTTCAGTTCCGAGGTTGGGCGCTAACCAGTGACTGCGTGAGCATTACGCTTAAGATACGAAACGGTCCCGGCGATGTTGCGGTGTTTGTGGCCTTGATCGATCTCACTCTAGCGTTTATTATATGGGTAGGTATTCTTCCAAGCGAGGTACAAATTACCTTTTTTTTTTTTTTTTTTCAACTATTGAAGGACAACAATCCACAAGCAATTACGGAGTATGCCGCATCGAAAGCTCGCCGTCAGTGGAGCGGTCCTAGTCCTAGCAATAGCTCGGTTGACCAGGACTAGGTAATCAGCTCGGACTGTTCGACATCTCGCATGACTATGATTGGCAAGTTCGGACTGTTCGAGATTTTACCTCTTGACCAGAACTAGTCAGCTCGGACTGTTCGAGATTGCGTCCAGCGTCGGTCCGAGCACTTACCGCCTATTGTCGAGCAGTAAGTTGCCAGGATTGTGTGTTGATACGGCGACATGGCCTGCACCGGAGAGATGGCCACTCGCTCTGGCGCATAAGCCAAGCTCCTAACCAGGGCGTTGAAACCGAAGAGGTCTCTGGGCAACAATGGTGTAATCCAGAAGTATAAGTACCGCCAGTCCCTCTCTCTTGGGCAGGCGTTCTCCAACTGGCATCAAGCCCACAACAGCAACACAACAACGGAACTTGCTTCAACCAGTACAGCCGCGTCTAAACATCCTTTCTCACGCCTCGCTATCAACCCTGTTGCCGTAGCCAATATGCGCGCCACCGCCGTCATCCTCTTCATCGCCGGCCTCTCAAGCACTGCCTGGGGCGCCTCCACCAGAATGTACAGCGACGAGAACTGGTATGTAACTGTTCTTTTGTGGCGTCGACGGCGGAAGCAGCGCGGTCCTTGATACTAAGAAATGGCCTTGCACACTGGCAGTCAAAATCAGATCGACAGAAAGGTCTTCAACGGCATCACCACGGGCGATGCACCCATCCGGGGCGGCGTCAAGGCTATTAAGACGGACTCGTCCTCGGGGGCCTGGTTCGCCTACCAGCGCAACGACGGCACCAGATGCACAGGCAGCCGTATTGGGAAGGTCGAGAACAACAAGTGCATTAGGATTTCCGACCAGGGAATTGGCTGCACTCGTCTTTGCAGCGGAGCGCTGGGTTGCTGAGAGCTACAACCAGCTAGGTAGACATCTGGGGCTCCCGAGCAGGAGGCTCTAGTAGAACAATCAACAGCTATAAGATCGAAGGAGTATACGTTCTAGGTGCATTGGCACGAGACGTAGAGTTGGGCTGGGACAAGTCAGTTTCACCTCTGCGCTATACTGTTGGAATGTTTCTCTTTGCCTGTATAACCCTGCAAGGCCGTGATCGTGGATGTTGACTTTGAACCCCTCAAATAGGCCCTCGGTCCAAGATCTGTAATACTCTGTATTACTATAGCCCAGATATAGACACAAGTAGAAGCGACCCAAAACAGACGGAGCGTCGACTCGGCTGTCAGGCCATCGACCTGCGACGACCTTCACCGAAGACTATTCCGGTCTGTAGTGTCAATCTGCATGTGCTCCCCGTTGCCGTGGCCGCAAGTGCATTCGCCAAAAGGGTCTGCTTTGTGCTTGGCTTGGAACCTCTGGCAAAAGCAGCGAATCAACTGTGAGTGAGGATTGATATCGTAGGGGTATTTCCGATCAAAAGCGGCGTGCTTGGGGTTAGTCTTTTTGTGGGTGCAGCGGCCAGAGTTAGGCTTAGGAGGTTCAGGCTGCTTAGACTGCTTAGACTGCTTATGCCGCTTAAACATTTTGACGCTGGTTTACGGTTGAGGTGTAAAGCATGTTAGCGAAGGCTCGAGAGGACGGGATGTAGGAGATACGTACTAAAAGATAAAGGATCGGCAGTAGAGTAATCTATAGGTAATGGGACTTCCGGCTTGGGGCTCCGAGTTAGGTTATGAAAGTTGTTATTGTGTTGTAAAGACGAGCGTGATGCAGAATGAAAAGTCCTGCAAGCCGCAGACGACGGAGAGGTAGTATATATACGCGTTTTATCCCGCGAAGAAGGCAATAAAACTAGAGACATCATGTCCTTGGAGATGCGTAGTTGCCCGGCGCTGAAACAGGACGCTGCAAGGCAACGCGAGTTCAGTAGAGCCGATGGTTTCGGACTGTGGAGAAATCTGATCCAGACTGTGGTTTAACCATACTCGGTCCAGCTTCTCGGCGGCCCGAGCATAGGCAATCACATCAATTGATGAGACACTAAGTGGAATGTGGCAAGCCACAGTCCGAATGAACTTTGCCTACAGTCCGAAACCCTTGGCTGTTTTTGATTCGCAAAGCGGCCAGGTCAAGCAGCCGTTGGGCCCACATCGCGATTCCTATCTCTGCCAAGTTTGAAGTGGCAACCCAACTCAATTCTCACCTCTCAGTGCTCTCGCTGAAATCCCAAGGTTTCCGAAAACACCACCACTTCGCACACCGCCATCATGCATCGCGTTCCCACCATAATAAGCGAGGATATGCTGGGGGCGCTCGTCAGCATTATGCTCAAGGTCGATCAGCCCACCGGCCGCACAGTCCAAGGCGTCGTCGGGCAGCTCCTAACTACTATAGAGGCAATTACCCGCGGGGCATCAAAGTACGCTTGACGGACGGGACGGTTGGCCACGCCCAGAGCATGGTGGAAGGCCCTACGTCATCAGCATCGCAAGTCCAACTAGAGGGCGCGGCGATCATCGTAGCCGAGACACTAGCGGCGGCCGGGCCACGTATAACGGGCCGGGCCCAGGGGAGGCCACGCCGTAGCGACCGCATGTTTCTAAGCTTATTTTGTCGAAGGGTTGTCCTCCTACTATAGTAACTAACTACCTTCCCTACGAAAGGAACTATACCCAAAATCCTAACAAATCTGAATCTGGCCTTGGATTCTCTTGCTCCACAAGGACCTTCTAAATTAATAAGATCCGACTAGGGAACATTTTCAGGGAACGTGCACGCTCCCTAAGGTACTACCCTACCACGTCCCAGCTTCCAAAGCGTCTTTCTGCAGACGCGAAAATACATCACCATCTAGAAACATCCCTGAAGTTGCCATCGTCGCGCACGAAATGCCGCCTTTCCAACATGACCCCATTACCGTACTGATATATCCAGCTATCTCTGGGGGCTTTCACCAGAAGTCCGCGTGGCCCAACCCTTGTCACGGTGAAGATCCATCACCACCCGAGCAGTGACGGAGCCGATGCCGCCGTGAGTCGACCCCGATAGCGACCGGTGTATTTGCATTCAGCATTTGTCGTCCTGCAAAGGGTCGTAGCGACGCACAAGGGCTCGTCGCTCTCAGAGTTCTTGGCGATCTGGATAGTACTGAACAGGAGAGATTGTCGATGGGGGCGGAAAGACCGGGCTAAGTAGTTCGTCGACGGACCACTTCAACGTAACGTTGACGGGGAAGGCAAAGCAAACCAGTATATTAGGCTCGTCAATAACCGCGCACCACTGGCGGGGCTCATATCGGGAAGCCCCTAACGCAGTAAACTGACCGTAGAGCAGCGCCGACTGGTGGAGCTCATGTCGGGAACCTGGAAGCTTGAAACCTAACAGGCTGAGGGTAGGGCAGCGGCACTGCTTTTCTCGGCAAATTCCAGTCAGGGACCCACGAAGGGAGATAGTAGGGATCCTTTTGGCCCGGTAGAATCCAAGTTGGCAGCCGAACCTTTTCAGCCTCCCGCAGTACCAAGTCGAGTGAGTATTGAGATAGTTGACCGTTAGATGCTTCAGGTCCCTGCCGAACGAGTACATTGATCATGGGCGACTGTTCATGAACTCAAGGTTGCTCGAGCAGGTAACGAGCCGTTTTGATGTAGACCTGTTCGACTGGGAGTCCGCAGTCTACGAAGTCTTCGGGCGGTTCATCCCACACAGGCAGCATGCCAAAAAGCCCATACAGATTGTCTCGTAGGTCTGTGGCGATGGAGTCCGATCAAGGTGTTACGGCTCCGTTCAAATAACGATCGATCTACTATGTTCGTCGGCGGTTATACTGTACCTACGGGTCTTTTTGATACGACGACCTCTTGCAAGATCCACGTCCTTGTGAACAAGGGCTGACCTAGAAGATCCCGCTCCACTGTTGCAATAGCCTCGTCATGTTCGTCTTTGCGAACAATGGGCTAGAGATCGGCTTTCGAAAGCACGAATTCTATTTTCGGGCGTGAGGGAACCAAGAAATATGACTGTATGGCTGGCTTGCGAATAGATCAATCCCATTAGTGAAACCTGGCAATTGCGTTCTTGGATATTGCCCTGGTCGATGCAGATAGCATTAGCCCTATTACCAAGCAGGGGATGGACATGTGGTGCACGCCGTGGAGAGCAGTATCTAGCGAGGCTGTCAGGGCGATCACCCTCTTGTTGAGGATGATAGACCCTTTTTCTCCTGGATTTCCCTATATCTAGGAGATAGTAATGTAGCCGGCGTGGATGTTCTTGTGGCACTGGCTGATTGTGGTGTGAACCAAGCGCCCACGAAGGTCTGCCTCCGGCTGCTCGGAAGGTTCTAGCAGCACAGGCGGAGAGAGTTGAGCTCGGAGAGTAGTTCGTAGATGAATCCGCTTGCTTCTATGTTTTCAGCACCCAAGATAACTTAGGACCTCGACTGAGAGTATGAGACATAGTGTTAGAAGATGTGCGAAATAGGATATCTAGACTGATCTTACCATTCTCCAGCACGGCTATACAATGTCGACGATATTAGGTTACGGGGTGTCCTATAACCCTCGTGTCACAAGGAATTAGGCATATAGGTACGGAACCAATATGCCGGGAGCTTAGGAAGCGGCTTTCTATGCACGGGCCGCTTGCTAGGATATTAGGGTGGTCCTCTCACCACCACTTTGCTTCTTTTCTCTTACTTAGCTAGAACCCAATATACTCTCTTCGTTTAGGCCTTTCGGTGCGCTCCATCATCTGCGATACCTCGTCCTTCCCCGCTCTCAATATGTCAGGCTCCGGCGGGGCTGCGGTTAATGTCTAATTGCAATTCGAAGGTACCTTAGATTGTGGACTGTGTAACATGGCAGCTGATAGAGAATCAAAGGTATGATGTTGAAGGCTAATGAACAGGTCGGTCTAAAGGGCGGTTTATTGATGCATTTCAGTCAACGAAATGATTCTGGTGATAGTACTCCTTCACTGCTGAAAGGGATGTTGTTCTGAGGATGGTTTCTGGCTGTCCCAGGCAAATGATCTAATTACCTATCGTCCCACACCACAGGGTAGCTCCTTCCATCAGCACTGATGAAACCGACAGGTAGGTTGACAACAGTGCCTTAAACAAATGATGCGCTTTTCTGAGTGTCATATATAGACCTTTCGGACTATTACCCAATATAATCCTTTCTTTCCTCCTCTATCCCGCTCCTTTTGCTTTTCTCTAATATATCTTCCTCCTCCTTTATACCTGGGAACCTATGTGAGATCTGTTATTGGTTAAAGTATTAGGTTGGTCTGGTATTCCGTATTCCTTAACCGTTAAGATGACAGTCTGGGAAGTCCAATCGTGATAGGCAAAAAAGCATGTCTCGTAAACAGAGTCGGCTTCGTTAGCGAAGTTTGCGTTCCCACGCCGGAGGAAACAAGCCGGAGGAACCACGCCGGAGACGAGAGTGAAGTTGCATACTAGTAGCGCATCGCCTCCTTCAATCAACATTCGACACATTATTCACACAGTAATGACCATGGACGCATCAAACTCCTGCCTATGCTTCGATTTGCTGCCTCCCATTGCTCGAGTGGCACCAGGGAGAACGTATCCCCGTTGATTCGATACCACCCTGATGCCGTCCCGTACGAACCGGCTTGAGTAATGCGTGTGGCCAAACACCCACACCTTGACACCCTCCCATCCGTTTCCATCTATAAGATCGGTCGCAAATGCCGACGTCCAGGGGTTGCTGGTGTGTTCTGGTCGGGACGTGCCCTCAATACACGGGGCGTGATGTGTGGCGATGAGAAGGCGGCTCTTCCCGGAAGCCGCGTCGGTCATGACCTGTACGACTCGGTCCCGAAGCCAATCGACTTCTTCGGTATGAAGCTGGTTATGCTTTTGTACGCTCCACAGCTCAATCTTCTTGAAGTCGTTGACCTTCGCCTCGACAACGCTGGACGAATCTGCTGGGATTGCTGACCAGAGTGTACATCCCAGAATAGTCAGGCTAGACTGTGGATCATCCCATCAGGCGCGATGAAGCAGTACCAGTCCGTTTGTCAATGTCGGCTCTTTCGAGAGACGTTGCGCGGCTTCGAGGCCAGATGGATAATCCAGTCCGTAAAACTCGTGGTTTCCTAAGACCAAGAATACCCTCCTATAGCGGACAACTTGTGCTTGGAGGAAGCCGCGGTATGCATCGTAATCGATTAGGCGGCCGATATCACCTCCCAGAAGTAGAAAGGGTGCGGAGACGGGGAAGGTGAAGGCCGAGTATTGGTCCCCCACTTCTAGGTGTAGATCGGAAAGAATCTGGACTCGGGGCATTGAAACGAGATGCTGCCGCACTTTGCTCAACAGACCCTCCATCCTGCTGTGAGGCAACTCGCTAGAATGCATACGGTAGGGCGTCGAGTATCAAGCACGGCCGGGATTACTCGAAGGCTGTTTGTTCTATATCACAAGCAAAACGCCCAATTTCAGGAATGGCCACGCTTTGCGGGAGGAGACTTATGGTTATTGTTGTGGTCTTGTCTGTGTGTCAGGAAGAAAACCTCGGCCGATCGAGATGGCTGGATGCAACTTCTAATACAGAGCTGGGAGAGTGAATGAGAGGTGGCTACACAGTAAATCTCACAGTATATACAGTATACAAAGAACACCCAATCAGGCAGCGAGGGGGCACAGTGTCACACTGTAAAAGCACACCCGCTCCAGAACAACAAACACGGAAGACGACGCCATCACGATATCAAGATGGACTGGACGACAGTAAAGGTAGCTTGCCTCATCCTCAAACATCACGGCGTCTCTGCATGCATCGTCGGAGAGCTGGCTCTCAACTACTACAATGTGCCACGCGTTTGCCATGTAAGCGCCCACTGAAGCTGGAGCTGAAATTCGCGACGCGTAGGTACCTAATTTGGACTGACAGTTGGGTGTTTCAACCGCCAGGATGTGCAGATATGCGTTCCCAAACTAAGCTCCGCCGTTGCGGCGGGCATACTTTGCTCAACTGGATTATTCGAGCCGTTCGAGCATGAGCAGAATGCGGAGTTCAACAATTACGCCCAGTACAAGCAAGGGCTCCCGCACCTGCTAGTACACCAGGCTGGGTGTATCCGAGCCAGACGATCATCATATTCTCAGCCTCCTTTTTCGGGCTGGACCCGATCAAGGAGGTTCTCGTTCAACCATTCGCAGATCGCGATGTCTACATCAGCAAGGAAACTCAGGGTCTCAGCCGGGACGACCTCACTCATCTGCGGCTGCCCCGTCTGGCACCGCTCATTGGTGGATTGGCCAAGAGGTACCTGGATACACGAGATGACGTGTCCATGATTGCGTTAGAGCAACTGGTTGACGGTATGAACCCCGACGAGTCTTGGGTTCAACAGTACCTCGAAGGCGCTGAACCTGCCGTCAGGGCACTGGTCATGGATTTGGTTCGCGACAAAAAGTCCAGGATAGACTATTTCTCGGATAACCAAGTCACCTGCTTCATCAAGGATGAAAAGGAGGCAGCAAATGTTAGGCTGATTCCTGGCTACCATACTTACCTAGCAGGAGCGCCGCCTAGCCCAACCAACGCCCTGTGGTAGCCAGAAGGATGGATAGGAAATGGCAGAGTAAATCGCTATGTAAACGGCAAGATAGATGGGGAAAGATGAAATGGATAGTAGATGGTAGGGTATATGATCACTAGCTCGCAGGAGCACCGCCCAGCCCACCAACGCCCTGGTGTAGCCAAAAAGATAGACCGGAAATGGCAAAGTAAATCGCAATGTAAATGGCAGTATAGATAGCAGGTATCTCACCCTCCCTTCCCACAAGATGAATAATGGATCGCGAAGTAAATTCCAGAGTCAACACCAGGTGTAAATGGTGAACACTACCAAGTTAGCAGGGGGCCACACCCTCCGACCAAACGCCCCGGCTAGCCAGGCAGTATAGATCAGCGGACAAAAATGGCGGAATGGATGACAAAGAAGAGAGTGAATGACGGTAAAGTGGCAGTAGATCTGAAAAGATCGCGGGAGTCCCAGCCCTCCCTCCTAACTCCACGCGGTAGATGGTGAAGTGTACCATGGCACCGCCAGAAGCGCCCATTACCCCCAGAAACCCACAATACCCCCAGAATCCCTCAATACCCCCAGGAACCCACGACACCCCCATAAACCCTCGAAGCCCCAATCAAGACACCAGGGTCGACAGCAGGCAATCTCAACTCGCCCTCCTCGTGAACGAGCCAGAATCGAGGAGATCCCTGCTTCAATGCCCTGATCTTCCAAGAGTGGTGTCACGAACGCGACCACGGCCCATAGGTAGAATCGGTAGGATGGTGCTGAGCGCGAGGGTACTGGTGCTTGCAACTGCGAGCTGGTCTGGAGGTTGAAGAAGGATGCCAGAATCCCTCAATTCCCCTACTAGAACCGTCAGTCCCCCCTTCCCCCCCCCCCCCCCCCAGAAATGCTCAGTGGCGCGTCGAATGAGCCCGACCTGGGCGACCGAGCACCATTTCTTAGCCAACCTGACCGTGGAACCTTTTGGCGCACACCGAGTATTTCCCTTGTACCTCCAGGTCTTCTCGGATGTCGTGCCGCGAAGCAGCGGACGGTGCTGAGGAGGTGCGTGCCGCAAAATGTCGGTTACACTGGCTGAGGACTGTAGGGCACCACCACGCAAGAGCGGGCAATGCATGAAACGAGAACGACTGTGTGAAAGCCGCTAGGGAGAGGTGTCATGGTTGTGATTGACCCGACAGACTGATATGTGATTTCTGCAAGACTTGGCTATTAGCTTTACAATTCATGTTGATGGTTTGGAGATTTTGGGGATGTTAGTCTGTGTTGCGAGCACAGGAGGAGTTGCCCGTGAGTGAAGTAGGTGTTACTAGTCGACGAATTGCCGTGGGGATGTCGACTATTTCGAGGGAGTTGAAGCCGCCTGTCATTACTACATTGTTGAGGCGGAGCAGCAAGAGCAGGATACGCATCAATCTCGGTAGAAGGTTAAATCGTGGCCGGTGGCGGTGTAAATCTTGGCCCCCAAGTGCACATGTGTGCTTGTTTTGCTGAAACTGCTTGGCTCGGCTCCAGCCAAGACACTTGTGAGCAGGATCGCGAACCCTGTCCATGCCTGCATGCAGCATTAAAACTCAACGTTACACAACGCTTTGAGCCTCATTTGCCTCGGCGACGTATCGGGGACCTCAACCCCGGCAAGCTCTGGCATTGGGTACCGCTTGTATGGGTCCATAATGTCCATTAACCTTCACGTACAAGTTCGGCTGACGCAATCCACGTCTCTCAAGATGGCTGAGCGCAGTTCGAAGGATTCGAAAGTTCGAAACAGACGACAATGGGCAATGGAGTGACGCGTACATCAACGGGTCAGCCTACGATAGGCACTTTATGCATTACGCTCTTGGACTGATCACGGTTCTTTAAAACGGAGGTCACGCTGCCGTCGTCGAGATGAATATCCTGATCGAGACACGCTCACTCCTCGCTCATCAACAGGGTCTCAGAGAGACCTGAACATCACCTACCTACCTTACCTACTACTGTTCTCCTCCCGTCCGACACCGCCACCATGCGGTCCTCATCTCCCTCGTGGACGCTCTGGTCCATGACTCTCCTCCTCTCGGCATCCTCATCCGCCTTCCATCCCCTCCAGACCCGGCAGGTGGGCGACACCTCCTTCAACTGGACGGCCATCACGCCCACTCCAGACCTTCAATACCACTCTTGCTATGGCGGAGCCTTTAAGTGCGCTCGGCTGCAGCTTCCCCTGGACTACTCCAAGGCTGGCCCACCTGGAAAGCCCTACCTCAACAGCACCCAGCAGCAACAGCACGCCGCCATCGCCATCGTCACCCTCCCGGCCACGGTCCCGCCCACAGACCCGTCCTACGCCGGTCCCGTGCTCATCAACCCAGGCGGCCCCAGCGGCTCCGGCACGAACATGGCGCTGGCGGCGGGCCCAATGATCCAGCAGCTGCTCGACGTGCCGGGCAAGCGGCACTACGACATCGTGGGCTTCGACCCGCGCGGCGTGTCGCTAAGCACGCCCAGCGCGTCATGCTACGCGACAGAGTTCGACCGGTCCGCCAACGCGCTGCAGCAGCGGGGGTTGCCCAGCGTGCTGACCGACCAGGGCCTGTGGGTGCACTTTGAGGCGAGCCGTGCGCTGAGCCGGTTGTGCAAGGAGACGACCGGGGAGAATGGCGTCTTTCGGCATATGTCGACGGCTAGTGTGGCCAGGGATATGTTGGAGATTGTGGAGGGGTTGCATAAGCTGCGGAAGGGGGCTATGACGAATGGGAATGAGACGAGCAAGCGGTGTGGTGAGGATGGGGAGGTGCCGAGGCTGCAGTACCTTGGTCTCTCCTACGGCACGTACCTGGGCAATACCTTTGCGTCGATGTTTCCCGACCGGGTCGGGAGGATGGCGATTGATGGGGTTGTTGACGCGGATGATTACACTGCCGGGGTGAGTTGAAGACGGTCCCTTTTCTTGTTCTTGTTCTTGTATGACTGGGGAGTGCTAATCCAGATCTTTCTCTTTTTTTTTTTATTTTTTATTTTGCAGACCTGGCAGAAGAACATGATAGACTCGGAAGCCGAGCTGGACATCTTCTACAACCTCTGCTTCGACGCCGGCGACGCATGCCCGCTCCGCAACAGCCAGGACACCAGCGCGGCCGACATCCGCACCCGTGTCATCACGCTGATCCAGCGCCTCAGAGAATCCCCGGTTGCCGCAGTGCACAACGGCCGCGTGCACATCGTCTCGTCCCTCATCGTCGCGGAAACCATCCGGCAGGCCATGTACACACCCATCACGAGCTTCGCGCCTCTCGCGCAGACGCTGGCCGACTCCCTCTCCGGCAACTTCACGCGCATCCTGTCCAACCCCGGCGTGGTGGGCGCCACCGCGCGCCCCAACGTCTGCACCGAACCGGAGCGGACCTCGCCGCCGCAGAAGTACACCTTCTCCAACGAGGTCACGTCGGGCGTCGTCTGCGGCGACTCCCAAGCCTCGGCCGGCACGCGCGACTTCGCCTGGGCCCAGGCGACCGTGCCCGCCCTGCTCAACCAGTCCGCCACCGTCGGCGAGGGCTGGGCCCGCATCCCGCTCGCCTGCGTCGACTGGCCCTTCACCCCGGCCTACGCGTTCCGCGGGCCCTTCGGCAGTCCCGCCCCGCCCCGGAGCAATGGTACTAGTAGTGGCAGAGCGCCATTGCTGATCCTCTCGAGCAGGACGGATCCCGCGACTCCGCTGGTGAATGCCTTTGCGCTGTCGCGTCTGCACGGCGGGTCGTCGGTTGTAGTGCAGGAGAACGCTGGCCACACGGCGCTGTTCTCTTCGGTCAGCACCTGCATGTACGGGATTCTGCGGGAGTACTTTGCCTCGGGCACCGTCCCGGCCAATGGGACCGTTTGTGAGGCGGACTGTGCGCCGGCGATCCCGTACAAGGAGTGTCCTGGTTTGCCTCAGATGTAGGGGGCGACGAGGTGATGTTACTGGTGGTATTCTAGTAAGAAGGGGAGGTTATTTGGGGGCAGCTGCTAAGGGTTTGGACGTGTGGAAAGGGATTGACGGTGGAATGGGCCCGAGAGGGGGAACTTAATTTATTCTGTACTCTTTTGGGCGGCCTGCAGCCTGCGAGGCGGGTTTGACGACCAATAGGGTCCTAAACACTCTTTCCGCCGCCCCTTCCTCGGTCGAGTGACGGGAGTATGTCAGTGGGAGTGAGGCTTCGGCCGTCTCAATGGCCCATTCGTGTAAAACCCCCTCTTCTAAGCTGTCCCTCCTTTTCCTTCTGTCCATTGGTGCCAAGGTAGAACCGACAAAGCCCACGATATGAGCATCCAAGCTTGTAAGAACTGTCCAAACTTGGAGGTGTACACGCCAAACTTAAATGGTAATGAGAACCCCTGATATGGGCGTCGTAGATTTTGGCTTACCACGTCTACTTCAGGGCACGAGAATAGGTGGCAATCCCAGTCAGTGCGATGTGACGAACTACAGACAAGCACCGAGACAAAACACCCTTTGACCATCATGTACGCTCATTCACCTCCATTTCACATGACGCACGCTGAGAGTCATAGTTTCGCTCAGGCGGACGCTGTTCGCGAATGCGAAAGTTGCAAGAAGACCTTCGAAGACCGGTTTGGGATTTACAAGTTCTGGTGGACTAATTGGGCCCGTCGTTCGAACGGATACTATGGCTGCGAAGAGCACGGAGACGAGGAAAACCAGCTCAAGACATACAGTATGTCGACTTGCGTAGGAAGTGGCGCGCATCGAGCTAACACTTGCTTTTCCAAAGACACATGGTTTCGTTTCTTGGTCAAGATGACTGAGCCGGCTCCTGGCTCACGCAAAATCGCATACCACTGGCTCAAGTGGAATGTGTTCACTCACTGGGTGTCGAAAACGAAGCAGACGTTTCTCATTGCGTTCGATCCGAAGGATTTTGTCAAGAAGGTCATTCTTTCGATAACACTCCCAGCACCACTGGACCTATCCCAGGAGCCGCCTACGGTGAGGTGTATCTATGAGGATCCATACTGGGTCCATGTCCCGATTCTGGAACAAGTTGCCGACAGTCAAGACGTCGCCGTGTGGAAAATCCGCGACTTAGTCCGCACCCGAGAAAAGAGCCGACCCGATGTCGCCGCGCCGAATCCCGACTACGAACGGGACCACGACATCGCCCGCCACGCCATCCACGTCTCTGAGACGGTCGAATTGTCCACCAAGACGTTGGATCATATACTATACATGCACAAAGACTTTGCGAGACGCCATCTTCCCGAGCCAAAGCCAGGCGAGGTCTCGAGCTATCATCAGATCGACAAGCAGCTGTGGTTTCTCGAGCACACGATGCACAGCCTGAAAGCTCGATCAGTATCAAACAAGGATCGTCTCCTCAACGAGATCCAGCTTGCTTTCAATATTGTGTCGCAGTACGACTCGCAGACGTCCGTTTTGATTGGGCGGGCGACGCAGTACGACAGCTATTCGATGCGGACCGTGGCCTTCTTGACGCTTGCCTTTCTTCCCGCTACCTTTATCTCGGCCGTGTTCAGCATGTCGTTTTTCGATATTGACGACGACATGAACTGGCGAGTCTCGGCAAAGATCTGGATGTACTTTGCCATTGCTGGACCAGTGACAATCGTGGCCGTGTCGGTATGGCTTTTTTGGCAAAAGCTGATTCCTGCGGAACGAGTCGCCTACGCCGAAATCAGCGATCGGGGTCGAGTCGATAGTGGGAGAGGCAGCATCCGTGGGCCTTGGAACGGATCAAAGTTTGCACATGCGCCATATAGTTTCCAAGTTTAGTGTCGCGTTCAATCCAATGTTTTTTGTTCATGTCCTACACCTTTGCTGAGAATGTTGTGTGCCTTTCCCACAATCCAAACTATACAGAATGCTGCTCCCTCCCGATATCCCACGGTAGCTCCAACCCATCCAAAGCCACCCTGAGAATGTCATATCTTGAATAGCCCGCAAGCTCGATATGCCAGTCCGCCTCGTCTACCCCCGGAACATGGTCGGCAATGATCCTTCCGACCCTTGTCTTGCCATGATCCGGATGCCCGTCAAAGCCGGACTGACGTGCCCGTTCGACATAGACAGGATCCACCGTGACTCCCCTGGAAACGGCGGCCCTCGTAGATCCCGTGGTAGCATTGTGCACAACTAACACACCAAAATCAGTGGGCCGAGCAAGCTGGTCAATCTGGATAAAGTTCTCGATGGCCGCGACAATGATGGTTCCTATCTCCTTTCTCCTAAGAATCTCCTGATGCTCGTCAGAGTGCAGAGCTTTCAAAACGTTGCTGATGCGGTTATAAGCTCCGAGAGCCCCGGCTTTGTTGTACGGTTGCTCGCCCACTTCTGAGCTGATGGGGAGGGTGAGTAAGTGGACTTGTACGCCATGAGGGGCTCGGGATCGGAATGTCTCGAGAAGGAGTTCTTTTTTGAACTCGTTGTTTGTTGGTACCACTAGCAGAACGGCCTCGCCGTAGCTGGGGTATTTGTGGGGTTCAAATGGGGGAAATTGGGTACTGGGACTGGTGGCTCGATGGTTTCTGTGCCTCGAACGTCGGGTGCCATGTTGCGGGTCGTCAGTTTCCTCGCGCAGCAAACTTGGATGATGATGCAGTCGACGTGGGCGGCATCGAGCCTTGCTCGAGGGTCATCCCTGGCAAAGAGGGAGTATTGTTTGCTGGTTGGCTCTCTCGAGTTCACAGGTTGCGAAACCAAAGGGCGACTAAAAGTAACGATAGACACAAATGGACGTTGAACTGCTTTTGGGAAGTGCCGAGTTGTCCTCAACATGGCCGAAAATCACTCAATCGATGGCCGGTTCACTGGCTCCGACTCAATTTTATTTTAGAGGGTCGAAGGTCCCCTGTATGATTGAGGCCTCATGTCGCTCGGGATTTCAGGCACTGCCACTTCACACATGACTGGACGTTATACGGAATCCAATGAGGCGGGGGTTGCGGGATAGAGGCCAATGACTGCGCCACATCAGACCACTCAGAACGATTGTCCTTTCCATTTGTCTTGCTTCAGCGTTCAGACGGGAAATTCCAGTTGCTCTTCCAGTAAAACTCCTGGAGAAAATGGGGATAACGACAATAATTGTTGTGCATCTAGGTAGTATCTTACCTTAGGCTGGAAAGTAACATGGAGTGCTGTTATTCTTGAGCAATGTGATTCCTTGGTTCGGGTGGGACATTGTTCACAGATCATATTGGGCACGATCATTGGGTGGACTGGTCCTGGTACAGTACGTACCACGAAGCAAGGCTTGAGATAAGCGTCGGGGGCATATCTGTCTAGGTGTTCACCTCTCAGGCTGGGTGCATTCGGCCCAGAGAAAAGACGCTGCTTCGCCTTCATAAGTCATGATAGTGAGGAAAAGACTGTACGCAGGAGTGACATGTATACATTCAGAGTTCCATGGCAATCTAAGGCATTTGTCTGGTATACTGTAAGTCCCTTTTGTTTTTCTGAGACACTTGCGCAGATATGTATGCAGTATGCATGCAAGAGCCGCATAGCTAATTGGTGGCAGACACATCCACGTCAACTGTACCGAACTTCTGTACCTACTTCGGCAAATGCAAGCACTACAATGCGTCTCCCCTCCATCGGCTCCCCGGCGCCTCCGAGCCCGAAGTTGCACGAGCCTGATCGGTTCCCTTGCCAGCATTGTTAAATGCGAGACTGTGTTTCCCCCAAACCCGATGGACTAAGTGGGACTGGGAGAGCGACAGCCGCGAACGACAGTAATCGACCACGAACGATGCACCGTATTACCAGGACGGCGACGCGGTCTCTGTGGAAGAATAGTACCCGGTTCGTGAATACCTTCCTGGCTGTGATTGGCCAGAGACGACGGATAACATCCCTGTTGCGGCAATTGTGGGATTTTGAACGTCCGTTTCCCGCGGGCATTGAGGTCCTCTACAATCCGCCGAACGCTGTCGTCGAGTAAGTGCAATTCACCTAACGCGCATTGTCTTGACCAGCACTGATTTCTGTCCATGAAGCATCATCTTTGTCCACGGCTTGACCGGCGATCGGATCAAGACGTGGACCGCTCATGGGGCGTCTGAGCCATGGCCCAAAACGCTCCTTCCAGAAAAGATTCCGAACGCACGCATTCTCACGGTAGGCTATGACGCAAATGTCGTGGGGTTGTTTGGCGCTGTGTCGCAAAATTCGATTGGCAACCATGCAGAGAACCTTCTCAGTCACGTTGCGTCCAAAATAGACGGAAAGGTAAAAGCCCGTGTCACGTTTCACACGTCCCCAGCATCGGTCACTGCGCTGACGCTGACATTGGTAGAACAATCGGCCGGTCTTCTTCGTTTGCCACAGCTTGGGTGGTCTGGTCTGTCAAGAGGTATGGCCACCAATCTGCCCTCCCCCGTGAACGTGCCCGCTGATGTTTCCTCAGGCTCTGAACCAGTCAGCCAGGAATCCGCATTCACACCTCCGAGATGTCCTTCGATTGACCCAAGGCATCGCTTTCCTCGGGACACCGCATTCCGGGGCAAGTCTTGCTACGCTTGCGACGCTTTCGGCCTCGCCCCTTGGGATTTTCAAGTTGGCAAACGTCAGGATTCTGGACTCCCTCAAAGGGGATTCCGAAGTGCTAGTGGAGATTAGGAGAGAGTTTCACAATATTTTGCGTTTGAGAAACGAGCAACAGAATGGCAAAGCACCACGCATCGAGGTGACTTGCTTCCACGAGGAACTACCTATCTCTTCGATCCTCCCGGTGAGTCTACTCCAGCTTTCTCCCACTGCCTAACCAGCCCCTGTATGGCGGAGACTTACGGCAGAGATGATGCAGATTCGTGTGGTACCGGCTCACCTTGCTCGTATTTGGGGGCACACTTTCATCGGAATCCGCGCCAATCATATCAACATGGCCAAGTTTGCCACGGCTGAGAGCCCTGGGTTTCACAGCTTGTGCGCAGAGCTCAAACGGTGGATCAAGAAGACGAGCCAACCGAACGGCAACCCACGAGAACGTCAAGGACTAGAACAAGCGACTGCGGTGGGACCCGTGTCGTGGGGATGGGGGTCTGACGTTCCAGCACAGTATCCCATGGGATATTCCACCCAGGCAATCAGCCCGCCACCCGAGAAGACAGACCCGGATCTCTCGTCCTTTTCAGTTGCCATTTTTTGCGCTTTTGCAGAAGAGGCAGATGCCGTCGAGAAGCAATTTGACCGGCACTGGGACTACGAGCGCATCAACTCGATGATTGACCACACCGATACTAACGCCTACTCGTTCGGCAGAATCGGAAACCACAACGTCGTTCTGGTACACCTCGGAGGCAAGGGGAAGATTCCGACGGCTCCTGCTGCAAAAAGCTGCCGGAATACCTTCCCCAATGCCAAGCTCTTTCTCGTTGTGGGCGTCTGTGGTGCCGTCAATCAAAACCGTGGTCGGCGTGTTGCGTTGGGCGATGTCATTATCAGTAAGGGCGTCGTGGAATACGACCTCAACAGGCAATACGATGGGTACTTTGAGCTCAAGGACGAGTCCAAGCACCGGCTTCACGTTGACCTCGAGGGCACTCTCGATAAGTTCCAAACCGACCAAGGAAGGCGCACCCTGGAAGACACGACGGCCAAGCACCTGGACGGCAACTTGAAGAAGAAACCGCCCAACAACGATGGGCTGAGCCACTCCTCCCCAGCTGTTCACATTGGCTGGGTCGCATCTGGAAACTCGGTTTTCAAATCAAAAGAGAAGCGCGATGAAATTGTACGGCTATACGATCAAGTCATCGGGTTTGAAATGGAAGGTGCTGCAGTCTGGCACCAGGGACGTGCATGCTTGGTTGTCAAGGGCGTGAGCGACCACGCCGACATCGACAAGACCAAGGACTGGCAACCGTATGCGGCGGCGGCGGCAGCAGCATGCGCAAAGGCCATCCTGGGTTATTGGAAGCCGCGCCGTCAAGGTGAGTTCAATCATTTGAAGTCCAGCTTTCGCCTGGTAACGTGGGCTGATGCTACAACTACTTACATATAGTACTTGCCGGAAACTCTGACGCGAACTCGAAGCACCAACCCCAGGGACCATGGTGTAAGTAAAAAAAGAACCCAGTCCTGACGAAACGGAATGACGTGCCGTGGCTAACGATGCCTGGTTTAGTCACGGTTGCTTACCCCGAGAACCAACATTTCACACGTCGGAAAACAGTGGACGCTAAACTCGACACCATGATCCGCGAGTTCGCTCAACAAGAAAAACGCAAAGGCTATACCAGGATTGCCCTCCACGGCGGTCCCGGCGTCGGGTTAGTTCTTTACCCTTGTTGACTCTTCTTTTTGCAGGTGAACAATGCCACTGAGGACCGGTCAGAAAGTCGCAGATCGTACTGGACTTGGCATACGGACTCCATCGGAACAGGCCAGATATTTCCATCTTCTGGGTTGCGGCAGCCAGCCGCGAGAAATTTCGACAATCCTTCGTCTCGATTGCGAATACATGCAACATTCCTGGCAAAGACGCCCTACGGTCGGTCAAGAAATGGCTGGAGAAAGAGCATCGCAGACCGTGGTTGATGATCGTTGACAATGCCGATAACGAGTCCTTGTTCTACCGGACCGAGCAACATTCGGGAAATAAGAGCCCGGTTGATTCTGCTGCCTTCGAAGACGTGTTGAACCAGGAGAGACCTTTGGTGTCATACATTCCTAACTGCCCTCAGGGCGCCATTGTCTTCACCACTCGATTCAAGGGTCTGGGAATCAGGCTCACCAACAACCCGAATGGGAGCAGCTGCATCCCGGTTGAACGGCTGGATGCAGACGAATCCATCCGCATGCTGCGTGCCGAGCTGGGCGACATCGACGCTGAGGAACATGAACTGAAGGATCTTGCCAATCGCTTGGACAACATACCCTTTGCCATGATCCAAGCAACTTCGTTCATCAAGAAGAACGGCATCAAGTCCATTGGACAATTTCTGCAGGACCTCGACGGAGCCGGCGATGACGATCTCTTGACTTTACTGAGCGAAGGTGTCGACACGTGGGGCCGAGACGAAGACGCCCCTCGATCTATCGTGAAAATGTATCTTTTGTCCTTACGCGAAGTCCGGCACCGCGACCGCTTTGCATGGGATTGTCTAACGCTCATGAGCCTCTTCGACCGGGAAGACATTCCTAGGGAGTTCGTTACTATATACAGTAAGAGGCGACTGCAAAAGGAGTCGACGGGCCTGGACGTCTCACGGAGTCTGGGTGTCCTCATGGACTTTTCTCTTATCAGACCGGACCGTTTGGATGAGTACGACATGCACCGACTCCAGCAGATACTCACCCAGCGGTGGTTGGATAAGCAGGGGCCCGAGACAAGACGCGCATTCGAGCGAGACGCCATTCTGACCATGCTAGAGGCATTTCCAATCAGCTGCTACGAGAAACCCAACCGACCCAAGTACAGCCGATATCTGCCGCATGTGCGTGCAGTCGTGGGGCTCGAGGGAACCCAGTCCGAGGAGGAAAAGCGGGCAAAGGTTTCGCTTTGCGTGCGGGCTGCCATGTTATTGCTCTACCAGCGCCAATGGGAAGGCGGGGCCAAGTTTCTGGAAGAGGCCGTTCCACTACGACAGGAAGTCATGGGCGAAGAGTTGGGCCGGTATCCCGCAGCTAGAAGCCTGGCTGCCATGTACGAGTTGCTCATTGAGGAAGAAAAGTCAGGCTGGAAAAACAAGAAGTACAAGGACAGGAGCAAGTCGAAAGTCATTAGCGGACCCGAGGTGTTGAAAAAACACATGCCAGAGGATATGATTGCCCGAGCAGCGGCGGAAACAGAGAGAGAATAAGGGGTAGGAACAGAGAAACAGCACAGGATCGAGGCACGGAAACACGGCGAAGCAACAAGGGGGGCCAGACGGACGTCAGGAGTAATTAACTTATTTATCACCTAATGAAACATATCACTTTATGTACCTAGACTCGAACTTGCTCTTGAAGTTATTCGTTCACCGTCAACTTCCTAGTATCCGAGCTGCTGCATCTTCTATCAAATCTCGTACGCTACACTAAGCCGTCGTCTTCGAGGTCTGGTATCGCGAAGTAATGGCCAAGCTCCTAATCGCAAATTGACACCAACTGAAGAGCAAACATTGCTCTAGAGGATCATTTTGCTAGATGAACGCGGCCCTTTCTCCGTCGTTACCGTTCGTACGAAGGATGGCCGACCTCCTGCTTTAGAAACGCGTACCTGACGCATTAGTCGGACACCTTTGGGTCTTGCGATTTACTTTATTCTGAGTAGTTAACACTCCTACTAGTTGAGAAATCGATGGTGTACAATACAACGGATGTGGACTCGAATGCATTGATCATACCTTACACAGGTACCTCTTGTAGCATCAGCTACATCTTTTGCATCCTCGCAACCCTTTTTTGAACGAGATTGGTCGTTACGTCCTTCGTCGGCGCGAAAGTTGAAACTGACTTACACGTGTAGACTCCGTCTCGGTGCTAATGTTCCCATCGGCCCCGGGACCCACCCGGACCGGCGTAATGTTGCCTCGGCGAGCTTGTTTCGGAAAGTGGGCACTTTTCGCCTGAAACTTCTTGGCGGACTTGGCGGGTGAGTTGGAGATTCGACGTCGATCGGTGACCTTCGAAGTGTAAAATCGAGTTAACCTTATCCAACATTGGCATACGTCACATCCGGCAGGATTCAGTGGGGCTTGGTGCTCCTGCTTAGAACTGCGGCTGACTTAGGTCCATCTTGGCGGAGGAAGAGCATACAAAGTAGTACGGACATTACTAAGCCAGCGCGTCCCGCGGGACACGGTCATGCTCGAGTCAACGACTCAACATGTATATGAGCAAGCTCTGGAGCCATCAAAGACATGACGGAAGCTTCATTTTCTCAACAAGCTCTCGACTCCCCTTCTTACCTAGGTGAACATACAGACATCCATCCATCAAAATGCCTCTCCGCATCGCCGTCGTACCCGCCTCCACCAAGGCCGGCCGGGAAACAATCCGCCAGCTGCTCGCGGCCGAAAGCAAGCCCCTTGTCCGCGCCATCTACCGAGATCCATCCAAAGCTCCCGCCGACTTCACCCAAAACCCTAATTTCGAAGCTGTCAAGGGCGACGTGGGAGCCGGTGCAGGTCTCGACTTCAGCAGCGCCGACGCGGTTTTCTACATCCCGCCTCCGACCTATGACGGGACGAATCAGGGGGAATGGGCGACCCGGTGTGCGACCAACGTGAAGAAAGCCATCCAGGACGCCCCGACCATCAAGCGGGTGCTCCTCTTTTCGGCTCTGGGCGCGCAGCATGACCATAGCATTGTACGTTGCGCACACTTGAAGTGGAATCTGTGGTTTGTGTACTACTACTAGTAGTATCGGTGCTAACAGGATGGGAAAATCAAAATTTTAGGGCGTTCTGCACTTGAATCACATATCCGAGACAACTCTCAGGGATGCCGCGCAGGAAGTCATCATGGTCCGGCCGGGCTTCTTCTACGACGAGTTCGCGCATGCACTCGAGGAAGCGCGTGCTGGTGATCCGCCTGCCTTCCACTCGTGGATCACGCCTGTCGACCACAAGATACCGATGGTGAGTACTACCTATTTTACCCCCTTATATATATCGTCCATTCCCCCCCCCCCCCCCCCCCCCGTTTCTGCGGACTGTTACTGACTTGACTTATCATCTCGCTCTCGCTTATCTAGGTGAGCCTGAAAGATATCGCAAAGTTCTGCGCAAACGCCCTCCTTGTCGGGTCCGGCAAGCCTAGTACTAGTAGTCCGCACCTCTTCAAGCTCTTTGGTCCGCGGCACTACAGCGCGCTGGACGTCAAGGAGGCGGTCGAACAGGCCATGGGAGGGAAGCCCGTGGAGCTCAAGTCGGTGGAGAGGGACCAGCTTGCTGGGTTCTTTGGCCAGCAGATTCCCCAGGCGCATGTGCAGGAGTTTGTGGACATGGTGACGGCCGTGCTGCCTGACGGGGTTATCGAGGGCGACTTTGAATATGACGAGAACACGGTGAGGGGGGGGGTAGAGTTGGGGGACGCCCTGCGCGAGCTGGCGGCGAAGGGGACGGGCAAGTGAGGGCTTCTGTACAGGTAGTTTGGCTGGGTGATGTATCCGGAGTTGAATCACAGCTTAACCTGCAACTACTAGTAGTAGATTAGTGAGTAGTAGATACGGAAAGGGTTACTATCTGCTTTCCGTTCCGATTATCTCCTGAACACCTCAGATATCCCAAAAGATCGCCAATTACTGAAAACATAATGTTAAATGTCCCACGCAGAAAATAAAATAAAATAAAACAAAATAGATCACCACCGTCTACACCCCCATCCCTCAATCCCTATAAACTCCCCTACCACCAACTGGCGGGGGAATAAACCTTAACCTTGCCAGTTTATATAACGCCTTAAAGACGGACCGATACGAATCGACTATGCCAAAGAAGCTATATTGGCGCGCCTTACGTACGCTGGTGGTAATAGGCGCGTCGCCGACGACGGCCGAGTTCGAGAAGGCGAAGATACGGGTGCGGTAGCGCTCGTCGAAGGGATTCAGGACTAGACTGTACTATATGGCAAGTCTTTGCTAGGCTTCTTAGATATATGCCTATTGCGACCACTTGACTACGGTGAAGGTTGAGCGGAGGGCTATTTATGGGCTGTATCTTCCTAGTAGAACAGTTTATGTTAGAATTGAGTTCAGTTCCGTTCAGTTGTTATATTATCCAAAAGTTGCCCTTATCAGCCCCCGGCCGCCCCTAACACCCCTTGCCGCTTTTGCTTAGATCCCGTTAGAGGCTGCTTAGGACCGCTTAGGAGAGCATTTGGAAATGGCTTAGGACATGCTTAGGTCCTGTTAGGGGCTGCTCAGGAGCGCTTAGGAGAACAATCGAAAACGGCGTGGGACAAGGCGGTGCTCTGCAAGTCGGTAGAGTCGAGAGAGAGTTTATAAAAGGAATAACGTACATTATCAGCGAGCGGAACACTCTCCACTACTCTATAACAACTACTCTTAATTGCAATGCAACAACACTAAGAACTAACTATAATTACATCAGAAACAGATGAATCAGACCCTTCTGCACCCTCCTAGCAAGTGCGGGCATTATGGCCAGGCTTTCTACATACACTATAGCACCGAACCTTCGTATAACCCCCCCTAGCACCACTACCATCCAGCTATGTTTCTTGCATTGCCTCCCCACCTACAGCCCCCTGGCCTACCACCTCCTATGCCTCCTATACAGTAAGTGATCCTCTAAGCCGTACTGTTACAAACCAACCATATAACCCGACCTGGTGGGGCCATGCAGTCGACAAGGTTACCAATCAAGGAGCACAAGGCAACAAGGTGCCCCACATGGACGCCGATGGACGACAGCGTCCAGAAGCGTCCGTATAGACGCTTGAGAACGCTGGCGAGCACCAGCGACTATGGACGCCCATGGACAACGGCGTGCGCAGGCGTCCATAAAAAATAGCTAGTATATAGTCATTCGTTCTGGAGGACTCTGGGAGTTCTCTAGTGAGCAATATAAGCAATAGCCTCTACCTATTGTGCAGATATTGCGGCAAGCATTGTTATGAACCCTTTGGCTTCACCGAGACCTATAGTCCGACCAGCAGATACCTTCAACCAGCGAACCCTTTCAGAGGCAGGACTGCCTGTGGTTTCGTCATACGTATATGTGTTTTTTTTAGCTCTCCGGCGCTTGCTTAGTACTCGTTAGCCTTATAGAGCAAAGACACCTCTGCCTGAAGGAGGGCCACCTGGTGGATTATAGCCATTGTACCCTTGGTAAGCTGGTCTATAGCAGCTAACATTGAAGTTAAGGAGCTATTTTGATGGTTGGCAATGCGAGTCTTAATAAGCGTTGACTATAACTTGGCTTCTCGAGAGTTGTATAGTGTCTGGAAGACTATGACGGTGGAACGCACCGACCATGATATCATTTGCATGCATGATGATTCATTATACCAAGTGATGATTCATTATGCATGTTCTATTACATCATGCATATAAGCTCAGACCTACTTACATCCTATATCTAAAGCTTACCTTGCGGCCTCGAGGATTTCTTTCCTCCTGCAAGTTCAATATTCTTGCAATGCAGTCAGTTTACCACCAGAGGCTTGACCCTAGGCTTGAACGACGGCTCTCGTGAGAAAGACCTAAGATTATACAGTCCCCAGCCGTGTCACGAATTAACCAACGGCAGGCTGCAGGGCAGACGGCTGTGTGTAGGGACGCGGGGGCGTCCCAAGCCAATCAGATGGAATAGTAAGGCAGACCAGTCAGGACCAGGCAGAGATGCTAAGGTGCCAATGCCCACTGAGCACTCTGCAGGATATAAGTGATCAGGGTGATCAAGAGCGCACCACGATGAGCACCTAGGCGCTTATTCGGATCGAAGCACTGAGCACTTAGGAAGATAGCTAGTATATAGTCACTCGCTCTGGAGGACTCTGGGAGTTCTCCAGTGAGCAATATAAGCAATAGCTTCCACCTATTGTGCAGACATTGTGAATAAGCATTGTTATGAACCTTTTGGCTTTACCGAGACCTATAGTCCAACTAGCAGATACCTTCAACCAGCGAACCCTTTGAGAGGCAGGACTGCCTGTGGTTTTATCACAGACCGTGAGGTTAGGGTTATTAGTATATAAAGCTTAATATCTAGCTTCAAAAGCACTCTCTCTAGATTGTATAGTATAAGGCCAGCCCCTATAAAACTACCCTAGATATTCCTCTTAATAATAGAGATAAAGAAGGCCGTGCGAAAGACATAAAGGAACTCGAGCTTGCTTATATAGTTGATATGTACATATATTAAGTCCTTGAGCTAGCGACTGTACGCCTGCTTTAACGGCCCAAAGCAGCTAATATTAAGTGGCTAGATGTGACGGTGCAATGCACCGACCATGATGATGATATCATTTGTATGTATAATGATTCATCATACCAAGTGATGATTCATTATGCATGTTCCATTACATCATGCATGCAAGCTCAGACCTACTCGCATCCTGTATTTAAAGCCTACCTTGCAGTCTCGAGGATTTCTTTCCTCCTGCAAGTTCAATATTCTTGCAATGCAGTCAGTTTACCACCAGAGGCTTGACCCTGGCCTTGAACGACGGCCCTCGTGACACCTGGCTAGGTACGCAATCTAAAGGAAGTTCAATATTGTCACGGTGACTGTCGTCGCAGGCCAGGCTCAAGGCTCTAGTGGGCAACTGACTACATTACAAGAATATTGAACTTGCAGGAGAAAAGAAATCCTCGAGACTGCAAGGTAGGCTTTAAATACAGGATGCAAGTAGGTCTAAGCTTGCATGCATGATGTAATGGAACATGCATAATGAATCATCACTTGGTATGATGAATCATTATACATACAAATGATATCATTATCATGGTCAGTGCGTTCCACCGTCACAGCCAGTATATAGTTACTCGTTCTAGAGGACTCTGGGAGTTCTCTAGTGAGCAATTCAAGTAATAGTCCTTACCTATTATATAGATATTGCAGTAAGCATTGTTATAAACCTTTTAGCTTTACCGAGACCTATAGTCCGACTAGCAGATATATGACGAAACCATAGGTAGTCCTGCCTTTGAAAGGGTTTGCTAGTCGAAGGTATCTGCTGGTCAGACTATACGTCTCAGTAAAGCCAAAAGGTTTATAATAATATAAGCTATAATGTCTATATAGTAAGGTAGAGCTACTTGTCATGGTGACTGTCGTCGCAGGCTAGGCTCAAGGCTCAGGTGGGCAACTGACTATATTGCAAGAATACTGAACCTGCAGGAGGAAAGGAATCCTCGAAGGCTGCAAGGTGCGAAGAAGTCTAAATACAGGATGTGGGCCATGTGCCCAGATATGGAAGGTGGGGCTCCAACAAGGTTGACCAATCATGCATGCATGCACTAGAAGCCGGCTCCCACTAGAGAGACGGGTCCGTCTCGATTAGTCATCCCAATTGATTATGTCAGCCCCCAAAATTACCCCGCGCTCGCCCCCCTGAACTGCGTGCCTCTGAACTACGTTGCGCGCCCCTGAATGCCATCATCACTGCTACCAACGCTACTGCAATAGCTACCTTTCCAGACGACTGCCTGCCCTCCGAAGGCCATTTCGCGTCTTGACAGGCCTTATTCGAAGCTATCAATCTATGGGCCAAGCCAAGGGGCTATGCCTTCATCACCTAAAGATCTATGAAGGAGAAGAATAGCGCTTCGACAGTGATCTACGCATGCGATCGATCTCGTTAGCCCCTAGGCGGCTCGTTAGAGTGCTAGAGAAGAACAATAACGCGAAGGACGAATTACCTTTTCTCTATATTAGTAAAAGAGATAGCTGACGGTAGCTAGGCTCTTAAGTATCGCTCTAATCATCGCTTTGCTAAGTATAACTATAAACTAAGCTAATACCTATCCGCCTATCTAGTCCATTAACAACTCTCTAAAGGTATATTATAACTTGCAAGCTTCTTAAATACTAGCCTTATACTAAAGGAGATCTAGACTCTTATACGGTAAAATAGCTCGCTAGCTATACGGCAAGATATCTATAATCGGGTTATAGAGATTCGTTAGGATATATATAAAGGCTAGAGTCTAATTCAAGCGCTCGTTAACTAGCTCGATGTGATGAAACCATAGGTAGTCCTGCCTCTGAAAAGGTTCGCCGGTCGAAGGTACTGCTAGTCGGACTATAGGTCTCAGTAAAGCTAAAAAGTTCATAACAATGCTAGCCGCAATATCTAACGTACATGATAAGCGAGCGACGCAGATAAGCGAGCGACGCACTTTCAGTGCGACGCGCCTCCTCTAAACTTTTCCACCAAATACCACCGCAACAAGCCATGCGTAGCCCCTCAAAAGAAGCCAGGCTTCTTTTAGCCCTCGAAGCTATCAAACAGAGCGAGAATCTTAGTATCCGGGCGGTAGCCAAGCTATACAACGTTCCAGAAGCAACGATTCGCCACCGGCGCAAGGGACGTGCTACAAGACGCGATGTTCTAGCCAACTCGCGTAAGCTCACGGATCTAGAAGAGAAGTCAATAGTTCAGTATATAACTGAGCTATCTATACGCGCATTCCCACCTAGATTAAGTGGTGTAGAAGATATGGCCAACTACCTACTACGCGAACGCGACGCGCCCCCTGTCGGCAAACGCTGGGCTTATAACTTTGTCAAACGCCAGCCAGAGCTCCGTACGCGGTATATACGCAAGTACGACTACCAG